GTGTATATTTTTACAAACAGTTGGTAGATGTATTGCTTTTGGTAAGCTGTATTATACTTGACACAAAACTTTTCTCATTTTCAATGATTAATTTACATTTTTTGAAGGTGCAATTCTTAACAACTTGTGATAATTTCAATGCATGTCTTGTACATACAGTACAATTGTTTTTATAGAATAAACTTTGAAAAAAAAAGAGACATTAAATTTTATTGTCAAGTACTTAAGTTTTATTCAAAAAATCTAATAAAAAAGATAATGAAGATTTAGGCTTGGTAGTTCTATCAAGTGTACACGTGGAAGCTCTATCATACACACAAGATAATTTTTATTCACTGCTTTGATTCAAATGTGAACACTATCATCTGAACATTTTTTTGCATCAAAATTTCATTATTTTGTATTTACCTCACAAAAGTCCACAGTGTTATAATGTTAACAATTCTACATTATTGGACATATTCACAAACAACATAAGAAATAACTACTATAATAAATATAATTAATTATACATGTACATGCAGTTAGTATATTATATACAATGTACATTAGTTTATAAAACACTTCTCATATCAAGCCTAACAAAATAATGGTGTTATTATAAAAACATGTGCAAATCAGTCAAAATACTGGCACATCCATTGCCAACTTCTTCACTTGCAATGAACTGGAGGAGAAAAGGCATTGAACAAAGCATGAAACTTACAGACTCTCTTCTGGGAATATAATCATTAACTCTTTACATGCTGAGGGTGATTATTATAGAATGACCTTTGCAAAAAGCTTGATAACAACTGCAAAGTATGCAGTATTATACAGTTGACTTTTTTGTTATTTTTAACAAAATTGGACAAAATTTAAAAATTATGCAGACAAAATTCTTTGCAGACGACAATTTTCCTATCATATAAAGGTAAATGTAACATAAATGATGAATATTCATGTAAAATTTCATGTCTGATTTGCCATATATAATGTTAGAGATGAGAAATCTTTTTGTTACTATAACCACCCTAAAACTATGTACAACAGTGCTTTACTCTTACCATTATATCAAGTAATAACTCTACTGGTCTGAAATAAAAATGCATCTTATTTTAGGAAAACACATATAACTTAATGAGCAATATAAAGCAAAAGCTTCCATTGTTGACAACATGGCCATAACAATCAAGGCTTTGAATGAAACAAAAACTACAGGTATATATTTACATACTGTAAATTGAGGGTTGATACCAAAACTGTTCCAAGTCCTTCATTATTTTATTTAAGTTACTGCAGTTTTGCAGTCAACTCTTGAAATGTCAAATGATTAACCAGTAAAATATATCCTGAGTAAAAATTGCCTTTTAACTATATTTCATCAAAATAAAACATTAAAACATTATTTTGTATAAATTCAAGTACCGTGATGTCCATGTACATGTACCTACCGTTTATATGTTATATGATTACCTATCAAATGACAACAACTAATGGTTATTCACTTAAAAGAGCATTACTGTAACTGATTTATAATTAAATAATAATTTTTGCTTGCAAAAAATAATTGTCAACAATTATTTATTATTTATTTATTTTAAATTTTAAGCATCAACCTTTAGTTGTTATTAGGTGTGTTGAAAACATGCTAATTGTGCCTCAACCATTAACAAGTGTTTAACATTTGCCATCAGTGCAGTCTCTGACCAACTCTATATACTGTTGATAGCTCACATTTTACATTTCATATTGAAATCCTTTAATCTTCAAATGGACTGGTCCAAATTCAAAGTGTGGCCAAGCCATTATGCAAATTCAGTAGGTTAAGGACCAATTTTACATATGGTCATAGATTTTCCTTTGTAATTTTCACTGCAGACAGTTATATCATTATTCATATGAATCAAAATCAATAAAAGTGGAACAAACATAATTTATATTAATCAAAATCATTTGAATAATGATGTAATAACAGTTTTAACAAGCAGATTCTATAGTTCTAAAAACAAGAGTGGTCAGAAAAGTAAGCATGCTCAACCATTTTAATAGTTTGGAAAGTAAAAGAAAGATAATGACTAAGAAAACAAAATACAATAACAATTCCCAATGTCCAAATTTTGCAAATAAAGGTGGTATAATCTACAAAATAAGATATTGAAGAATAAAAACTGTAATGAAAAAAGATTTATGAAAGATCAAAGGGGGATGAATTTTGTAACAATTGTGCCAGAGTTAAAAACAATCCCATAATTATGTGATGTTGGGAACAATAAAGAACAACTATTTGAAGTTTGAGGGAAAAAATCAGCTAAGTCGCCTAAGAAATAAAAGAAGTTAAAAAACTAGAAATGTGTCCATAGGACACGGGTGCCCCCACACTCCACCGATTTGTCAATCTTATGTCTCTAGGTCAAATTTTTTTTTGGCTACATGTCATGTGCACAAGTTGAAAACTAAAAATCTTTTATTAAGTAAAGGGCAAATACTAAAAATACTGAATAAATCCACAAGAAAACCCCAGGGTGCATAAGTACACATGCTGACCAACATTCTTGAAAACTTTCAGGCCTACAGGTCAAACACTTTTTGAGTTGCGTGCAACACAAGTTGAATATTGTAAATTTTTACTAAGTCAAGGGCAATAACTCTACAAATACTAAAAATATCCACATGAAAATACCCAGGTGCACAACTACACATGCTGAGCAACATTCTTGTAAGGTTTCATGACTCTAGGTCAAATACTTTACTTTTTAAGTTACGTGCGTCACAAGTTGAAAATTGGAATTTTTTTACTCATTCAAGGGCAATAACTCTAAAAATACTAAATATATCCACACAACAACTACACAAGCTGATCAACATTCCTGTGAGGTTTCAAGACTCCAGTTCAAATATTTTTTGAGTTATGTGCGACACAAGTTGAAAATTGAAAATTTTTACTAAGTCAAGGGCAATTACTCTAAAATTACTAAATATATCCACATGAAAATACCCAGATGCACAACTTCACATGCTGATCAAAATTCCTGTAAGGTTTCATGACTCCAGGTCAATTACTTTTTGAGCTACGTGCGACACAAAAAGAGAACAAACGAACCGACGGACTGATGGACGAACGGACAAGGGTAAATCTAAATGCCCCCGCTATAGCTAGTGGGGGCACAATTAAAATTTTCAAAGTTCATAGAGCTCTTGAAAGCTCTTAAGTAATAAAGTTTAAGAAAATTACTTTTTTTTCAAAATTCTAAGATAATATTCTTGAAATATTAAGAACAAAGAATCTCTCATGACAAAGGTTAGAATAGGAAACAAGAACTTACAGTATGAAATAGATAAAAAAGTTATGAAGAAGATAGAATCAAAATTGTTCAAGGGTAATTAAAATCTTGCAATACAGCTGGTAGAGTTATGAACTTTGTCAAGTGTGATGTACATGACGTACCATATGTGATTAATAGCAATAATTACGGAATAATGTTTTAAGTCATAATTTCCAGAAATCTAGATGCCAATGCTAGCTCAAGTGAGGACAAACTCCTAAGATTCCTTTTTTTAGTTTGATTAAATTAAAAAATTTAAAGCCACAACTCTAAGTGTTGTTTTTTTAAAAGCACAAATCTTTTCTGCTTAACAGAGATATTCTATACAAATATCTTATGAATGCAAGTTTGTCACACTGGTTTGTCATCATTTAAAACAATTTCTAATGCACTCAAAATAAATAAACAAAATAAATAGAACACTTAGACAGTGTCATATACAGAAACATCAAGTTAAGTAATAAATTTCCACGAAGAAAATGCTTCCAGATAGAGTTAAGTTTTTCAGGCAGGTATGTTAAATTTCTAGATAGGAATATATTAATGTTTAATTAGAAATTAAAAATATGATTAAGATGGAGAAAAAATGTTATAACAGATAAAAAAGAAAACATCATTAATCTGAAAACCCATTTGTTGTTAGAAGCAGTAATTACAACTAAAAGACATCCTAGTTTATAACTTTGTTCAACATTATGTGCAGAAAGGCATTATAAATAGGAATCAATTGCGAGTTACATTATGGCCTGGTTAATGGACATTACAAATATTGACATGAATGTTGAACAAAATTGTACATGAAAGAGGACAGTTACCTTGCCAGTCATGAATGTACCTCATAGGTGCTAAAACAATAAAAATGTTCTTATATTCAAAGATATTGGAAATTTTCGTTCAGATGTTTGGCCTTATGATAACTACAAAGACACTTTAATAGGGTGTTGAGCAAATAAAAAGCATGCCTTAAAATCCACATAAATTGTATATATTTGTCAATTCCAGCACATAAACTTTTTATATACTAACAGTACTTTCAATAAAATCTTAAATAAGTAATGATTATATGCTGTTAAAAAAATCATATTTCAACATCACGAATATTCTTATAGACATTGAAATATCATTTTATTAATTAAAATCATATTATAATATATTCTTTAAGAAACCTAAGAATTGTAATGAATACAGTTTGTGACACAATGTCATGCTTCAAAACAGTACAGATTTGGCTTAGTGAAGGAGTTGATGAAAGAGCAAGAGCAAATGTACTCAATTGCAGTGGATAATGTTCGTATAGTGACAGTGACATATACATTTGTAAGTAAGCACATCATTCTGAACATCCATTCATTTTATGGAATGATATTATGCAACAAGTACAGACCTGTACTTTTTAAGTAACTAATGTAACATGTAAATGCCTATACCATTCATAAAACCAGATAACTTTGATATTAAACAGTAATTTAGTAGTCTAGCTTATTTTGGCAAAAAACTTTAAATAAAGTTTACTTTAAACACACGTGTCAGATCTAGCTATGGCAAGAAGTACTTTTCCTGGTAATGGTATATATATGTTTAATAAGCAAACAAAGTAATCATACTCAGTCATGGCCTATCTTTTATTTAAAACCGGTGCACAACAGGCGGGACATAATATATAAGTTAAAAGACAAAAAATTCAGAGAGAATTACCTTCTTTTAGTTTTTTGAATTCTGGGAACATGATAGCCTGTCTGGCAGCAAGTACAAAGGCAAGAACTGCGAGAATCAGTGCATCAAAAATGAGGACAATGGCCAAAATGTATGCCCAGCGTATACGACACTTGTCCATGTTATAAGCTGTTGCATCCTGTCCACAGATACGGCGCACATTGTCATCATCAAAAGCATTTGGGTAGATGATACAACCAACAGCCATAAACAAAGCTGAAATTTTAAATAACATTTAAATGAAATGAACATAATTACATAAAGAACTAGAACTGCCACTTTCATGGCATGAATACCCCGGCATACCACTTTGTCAGAATCAACAGTTACAGGTCATTTAGAACTCAAGGACAACCTCCCTGCAAAATCTGAGGGTAGTACGCCAGTGCATTGCCAAGTCAATATGTATTCTACATGTTTATAGTGGCAAAGATCAAAGGGACCTTTACCTTTGACCTAGTGACCTCAAAACTGAAACTGCCACTGCAAGACTTGAATACCCCTCCCCCATTCATGCAGCTTTGCCTGGGTTTTTTTTATGATGAATATATGAGAACATAATTATATACTTCAAATGTGAAAATGTTAAAATTAATCACTTAATGGTCATGACTAACCTTCATGCCAAATATGAAGACTTAGGGTCCAAGGATTCTGAAGTTATTGGGTGGAAAAGCTTTTTTTTAAGTCAAAGCCCTTCTGACCATGACCTGGTGACCTCAAAGTCAATAGGGGTCACCTAATGGTCATGACTAACCTCCATGCCAAATAGGAAGACTGTGGGTCAAAGGATTCTTATGTTGTTGGGTGGACAATCTTTTTGTAGTCAAGGTCCCTGTGACCTTGACCTTTGAGCAAGTGACCTCAAAATCTATACGGGTCATCTAATGGTCATTACTAACCTTCATGCCAAATATGAAGACTGTAAGTCAAAGGATTCTTAAGTTATTGGGGGGGACAAGCTTTTTTAAGTCAAGGCTCTTCTGACCTTGACCTTTGACCTAAGAATCAATAGGGGTAATCTACTAGTCATAACCAACCTCAATACCAAATATTAAGACTGTTGACCAAAGCATTCTAATTAAAGCAGTTCAGCTGACAAGTTATTTGAAGTAAAGTCCCCTGTGACTTTGACCTTTAACCCAGTGACCTCAAAAACAATAGGGGTCACTTAATGGTCATGACCAACATCCATGCCGAATATGAAGACTGTTGGTCAAAGGAATCTAAAGTTATTGGGCTGACAAGCTATTTCTAGTCAAGGCCCCAGTGATTTTGACCTTTGACCTGGTGATCTCAAAATCAAAAGGCGTCATCTACTTATCATGACCAATCTCAGTAGTGTTGACTGTGAGTCAAAATAATCTTAAGTTATTAGGCGGACAAGCTTTTTCTAGTCAAGGCCCCTGTGACTTTGACCTGGTGGTTATATTGACATGCCTCAAAATCAATAGGGGTCATCTACTAATCATGACCAATCTCAATACCAAATATGAGGACTGTGGGTCAAAGGAATCTTAAGTTATTGGGCAAACAAGGAAAAACCGACGGATGGCCGGACAGACAACCTGATTCCAGTATGCCCCCCTTACAACTTTGTTATGCAAGGGTATAATACACTTTCCATAATTATAGTCATATAGTCCAATGAAACAAGACATATATTGCTAAAGGTAATGGTGATGGTTCCGCCAAGAATAATAATATAATAATATTAATGCATGACACTCAAATATGAAACATGAAAGACTTCATGAAAAATCTGTCAGAATAAGCTTACAATAGTCAACTTAAAAGATGCACTTTTGTCTGATCAAAATACATTATATGTAATAAAGGTGCTAGTGGCATTGATATGATCTAAAATGTGTTTAACCTTGTAATTTATGCAATAAGATATCAATATATTAAAAAAAAAAAAATTTTTTTTTTACTGTTCTATTATATAATTTTTTATTTTTTTTGTAATATATTAATATTTTATTGCATAAATAACAAGGTTAAACACATTTTAGGTCAAATCAATGTCACTAGCACCTTTGATATGTAATATGTATACATTAATGAAGTGTGGTAACTTAAAAATACATTGCAATAGGAAAATAAATCATCAGGTTTCTCTTGGATTTAAATTTGCAGGACATCTGAACAGATATTTAGTCAAATTATATTGACATGCCAAAGCCAGATTCTAAGATATTTCCGTTCTTCAAGGTCAGTATCTCGCTTTTACTAGTAGAGATGAGATATTGCCCAGACACAAAATAGTACAACATCTCTTGCGCAGTACAATTAGTTGGACTTAACCGATATGTTACAATTTTTAATTGGACCAAGACAATTTTTAGCAGTCATGTCGGACAGTCCTGAGCATTTCACAAAGCCTGCTTTAACCATTAAAATTTTGTAATTGAAACTTTAATTAATTCATGCAATGCCCCTGTTTTTACCATTAATTAAAACGTTGCCAGTAATGAAACAATGTCAAAATATTTGATACCTGCAATGAGCTGTAAAATTCCACACAGCTTGAGAACTATTCTTGGTTTCAAGAACAGGAACAACAACATACAAATGATGCTGAAGATGAAGAGTAAGGATGCACCACCAACCAGGAAACTCGATGCTTGAAAATATTCATTCTGGATTGTGTTGAAATCAAGGAAATCACCGGTACACTTGTAGTCAGATCCTTGAACACGCTCACAAATTTCATACAATCCAAAATATCCGACGCCAGGACTTTCTTTGGTGTCTCCAAACCAAAACGGCTGAATGAAGGCAACAATGTTCAAAATAGTGTAACAAGCAGAAAACACAAACCAAGCCACAGTTATTGCTCTAGAATTCCTGACATAGTTGGTGTGTTGGATTTTAGTGACTTCTGCGTTCCATTCCATTTCCCTTTGATCCATTTTGAATTATATCTGCCCTTCTTACAGTATCGAAAATGTTTTGGGTGGGTTTTCTAAAAACACCTGTACTGTCTTCCCTTTTAACAGGTATATCTATTTTTAGACCTGTCAAACGGGTTTGGTTTTGGACTGGTCCTGAATTTTCAACAGCAAGTGTGTAGAGAAATGACTTCTCCCTTGTAATATACTGTATGTTTGTCTTAATTTAAATATCAACATTTTTAAATGATACAAAAATTATTGATTTGGCGTCAAAATCAATCCATATTCTTTGAAGAATACAAATTTCTGAGATAAACTTTTCTTTTTTTTCAATTAGTAACTTTCAGTTATAAAAATAAATTACGGTAAACGTACCTTAAGAAAGTATACTTTCGCTATTAAACTACCCGTCGAGGCAAATTAGATTGCACAGTCTATCAAGGACTACTTTTGAGCTCCACAAAGAATAGAAATTATTCTTAGATATTTTATTCACTGGTCATTTCCAATATAGATTTGATTTTAGCTTAATTCAGTCCAATATTTATTAAATTTTACTGCTTTTTTAATGGAAAAAAATCATCTGACAGTAGACTTGAGCTCATTAATTTGTTTTTTGCTTATGTCGCGTAGTAATCCCCACGCCTTTGCAAATTATTATCGATAGGCAAGTGAATGCCTTACAGGAAAAAACTTAAGTCTTTTTGGTGTTTTGCAAATTATGAAGCGATCACCCAAAGTAGGGATGGTTCGCCTATTAGCAAACGATCCCGATCCTTATCCTAGTTAGAGCAATGATAGCAGAAGGACAGATTAACACCAGAAATGGACAGGCCGTGGAGGTTCAAGAATAAAAACCCTACCCGTGGAGTTTTTGACGACGAGTTAGATCGCCCTCGTGCTAAATATAGGACGATAGATATGAACCCGATTACCTTTCCCCCCCGATTCCTAGAACCGAAACTAGAAAATCCTGAGTATAGATCACTTTGTGTTAGTGGTGTGTCAAGCAAAGTTCCTGATAGAATTCTTAAAAGACCAAATGTATAGAGAATTTGAGAAGTATGGAGAGATGAATGTGAACATTACGTACAATGCTGATCAAAGAGTTGCTTACATAAACTTTAAATATCCTGAAGATGCCAGAGCAGCTAAACATGATAAATATGGAAAATTAGTTGTATTTGATAGGCCTGTACGGATAGAGTCTGTGTATAATAAAATACGAAGTTCAAGTCCGCCACCACCAACTGCTGGTTATCCTGAAAGAAATCATTTTCCAGGTGGAGGGCGTGGCTATCATCATGACCCAATTGGGAGGGGATATCCAGGTCCTCCTGTTCCACCACATCCAGGGCCTGGTAGAGATTTTCATGGACCCCCTCCTCCATTTCGTGATTTTCACGGACCCCCAGATCGTCCCTTTGGGGGCCCCCCAAGGGAAAGGGGGTTTTTACCTAAACTTTGCACCGGGAAGCAAAAAATTTTCCTCATCATTTAGACCAGTCCCCCAGAAAAATCCAAACCCCAACAAAAAACACTTTTTAAATGGGAAATTTGTTTATAATATTCAAAACCCAAAAATACGTAGTTTTTTGGGAAACATTTGGACCTATTGAAAAATTTACATAAAAAAACCACAAAAGGTAAAGGGCCCAATAATACCCCTTTTTTGAAATATTCCCAATCTTATATGGCTAAAAGGGCGGAAAGGGGAAATGTCGGGGAAATATTTTGGACGATTTAAATAAAAATTTTGGTTTTTGGAAAAAATTTAAATCCACAAGTTTTTTAGGGGAAAGGTGGGGGACCAGGGGAAATCAAAAAACACGGGAAATGAATTTGATAAATTTGGTGTTATTCACAGAATTGAGTGGCCGCATGGCAAAAATTATGCTTATGTTGTGTATTTTAAGTTTTTGCACCCTCAAGCAGTTTAAAAAATAAAATGAGGGGTTTTTTTTTAGGGGAAAAGAAAAGAAATAAATTGCCCTTTGCTGATCCAAGTCTTTTGGTTAAAAAATATAGTTTGTTTGCATCCACCACCAAGAAAACTATGGCCAAATTGATTAAACCGAGATTTTGATGGTCCTCCAAAAGGGATAATTGGGCTCGTTAGAATACTTATTTAGGTCGTTTGACAGAAGACGAATGATTGGATCTCAGGGCGGAGCCAGAAATGGTTTCAGGACACCCCAGGGCCGGAGGTGATTATATGATTCAGGACGGTCTTCCCTGGAGATCCCAAAACACGAGGCACCTGAAAAACTTATGACCTGGTGAACACTATAAAGAGACCGTAGAAGGGAAATTATTCCCCACCACAAAAGGGGAACTATCCGGAGGTCCCAAATCACCTTGATGATATTTTGCCCTCTTGTTAATGTGTTTCATTGGCGAGTTTTAGCTTAAAGGGATTCCTGTGGCATGGAATGTTTTGCATTTTTAAAATCCCAGTGATTTCCTAAGAATCTTTGGAAGTGGTAATGTAACTATAGTTGATACTCTTATGAGAGACCCAACCAGTACAGAAACACCAGCTTTGACTATCAAACAGCGTCTAAGGCTTGATCCTAGTAAAACTGATGATGTTCAGAAACGTGTAGTGCAGTCTGGTCCTAGAAATCACTGTGTTTTGATAGCATTTCCAAGTACATTGGACAATTTTGATGACCCTGGTAGAAACATTCAACAGAGGCCATTAAAGAATCTTGTGTCATATCTTAAACAAAAAGAAGCGGCAGGTGTCATCAGTTTGCCTCCATACCCAACCAAGGATAAAGATAATGTTGGCCTACTCCATGCATTTCCACCCTGTCAGTTTGGTTATGAGTATCTACTGCAGAGAGCTCCAAAATTACCCGCAGATTGCATGCTTGATGACTACATTGTTGTTGTTGTAGTTCGTGGTGCAGCTTAGCTTTATGAATTTTAGAGGGATTTTTTTTTTGGATTTTATTTTTTATTTGATTTGAGTAAATTTAAATACCATTTACATAAATATTGCCTATGTATCATTGTATGAAATAATGAATTAACCATCATTACATTATGCATTTTTGAAGATAAACTGAATCTTTAGTAAGGTCATTTTACCATTGTACTTCTTTTTTTATCATTTTTTTTTCTATTGAATTCAGAGGTTGATTTAAGTCGATTGTCTTACCTACATTTTGGAATATTTTTTTTTTTACAATGTATAAAATGCCTGTACCACAGGGCTAGAATTTAACATTTTCTTGCTCTACTTTGCAAATTTTTGATGGAACTTTTTAACTTGCAAAACCCAAAATAAATTTGCATTTTTTTCAGCAACATTTTTTATTCACATGTATTACTGTATTATTATATTTTTGTCTTGACTGTTTATTGTGCATCATCAAAAATGAACACATAACATTTTTACTTTATTTCAATTTCATATTGTTAAAAATTGATATCAATTTATGCATACAATATATTTACATTTTTATATTTGCAAAAATTTGTGAGTTTTAGAAAGAAAACTGAGTACATGTACTAGAATTTTACATTTTTACTTGGTATTTTGAAAGTTTGCAAGTGTTAAATTCAACCCCTGTGACCAGAACTTAATCATTTTTGTATATCATTTTTCACATGGCAAAATGTTCATGTGGTTGTTATGATGTATTACTAATTTACCTAAAGAAAGCTCTGTTTTTATCACGTGTTTACATTTAATTCTTTATAAAACAAAATCTTGGTGGGAAAACCGAATCACTGTGTCATTTATTGTGAGTATAAACAGGTAGATATGCATAATTAATTGCAAGCACATTTTGTTACTTATGATCACTGTATGATTTACTGCAAGCTGTCTTAAATTAACTTTTTACTTAAACTTGTATCATTTCTTGTGAGCACAGGAAGAAGATGCGTTTACAATGTTGGATTATTTGATTAATTTGATTTTTCCATATCTATGTAATTTGCGATCTTCTTGGAAAAGATGGCTTATAGTTTATTGATGAGAAACTCAATGATAGGAAGTAAAGAATCTGGTTGATGAATGTAGGGTACATCATTATCAATACATCATATCATAACTATCAATACATTATAAGTCATAAGTTCAGGCTGCATAAGTTTCTAAAGCCTCTGTAACCATATTGGTTACATCTGGTCAAATTTGTAAATTATAGGATTCTTCGCAAATTGAAACCTATTATTTCAAGTATTGAATTGAAGCTAGTCGAAATGAAAACAATGTGTAATAGTCTAAGGCTATAGTACTATACTTATTTTTTTTCTAATTATATGATTAGATTAGATTTCAATCTGGCACTGTCCATTTATTTCACTTTGATGTATATTTATGACAGACCAGGACATTTTAGGTGGATACTTTGTGAAATATTTGTCCACTACCAAATGTAGCCTGTTTGTTTATTGTATATATTAACTTAAGATCTTCTTTTGATTATTGTTCGCTAAGCTCTTAGAAGGCTTGTAGTTCATAGGTTGGCATAGATTAACTTTATTAATAAGAAGTAAGCTTTTGTTGAATTATTTGTAACAAAGCTTGATTATATGGAACTTTTTCTCGTTGCATGGTAAAGTGGATATAATCTGAGGCTGAGCAGGGTGTTCACTAGCCATGAAATCCTGAGGGTCATTTAGACAAAGTTTCACCAATTATAAGGCCAAATCCCCATGATTTTAACAAAATTTGACCCTCCAGTTAAAATCCTGAGGGTCAAATCAGGTCTTTAGGAAATTTGAAGTCTCAAAGAGTCATTTCAGGGGTCAAACGGACATCTCCATTATTTAACTTGTTTCTGATTAAATTTTGCTATGTGAATAAAATTCTCAGAATCAACTTGCATAAATGCTGATATACCTTAGAATAAGGTTCTTCTTGAATATCTTATACATATATAATAATGCATTTTGTGCCATTAGTTTAACAGAAGCCAGAATTTTGATAAAGATATTACTGTACCAAGTATGTAACCATTTAATCTTAACTTGGTCTCGGGTCTTAACAGGCTTTCATAACTATTTGTTTGTTCACATGATACATGTATCTTTTCTTTGATTAGGAAAACTGCTTCATGTTTGTGTAAATTTTCTATGTATGTGTATTGATCACAGATTGGTTTGTTTCATATAAAACATATCTATTGAGAGTTGTACAATACTGTACATAGGCTTCGGAAGATATTTTTAAGCTAGGGTCTAAGGTGAAAAGTTAAGGTAGGACGGGTGTTCTGGACTTTGTTGACCAATATGATTTACAAATGTTTGTTTTGTTGTTTTTCTTACAACTATTTGTGAATTCAATATAAATGATGTAAGGCATTTGTTTTAGATTGTTTCAGCCTTATTTTTGATCTGTTTAGTGAAGGGGTTCTGTCGGCTAATAATCCTGACTCTTGTTAAGGACAGTTCATGCTTTAATAGTTTAATTGACTTTCTTTTGAACAGTTTATAGATCTTTTTCAAAATTGTGACTTGCTTTTGTTTTGTTCAAATTCTTGGTTGATACCTGAACATGTAAAATAACCTTAAGAATATTCTAGGCTCTGATTAAAGGGCTATGTCCTGTTTTAAGCTCCTCTTGGTTTTTGTATTTTCTCTGCACTTCTTTAATTTTTGTCTCATCATTTTTTATGTCAAAAAATCATGTGAAATGATCTAGTCTTCAGTTAATACTGAGCACTGTTTTATAATTTTTTTAACAGCACATTGATTTGTTAATCTGTGTTTATTTCAGGATGTGTTTAACACTTTTAAAACTGATAAAATTTGTAAGAATTTTTACTGAAGAATTTACACCAAAGTTGGGCAATAGCAGTTTATGAAGTTGAACAGTTTGTTTTTTAAAAGAACATAAAACCATACATATGTGAGCAATATGTTGCCATTATTGCCAATTTGTTGTTTTGATATTTATTCTAGAAAACATTGCATAATTATGTTTTGGATGATGTAAAGATAAGAGAATGTACATATATTTTTTATGACACTGTAATAGCTATTGAAGATCAAATTATTTATATGAGCCGCGTCACGACAAAACCAACATAGTGGGTTTGCGACCAGCATGGATCCAGACCAGCCTGCGCATCCGTGCAGTCTGATCAGGATCCATGCTGTTCGCTATCAGTTTCTCTACTTGTAATAGAGTTGGTAAGCGAAACAAGCATGACCTATCAGATTGGCAAGGCGCGGCTGGTTCTGGATTCCATGTGGTCACAAAAACCCACTATTTTTTTCATGACCGGCTCAATTATATAAAAATTTTAATGCAAAAAGAAGTTTAATTAACAGTTCTGAAACATTATTTAATGTATTGAAAATTTTCTTTTTTTGAGAAGGTTTTAGTTTATGTTTTAGCTGAAGAGACATGACTGTTGTCTTGTAAAGCACAAAGTGACATGAAGTTGTGTTGATAGAGGAAGAAGAAGCCTGCTTATTATACCTGGTAAATTATGATCGTTTATATTAAACAAATCAACAAATTAAGCCCAGAGAATATTATTGCTTTTTAAACTGCATCTTTGTAAAGAAGTTGTCAAGATTTATTGTTATTGTAAGTTTTGTTAACCTGTAACCTGTTGAATTTGTGTAATAGAAATAACCTGTTTTGAGTCTACAAACAGATAGAGTCTGGTCAGACTGCCACAGCAAATTTGTTTTATTTTAAAAACATTTTAAGAAGTTCATCAGTTATAGTAAAAAAAATTCTTAATAAGCCTGATTATGAATTTGTGCTTCAGTGCATTTCATGTCATTGACATTTACTCTATTGTTTCTATCTTTCAGGGTTTTACATTGGCCAAGCTATGGCACAAAGATGACACAGACTTTATTCACAAAAGGAATTGTGTTCTTGAGAAGGAGTTGGAAAAACTTGTGTTTTAATGAAAGAAAGTTTGCTAGAATCTTAGTTTTTCTTTGTGTTTGAACTACAATTTTGTAGTCACAACAAAAGTGTTGGAACTGTTATAGTGTGTTTTAAAAAAAACTTACTTTAAAGCAGGATGTGAAAGTTGGAGTGGAAGTTGTTGGGAATCATTTAAAAGATGTGTATTAATCATCATTGTTGTGTGCATAGTAATTATGGAAAACATATTGTTTTTGTTCATTGTGTGTATTAAAATGTGTTGACCACTGCATTATACCTGACCAGGCAAGATCTAGTGGAAATTCCATCAAAAAATTCAGATGTTTTATATATAAAAAAATTAATTGTGCATGGACGTAGTGTTAATAATAAGAGATAACATGTGTAATTTTAGGGTAGATTAATTGATTGTTTTAATTTCATGAAACTGTTACACTTTCAAGTTCTACTTGTGAATGAGGAAACGTTGATTTTAGAAAAAAGGAAATATTCTTGATGTGCCATGATGAGTTTTAACTTAAAGGGGGGACAAGTGTTACTTTTAGTGGGGATTTTTCAATGGTGTAATGCTGTGAGTCATAATTGAAGACATGTATTTAGATACTAGCTTACCCTCTGTACTTTATTCTAAGAGCTTTATTCAATTTTGTATCATGTGCTGCTGTATAGCAATTCATTGGAATGAATAAGTAGAAAAACTAACAAAATAAACCCTCTTGAAATAGTTGTGATTGTTATTCAGTGCCATTAAACAGTGTGTCTGTCCAATCAACAAGCCAAACTCTGTGCTCAATTTCATGTGTCAATATCAGATCTATTTATACCTCAGTGTGATTTTGTGTCAACGATAAGTTTTTTATACCCCAATACATATATATTAAGGAAAGTGTTCAAATTTGAAAATATTGTGTTCAGTTTGTGAAAAAAAGTTGGAGGCATAATTCCAAAGGTGAAGTGATAGTGAATTTGTTTATTGCATCAATAAGTTTGATGTGAAAGGAAATAGTAATTCACTATTTTGTATTTCCAAGTGAACAGGTTACACGGTGTGCAATCTCATGATAATAAGGCTGTGATATCTTACCCATCTGTGGGGTTCAAATTATTTTTTCTTTTGGCTAGAAAGTTTTAAAACAAACCCAAACATATTCACCCCCCCCCCCACACATTTCATCATTTGTGAGATTGCTGGCGAAAAGAATATTGCAGAATTTGCCAGAAAGGCTAGAATTGATTGCAGATTACTGTTTTGAATTGTTCAAAATATCTGTGCCAAAAGAAGTCGATGGTGTCAACTTTTTGTTGACTAATGTGTGAAACAAGTGCCAAATAACTTGATCTCAAATACTGTTAATTGTATTTATGAGAGAATGAGATGTAATGTTTTCTCTCTCTCCATTTACCTGCCATACTGTCTTGCTTTATTCAGCAAGACATGTTAGTTATTGAACTATATTTACAGAATTTGTTATGATTTCTGTCTAACAGAGTTTAGTTTTGGAGAAAAAAATAAAAAAAGCACTACATATAGATTAAGTTTTCATCTTGGCAAAATTATTTTGACTTCAAGTTTAGGATAACCCCAGTTCATATTTTAATGCCCTCGGATCTATAGATCGGGAGGGCATATTGTTTTTGGCTCGTTTGTTTCCTCACAAAAACTTTAAATTTATCTTATAAAAGAAATTTTTCCATCTTCATAGTTTCATGGGATTTTATTTGCCCCTTTCCCCAAACCCGGGCCCTCTTGTAGGAACAAGGGCAAAAGGGGTTTAAGAGTTTTTTAACCTTGAACCCTTTTGAAAATAAAAATTTCAACCCCTTGCTATAAAAAAAATTAAATTTCCCCTTTTGTAAAAATTTTCAGGGGTATTCACCTTTTAAATTGGGAAATTTCCTCATGGGTTTTAGGTTTGTTTTCCTTTCCCAAGGGGCTTTGTATTTTTTGGAGGCTTTCCAAAGGGCAAATAGTTTACTTTCCTTTTTTTTAGTGCAGGGGCACACTTTGTCTTTCTCCCCCTAGTAAAGCTGGGAAAAGCCAATGTATCCCCGGGTTGTGTTTGGTCGACATTAAACCTAATCTTACAAGTATGCAGTTCGATATGCTCTGACCATTACAGGTCTTGGAGTCAATATTAAGCATGGTCATAATATGATAAAAGTCCTTCTATATATAACCTTTCTGCATATGTATGCAACTTGATGCACTCAACCCACCAAAACCAAATTATAGGTCATATGGTTAAAACTCAAGGTCTCTGTGACCAAGAAAAGCTTATATTTACTCTGGTAACATAAAATCAAAAGTATACTAGTACATGTATATGGACCTTCATAAACTATATTGTACCTGGCAGGCACACTTTTAAAGTCAAAGGTCAAGGCATGGATACAAGTTTTTAGGCTTTTGAAGTTTAGGTTAATTATACTCCTGAAAGTTCCCATTTCCAATATATAAAACAAATTAAAATAAGGCTGAATAAATTCAGGGTTTTCAGTTTTTAGCTTACCTGTCACAAAGTGACATGGTGAGCTATTGTGATCGCTTTTCGTCCGGCGCCCATCCGTAAAATTTTACATTAAACAACAGCTCCTCTTAAACGGCTAAGCCAATTTCATCCAAATTTCACAGGAATGTTCCTTTGGTAGTTAACTTTAAAAATTATTGAAAGAATTTAATTCCAAGCAGAACTCTGGTTGCCATGGCGGGGGGAGGGGGGATCATTGATTTTCCTTTTTTGTATATAGTATAAACTTAAAAAATCTTCTTTTAAAAAAACCCAAATAGCTAGAGCTTAGATATTAAGCATGAAACATCTTCTAGTGGGTGTCTACCAAGTTTGTTCAAATAAAAGCTCTTGGGTAAAAATTGGTCCGTCCCAGGGGGGTCATTGTTTTTCCCTTTATGTATATAGTAAAAATTTAAAAAGTTTTCTTTTATAAACCCCAAAGAGCTAGAGCTAAGATATTTTGCATGAAACATCATTTAATGGGTGTCTACCATGTTTGTTTAAATAAGGGCCCTTGGGTAAAATTGGCCCCGGATTTTCTCTGTATATGTTTATAGTAAAAACTTAAAAAATCTTCTTATAAAAGATATTTAGCATGAAATATCTTCTAGTGAGTGTCTACCAAGTTTGTTCAAATAAAAGCCCTGGGGTTCAAAATTGGCACCTCCCATGGGGAGGGGGAGGGGTTATTGTTTTTCCCTATATGTATATAGGAAAAAATTGAAAAATCTTATAAAAACCCAAAAGAGCTAGAGCTTAGATATTTATCATGAAACATCTTCTAATGGGTGTCTACCAAGTTTGTTCAAATAAAAGTGCCTCGTTTAAGATTGACCTTTGCTCAGGGGTCTATATACAGGTGAGCGATTTCAGGGCCATCATGACCCTCTTGTTTATGGTCCCTGAAGGAAGAGCATAGTCGCTGCTTTGTCCAGGACATAACTCTGAAATTACAAGAGGCATCAACAAGAAACTTTGTAGGTGGATAGGTCTCATTGAATAGAAGTGCACAATCCTGCCTCGTCTTATTTTGGAGTTATTGCCCTTTGTTCATTTTTAAACTTTGTCTGGGACATAGCTCTGAAACTAAAGGAGATATGAACAAGAAACTTAGGTAGATAGATCTCATTGAGTAGATGTGCAGTGCAAAAGAACCGTAACTATGCCTTGTCAAATTTTGGAGTTATTGCCCTTTGTTCATTAACCAGGTTTTCCGAAGGAAAAAACTGGTTATTAGATTGAGGTATGTCGGCGGGCGGGCGGGCGGACGGACGGGCGGGCGGGCGTAAACAATTTCTTCTGTGCGCAACTCCTCCTACATTTCTCAACGGATTTTGACCAAACTTTCACAGAAGCTTTGTCATCAAGTGCCCTGGCGCATATTGTCGGGGTTTTGCGATTAGATAATATTTGACCTAATTATGGCCCTTTGTTTTTTTTCCTTATATAAAATATATAGTGAACAATTTCTTCTGTGCGCAACTCCTCCTACATTTCTCAACGGATTTTGACCAAACTTTCTCAGAAGCTTTGTCATCAAGTGCCCTGTCACATATTGCCAGGGTTTTGCAATTGGTATATATTTGACCTAATTATGGCCCTTTGTTTTTTTTCCTTATATAGAATATATAGTGAACAATTTCTTCTGTGCGCAACTCCTCCTACATTTCTCAACGGATTTTGACCAAACTTTCTTAGAAGCTTTGTTATCAAGTGCCTGGCACATATTGTCGGGGTTTTGTGATTGGATAATATTTTTGACCTAATTATGGCCCTTTGTTTTTTTTCCTTATATGAAATATATAGTGAACAATTTCTTCTGTGCGCAACTCCTCCTACATTTCTCAACGGATTTTGACCAAACTTTCTCAGAAGCTTTGTCATCAAGTGCCCTGTCACATATTGCCAGGGTTTTGCAATTGGTATATATTTGACCTAATTATGGCCCTTTGTTTTTTTTCCTTATATAGAATATATAGTGAACAATTTCTTCTGTGCGCAACTCCTCCTACATTTCTCAACGGATTTTGACCAAACTTTCTTAGAAGCTTTGTTATCAAGTGCCTGGCACATATTGTCGGGGTTTTGTGATTGGATAATATTTGACCTAATTATGGCCCTTTGTATATTTTTTCCTTATATAAAATATATAGTGAACAATTTCTTCTGTGCGCAACTCCTCCTACATTTCTCAACGGATTTTGACCAAACTTTCTCAGAAGCTTTGTCATCAAGTGCCCTGACACATATTGCCAGGGTTTTGCAATTGGTATATATTTGACCTAATTATGGCCCTTTGTTTTTTTTTCCTTAAATAGAATATATAGTGAACAATTTCTTCTGTGCGCAACTCCTCCTACATTTCTCAACGGATTTTGACCAAACTTTCTTAGAAGCTTTGTTATCAAGTGCCTGGCACATATTGTTGGGGTTTTGTGATTGGATAATATTTGACCGAATTATGGCCCTTTGTATATTTTTTCCTTATACAAAATTTATAGAGAACAATTTCTTCTGTGCTCAACTCCTCCTACATTTCTCAACGGATTTTGACCAAACTTTCTTAGAAGCTTTGTTATCAAGTGCCTGGCACATATTGTCGGGGTTTTGTGATTGGATAATATTTGACCGAATTATGGCCCTTTGTATATTTTTTTTCCTTATACAGAATATATAGTGAAACAATTTCTACAGTGCGCAACTTCTCCTACATTTCTCAATGGATTTTGACCAAACTTTCACAGAAGCTTTGTCATCAAGTGCCCTGGCGCTCACTAAATTCCCATGTTTCTTCCAAGACATCATTCAAGTATTTTTTTAAAATTGTGAACATACTTTTCTTGATATCGCACAAAACACCACACGCCAATATTGTTGACAAAAGAAAATGACAAGAGACGCAAAAATGCAAAAATTAAGCAAAAATAAAGTACTGTTTACCTTTCTAAAATATTTGGGAAAAAAAGGCGAATAGACAACATAAAATTTCTCAATCATTTTTGTTTGAGGAATATTAAAAAAGCCATAATTCCTCCTAAAAGTTCAATTAAAAACAAATGCCCCTTCATGACAAAGCTTCTGTGAAATATTTTGCTGAAAACCTGGTTGCATCGCATTGCGATGTTCCTTGTTTTTATGCTGGCTTTATGCTCCATAAGAGGGGAAATGTCTGGGAGTAGGACTGGACAGTCAGGTGTTTTGACTTCATATAAATTGGTGTGATATATTATTGATATGTCTGTGGCATGGTTACAGGTGTATCGGTGAAGTTTGCAGTTTGGCATTTTGTTCACTACTAGTCTTACTACAAGATCTTTGATGGAAAATTTGCCTAGATAGGTGCCTTTTTGTTGAGAGAGACATTTAAGTTCAACAAGCACACATTTAAATCATTACATGATGAAATTTTGTAATGTACTTGCCTATCTTTAAATTTGGTACAGTTTATGATTTCAATATTGAAATAGAAAAATCCAGCTTATCAAAAGTAAAGTGTCTTGTCAGACTGAATGGATGTGCAAACTGGCCTGGTTCTACATGAATAATGTTGGTAAAGATAATGACAGGATGTTAGCAGACTGATTATGATTTTTTTAGCTCACCTGAGCTGATTCAGGGTAAGCTTTTAGGATCGTTGAATGTCCGTCGTCTGTCCACATTAAGTTGGTTAACACTAGTTGTCACATTTTTGCCTCAATTGTCAGCGAACTTGGCCAGGATGATTGTCCAAGAAATTACTTTAGTTCAAACATGGGTTATCTCAGATGAAAAACTAGGTCACAGGAGTAAAAAAAAGAAAAATCTTGCTGACACTAGAGGTTTCTATTTTGCTCCAAATATATAGGAAATTGGTCAAAGTTTGTTTTGATGATTTCCAGCTCAAGTTCAAATATGGGTCACTTGGGGTCAATAGGTCAACCCAAATATGGGAAAACCTTGTAAACACTCCAGATACTATTGTTTTGGTCGAAATATCCTGGAAATTTGTCAGAAAGGTTGGTTTGATGATTTCTAGCTCTAGTAGGAATATGGGTCATCTGTGGTTCAAAACTAGGTCACACAGCCCGAATATGGAAAAACCTTGTTTACTGTTTCGTCCAAATTTATTGGAAATTTGTCAGAAAGGGTGTTTTGATTATTTCTAGCTCAAGTTCGAATATTGGTCATCTGTAGGCAAAAGCTAGGTCACTCAGTCCGAATATGGGAAAACCTTAACACTACAGGCTACTGTTTGTGTTCAAGTGCCCTGGAAATTGGTCAAAAAGGTTGTTTAGATGGTTCATAGGTCATATGGGTCAAAAACTAGGTCACTCAGTCCAAATATGGGGAAATATTTACATCACAAAGGTAATAGTTTAAGCCCAATTATCCTGCAAATTGACAGGAAGATGATTTGTAGCTCTAGTTCAAATATGGTCATCTGGGGTAAAAGTTAGTTCTTACATAGAAAAAATGGAGAAAACAGTGTTATCAACCTGGAGGTTACAGTTTTTAGCCAAATATCCTGGAAACTGGCCAGAAAGGTTGTTTGTATTATTTCTAGTTCAAGTTTGAATATGATCATCTGTGATCAAAGATAGGTCACAGTATGTAAAAAGACATACATGTATATAGAAAAACTTTTGACCGTTTTTAGGTGCATCTATATGTAATGATATCAGTTTAAGATTATGGCACTATATCTGCTTTTCTTTCATTGCTAACAATATTAATTCAGAGCTTTAAGAATCAGGTGAGCGATATATGGGCCATGGTGGCCATCTTGTTATGATTGTTTGATGTCCAGGAGCCCATCCATCCACTTCATCAAAGATGTTCCAAACACCATGGGAAATGAAGATAAAGAGGCGATTAGATGCGTTCGAATAACTGGAGTCTATGCATCTTTTAGCTCAAGCCGGTGGGGTTGGTTTTGGCCCCTTGTGTTGCTTTAAGTTTGTAACACCCAAGTTTAGTCAAAATCATCTTTCCTGTTTCGGCGCCATATGACCTAAATTATGTTGATCGCCGTAAAACCAAACAGTCTTGTTTGACTGTGTTATGCAGCAATATATAGGAAATCGTGTATCAAAATTTCTCAACATTTACTTTTAAAAAAACTATCAGGTATGCCTTCGGGCGTACATTGCCCGGCATACGGAGCTCTTGCTTAAACTATAATTCATTACTTAGTTAATTGTGACTCCTTTAAAAGGCCAAAATTGAAATATTTTGCCTCGTCTGCACGATAGCAAATTTGTATTAAATAAACAAAATACATAGAAATCGTTTCACCGGGAAGATTTCGTATTATGTACAGAGTTGCTTTACATAATTAAATGTCAACAACGGTAAATGAATGATATCTGAAACTCTTCAAATGTGCCAGGGATACAGTAAGCTATTTGGCATGTAGCATTATTTAGTGTTCGTTGAACTTATGGCCCAGGTCAGTATTGTATATAACAACATGGTCCGTGACCGAGTGGTTATAAGGTCATTGACTTCAAACCACTTGCCCCTCACCGCTGTGGGTTCGAATTCCGACAGTGACTTTGGATTCTTTCATGTAAGGAAGCTATCTAGCTAGCATATGGAATGTCGGTTGTTCTACTCAAGTGCCTGTTCGTGCCTGAAATAATGCACGGAGGGGCTCCTGAAGTCTTCCCCTGCCAGTAAAGCTAGAACGTCGCCATATGACCTATACTGTGTCGGTGTAAAGTAAAACCAAAACAAAAAACAAATGCCAAAAAGATCATATTCGTCTATAGTGAAAATCTTTGTCATAAATTTTTGTTATTTATAGATTTTGTTTCATTTGCCGCACAATATTCAAAATTGCCATCTACGCAACCACCGCCCAGCAGGGGCTTCTCGTGTTGGTAATCGCTATTGACCCACCATTAGCGGTTTTCTCGTGTTCCATGTATGGACATAGTATAATATTGAAACCCCCAAGAAAAGTCTTCTTTCACAACAGCGCTGTTTCGGTATATAGTCTAGAATGTCCAGAGGTTGTTCAAATCATGACCCTAAAAAAACATATATGAATTCCTCGTTCTTGAAAGTTTCCAACATAAGTTCTTTAATAGGAAAATAATTATTTTCAAGGAAACATTTATACATGTAAAAAATAAGTGCAGTTAGTGTAGGCAATCAGAATCACCTTATGAAAAGCAATTTTTTCAAGCCCTTTTTGTTTTGGCTCAAGCATTAAAATGACATAATCTGAAAGTAACTGGTGTCATTTTTTCTTAAACCACACCGCTTAAGCTTGTGTTCTTGAAAATCGTGACATTAAATACTGATGCAGAAAAAATAGAAATCCATATGAAAACTTTTTAATTGATTACTTCACAACATTAGACAAACAATGTACAGTAACTACAGAGAAGATCATTGAAAATATTAAGGCCTTCATTTAAAACAAAGGTTATCTGAAAAATTTGTCATGTAAGTTATTCTGGTTCACTCAAAACATATAATTCCCTACATACATGTGCTTTTTTTTAAAAATTGATTTGTCTGTCCAAGCATATCGTTGAATTAAAAAGAAATAAAATGATGTGATTCGGACTGCCTTAGATTCGGATTGCCTACACATAATGTACGTAGATCAGATTGATTACGCGATACCGCATAACTTTGTGATCTGCGTTGATCTGCGTTTGAACATACACAATATAACAAATAGAAAAGACGATTCAAGTAGTTTCTTCCATAACTATATCGCTTCCTCATTCTAGTGTGAAAATATTTTCTTGTTAAATATCGACATTTTTCGAATAATCACGGGATTTCACTTCACGAAAACCTCATTGTACCCGAAGGATAAGACAATGTTTGAATCACTAGAATATATCCAATGTAAAAAAAAATATTTGCGTTTGTTTGTTTTGTTGTTGTTTTTGTTTTATGTAATTACAGCATAAAGGTCAACTAATTTAAGGAGCGATACACTTTTTATTAATTAAAGTATTTTCACGTGCAAGTCTATGAGCACATAGTTTTCTTAAGTTGTGTCTTATTTTTAACAAAGGATTTCTAGATGTCTATTTACGCTTAATGTACACAATTATCATAAAATGTTTTTAATTCAAAGAAATTGTTCTTTTTCAACCCATGTTGAACACATTGATTGACTTGGTAATACAATGAAATTTTAGTATTTATATCTAGATACAAAAATCCGTAAGTGTGCATTATGCGCTGATAGTAACTTGTTGCCAATATAACTTCTGTTTTCTAATCTAATCATTACACGGATATCATCTGGTCCAATCAGAGGTTTCACAAGACGAAACATGGCTGAAATAAAAGAAAATGGAATGTATTTAAAATTATTTTATACATGCGGTGGCTGAACTGAGCTAGCTGTGGTATATATTTCAAAATGGCTTGCTGCCGTGATCCGGAGTGAAAAGTACCAACCACATATTTTTATAACTCAGTAAAATAAGTATGGCGCGGAGACATTCTGCGCATCTTTTTTTGCACATAACGACGAGAATGCGCTAGTACGAGAGGTCGTCCTTATTTTGTCTTTATACTGGAATACTCGCTTAGACTTACTCTCACCTTCTTTTGAGCATGCAAACCCCTTAGAAAATTAAATATTGCTTGGCAGGGACAATGTCACACCAAGTATTCGTCTCCTTTTAAATGCATATGTACCATTCTACATGTACCAACTTCTTGTACTTGTATCTCTCTAATTATGTAACTCATTTTACCTAAAGGCACATATATTATGCCTCAGAAATCTTTTTGTATAATATTTAGAAATTTCAAACATGTGCTTAATTATTAATGTTTAAATAATGGAATATAAGTGCATGAAAAAGAGTAGCACTGAACATGCAGTTATATGTGTCACAAAGGTAGCAAAATGTAAACAAAGCAGTATCTTCATTTCCATACTAAATACTAATTCACTTTAATTATATACCAATTGCCAACAGAATTAAAGATACAAAAGATAGTTCGTGTATATAGCAAATGAGTATGGTACTGGAAACTATAACAAGATACCAAATATAACAGTTGTTGAGAAATAAAAAAAAAACATTTCTGAGGCATAATGGACCTTTAAAACCATCATACAATATACATGTATCACCTTCCACAAAAATATTTTACCCATATCTACCACGACATTATTAAACATTTTACCTGTATGTCTACCGTACACTTTATACCCGACAGTATGAAACAACGAACCCCATTCTCCCATCACAAGATTGTTAAATAACTTAATTACCCCATTCTCCCTTCACAAGATTGTTAAATAACTTAATTACCCCATTCTCCCTTCACAAGATTGTTAAATAACTTAATTACCCCATTCTCCCATCACAAGATTGTTAAATAACTTAATTACCCCATTCTCCCATAACAAGATATTGTTAAATAACTTAATTACCCCATTCTCCCATCACAAGATTGTTAAATAACTTACCCCATTCTCCCTTCACAAGATTGTTAAACAACTTACCCCATTCTCCCATCACAAGATTGTTAAATAACTTACCCCATTCTCCCATCACAAGATTGTTAAATAAATTAACAAGGAACATCGCAATGCGATGCAACCAGGTTTTCAGCAAAATATTTCACAGAAGCTTTGTCATGAAGGGGCATTTGTTTTTAATTGAACTTTTAGGAGGAATTATGGCTCTTTTAATATTCCTCAAACAAAAATGATTGACGAAATTTTATGTTGTCTTATTCGCCTTTTTTCCCAAATATTTTAGAAAGGTTAAACAGTAACTTTATTTTTGCTTAATTTTTGCATTTTTGCGTCTCTTGTCATTTTCTTTTGTCAACCAATATTTGGCGTGTGGTTTTTGTGTGATATCAAGAAAAGTAATGTTCACAATTTTAAAAATTCAAGATTGCATTTGAGAAAAAATGCTATGCCACCGCATTAATACCTAAAGCTCTAGGCCTTTGGGCATTTACAAGAAGGTTATTTTTAAGTTTTTGAAGCCTTGTACCTTTACCTACAGACAATAAGATTTTTTTATTTTTTCTACTATATGTATATATTGAAAAATCAAATGACCCCGGGGCGGGGCAATTTTGACCCCAGGGCGTATAATTTGAACAATCTTGCTAGAGGTTCACTACACAATGTTTCATGCAAAATATCTAACCTTCTAGCATTTGTCAATTGCTAGAAGAAATTTTTTTTAAAGTTTTTTACTATATACATATAACGAAAAACCAATGACCCCCGCGGCAGGGGCCGATTTTTGTGACCCCAGGGCTATAATTTTGAACAATCTGGGTAGAGGTCTACAACACAATGCCTTATGCTCTAGGCCTTTTGGGTCTTGTACAAGTAGGTATTTAAAGTTTTTACTATATGTACATATAGTGAAAAATCAATGACCCCCGGGGGCGGGGCCGATTTTGACCCTAGGGCTATAATTTGAACAATCTTGGTAGAGGTCTACCAGCAATGCCTTATGCAAAAATATCTAAGCTCTAGGCTATTTGGTCTTTACAATAAGGTATTTTAAGTTTTTACTATATGTACATATAGTGAAAAATTCAATGACCCCGGGGCAGGTGGCCAATTTTGACCCCAGGGCTATAATTTGAACAATCTTGGTAGAGGTCTACCAGACAATGCCTTATGCAAAATATCTAAGCTCTAGGCCTTTTGGGTCTTTACAAGAAGATTTTTTTAAATTTATTCTTATAATTCCTTTTTGCGTTGCCATGGCAACCAGATTTCTGCATGGAATGAAATTCTTTTGAACAACTTTGGAAGCCCTTCACCCAAGATCAATTCCTGCCAAGTTTGGTTGAAATTGGACTATTGGTTTTTCACGCAAGAAGATTTTTTAAGTTCATCTATATAATCTATATAACACACACACACACACAAACAAACACACACACACACAGTTGAATCGCTATATGCCACCGCATCGCAGATGCTGCGGTGGCATAAAAATACTTGAATGATGTCTTGGAAGAAACATGGGAATTTAGTGAGCGCCAGGGCACTTGATGACAAAGCTTCTGTGAAAGTTGGTCAAAATCCATTGAGAAATGTAGGAGAAGTTGCGCACTGTAGAAATTGTTCACTATATATTCTGTATAAGGAAAAAATATACAAAGGGCCATAATTCGGTCAAATATTATCCAATCACAAAACCCTGACAATATGTGCCAGGCACTTTGAATAACAAAGCTTCTAAGAAAGTTTGGTCAAAATCCGTTGAGAAATGTAGGAGGAGTTGCGCACAGAAGAAATTGTTCACTATATATTCTATATAAGGAAGAAAAAACAAAGGGCCATAATTAGGTCAAATATATACCAATTGCAAAACCCTGGCAATATGTGACAGGGGCACTTGATGACAAAGCTTCTGTGAGAAAGTTTGGCGTCAAAATCCGTTGAGAAATGTAGGAGGAGTTGCGCACAGAAGAAATTGTTCACTATATATTTTATATAAGGAAAAAAAAACAAAGGGCCATAATTAGGTCAAATATTTATCTAAATCGCAAAACCCCGACAATATGCGCCAGGGCACTTGATGACAAAGCTTTCTGTGAAAGTTTGGTCAAAATCCGTTGAGAAATGTAGGAGGAGTTGCGCACAGAAGAAATTGTTTACGCCCGCCCGCCCGCCCGCCCGTCCGCCCATCCGCCCGCCGACATACCTCAATCTAATAACCAGTTTTTTCCTTCGGAAAACCTGGTTAATTACCCCATTCTCCCTTCACAAGATTGTTAAACAACGTACCCCATTCTCCCTTCACAAGATTGTTGGCCAACGTACCCCATTCTCCCTTCACAAGATTGTTAAACAACTTACCCCATTCTCCCTTCACAAGATTGTTAAACAGCGTACCCCAGTCTCCCATCACAAGATTGTTCAACAACGTACCCCATTCTCCCATCACAAGATTGTTAAATAATTAATTACCCCATTCTCCCTTCACAAAGATTGTTAAACAACTTACCCCATTCTCCTTCACAAGATTGTTAAAAACAACTTACCCCAATTCTCCTTCACAAGATTGTCAAACAACTTTACCCCATTCTCCTTTCACAAGATTGTTAAACAACTTACCCCATTCTCCCTTTACTAGATTGGGTTAAAGCAACTTACCCCATTCTCCCCTTCACAAGATTGTTAAAACAACTTCCCCATTCTCCCTTCACAAGACTGTCAAACAACTAGCCCTATTTTCCCTTCACAAAAGATTGTCAAACAACTTACCCCATTCTCCCTTCAACAAGGTTGTTAAAAACAACTTACCCCCATTCCCTACACAAGATTGTCAAACAACTTTTCCCCCATTCTCCATTCAACAAGAATTGTCAAACAACTTACCCCATTCTCCTTTCACAAGATTGTTAAACAACTTACCCCATTCTCCCTTTACAAGATTGTCAAACAACTTACCCCATTTTCCTTTCACAAGATTGTCAAACAACTTACCCCATTTTCCCTTCACAAGACTGTTAAACAACCTACCCCATTTTCCCTTCACAAGATTGTTAAACAACTTGCCCCATTTTCCCTTCACAAGATTGTAAAACAACTTGCCCCATTTTCCCTTCACAAGATTGTCAAACAACTAACCCCATTCTTCCTTCACAAGATTGTTAAACAACTTACCCCATTCTCCTTTCACAAGATTGTTAAACAACTTACCCCATTCTCCTTTCACAAGATTGTTAAACAACTTGCCCCATTTTCCCTTCACAAGATTGTCAAACAACTAACCCCATTCTCCCTTCACAAGATTGTCAAACAACTTACCCCATTTTTCTTTCACAAGATTATTAATCAACGTACACAAGATTGTTAAACACGTTACCTGTTTCTCCTTCCACGACTGTATCAAACAATTTTCCATCGTTCCCAGAAACAATATGGAGATACATCTGAGGTACCAGGATAAATCCTTGTGCTGTTATGTTGAGCAGGACTGCCGGCTGATCCACCTTAGCTATAGACGGTAATGAGAAGAACTGGTAGGACACGGAGGTTGTTTCGTTGTGCTGACAGTTGATATCATACCGTGGGCAGAACTTTTTACATAGAATCGAATCAGATTCCACTTGTACGTCGCTAGCAATAAGAAAGACAAACAAAATTTGTCATTGAATAGATATTCCGTCATTTTAAAAGCTAAACTGTTTGCTTTTTGGTTAAGATTTTTATCATTTAAATCTAGGAAATGTATGCCAGGTAAAGTTGTAGTTGATTAAATTCGGCGTGAGCTGTTTGAACCATTTTAAGTTACAGATTTTTTTTTTCATACTGTCTACCAGTTTAATTTTTTTCGTTGGAAAAAGACATCGACCGTTAAAAATTATCTTGATGTCTCTTGACAAGTCTTATTAGTTGGACTTTAGTAATACAAAATCGACTTGAGTGATGAACATAACTGATGTTTTGAGGGCATATCATAAATTGTTCATGTTTAACAGTATCGTAGCGAATTCGCAATATACACAATTTTTTTAATTCCATCGGAATTCACGAATAATAAGGTTATCCAAAGTTATCTACATGTTTGATTCCTGTAATTGACTTCATGGCAAAAATTTCGACAGTCGTCAATTACAGAACTATGTACGTAAAGTCTATAAAGTGCTGTCACAAAGAGGAAAACAGGAGGGTCATGTTGGTTGTAAATCGCTCTCCGGAATAAGCTACACCTCGATCTTGTCATCTTAACTCAAGTTTCAATATACATGTAAATATAAAAATGTTAGTCTTACACTAAATATGCACTAAGGACCACTTCAATAATAGTGTTAATTAAGATTATACAATTATGTTTTTTTTTGTTCATAGAAACAGCAACATCATCAAAATCATATATTTACTTACGCAGCACTAGCTGAATCAGGACTAACATATATTTACATGAACTTTTGAATGTTGTTAAGCACAATTTACTCGTTAACTTGGCAGTTGGTTTTGTTGTGTGTGATCGAACTACATGTAGCTCCAGTGCCTATAGTCATGCTACATTAACATGTTTTGCTAAGATATAACTGTGTTTTGATCTTAAAAGCAGACTTATTTAAGTATATCTATAAAATTATATAAATATTATACACGAATTTTAAAAATAAGCCTTAAAACGGCAACGTGCGACAGACGACTTTGATGGAGATGATGACGCTCAATTATAAGAGCTTATTAAGTATCCTTAGTTAGACCTTCAACATTGTCACTGTCAGTGTCCTGTAATATTGACATCGACATCCATTACCTACGTAAAGGCATATTTTCACTTTGGCATCAAATGTTTAAACGCATGTTAGTTGACATGTTCGGGGCTCCCATTCTTTGCTTCATGAGATCAGCCGGAAAATCAATGGTAAGCACGGTTCGTTATTCAGGCGGCATACCGGGTATATCTCTAGACATTTATAAATGGTCTAGTCCAGATTAAAAGATTGACAAGTCTATTTCAGACATTAAGCGCGGTAAAAAATGTAGACTACAGTACCAATGAGGTTGTGTCAATTAAAAAGTGACTTAAGATAATGTTTAGTGACAAAATGATAATAAAGAGAAAACCTCCTTTCGCAAAAAAAGAGTTTTGAATAACAGTAAACATACGGCCTAGCTTCCACTTTGGGGTCTGTCCGTAATGAACAATACATATATAGATATCAAGGTGAACATAGTCATTTAAAGTTACTCAGGCAACAGTATAGTGTCTGTACAGACTGCACAGAAGAGCCCGCTGGTGTGGCTTAATTTATACTGGTGCAGTTGCAAAAGGCTAAATTCTTTCGGTGCCAACAGATTCAGGGTATTATGGTAGGCTGAATGTTACAAGTGGTGTATTTGACATGGAAAAATTGTTATCCGTTTCCAGAAAATTGCAATCTTCGTGTACGCCATCAATATTACTATTGAAATATTAACACCAGTATGAGATGAACGGGTATCCACCTTCACGGTCAAAGTCATACTGAAGGTCAAATGTACACAGATCACATTTTGTGTGCGCTCTACAACTTTCAAGTTACTGGAAAGGTTTTGAATGGATCACCGGAATGAGATAATGTGCAGAGCGCAACAAACGAGCCGCTACCTTCAAGGTCAAGATTATACTTAAAGGCCAAATATAAAATGTTCACATTTCGTGTTTAACTACTGTAAAGGTATTAAAATCAACTTGGCACAAACGATCATAGGTATGACACATGTTCAGAGCGCAACAACCGGGTCTCTACCTTCAAGGTCATATTTAAACATAAAAAGTCCACATATAGTTTGGGCTCCGCATCTTGTAAACTACCGAAAACCATGGCAAACATAGCCAAACTGACTTTTTCACCAACTGACCTCAAAATCAAGTGGCCATACTCTAGTTATATGTTGACTATAGGTTAGGCCAAAGCTTTCTCAAATTATTGGTTGGACAAGATCTGGTCTACGAACTGATGGCCACTGTGCAAATGAACATGTACATTCTCCCATTTATTCGATTTTCAAGATTTTAATAGAAAATATGCCGAATATAATACAGAAAATACTTATCAAAGCATTCCCTCATTATCTTAATTATTTACAAAACGATTCTTTGAAGTTGGAAGTTTATTTAAACACAATACAAATATGTATGTACAGTTTTTACACATATATAACAAATTGGTAACACATCTGTTATACTACAACAACATATCAGCAAGGTTACATATCAGACTAAGAAAAAATACTCATTAAAGTTATACTTTTTTGTACTGTAGAACAAAATTTACTTCCTTTAATACCACCTTAAACAGGTTTAATAAAAAAAAGACATGCAGTGACCTTACTATTCATTGTATATATATATAGTTCTTATGCTAAAATAAACTTTATAAGAACTTTTGACTTTATTATCCATCTTATCACAAAGTTTTAGTTTAGGTCTCATTAAATAGAATGTAACTAATATAGGTGACCTAATATGTATATATAGTTGTCTTAAACTTTATTTTATAGCACATAGTCCTAGTGTTTGTTTGTTTGTTTCATTTTACGCCTTTTCCCAACAGTATTTCAGTCATCGTTCCTGGAGAGTTACACCAGTACTAGACTACCTTCCTCCGCGCTAAACTACCAAAGCATCTCCCGGGGATCGAACCCACGCCAGAGAGGTAACTGGATTAGAAGTCATCGACTCTAACCCCTCGACCACGGAGGCGGCCAAAGTCCTAGAGAGGTCATTATATGATTGGTGTAAAATACAAATTGTGCATACAATGCCTATGCTTTTTTGGACCTGAATTTTGTACTTACATAACTTTGTAAAATAATTCAGCTATCATTAAGAAAGACAGTTTGTGGCAATATATAAAACATCTGACCTCTACATTACTTAGAACTAACATAATTAATGGCATTGTTCAAGCTCAGACAAAATAAAACCTCTATCAGATATTATATTTAACAGTTTTCTGACATCCAAGAGTTTACTAAAATATTTTATATCATTATTTGATTTTTGTTCTATCCAGACTGGATATTATTTAACTCATTTGTAACTAAACATATGTAACACAACTGTCCAATAAAATATTCCACTAAATATGTACATAAACCTTCCAACTGACTTGCATATTGTAAATGTCTGTGTTTGCTTGAATCTGATATGAATTTGGGGATGACCACATGAATTCCAACTTCAACAGCAAAATGACAGAAAAGGTTAGGTTGCTTGGAAAATTTTAGTCATATCAAGGATTGGATTTTAAGAGATTTTGATGCAATTATTTAAGTTATTTGGTTGAAGACATTTGTTAAGGTTAGGACTATATGAAAGGATGTTCTAGCGTGAACTGATGTACAAGAGCAACCTGGCAACTAGAAGTAAAAAGGTCTTGGTTAATTAAGGTGTGTATGTGTATAGTGATAAGATGATCATTAGAAACAGTGGTTAGGTAATGGAATGCAAGTAAAATATTAGTAATCATGACTGCATTACATGAAGATAAATGAAAAAAAGGCTAGTTGGACACATTATATATTCCAATAAATGCAATAAGTTCCACAGTTTTCACATTTATCAAGTACTGATGAAAATTCAATACATATGTATAGAAACAGTGTTTCAGAAATAAAACACGCGAAGGAGGAACGATTCTGTCCACAAGGACAGTCGTTTTCCTACTGAATTGTGTCTGATGTAACATATAAGAAGATTTTGGATATAGCATAGCCAGTATATCCCCTCGCACTGTCTGTAATTTGCATCGTTAACATCAACTCAACATCTTGAGGACCTTCAATGCGATTAAGAAGAGCTACCACAGCACTATTTGTTTGACTGCTACGTCTAAGGGCGAAATCACTTCTCGAGACTGGTTTCACGCCACCCCTTGGCGAGTATGTATTTGTAATGTTAAGGAACCAGTAAAAATCCTTCTGGAGTGCATACGGTCCAGACATTGAAAACAAATCTGTTGGGACCTTGACATTGGTGGGGAAAGAGAGGAAGTTGTAAGAGAGGGAAAGCGGGGCTTGCAAACATTCCACGTCTCCTTGGCGACATGTGAAGCTCAGGCGTTTACAGCGAACACTACAAAATAAAAGAAATGAAAATGTTAGAATCTGCTTATAACTTAAAACTCTTGCAGGACTTTCTTAAATAATCTGTATAATTTAGACTTAGAAGTCATTAATGAAAATTCATAAAAATTGACCATAACAAAAGTTAAGTAAAAAAGAAAACAAAAAAAAAGAAAACAAACATAATTCTTATAAATAATTAGAAATGAAAATCTACTGAAATATGTAAACATTGATAATTACATAAAATGTAACATTTGTAATCAGGAGCCAGTTAGGTCTGCAGTGAAATGTCCTTAGTTAAACAGAATAGATAAAAACTGTTGACACATTCCACTAGTGTGATAATTGACTAAATAGGGAAGCAATATAATATTGATGAACAAAATCAACAACTTAATGCAATAACTGGTTAACTCCTATTAAATTTAGAAGGACTGAACCCGTTACTGCACTAAGGTGACAAACAGTTCCTTCGTGATAAAACTTGTGATGCTACTTTTTTTTGTACAAAGGTGAATGCTTCTATTATGAAGGTATGTGTAAGTTTAGAGCATGGTGTACATGTCCTTTGTCATGTTAACTATTCAAACCAATACCTAGTATCAGCATCTTGTACATTCTTTACTAATGTGTTTATGTATTAATTGAAAGATAATTAAACAATAATGTAAAATCGATTTCACCAAAGTTGATCCTTAAGAAATATTTGTTACTGAAGAACAACCTAGGACCCCAAGGGGTGGGGCCATTTTTGACACTTGGGGCAAAATTTTAACAACTTTGGTATAGGACCTATAGATGATACTATATACCAAAAATCAAAGCTCTAAGCCTTACACCTTCAGACAAGAAGATTTTTTAAGTTTTTACTACATGTACATACTGAAATCAATGACCCCCAGGAAGGGGCCAATTTTGACCCCAGGGCTATAATTTGAACAATTTTGGTAGAGGTCCACTACACAATGTTTCATGTGTTTATGGTACAGGAATGTAGAAGTAGAACACTGCAGAACCCAACTGCTACAAGATTTTATATGAACATTTAACAACTATTTGAAAATTCTTTAAAAATGTCCCACACTTCTTTTATAAACAAAAAGATGGTAAATAAAACAATGATTTACAGCAGAATCTGAAGATTTTCATTTCAAAAAAAGCAAGGTCATTCAAAGCTAAACATTAAAATGTGAAAATATTTTCTATCTACATTTGACCAGTCAGGTTGAAGCATAAAACATTGTCTTGCTATGCTAATTAATGTAGTTTATCTACATCCTTATATGTGCATTCTTTGAAAGTTTTACTTGAATTAGAATATGTCAAATTGAAATGCCATGCAATTTGGACAACAGAACATATATGTAAATGGGATATATATTAGTTTACCTGTTTCTTCGAGGACCTAGATCTGATCTTGAGAATCCGGAGGGACATGTGACTCTCGGACATCTATGACTACCTCTAGTGTTGAAGCACATGACATCTTGGTCACTGCCACATCTGTCTGTACCTTCCTGGCACTCGTCTATATCTGAAACAAACATACAGTCAAAATAATGATGGTAGCATTTATATACATGTGAAAGGGTGAGAAAAATGTGAGCCTGAAAAGGACTTGAACATGGGACCCTTTGGATTCAGCAGCTCTAACAATAGATTTATCTGGCTGCTTACACATATGTCCCGACTATAAGGGAACAGCTCTGTACCTTGACATACACAATAATGCAAAATAGATAAAGATAGCATTTCTTTTTTATTCTTGGGTTCAAGTTGCACCAGCACTGTTAAGCTCATATGGCGATTTATAAATAATAGTCATGTAGAAATATTCTTATTAAAATTTTATGAACACTTCAGTCAAGACTAACTAAAACAAAAATTAATAATAAAAACTACATTGTATTACAATACTTGATAGAACTGGCTAAAATTCAATATAAAAGAATGAACAAATACCTCCACATGACCGCCCATTACCCATAATCCTCCAGCCATTCGGACAAGAACACATGTAAGATCCTGGTGTATTGACACAATTACCTGCACATACTCCTGGTCCATTGTACAATCTACACTCATCAATATCTGTAATAAAAAAATGAATAAACACATAAATGAAAGATATTGATTTTGACAGTAATACCAACACATTACCTTAAAAGAATTAAAACCATATACAACAGTAATTCCAGAAATAACACTAAATATACATTATCTTGAAGGAAATAAAACCATATACATTTCTCTTGCTTGTAATACCACAAATAAAACCATATACAATAGTAATTCGGAAACAAACACTAAATATACATTATCTTGAAGGAAATATATGTAAAACCTTATACATTTACCTTACTTGTAATAAACCATATTCAACAGTAATTCCATAAATAACACTAAATATACATTATCTTGAGGGAAATAAAACCATATACATTTCTCTTGCTTGTAATACCACAAATAAAACCATATACAACAGTAATTCCAGAATAACACTAAATATACATCATCTTGAGGGAAATAAAACCATATATATTTACCTCGCTTGTAATACCAGAAACAAAACCATATACAACAGTTATTCCAGAAATAACACTAAATATACATTATCTTGAGGTAAATAAAACCATATACATTTACCAGAAATAAAACTGTATACAACAGTTATTCCAAAAATAACACTTAATATACATAAACTTGACATAAATAAAACCATATACATTTAACTTGCTGGTTATACTGTACGGGAAACAAGAGCTGTTGGTAAGACAGCATGCTTGACTTTTCTTAGTGCTTAACATTAAAAGCCTTGATAATGTAAAATTTTTTAAGAATAAAAATGACCACAAGTCTGTCAAAATCAATGTTACAAAAATGGGTTGAATAGTGACCTCCTACTATTTAAGCTCTCAAATAAGTGTCTGAAGTGTCAACCTAATTCCCTTCAGTAGTTTTGAAGATACCAACTTGCATGCAAAAACTTAACCAAAGTGTGATGCTGACATCTTAGTGAGTGGAATAGCTCTCCCTATTATTCTAATAATCAAGCTTATAAAAACATACATTACTTCATTGTAAAATTTGGCCTTCAAATAAATTAAGCTTACAAACAATTACAAAGCTAGTATTCTTACACAAGTCATAAATTGGAACTTATTCTTCTTTATAGTCAGAGAGACCTTGACCTAAACAATGTGTTATTATGGCAGCCGTTCCAAACTGACTTCAAAACACTCCAACATCTCAGTATCTCAATTAAATCACCAGTTTTTCAATGTTTAAAAAACCCTTTTGATAGAATTATTAAAGGATTAAAAATATTATAAAATGTTAGATTACTTTAACATAGGCATTTTCAACAGATTGTATTTTCTGATAAAACAAGCATTGTGATCCTATATGGGGATAATATACTAAATCTTACATACCAATACAAGTTCTCCCATCTGCAGCCAACTTATATCCTGTTTCACAGGTACAGACATATGAACCAATCAAGTTATTACAACCTTGTGTACATATTGAACGATCCTCACATTCATTGATATCTGAAATATATAAACAATTTACAGTTACATGTACATAACACATATCTGATCAATTTCCAGTCATATAATCACATATTACTGAGAATTCACTTAATTTAATGGACATGAAATTTTGTGATTTTGTCACAAAGAACTTTTTCTTGGATAATAAATTTGTGGACTGTTATTTTTCCAAAAGGTAAAATGTAAAAAATGTGGTGCAAAATAATCTTACAGCAAACAAAAAGAAATTTGACCTATCCACGAAAAACAAGAAAATTAGTGCCCCACGAATAATAATGGTATAATTTACGAGTCTTTACAATATTCTGGCTTATTGTTACCAAGAATATTCTTTTAAAAATTTTTACTCAAAATAATCACAACAAAGCTGAATTAATAATTCTATTTTTCAATATATTGGATAATCACTCAATGTTAATTCAAGTAAATACGGTAAACAGTCAAGTTAATATGGTAACCAATTTAATCCTTAACCAGTGCTGGAACTGATACTGATTAACCTTTGTATATTACAACCAGTGCAGTGTCACACCGCCCTAACCAGGCTCTTTTAGTATATTGTTGGTAGATTAATTTTAAATTTCGATATTTGAATTCTTCCAAACTCAACGCAGAGCAAATACATTATAAGAATTCAGCAAGTTACTGTCTATCTAACTGTGAATTATTTACCTCTACATCTCTGAGAGCCAGACTGCTCAAATCCTGGGTCACAAAGACATCTAAAACTGCCTGGTGTATTTTCACATTTTGCATTGCTTGGACACACATTCCCATACTGACATTCATTTTTATCTGAAATTAGAATTTGCAAAGTACCAATAAATTATAAATGAATACTAGAAATGTGTCCCTAGGACACAGGTGCCCCCACCGCGCCACTGTTCTGTCAATCTTATGACTCTAGGTCAAATATTTTTTGAAAACTAAAAATCTTTTACTAAGTAAAGGGCAAGAACTTTACAAATACTTAATAAATCCACAAACAAACCCCAAGGTGCATAAACACACATGCTGACCAACATTCTTGTAAACGTTCAGGCCTACAAGTGAAATACTTTTTGAGCTATGCATGAACATGTTGAAAATTGCAAATTTATACTACTGAAAGTCAAGGGCAATAACTCTAACAAAACTGAAAAAAATCCACATGCAAAGTCCCAGGTGCATAGCTTCACAGTGATGTGAATCATTATTCTTGTAATTTAGTGATGTTGATCATTATTCCTGTAAAGTTGGTTGATTCTCACTCAAGCACTCAAGAAACAAATAACAACATAATGAAATAGTTTTTACTAAGTCAAGGGAAATAACTCTACAAATACTGAATAAATCCACAAGCGAAACCCCAGGTGCAAAACTAAATATGCTGAGCAACCTTCCAATAAGGTTTAATGACTCTTTGTCAATTGCTTTTTGAGTTACATTCGACACAAGTTGAAAATTGCAAAAATTTTCTAAGTCAATGGCAATAACTCTAAAAATACTAAATAAATCCACACGAAAATACCCAGGTGCACAACTACACATGCTGATCAACATTTCTGTAAAGTTTCATGACTCTAGGTCAAATGCTTTTTGAGTTACATGTGACACAAGTTGAAAATTACAAAACTTTACTAAGTCAAGGGCAATTACTCTAAAAATATTAATAATATCCAGACGAAAATACTCAGGTGCACAACAACATATGCAGATCAACATTCCTGTAAAGTTTCATGACTCTATGTCAAATCCTTTTTGAGTTACATGCGACACAAGTTGAAAATTGCAAAATTTTACTAAGTTAAGGGCAATAACTCTAAAAATACTAAAAATATCCAGACGGAAATACCCAGGTGCTTAACTACACATGCTGATCAACATTCCTGTAAAGTTTTATGACTCTAGGTCAAATTCTTTTTGAGTTACATGCGACACAAGTTGAAAATTGCAAAATTTTACTAAGTTAAGGGCAATAACTCTAAAAACACTAAAAATATCCAGATTAAAATACCCAGGTGCACAACTACACATGCTGATCAACATTCCTGTAAAGTTTCATGACTCTAGGTCAAATACTTTTTGAGTTACGTGCGACAGAAAAGAGAACCGACGGACGGACGGATGGACAAGGGTAAATCTAAATGCCCGCCACTAAAGTGGGGGCACAAAAAACTAAATTATTATTTATTATTACTTGATACCTTATATAAATGTAATTTGGTATTTTTTACTGTTTTCTGAAATTCTAAAAACGTCAACGTTCATGAACTGTTGATCAGTCAATAGTATTGACTGTTTCCCTCGCGTGCTTTGACGTCATTGGGCATTATTCCCCATTGAAGCATCTATGGATCTTGATTATAAACAAGATGTCATGTGGCATAGTTAAAATATTGTTAAATTGAGAAAGTTTAATTATTAACATATTTGCAAAACTATTTTCTTGTTCCTTTTTTCTTCTGCAGGTACTGTTAAAACAGTAATTGATCAGGTAATAAAACAGCCTCGGCCTTGGGCAACAGTTCAAAAACCTATCCCCTTCACCTCTGGCCAACAGTTTGACTGTTCCCAAATCACATATGAAATAACTGTATGTGACATCATTAACAATATATTACAAATATCACCATAGTAAACATTAAAGTGCCTTTAGAAAAAATCAGACAACCATGCTGCATTTGTTATCAATTTCACCATCCAAGTGTAAGTAATAAAATTTTAATTTAATATCACATATAAGTATATAATTATGTTTTATTATTATTTAATTATGTTATAATTTATGTGTTTTTTTTTGTACAATCAGGGGCCATAACTCTGCTAATCTCCCATCATTTTGTAACAAATTATCAAGGTTTGTAGATTCATAACATATTGACAAATATTCTTTGAAAGTTCAATGTCTCTAGCAGTTATATTTTAGTGGTAACACCATACACAAGTATGCTAAAAATTCTGATTTTTTGCTTTAGCAGGGGCCATAACTCTGCTAATCTCCCATCATTTTGTAACAAATTATCAAGGTATGTAGATTCATATAATGACAAATATTCTTAGAAAGTTCAATGTCTCTAGCTGTTATATTTTAGTGGTAACACCATGCACAAGTATGCTAAAAATTCTGATTTTTTGCTTTAGCAGGGGCCATAACTCTGCCAATCTCCCATCATTTTGTAACAAATTATCAAGGTATGTAGATTCATATAATGACAAATATTCTTAGAAAGTTCAATGTCTCTAGCAGTTATATTTTAGTGGTAACACCATACACAAGTATGCTAAAATGCTGATTTTTTGCTTTAGCAGGGGTCTTAACTCTGTAGATCATCAATAAATTTGCGTCAAAGTAACAAGGTGCATAAATTATTCTTTTTCTTTTTTTAGTCTGCATGACAAGTGGACATGGATAAACACATTGTGCTAGTGGCATGAAAAGAAATGACTTTATGTTAAAGAAAATTTGAGCAAAATAAGGTGAAAATCTCATCGTTTTTAGCCTTTTACTGTATGTTCAATGATAAGAAAATACTGCATCAATCAATGTGGTCAATGCATCAAAACTTCAAAGCAGTGTTAAATAGCAAATAAATACTGCTAATAATGACATTATTCCTGAAATATATCTTAAGACATTTACCTTCACAGACACCGTTTCTACCACGCCTGTATCCCTGTGGACATGAACAGATATAACTTCCACGATGATTTATACACTGGGCATCACCTCCACAGTCATGTGTCCCCTCTCGACATTCATCTATATCTAAGACAAAATATACAAACAATGTTATCAATACCCTGCCACTGTATCACAGCCTTCTTATCGTTGTGATATTCCATGTTTAAAACGATAATATATATCAGGTTAATTTCACATACGACAAATTTCGCATTTTTGGCAATATTCTACTTAAAGTGTATCTAACTTAAGCAATTTTGTTGAACATGTTTCTTTCTTTTTTGTCCATGTTTTCTGCTGACAAAGAGACACCATTCTATTTGTCTTCAATTTTTCTATTTAAAGTAGACAATCAAGTAATATAAACTTACGAAATCCCTGTACTAAATTGAAGTAAAGTTTAGCAAAACAATTTTTTTCGCGATATTCAGTGCACTTGAATATAGTAAAAATTAGATGCTCACAAAAGTAGCCTGATATATGATATTTCATTCAAAGTTTAAGTTGAATTCTTATAATTATATAATTATAAATATCTGCATTTTGTTCAAGGGAATCCAAGGCAAGCATCATCAAATTTTGCCCTGTTATTATAAAGCAGTGCACAACATTACATCGAAAGACATGATTTGATAGAATACGACAATTAAAAGAAGGGACAAATGGTCGAATAAGACAAAGCATTATGAGAATGGATATTTAATAGAAAAGAATATTATGTCGAATATTGTCAAAAGGATGTCAAATCAATTTAATTGTCATATTCTATAAAAGTGCATTTCGACGTAATGTCATAAACCCATTATAAAGTTATCAATTGAGACAAATTCATGGTGCTCAATCAAACTACAAAAACGTAGAGAAATCTGCGTCCAGAAGAAAATGATTTTAAGATCACATCAATATTTCAATATAAGTTTCTTAAAAACTCCTTAATATCTAAAATAAAATCATGACCATACCTATACATGTCTGCCCATCTACATCAACTTGAAAACCTGGTCCACACGCTACAGAATCAATACATCTATAGGATCCATACGTGTTCTGACATGACTGGAAATTTCTACATGGGCTAACTCCTGCATTACACTCATTTATATCTGAAATATGATAAATTGTTGTTTTAGTAACATAATCCTGCCTGTTTGGGATTTTGTTGTTTATTTAATTCACACTTACACTATTAAGGTCATATGGTAACATTCCAGCTTTACTGGAGGAGGAAGACCTCAGGTAGAACCACCGACCTTTCATAAGCTAGCAGAATAGCTTCTTTACATGGCACGATCCAAAAGTCCCATTAGGGATTTGAACTATCCACAACCTTAACCACTCTGCCTGTTTGTAGTCAGTGGATAAGAAAGTATAAAAAAAAAAGAACACAATAATTGCACTCATCACTGACAGCCTTAACAAGAGGAAATTTGGTCTGTTAAATACTCATTGTGTTTTATGACTATGGTGAAGCATTTTCCCCTGACCTTTTTGTTTTGTGCTTAAATGAAAATTTCTGAAAGATGACTAAATGTTTAAAGATTTTTTTTGTTGTTGTTGAGTTTAATGTCACACCAACACAGTGTAGGTCATATGGTGCTTTCCAGCTTTGCTTATCTAAATATCAAAATTATCATGGCTTGGCCGAGTCAGTCTGGTAATCTAAAGAAAGCTTCCACATGAGTTCAAACCCCATCAAGGTCAAGCTGTTGTTTCCTTGAGCAAGAAACTTTACATTCATTGCTCAGTACTGGTTGGTTCCAGGAACGGATTCAAGCTTTAAGCTCCTACACAATCGAACTAAAACAAATTCTGTATAAACCAAAATTATCAACCTAGGGGTTTCATAAATGAGACCCTGGGTCAGTTTTGTTTGTCATTTCATAATATGAGTAATTCTGATAGAATACCAAATGTTAAGCATTGAATTAAGTTTTAGCTTACCAACACATAGACCACTCATGTCTGGTTTCATGCCGCGTGCACAAGTGAACCTTTCACATCGGTTTGTGGCTGAATTGTACCTCGAACCTTCTGGACATCGTTTAGGATTACATCTAAATGAGCCCTCGATGTTGTAACACTCATAACTTGTCCCACAGTTGTGTGTACCCAGTGTGCATTCATCCTGATCTATAGAAATATATACATCAATGTAAGTCTATTAGTATCTCTGTATTTATATATAAATACAAAATGTATATCTGAAACACCTTTGTTGTAAAATGTACAATATTACCAATGTATATGTCCTGATTTATGATACTTAACAAAAAACATGCAACTTGAGTCCTAATCTCTTCATCTTTATTAAACTGCACATTTGTAATGGTGACATTTATATAGTTTTATATACACGGCTGTTGTCGATTTATAAAGAAATCTTCCTTTTTTCTCTAAAAAATGATGCTTGCTATATTATAAATTTGTTATAAATATTTCTGACAGGTTATATGGCCTATTGGCTTGTTTCCAAACAACCATTTATATAGGGCTATATAACTTGTTAAAATCTGTGGTACATTTTTCGTAATCTCTGTATAAAATGTACATATTTTATAATTTTGACTGACATTGACTTGACTGACAGTAATAATCATCGTAGATTTTATCCTACATATCTTGAAACTTAATTTGTATGTAATATTTTTTATTTATTTATAATTTTGGATAAGGTATACATGCATTACACACTCTGGACATATAGTAATCATAAAAGCTCAACTTTTTGTGAATGGCATGGCCGAACATTTCACATGTCAGACTAATAATCTAATGATCGCTAGCCAGATGGGTTCAAACCATGTCAGGGACAAGTCATTATTTACACTCATTGCTCAGTTCTGGTTGGATCCATGAACAGATTCGAAAGTGTGTCTTTAAACTTATAGCTTCCTACACAATCTTACTAAAATAAATTTTGTATAAACCAAAAGCTCAAGTTTGAGCACTTCAAGCTCAGCCGGAAATGCTTAACCAGTTATTGCAGTAGGGTGACGATAAATGTTTTGTGTTTTATTACAAGCAAAAAAGGCAATCATACCAACACATTCTTGTGATTTTTCATCCAAAGTCCAGCCAGTTCCACATGGTGTGATACGACGACAAGAATAGGAACCAGCGGTGTTCTCACATCTTTGTGACGCCGTACACGTGTCAGTTCTCCTCGCACACTCATCTATATCTGAAACAATATTGTACTCCGCATGAATCATTACATTATGTTATAGAATATGTTACCTGGTAAATAAAACCTTACCATGCTATATATCTTACAAGACGGCCATGATGGCCCTAAAGTCGCTCACCTGTATTAAGGCCCCCGGAGCGGGGCCAGTTTAAACCCCAGGGCTTTTATTTTAACAAATTTGGTAGACACCCATTAGAAGATGTTTCATGCTAAACATCTAAGGTCTAGCTTGTTGGGTTTTTTAAAAGAAGATTTTTTCAAGTTTTTTTTCTTTACACATGTAGTTAAAAACAATGACACACCTGGGGCAGGGCCAGTTTTGACCCAAGGGCTTTTATTTGAACAATCTTTGTAGACACTTACTAGACAATGTTTCATGCTTAATATCTGAACTCTAGCTATTCAGGTTTTTTCAAAGAAGATTTTTAAGTTTTTACACATATAAGGAAAATAAATGTCCTCTGGGATGGGGCCAATTTTGACCCCAGGGCTTTTATTTGAACAAACTTTGTAGACACTCACTAGAAGATGCTTCATGCTTAATATCTAAACTCTAGCTATTTGAGTTTTTTCAAAGAAGATTTTGTAAGTTTTTGTCATACACATATAAGGAAAATGAATGACCCCCGGGGCGGGGCCAATTTTGACCCCAGGGCTTTTATTTGAACAAACTTGGTAGACACTCACTAGAAGATGTTTCATGCTTAGTATCTAAACTCTAGCTATTTGTTTTTTTTTTTCAAAAAAGATCTTTTAAGTTTTTGTTATAAACATATAAGGAAAATGAATGACCCCCGGGGCGGGGCCAATTTTGACCCCAGGGCTCTTATTTGAACGAACTTGGTAGACATCCATTAGAACATGTTTCATGCTAAATATCTTAGCTCTAGCTCTTTGCATTCTTTAAAAGAAATTTTTTTAAGTTTTTACTATATGCATATAGGGAAAATCAATGACCCCCTGGGGCGGGGCCAATTTTGACCCCAGGGCTTTTATTTGAACAAACTTGGTAGACACCCATTAGAAGATGTTTCATGCTAAATATCTTAGCTCTAGCTCTTTGGGTTCTTTAAAAGAAGATTTTTTTAAGTTTTTACAATATGCATATAGGGAAAATCAATGTCCCCCTGGGGCGGGGCGAATTTTGACCCCAGGGCTTTTATTTGAACAAACTTGGTAGACACTCTTAGAAGATGTTTCATGCCAAATATCTAAGCTCTAGCTCTTTGGGTTTTTTAGAAGAAGATATTTAAAGTTTTTTCTTTTGGTTGCCATGGCAACCAGAGTTCTGCATGGAATAGAATTCTTTGAACAACTTTGTTAAGGCTTCACAAAAGGAACATCCCTGTGAAGTTTCATTATGATCGCCTTATGGTTTCACTGAGGAGATGTCATTTTAAAAGTGTGAACGGACAACGGACGACGTACGACAGAAGACGGACGACAGACGACGGACGAAGAGTGATCCTAATAGCTCACCCTGAGCATATGCTCAGGTGAGCTAAAAAAGGCATGTTCATCTCTCATTCAAGACAAAGCCATTCATTATTTTTTGGAAATTTTTCCTTATAAATACGAGCTGAAAAATGAACAGATCATTGACCATGGTCTGCACTAGCCGCATGGCTAGAATTTGTTCGCACCAGCTGTATGAAGTTTAATTACAAGCTATATGATATTGTAACAGTGAAAATAATTTCTGTTGAACAAAAACCCTCCATATAACCTGAAAATAACTTAAACTAAAAGGCTATTAAAAGCCTCATAAAATCATATGAACTATTAAGCATTAAGATAATGAAAAGAATTATATATTTTTCTGGAATTAATAATGATTATAAGTAGAGAACATTATGTAAAACAGAAGATTATCAGTTTTAAAAATCTTTCAAGAATCGTTACTTTCAGTAGGAAATAATGTAACATATTAAGTATTATCAGTAAATTTCAGCAATAGATGTTATCCAGAACTCGGCAAATGTGGGTTTTTCCAAGCTAATCCCCCCCCCCCCCGGTTTTTACCATCATAGCTTCTTGGTGCAATACCGGTCACAATAGATTAGTTAATCTGTTGTGCTTATTTTCGAAGCTGAAACTGTAAATGTTTGTTTGTACCCTTAGATTAGTTGGGAAAAACTCAAAATATTCTTAATTCTTGAGTATGTCTATAAAGTCAAACTTACTTTGGCCCTTTTAAGGTGGGATGATTATATCTCTTATCAAATGCAGATTTTGATAAAGTACAATAAGGTTAATAATTGTTCAAATTATTTATACATTGTATATACATTCTATACATGTACAATCGTGTTACTAGTATGTTGAATCAGCTGACATATTTACATATTAGCACCCGATCATTGTGACATTGTTGATTTTATTATATTATCACTTGTAACAACGAGGTTCTTTATGATATTAACTTTACTTCTCCCTCATGTAAACAACTTATTTAATTGTTTGTTTTGGTTTCTAGGTAGATTTTAACAACTTTCTTATCATTACTAGGCATTGATAGACCTTAAACCAGCTTGTTTGAATAACTAACTAGTAATAACCTATATCTCCAAAAGCAGTCAACTATTAATCCTACATTCTGAATAAGCAGTGGGAGACTAATAACTATTAGACTCAATGTCCTAGATCAACTGTCACACAAAAATGTTGCCACACCAAAGGATCAAACCAGTAACCGCTGGAACAATGGATGTAAAATCCCTTGCATTTAATAAGCATATAAGCATATAAACTCTATGTAGGACCTGTTGTGATATGGCAAGTTGTTGCCTTGCACAAGTTAAAATGAGTACAGGATCATTAAAAATTGCTTTTACACGACTGTATTATACTAGATTATTATGCTAGATAAAGTATCATAGTCATGCCCATGTATACCAATCTTGCATGTATATGGTTCATGTTTGCATATGTATGCTAATTATGCATGCATACGCATAGCAACCTTGCATGCCAATGTATACCAATCTTGCATGCCAATGTATACCAATCTCGCATGCCAATGTATACCAATTTTGCATGCCAATGTATACCAATCTTGCATGCCAATCATGCATGCACATGTACATGGATTGCATGCTCAAGTTGATTTCATTGATCAAACAATATATAACATAAAGCAACAAAGCAAACTATTACACACACTAATGACATAAAACATGGAGAAGAAATCAAACTTATACATTATCATGAAAGCATAATTTTACAGTAACTAATGAAACATGGGCAAAGATGCCAAACTATTACACATTCCACTCACATCTCACATGCAAATATAAGGAAAACCAATCACATCACAAATTGGCAAGAGAGAAATACTAACATATTAACCAATATTCTAGCAGACAAGGACAGTAAACTGTGTTTACCTTCACAATTTATGGTTGTCCGGTTTCTATAAAAGCCATCCTCACATTGACATGTAAAACTGCCACGGACATTTCGGCATAGTTCATTTGGCTTATTGCAATCATGAGTGCCAATAACACACTCGTCTATATCTACAAAATTAAATCATGTAAACATGTGACAAATGTAAACTGTGTAAAAAGTGTGTGAAATACTTAAGGTAATAATAATGAATCTAAAGAACTGTTAAAATGTTAACCAGTTTAATTTAGAACAATATAAAAAAAAATTTTTTTTATAATTAAGAATAATTGTCAAATGCCCCTAAAGCCAGGCCCAGTAAATAAGCCATGAGCATAGACTCAAATCCAACTATGAATGCCAGGTTTGTTGACTGGACATCTTGTATCAATTTTTTTGTCTTAAGATAAGTTTAACTGTGACCAATGAACTATAAACCTAGGTTTTTGGATGCATGCTGCAAGACAGATCTACTCCTTATGAAATTATGTATGATTATTTCGAAATCCATCTGTGAATTAAAAAGTGACATGGAGACCCGATTCTTGCATGTGACACATTGCCATCATGTCCAGCCAATTTTTGCCAAGTTATTTTCAAATAAATCTAGGAAACACTACCATTAATGCACTTCCATGAAAATTTCATATGACTTTGGACAAACAAAAGGGACCTTTTTTTCTTTCTTTTTTTTTAATTTTACAAGCCAATATCTGCAAAAACAGGTCACCTTAAACATTATCCAATTTAAATTTGCTTTTTTCAAAATAAAATATGTTTTGAATAACCACATTAGTATTGTTACTAATATGTGAATGTGCAGCAAAAGTTGCCTGAAATTCCTACTACAAGGGAAAACAGCATAAAAATTCCCACTCCTACATGATTGTACAGATACTAATTTCCTTGAAAACAGAGAGAGAAACCCCTGTCTTGGGCAAAACATCATCATCATGTTAAATGTTCCTGCCAATAAATTCTAAAATCTATTCAGACATAATTGTTCACAGGACACAATCATCAATGCACTTCATTGGAATTTTTTCTAGGATCAAGTAACTTTGATCTTCGAGCTATAAACATGGATCTTGCATGTGACACATCATCACAACTATGCAAAATTGTTTTAAAATTCATCAATGAATGCCAAAGGTAAGGACTGGACAAAAAGTAGATGGAATTTTAAAATATATACCTTCCTTCTCAGGCCAAAATATAATGATGGTTGTGTCTTATGGAAGTTTTGCAAAGATATAATACATGTATATTTGACTGTTAACCATCTTAAAGAAAATTTGATGCCAAGCCGACTATATTTTGTATAATTATTGGAGAGGTTGAGTACTGGTACATGCTTTATCACTTATCTTGTCATACACATTTAGGGATATAAAAAACTTATCTTATTCACTTTATTTCTATACACTTTATCCTAATCTACTCACTTGCATTGAAAAAAAAATGTGTGTATGCTAAATTTCATTGTTTATATGTTGATCAATATGCAACCTTTGACTTGACATCTTTTATATGTTGATCAATATGTAACTTGGGTCAAAGGTTGTAAAGAGTTTATCTAAGGTCAGACTCAAATCTTAAGTATTTGATTGGTCAGAAACAATCACCAATGAAAATCCAGATAATAGAGACAGAACTCAGACAAGTTTCTATGAAATCATGATTTTCTAGTAGTCCTAGTATTTCTACCATCTTAACAACGATTTTCAAAGAAATATCCTTAAATTGTTAAGCAAGAAAAACTTTGATTGGCCCAGAAAACCATTATGTGACAGTGACAATTCATTACTTGTTATTGGTTAATTATTTTGTTTAAGATATGTAAGAAGTATGTATGTAAAATTTTGTTTGGTTCTAATGAACCATAGAACAGATTATATTAACAAACAAGCCAAGGTATATTAACAAAACAGGTATAAAAACAGAGTATTTGGTGAAGATTAGGCAAAAGACTGTTATACAAGTAGTTGATGAGAATTTTACCATTTAATCAACTTACCTTCACATTTTCCTGTCACAGTATTAAATGCATAGCCTCTGGAACAATCTATAAAATTATTACAAGACACATGTTGTTAAAAGTTTCAATATGTAGGGATTAATAAGTTTATAGTTAAATATAACAATTGTCACAATTTGTGTTCCGTCCTACTTTTAAAGCTTTCATTACTTATACACTGCTGCCACAAGTATAGAGCCATCTGTTGGCTAAATTTTTGTATTTTATTTTTTTTAAATTGTTTTATTGGGTTTTAACATGGCACCAACATAGTAGGTCCTATGGCAACTTTCCAGCTTTACTGGTGGAGGAATAACCTCTGTACAGGCACAAACAGGTACCTGAGTAGAACCACCGATGTTCCATCAGCTAGCTGGATAGCTTTCTCACGTGAAAAATCCAAAGACAATAGCGGAACCTACAGCGATGAGAGGCAGGTGGTTTGAAGTCAACAACCTTAATGACTTAGCCACAGATGATCCCTTGCATTTTAATATCCAAATCCCTTTAAATTCTGAAGAACGATTCGAGATCAAAGCTGGTAAATCCATTACATACATTTGTCAGTTTAGGGGTTAAGATATCTAACAAGATGCCTTTATTACAATGATGTGTGATAGGGTGTGTGATATAGCGACTCATAGAATAATTAGACATGTTTGCCCCCATGTTCCACTGGTTTGTCAGACTGCAATGGCCAAATCTATATTTAGAAAAAGAAGTGGGGGCACTCAAAAATTCTACACAGTGACAATCTTTGTGTAGAGTGTGATAGCAGTTAACTTTGGGGGAAATGAGGATATACACAGATGTTCCAAATTACTTATTTAATTAATTTTTATTATTTATGTCACAGTTTAATTATATGTATTCCTTTCAAATTCCCTAAACAAAGTTTATTAAAGATTTCAGTAAATTCATTTGAATTGTATATTACAGACATCAGGCAACCTATGATCACTCTTTGCTCAGATGAGCTAAAAATGTATGACCATATCAGCTGAAGGCCTTTAAGTTTTTCTAAGCCAAACAACATGTCATTAGCTTATATACTTTATATTATGCTCAAGCAGGGTGAGAACTGATATCTTACCATCTCTGTAGCATGTGCGTTCATCCGATGCTAATCTATAACCACTATGACACTGACATTTATAGGAACCTGGTGTATCTACACAGATCTGACTACAAAGCTGTTCTCCTCCAAACAACTCACATTCATTTATATTATTCCCCTCTTTGTCTTCATCTTTAACATACAAAGTTTAATTATTTAAACTCTGCACATTTGTAATGCTGCTTTTCATTGGTTAATAGTTTTTTTTATAATACTGCACGTTTGTAACGTCACTTTTCATTGAATAATCGTGATGTTCATACACTACTGCTCTCAATTTTTCCTCAAAAATGGAAGTTTGCGGTATTATAAATTTGTTATAATAATTCCTGACAGGTTATATGACCGTATATAAATGGTTGTATGCAATATAACCCTCGCCTAGCAGCTTGGGTTATGGAACCAATTGAACATGTACATTTATAACCAAATTTATATAATCAAGTTTTACAATCAAATTATCAATGTCCCTGAAATATGAATATTGACCTTTAAACTGACTTCATGCAAAAGTTTGAGGACCATCTAAGATATCAACCTACCAAATATTAAGACAATGGTTAATTAACAAAATCTATATTCATGAGCTAAAAGTATTTTAATCAGTTTTCAACACTAATGTATTGACCTTCTGAGCCCCAAATTCCGTCCAATGTTAGAGGACCTTCAAAGGTGTCCGTTCATGCATTTATTCGGGCATAAGAAAGCACCTGAGTAGAACCACTGACCATAATCATGTAAGCCAGCTAGATAGGTTCCTCACATAAAAGATCCAAAAGACTCGGCATGGAGTTGAACCTCTAGCAGTGAAAGGCAAGTTGTTCTAAGTCAACCATTTCTGAACATTTTACATAAAAGTATTACCTGAATCATCTCTATCTGAGCGATCACGATCATATCCACGACAACACTGCAGAAACTTCATATCACAAGGGTTACCAATTGATGGTGAAGTACAAGACATTCCCATACGCCTTACTGCCAAACCCATTTGACAACATGAACAGCATTCCTGTAACATAAATTAAAGTTAGGCCAAGTAATTCCAGGATGAAAATAACTTAAATCCTAAATGTGCTGGAACATAAGGGGTAATTAGACTTTGCCACCAGCATTGCTGCCGGCCAACCAGCTCATCCATGCAGGTTGACCAGGCTTTATACTGCTGGTTGCTCATTTTTTGTATTTTGTTTTTGAAATCCCTTAACATTTAACTGGATAGAGCCAAATTCAAAGCAAGGCAAATCCTTTACACAAATTCAAAAGGGTTTAATGGGAAGATAAATGAGACTACAAAGAAGTTCAGGTTTGATGGATATTTTTTGTCAGCCACCTTAGGGATCTCACAAAGATAGCTTAGGTTCTAGCAAGTAACTTCTCAGTCTAAAGCAATTCAATATAATAGATAGCCAGTGAAAAGAAGCAATAAACTGTAAGAACTGGACTGGGTTGTTCCAAAAGGTGGCTAGAAATTGATAGAAAATTATCAATCGTACTTTAACTGCAGGTAAGTCATATAAATACAACCTTGTTGCATCCATTCTATTGAAAATTTCAAGGTATCCTTTTTTAAATGTTTTTTTTTTCTTCACCATTCTACCAATGTTTAACTGTTTATAGTTCACTATTTTTCTTATTTTATTATCATTATTTGATGCTGTCATCATGACAACACACAAGTGTACCAATATATATGAGCCGCGTTACGACAAAACCAACATAATGGGTTTGCGACCAGCATGGATCCAGACCAGCCTGCGCATCCGCGCAGTCTGATCAGGATCCATGCTGTTCGCTATCAGTTTCTCTACTTGTTATAGGGTTTGTAAGCGAACAGCATGGATCCTGATCAGACTGCGCGGATGCGCAGGCTGGTCTGGATCCATGCTGGTCGCAAACCCATTATGTTGGTTTTGTCATGACACGGCTCATATATATATAGCGTTAAGCTACAAAGTGGTCATTTATCCACTAAGCCTACACTCAGTGAATCATAGTTTTGTCACGAGGTTTATAAATAATTCATACAAATGCAAAAGCAGTTAAGAGTTTTTCCAAAATGCTTAAAGCTACATGCGTCCAGATGAGCCAAAATATTTCAAGAAAATCATACTGAGATTAATAAAAGTAAAAAGCTTCAAGATAAAAGTAATAATTTCCATGTTATGATTGATTTACGACTGATATAACATTTTGCAGCATTTTTCACCATATACCTTCTGTGTTACAAATGCAGTAAGGGCTATTTTTGCATATTTTGACCTCTTTTTGGTAATATACATGGGCTGTAAGTGTCATTTGCACAATATTTTACTTTTTAATACATTTTCAAAATTTTCATGAAAATTAGCATGGCTCTGGTGGCGTGCTGCTTTAATATATTAATGAGTAAAATGCATAAACATGATAAAGAAGCATTTTATACCAGATCATGCAATGACAATTATAATGCACAAATATTGTTAAATGTGATTTGACTCGACTCGAGTATACAAATGTAAGTCATGAACATTTACGCAGTTAATCGTTTTGAAGTATGTTACTCTTTTGCCTATATCTGGTGCCTATATCTAAAAGTGACTATAACGTTAATGGAAATCAATTTAGAATCAATTAGTTAATTAGTAAACTAATGTCTTCGATACAGGTTGATAAAACTAATTAACTCATTATCTGTCAGTTATAGCTGGCTATCTCTGTCTGCATTCTGCTGTTAATTAACTTGTTTACTAGGGAGACGTTAATTAGGTACTAGTTTAAATATCTTATATAAATTAATAGCTTTGTGACCAGAATGTGTAAAAGTTCATAAATTACCATGATAGCGTAACTTTCTACGCAACAAGTTTGACAGGGTAACTGCATTAAAAAAGTCTGTTACCTACAGATTTGCTCGAAAGTTTTGAGTATAAGTACCAATGGTCATTTAATAATAACTTTAACCATTAACCTTCTGAATTTCTTAAATGAACTTGTCCTGCTTCCATTTTTGGAACAGTCCATTACTAATTTTGGGGATACCATGATGAAAGCCAACAGTATAGAGCCTTGTCAGATTGTATGTCAATGAGCAACCTGGCCTTGGTTCTATATATATACTGATGGCAAAATCAAATTTGGATAAAGATCTGTAGAATATGTAAGTTAAGGAATCAATTAGTTTGATCACAGAGCATGACTGTGTCAATTTCATTTGTTTTGAAAGTTAACATATTATTGGTTTAAACATATTTATTAAGGCTTGATTGCAAAACAATTTCTTGCAACTTATATTAATCACTTTCTAGTCCGCTTCCTGGAACCAACCAGTACTGGTGTCATATTAAGAAGCATGGTCGTGACCCGAGTATGGCTCGAAACCCATGATCTCTGGGTTGAGAGGCAGACACTTTAACCCCTAAGCCACTGCTCCCCTTTACGTATTATTGTTTAAAGGATAGACAGGGTAAATATATCAGTTTGATACTTAATAATAATTTTTATAGATAATTTGACAAAAAAGAAAGATTTCATTGAATATACATGACATAGTTATGTGTCTTGCATTGTGATCCAGAAATTTTGTAAGTTTACATAGGGCCATGTTTCATTCAAAGTCCATGCCAGAGTTATGGGTCTTGAAAAATGAACTTCATATGTAAGACTTAAGCTTCAAGCAAATAATCTTAAAGTGACATGATGCCCATCTTAGTGTAAATGTTTGGTGTATAGGTCAAAGTAAAAGTATTTTTTTGATTTTGCCATGATTGCACATTTAATGTTATAGTCTAACTCATGTGTACAATTAATAACCATGTGACTCACAGGAAATTCTATCACAGGAGCTTGACATTCTATAATTGAATAACAAGAACTGTCGGAGGAATCCAGTAACGCTCGACTATTCGAAAAGTTGTCACAAGGGTGTTTCATTGAGTATAACTAGAACTATCACTAAATGTGATTAATACCCCCACAAGACTGCTTCGGAAATGAGGATGTTACTAGTAACAGAATATCTTGTAAAAGAATTGAAATATAGAGTTATGGTTGTGGGCAATTAAAGATAGTTGTGGTTCTTGTATGTTGCATTTCCTTTCAATGTGGTTGGCCATTGATAAAGTTTAATTGAATTACTCTGTAATAAGTCCAGAAAGACAAAGAAAAGGAACAAAGGGCAATAACTCTGTAATTAGTCAAGATGGAGTTATGGTTCTTGTGCACTGCACTTCCTCTCAATGTGCTTGACCATTGTATGAAGTTATATTGAATTCCAACCATTAGTCTTCAAGTTATGGTCCGGACAAAAAAATCAACGGAAAAGTAACAAAGGGCAATAACTCTGTAATTACTTTAGATAGAGTTATGGTTCTTGTGCACTGCACTTCCCCTTATTGTGTTTGACAATTGTATGAAGTTGTTTTGAATTCCAACCAGTAGTTTTCAAGTTATGCCCCGGACAAGGAAAAGTAACAAAGGGCAATAACTCTGTAATTAGTCAAGATAGAGTTATGGTTCTTATGCACTGCACTTCCTCTCAATGTGCTTGACCATTGTATGTAGTTATATTGAATTCCAACTATTAGTCTTCAAGTTATGGTCTGGACAAAAAAAAAGCAATGGAAAAGCAACAAAGGGCAATAACTCTGTAATTAGTCAAGATAGAGTTATGGTTCTTGTGCACTGCACTTCCTCTCAATGTGCTTGACCATTGTATGTAGTTATATTGAATTCCAACCATTAATCTTCAAGTTATGCTCCGGACAAGGAAAATGCAACCGAAGTCTGGACCGACTGACCGACCAACCGACCGACCACCGGGTGACTCCTATATACCCCCCCAAACTTTGTTTTTGGGGGTATAATAATGCTTACCTATATGAATACATAAAATTGTCCGAAAAGGTACAAACCCTTCAGTACTTATGGAGATACCAGCTTACAAGCAAAAATTTACCTAGAATTTCTAAGTCGAAAAAGGGGAATAATTATGCAAAAAAGCAATCAGAATTATAGGACTTGTGACAATCATCTTAGATAATCACAGAGAACAAGTGTGTGAAGTTTCAATCAATTCCCTTCAGTAGTTATGGAGATACCAGCTTACACGCAAAAACTTAACAAAGAATTTCTAAGTCAAAAAAGGGGAATAATTATGCAAAAAAGCAAATCAGAGTTATGGGACTTGTGCTAATCATCTTAGATAATCACAGACAACAAGTGTGTGAAGTTTCAATCCATTCCCTTCAGTAGTTATGGAGATACCAGCTTACACGCAAAAAACTTAACCAAGAATTTCTAAGTTGAAAAACGGGCATAATTATGTAAAAAAGCAAACAGAGTTATGGGACTTGTGCCAATCATCTTAGATAATCACAGAGAACAAGTGTGTGAAGTTTCAATCCATTCCCTTCAGTAGTTATGGAGATACCAGCTTACACACATAAACTTAACCAAGAATTTCTAAGTCGAAAGAGGGGCATAATTATGTAAGAAAGCAAATCAGAGTTATGGGACTTGTGCCAATCATCTTAGATAATCACAGAGAACAAGTGTGTGAAGTTTCAATCCATACCCTTCAGTAGTTATGGAGATACCAGCTTACACGTAAAAAACTTAACCAAGAATTTCTAAGTCGAAAAAGGGGCATAATTATGTAAAAAAGCAAATCAGAGTTATGGGACTTGTGCCAATCATCTTAGATAATCACAGAGAACAAGTGTGTGAAGTTTCAATCCATTCCCTTCAGTAGTTATGGAGATACCAGCTTACACGCAAAAAACTTAACCAAGAATTTCTAAGTTGAAAAACGGGCATAATTATGTAAAAAAGCAAATCAGAGTTATGGGACTTGTGCCAATCATCTTAGATAATCACAGAGAACAAGTGTGTGAAGTTTCAATCCATTCCCTTCAGTAGTTATGGAGATACCAGCTTACACGCATAAACTTAACCAAGAATTTCTAAGTCGAAAGAGGGGCATAATTATGTAAGAAAGCAAATCAGAGTTATGGACTTGTGCCAATCATCTTAGATAATCACAGAGAACAAGTGTGTGAAGTTTCAATCCATACCCTTCAGTAGTTATGGAGATACAGCTTACACGTAAAAACTAACAAAATTCTAAGTCGAAAAGGGCATATTATGTAAAAAGCAAATAAGTTATGGGACTTGTGCCAATCATCTTAGATAATCACAGAGAACAAGTGTGTGAAGTTTCAATCCATTCTTCAGTAGTTCTTACACGCAAAACTCGTCAAAAAGGGCATAATTATGTAAAAAAGCAAATCAGAGTTATGGGACTTGTGCCAATCATCTTAGATAATCACAGAGAACAAGTGTGTGAAGTTTCAATTCATTCCCTTCAGTAGTTATGGAGATACCAGCTTACATGCAAAAAACTTAACCACAGGGACGCTGACGCCGACGCCGACAAATGGGTGACTGCATTAGCATAATTATTCTGCGAATAGTCGAGCTAAAAATATAAGCAAATAATTAAGAAATAACGGACAATATACCCCTCTATACTATAATGTCAAGCTCCTGTGATTCTATCAGGTATCATTCACATTCAATTGATGAAAAGAGTGGGGCAGTCTTTTCTAATTTTTAAGCAGTTGTTACATTTTATCCTAAACACTTTTAATTATCAATATTAATTTTGGTCAATTGACCATTATAATAGTCCCTCCTTTTAAATATATTGCTTAATTCAGCATAACTCAACAAACGAAAAAATGAGCACAATAGGGGGATCAGTTATCACCTGCCAATAAGCCACAGATTGAGACATAAGATAGATATGTATACCTTATATGTTACAGCACCTAGTAGGTCATCTCTTACAGCACATCTACCTCCTTCCTCTAAACCATTCTCCATACCTGTAAACAGTCAGTCACACATCAACCATACACTAGTATTTTGGTATTTTTACACCACATAAATTTGATTATTATTTATGGACAAAATCATTGTGCAATCAAATTCACACAATAAGATCTGTCAGCACTATATATTACAAGCTCAAAAGAGCTTAAATGTTGATTTTTTGTTACTTTACATCATGCTTTGGCCATTTTTGCTTTTGACAAGATCTTGTCCCAAACAACTGGTTTAAATTTGACGGAGCTCTTTCAAACTTGGTTAAAGAATTATATTCCTTGCAGAACTCTGTCATGGGAACCAAAAGTAAATCTTCAAGTCTTCTTGCATCAATTTTGGACCAAAAATATACAAGTTATAAACTTTTTTAGAAGTTCACAAGGCAACGCAACATGCCATATTGACATTCATTTCAAATAAGCAGACTAAATGTGTTTCCAAATATAAGTTTCTATAAACAAGGTGGTCACAAGAGCACTCCTAATTGAAAATGAAAGTGAATCAAGTATCTAACTTTTTTATTTTACAAGTATACTAGAATCAGGTTTTACAATGAGAACCTGGGTAGAACCTTGACCCTGAGTATGGAAGACAGGTAAACTGCCTTACACACAAATCATTATGAGCCACTGTTGTCAGTAACATTCATATCACATTGTACTTCAACTATAAGTCTCTAAGTATAAGCATTATATAAATACTGTAAAAATACCTTTGGTACACATAAGGTCCTGTTTAGATTTTATACAGCAGACTTCACGCACTTGTTGACACAGGAACTGTTCTTTAGCATCAATTTCTGGAATCTCTCCCGAGATGGTATCACAACGATCATTATTGCTGGCCCAATTTGTACCTGCTAGACAACACACATTCACTATCTCCGTGAAATCACCTAATTTAGGAAAAAATATAAACAAGAATTTAAGCAAGTTATTCAAATGAAATGAAAGGGAAATGGTCATTTTCTTTTTATGGTATATCTTTTTTAAGCCTCTCCAATAAGAAACATTAGGAGATCAAAAGTAACCTCTTGTCACCCATGCAGATATCAAGATGAAACAGAAAATTTCATCAACCAAGTTTGAATGATGTGATTGCTATGGAAGTTATTGAATGGAAACCTTTTTCAAATTCAATTATACTGTGACCTTGAACTTTTACCCATTTGAAGAATAGTTCTAGTGTTTAAGAAATGAATTCAATATTAAAGGTCACTTTGACCTTAACCATTGACCTACTGACCCCTGCATACAAAGGTTCCTTGTTCAATATTGACAATTTCCTGTTGAACTTTTAAATAATTGCAAAAACAGAATTCAAATTGAAAGTCACTATGACCTTGACCATTGCACTTCTGACCCCCAGACCTAAAGAGGCCTGTTTGCCTTGTTGGGCTTTCTTTAGGGATTCTTATTTTCTCTATTTTAATGTCATAATGACAAATCATTCAACAAAATTTAAACATTCTAGGTAAGAAAGTGGTACTCAAATTACTGAGTAGAAGAGGTTTTGCTATTAAGGGTAATTGTGACCATGACCTTTGGCAAGAAAATGGGCAATAAAGCAACATTTGACCAATATGAATAAATTTTCTGACTTGGCTTCATTGTATACTTTGTATAATATTCTAAACAAAGCATTCAAGCATTTACCACAGAATTATAGTCATAAACTAGAAATGTGTTCATAGGACCAAGTGCCCCCACCGTGCCACTGTTCTGTCAATCTTATGACTCTAGAGCAAATATTTTTTGAAAACTAAAAATTTTTTACTAATTAAAATGCAAGAAGTTTACAAATACTGGATAAATCCACAAGCAAAACCCCAGGTGCAAAACTAAATATGCTGAGCAACATTCCTGTAAGGTTAAATGACTCTATGTCAAATACTTTTTGAGTTACATGCGACACAAGTTGAAAATTGCAAAACTTTTCTAAGTCAAGGGCAATAACTCTAAAAATACTAAAAATATCCAGACGAAAATACCCAGGTGCACAACTACACATGCTGATCAACATTCCTGTAAAGTTTCATGACTCTAGATCAAATCCTTTTTGAGTTATATGCAACACAAGTTGAAAATTGCAAAATTTTACTAAGTCAAGGGCAATAACTCTAAAAAAACTAAAAATATCCAGACGAAAATACCCAGGTGCACAACTACACATGCTGATCAACATTCCTGTAAAGTTTCATGACTCTAGGTCAAATCCTTTTTGAGTTACATGCGACACAAGTTGAAAATTGCAAAATTTTACTAAGTCAAGGGCAATAACTCTAAAAATATTAAAAATATCCAGACGAAAATACCCAGGTGCACAACTACACATGCTGATCAACATTCCTGTAAAGTTTCATGACTCTAGCTCAAATACTTTTTTGAGTTACGTGCGATACAAAAGTGAACGGATGGACGGAAGGACGGACAGATGGACGGACGGAAGGACGGACGGACATGGGTAAATCTAAATGCCCGCCACTAAAGTGGGGGCACAAAAATACTGTTGGTGATAATTGGGTTATAAGTGGTCTTAAAAGTGGTGACTAATAAATATCTAAGCAAAGTTTTGGGATTGAAAATGGTGGTCTTAAAAATGTAGAGCAGTAGACTTAATAGTGGATCATGTGATCATTGAAACAAAGAACTGATAATTCCACTCTTTAAAAAAATCATCCTTAAAGTGGGCATGATCAAAGTTTCAAAGCAATCCTCAAATGGTGTAGAAATAAATGGGATTATAGACACAAAAATGTTTAGGGTTTTTTGTAAAAATTCTTGAGAGATTTATGTTCTCTTGCCCTGAAGTGGGGAAGATGGCCACTAACAATCATTTAAAGTTTCAAAAACAAACCTCCAAGTAAATAAGATATTTTTCCCAAAGGTTTGCATGTAATACTTCTATAAAACAAGGGCTTACAGAGGAGATAGCATGCTCAACTTATAATTAAACACTGCACACAGTAAAAAAAAACAAAAGCTGTGACATAGACAGCGAAGCTCAACTAATTAAATACTGGAAGCAGTAAGGAAGACAAAACTATGAAAGAAAAATCAATCATGATACAAATATATTTCTATATCGGTATCAAGAAAGCACTCAAATATTCTATATCTTTGCACCCCACACAATATGCATGTGACCATGACAATAAATGTAAAACAGACATTTCTATGCTTAAACTGGTAAGACAACAATTAGAAATCTGAAGTCAATGCCTAAATGGGTAACATAAATGATAAAAGAAAAAATAAGGAAAATACTAAATTTAACAGGAAGATAATTTGGAAAATATGGACACTAAAGTTATGAACCTTGTCACATTATTATTACAATGTATATGGGAGTTGATAAAACTTGAATTTTAAGTTTGAAGTAAATCCTCTGAAAAATAAAAGTTATCTTGAGCAAAAAATAACCTTTTTTATAAAAAAAATTCAAGGTTGGGGAGATAATTTTGATATATTGGCTAGAGTTAAAAACCCTATCACATATGATGTGGTTGATGAAGGAACATATATTTGAAGTTGATAACCTTCAGAAATAAAAAAGTTACAGTAAAAATATTTACTGTACAAAAAAATTTGCAACGAATTTCACCCGACAAAAACCTTCTTCCATATTCATTCAATTTACAAAAGCTGGGGTTTTTTCGCGACATTTTTTTGTTAATAATCAAAGCAAAGGATTAAATTTTTTTACGAAGGTTTTTAAAATTAAGTAAATTAGGTTTAATAAAAATTTTGCCAAAAAAGTGTTAAAATTTCAACCATTTTTAAGGTGATTTGATTTTTATATTACCAAGAAATTAAACCACGATTTAAAACCCACAAAAATCCTGGCTGATTTAAACCAAATTTTATCCACAAATTAAAGTTTTTATTTCCGTTTATTATCATTTTTTCTTCTTTTTATGGGATTGATAAAGGGACTTGCAAAACTTTAATATATTCATATTTTAAATAAATGACATCAGATACACCCACTAACGATTCACATAAAATCATGGTACGCCCTTGTTTTTTTTCTTTAATTGTACATTCAATAAAATCTCCAATATTTTGATGTGTGCCAATTGGCAAAATTTTTATTTTTTAAATAGAAATTAAAAATCCTATAGTGACGTATTTTCAATAAAATTTGCCGTGTTGCTAAATATTTGATAGTAAATATGTATGTTCCAAAAATGCGAATAAACCTAGTTTTCAATTTTAAATACTGGGTTGCCTATGCGATCTTTCGGACAACCTTGGCAGTATAAATATAATTAACCAAAATTGCTGAACACTGAATCTGATGCCGATTTCGGCACCCAGTGAGTAGGATTATTCTCCTTGTAACGTAAATATAATAATAAAAAATAATTCAATGATGACAATGAGCAGACTGCCTTTAAAATAATCTACAATATTTGCAATTTCTTAACATAAAAATATCCCCCATCAAAAATTTCCAGGCAAATAATGTTTCCTCCAAACTGTGATTATTAAAGAGACAAGATAACTTACCATGAACAAAGAAGAATAAATATCCAACTCCAAACACCAGACATTTCAACATTTTTTCTCTTATTTCCATTTCTTGTAAGATTTCTGCTGCAACTGCTGATTTGTCTTACTTGTTAATGTTTAAATTAAACAAAGTTGTGTATTTATAGTAGTAGAAGTACTGTATCAGAGTAGCATGGAGAGGCCCTGATCAGGGATTTATATGTAACATTTCTTACATAATCTACTTCATTCATTGATACATACACTAGACAAGAAAACATTGCAGGAAGTTTGCCAGTATATATAGATTGTTTCAAGTGGCTACAGGCATTAAGTGTGTGACTTTGTATTTAAATCACTTGATTAAACAGACATTATGCTTGCTATTATTTATATAATGAAGGATTATAGGCAAAATTTGACTCAACTTTTCTCCATCAGGTTCGCCAGACTGGTTTTATAATATTTGTAAACAAATGATAACAATAGTGACCAGTCTATTGTCTCTTACCAGACTCTTTTTATTTACAAATGACCAATTATACTTCTTTTCAGACACTAGAGAATTTGTAAGGTGAATTTTCATTAAGAAAAATGCCCTCTAGTGCTAGTGTAGTACTTACATAAGACTTGTATAATAGTTATTTCCCATAGCAGGAATCAAACCTGAACAGCAAAGAAAGTCAAGTGATTTGAAATTTGAGTGACATTTGAGATTTAAGACTCTTATTGGTTACTGATTTGATAATATAAACTATGTGACAGTGAATTTAATGTCCCGACAAATAAAAAAAAAATAAATCATTCAAATTGAAATGGTGCAAAATATAAAACTGTCAACACTAATGTACAGTTTCTGGAATGTTTATATAGATATATAGGAAGAATTAAATTTTTCTATTCCATTGAATTTCTTTAAACTTGGTATGTTGTTGGAATATAATGACAGAAATATTTTAAGCCAAAAAAAAATGGGTGTCACCAATCTCACTTTTGAGTTATCTGCCCTTGAATCAGAATTATTTGCTTATATCAGGTCATTTTGAGGGCAGCTAACAAAACATATAACATGCAATTCCATAAATTATTATAACATAACTGTTTTATCGCATGATAAATAGAAATAACAATTTTGATATGACATAAAATTTTAATTTATATTTTTTCTTGCATTAATAAATTAAATTTCTACTTGGAACTTTGATTACTTTTTATCTGAATTTTATTTTTTCTTATTGTAAACACCGAAACAAGAGAGCCAATCAGAAGCATAGTGGATGGCTAACAGACACATAAATACATTGCTGTAAAGAATTATGACATACTAGTACTATATATACATGTAAATATAAAATAAATTAACTTGCTATGGCAGAAGACAATATCAAAACCATTTGTTATTAAAGACAGTCACTCTACGATTGAGAAATCTGGGTTGGATACCTGGGCTAAAGTTGGTCACTCTGTAACTATTGGTCAATGTAAGATATTAGCTTTACTTAATACTACCTCTAACAAAAACTGGATTCTACAATTATAAATTTTTACACAACTGAGGGCTTTGTGGGAAAATAATTTATTCATACAGTCAATGTATTGAATTAGTTCTTAATCGTAAATTATATAAATCAAATAGTTATAGCAGTATGCAGGTGCTTGCCACATGTCCCTTGTTATTTACTCAGAATAAAAATTCAGCTGTTAAATATATCTAAGACTTTTGAGTAACTTTGAAATATCTTACATGTGTTTTACACACTTTGCCAGATAGGAACTTCATTCACAGCACATTTTTACATCATTACATATTCTGTGAATATTTCTAAACTTTCAGTTCTAAAAGGTAAGCACATTCATGAGAAATATATATCTGTAATGCAATGGTAACAAAATATTATCTGAAATTCTATTCAATACTATCAAAAGGCAGTTTTGAAGAAAAATAAATATAAAACCAGAAATATCACTGAGTATTTTTCTTTATATAACATATGAAAAGATAAACAACTGGGCATAATTCTGCCCAAAGTGATCAAATCACAAAACTCAGAGCATTTGATGATAATACTTATGCTTAATGCTAGAAAAGAACAGTGAAATGTTACAAACTGAAGTCTATACAAGTATACAAGTAATATACCGTAACTATGTGAAAAGGGGCAAAATGATCACATTAAAAAACCCTGACAATGTGCACTGGGGCATTAAGTGACCAAAACTTCTGTAAATATTTGGCGAAATGCAGAAGTTGCACACTAAAGATATTTTATTTATGCCTGCCCAGACAGCCCCATGGTAGCATGTCATAACACATACTAAAGGAAATATAATGGGCTATGTCAAGGCATTTTAAACATTCATTTGTTGTCTTGAGTAGCATAATTGTAATTAAAATGCTGTATTCTTTGAAATCTGTACATCATTTACAATGTTTTCAAAGCATATTTGCAGTTTATCTACGATTCTCATACATATATTTCAACTGCCCATGCTTTTCTTATCATTAATTAATAAGTTGTTTTGCCTTTACATATAAAGTGTAACATTAACATATTTCAACATATCCTGACATTATAAGTATAGTCCAAGAAATCTGTGAAATAATTTGCACCTTCTGTGAAAAAATGAAACTTGGCATGGTGAATTATTACTTGAATCCTGTTACTTTTCTTAAAATCTTAGTACATTTTTCTCAAGTTTGATTTTCTTGAAATATTTTGGCTTATCTGAAGGCTTGCAACCATACAAAAAAGTTTATATAAATCCTATGAGACACATATGTTTATATCCAAACTGTAGCGAACGCTTTTAAACAATGTTATATATATGTTTGTTTTTTGGTTTTACGTCACAGCGTCACAGTATAGGTCATATCGCGACGTTCCAGCTTTACTGGTGGAGGAAGACCTCAGGTGCCCTTCCGTGCATTATTTTAGGCACGAACGGGCACCTGAGTAGAACCACCGACGTTCCGTAAGCTAGTTGGATAGCTTCCTCACATGAAAGAATCCAAAGTCCCTGTCGGGATTCGAACCCACAGCGGTGAGGGGCAATAGGTTTGAAGTCAATGACCTTAACCACTCAGCCACGCGGACGCCCCTTTATATATATGTGTGTGTGTGCGCATGAGTGTGTGTGTATATATATATATACATGTATTATATGTAATTTTTGTAGTCATTTTTAACTTTGGCACCTATGTTGATATTTTTTTGTAGATTATCTTCATGCAGATATGTTTTTACAAATATGTGATATGAAAATAGGCAATATGTTTTTACAAATATGTGATATGAAAATAGGCAAAGCATATCAATGGGGAAGTCAGATAAAAAAAAATTTGTTCATTCTACTTTTTTCATTTTAAATGTGGTATTTCGTATTTCACACACCAACTCAACAATTATTCTTTAGCCGAAAAGTTGTGACTGTTCTGTAATCAGAATACCTTGCCAATTATCATTGATTTACATTATAAATGGCGGCGCCAAACACTGAAAATTTCACTGATGTGTACAGAAATCTATATATATTTTAAATCGTTTTTATTTGATTTTATTTTAAATATTTAATTAAAGGGTTCCACTGAGGTTTTTTGACATGATGGGACTGTAAATATTTTTTCCAGATAAATGTACCATTTGATGTAGGTTTAGACCACTAATCTTTGTGCAAAATTTCAGATCATGCAGATATGTTTTTACAAATATGTGATATGAAAATAGGCAAAGCATATCAGTCAGATAAAATAAATTTGTTCATTCTACTTTTTTCATTTTAAATGTGGTATTTCGTATTTCACACACCAACTCAACAATTATTCTTTAGCCGAAAAAGCGTTTAAACGCTTTTCACTCAAATCGGGCTAAGAAAAGCCTAAAAATACGATTTTCAATTTATTTCAAAGTATATTTCTTGACTATCTTTGCATATAATTCTGTTTAAAGTGCCCTAGCTCATATATGCAAGAAATTCAAATGTATGTTTTTAGGCTTTTAAACCTCAGTGGAGTCCCTTTAATATAAATATTTAGTCCATAGCTTGGCAAACCAAAGCCCAGACCCGCCTTTGACTTCCCCATAATATAATAAATTACTGCAATTTCATGCTGTACTAGTAACTACTACAGCTTAAAAACTATAATATTCTGAAAATTTTAATATGGCGATCATCTTGGATTTGGTGGCCATATTGGATTTGCACACCCCGGATTGCAGGCTTAAATGAAAAGTATTTTATCAACCAACAACTGTGCAAAGTTTCATGCTTTTCACAGGAGGTGCACAATTACATGTATATGCCAAATTATGCACAGATAAGCTTGAATTATTGGTCCAAATTATGTGTACAATTTCATTAGGTGGTATTGTCATTACAAATATATAATGTTAAAAATAATTGTAAATAGGAATATAGATGTCAACTCCAATTAAAAATATAACCTTTTTTTATTTTAATTCATAAAATTACAGCATTTCGACCAAACAGAAAGTCTTCATCAAGTCTACAAAAATCAAAGTCTAATAACAACAAAATGTAATATTTGTAATAAGTCATATTAAATCAATATGCAGAGTCTTAATCAATGATACAAAAACAAAGGAAAATAATATGCGTTAAAAACCAAGAAAAAGGTGATGATAAGAAACAGTCATTAGTTTGAAGTCTAAATCTCTAGCTAAAGTTAAAATAGTTTACACTGCTTTTATCAGAAATCTATAGGGGACCTGATGTCTCTGAGAGGACAGCTCTCCAGTCAAGTTACAAGTCACAAGCTTTGTTACAGGATTTTGGACAAGTCCTGAAAAAACTTTCAAATATTGAGAAAAAGGCAATTTAACTTTTAAGAGGAACAGAGGTGTGTTTCTCTTTACCCATGGCCTACTAGAGTGTCAAGCATATTTTCCTATACAACAATAGTCATGGTTGGTTAATAATCAAGTTTAATTAAACATAACAAATATGTTTAATTTAAACTTTTATTTGGAACACTTGTGGAAATCTCTAAAAAAAATTGAAAAATTACTGCATTCTAAGCTACACAACACATCTTACAGCAGGGCCTCATTATTTCTTACCAGAAACTTTTATCACTAATTAATTGTGCCTTGCTATAAGATATTAAGTGTTTGAATTGGCTGTCCTTTGTACTAATCTAATAAATGGTTAAATTGGGGTCACAGCGAGTTACAACATTCAGTCAGGAAATAAAACAAATCTCTACAGTATATTTTTTTTATTTAAAGCAGCACGCCTCGAGATTTATGTGAATTTTCATGAAAATTTTGAAAATGTATTTGAATGTGTAATATTGTGAAGTAACCAAAAAGAAGCATTTTACACATTATCTAATACACTTACAAACCATGTTAATTACCAAAAAGTGGTCAAAAGATGCATAAATAGCCTTAACTGCATTAGTAATGCATTAAATATAGTTGTAAATACTGAAAAATCAGTCATTAATCACACATAATGATGTAAAATATTACTTGAAACCTTTTACTTTTCCTTACATCTTACCAGTTAAAATTTTTTCTCAAGTTTGGTTTTATTGAAATATTTTGTCTCATCTGGAGGCATGTAGCTTTAAGTGTACAGTAGATGAAAGAGTTTACTCAAGTGTTGCACTATAGACTGTTTGCTATTTGCTACCAGTCAATGTCACTTTTTCAAAGTAAATAAAAGGAGAACAAATCTTAGTGAGTTAATTTTTTCTCAGTCCTTGGTTGTAGAATAAAAACAGGTCCTTGAAAATTTGTAAGTAAATAGTGAATAATAAATTATGAAACTTGATTGTGAATTTCTTTTTTTTATATATAATCATTTTAATAATGACTATATTAATAATTCAAGATCACATTACATAAAGATACCTTTGTCAAGGAAAACATGTAAAAGGTCATGAACAAATATTGCTTGTCTCAATGTTATCAAACAAATTCGTTGAATTTATATCCCCCGCCGAGTACTGATTATTCCTAACACAACAACTGGAGACATAAGGCTTTATTTATATATTTATCATGGCATTAAAAGTAAAAACAAGGCAACGATATGCACATCTCCTCTTGATATTGAAGGTTCCCATAGTTTCATTGAATTCCACGCAGTAGTTGCATAGAAATAGCATGGAAACAATTATTGCTCTATATGCATACTGCATAACTAATCAAGGGCCATAACTCTGAGTTAAAGGGTCTGACCAAAACAAGGGGACGATATGCGCTTTTCATGTTTAGAGGTTGTTTAGGAAATATCACATTTAACTACTTACTCCTCCTTAACACAATCCCCTAAATGAAAACCTGTCGCAAAGCAATGTTTCCAAATCATATAACTTAATCTCAGTATGTAATAAACATATACGGTAGTATTGTAGTATTTCTATTATTTTAAAAATTTTGACATTACAGCTAGGGCACAGTAGCTTGTTAAAGACATAGGATCATGATAAGTGCTGACATAGATACTAGTACCATGCTCACCTAGTTGATGGCATTGTACTTGTAGCCGAAAAATGAATGAAAAAACAAAGAAACAAAAAAAAACAAGAGGGCCATGATGGCCATGAGGTCGCTCACCTGTATATAGGCCCCCCACCCCCGGGCCAATTTTTACCCAAGGGCTTTTATTTGTTTATTTGAACAGACTTGGTAGACACCCATAAGAAGATGTTTCATGCTAAACATCTAAGTTCTAGCTCATTGGCATTTTTAAAAGAAGATTTTTAAAGTTTTTACTATACACATATAGTAGTTAAAAACAATGTCACCCCTGGGGCAGGGCCAGTTTTGACCCCCTGGCATTTATTTTAACAAACTTTGTAGATATACTTAAAGATGTTTCATGCCAAATATCTAAACTCTAGCTATTTGGGTTTTTCCAAAGAAGATTTTTAAGTTTTTGCTATACACATATAAGGAAAATAAATGACCCCCCCCCCCCGGGCGGGGCCAGTTTTGACCCCAGGGCTTTTATTTGAACATACTTGGTAGACACCCATTAGAACATGTTTCATGCCAAATATCTAAGCTCTAGCTCTTTGAGTTCTTTAAAAGAAGATTTTTTAAGTTTTTACTATATGCATATAGGGAAAATCAATGACCCCCTGGGTCGGGGCCAATTTTGACCCAAGGGCTTTTATTTGAACAAACTTGGTAGACATTCACTAGAAGATGTTTCATGCCAAATATCTAAGCTCTAGCTCTTACGGTTCTTTAAAAGAAGATTTTTTAAGTTTTTACTATATGCATATACTGGGAAAATCAATGACCCCCAGGGGCGGGGCCAATTTTGACCCCAGGGCTTTTATTTGAACAAACTTGGTAGACACTCACTAGAAGATGTTTCATGCCAAATATCTAAGCTCTAGCTCTTATGGTTTTTTAAAAGAAGATATTTAAAGTTTTTTCTTTTGGTTGCCATGGCAACCAGAGTTCTGCATGGAATTAAATTCTTTGAACAATTTTTAAAGGTGACCACCAAAGGAACATTCCTGTGAAGTTTGGATGAAATTGGCTCAGTGGTTTATGAGGAGATGTCATTTAAAGCAAAAGTTTACGGACGGACGGACGGACGACGGACGGACGCCGGACGAAAAGCGATCACAAAAGCTCACCCTGTCACTTTGTGACAGGTGAGCTAACAATATAAACAAAAATACTGACACTATTACAGTTTATAAGAGAAGTTGGTAAGTTGAGGTATTCACATGCGGTTTTAAGGTAATATGGTATCCTGCCATATAGTTTTAGAAAAAAACTTTCACTTCATGTCTCCTAAATGCTTGTTAAGTTCATGGGACTGTACAATATGATGATTTCTACTTTGATAATCTACTTAAATGTCATGTCAATATGAGTAAACAATCACAGTATAATTGTAAAAGGAATTTATGCCAATACATTATTGATCAATTTTCCTCTTCTTTCCAATCATAATATCTGAAAAGTGAACAAAACATATTTGAGTGGGGGTGTAGTGTGTTAAAAAAAAGGTTATTTTCTAGTGTGTTTTTATCAGTTCAATAAATTACTTTCTCATGTTGTTGTTGCCACTTGTATGTACATATAACAAAACAATTGATTGCCATGGGCAACATCAATATAGACTGGTGCTTTTCTCTTTAATCTCTCCAGTTGTTTTTTTTCTGTTTTTTTTTTTATAAATATGAAAATCGGAGCATTACAAAAAATCTTACATTAAACTTTTACAGAAAATACAATATTTTATTTTATATCATTAAATGTTCTCAAGCACAAACTGCACAACTGTATTATCATCTTAAGTTAATGGTAAATTAGGACTAATGATAATGGCTATTATATTTGGTAAATGATTATTTGCTATGTATGCAAGAAAAAACCTTTTCAATTTTGATTTTACCTCAAGACATTTCCAAATAAATCAGACTCACCATTTGATATACCAGGATTCTGTAAATGTTTTTCTTTTATATTGTATTTTAAGTTGATATTCTGTTGTGGTGAAGGATTTTGGACGACACAATATAGATCTTGTTCCATGTCTATGGACTGGTTCCAAACGGACAATTCATCTAAAATCACAACAAAATAATATTACATCATCAAAATAAATAATATGAAAGGAACACACCAAACGCTGGAACAAGTTAAAATATTTATCTAAAACCTACTAGTTTTGGGTATTCACCACCTTTTTTCAAATCTCATACAAAAGTATTACATGTATCTTCTAAATAAAAACATCTGACTGTATATATCACAATCTAAGAGACCATTTTTCTTGATAGTATATAAATACAGGAGGGCTTTGGTGGTCCTCTATCACTTGATAAAGGGGAACAACCTATAAAATGGAAGATTGTTAATCTTTATCAATAAGACAACAAATTTTGGAACAGTTTTTTCCTAGAAGTCTAAAGATATTTAATGTTTTCTCAAAATATACAGAAGGATCACCATCTTTTTTTTCAAATTCGGCAAAACAAAAATATTTTAACAATCTTTGTCAGTTTTGCACAAGTCTCTTGTGTGAAAATATATCAAACAAGAGCTGTCGGTAGGACAGCACGCTCGACTATTCTAAGTGCTTGATAGTAGAAGAGCCTTGATACTGTTAAATTTTTTAAGATCACAAAAGGGCTAATTTTTTTTTATAAATTCATGTTATAGGCCTTAGAGAGAGTATTGGCTTGACTATTTGGAAGGTAATGTCAAAAGGGTGTTTTATTGAGTATAATAATACTAATTACCTATGAATACATAAATTTGACAGAAAAGGTACAAAGGTTTCTAATTAAGATGTTTTATCAAGTAAATCACTGCTTTTTTATTATGAATGCATAAAATTGTCCCAAAAAAGGCACAAATCCTTCAGTAGTAATTGAGATAACAGCTTACAAGCAAAACTTTACCATGAATTTCTAAGTTGAAAAAGGGGAGAAAAATCAGCCTAAATGCAAGATAGAATTATGGATCTTTGTCAGTGACCTACAATTATGACCCTAAATGCATATGTGAAGTTTGAAATAAATATCTTTAATAGTTATTGAGATATGTAAAACTTGCATGTAAACATTAACCAAGAGACTAAGTAGAAAAGGGGATATGAATCAGCCTTAATGCAAGATAGAGTTATGGAACTTGGTCAGTGACATACAATTATGACCTTCCAATTATGACCCGAAGTGCATGTGTAAAGTTTCAAGTAAATATCTTTGAAAACCTTTAACCAAAGTTCTAAGTTTCAAAGGGGCAAATAATTCTGCAAATATTGCAGGCAGAGTTATGCAATTTCGCAAACTGATGTACATTGTTACTATAAAAAAGTATTTTAAATTTCAATTGAATATCTCAAGCAATAATTGAGATATTTGACTTTACAAAAAAACTTTAACCAAAATTCTAAGTTCCAAAGGGGCATAATTCTGTCAATATTGTAGGCAGAGTTATCCAACTTGTCAATCTGATGTACCTTGTTACTATAAATAAGTATTGTAAGTTTCAATTTAATATCTCAAGCAATAATTGAGATATTTGACTTTACAAAAACTTTAACCAAAATTTCTAAGTTAAAAAGGGGCATAATTCTGTCAATATTGTAGGCAGAGTTATCCAACTTGTCAATCTGATGTACCTTGTCACTATAAATAAGTATTGTAAGTTTCAGTTGAGTATCTCAAGCAATAAGTGAGATATTTGACTTTACAAAAAACTTAAACCAAAATTTCTAAGTTAAAAAGGGGCATAATTCTGTCAATATTGTAGGCAGAGTTATCCAACTTGTCAATCTGATGTACCTTGTTACAATAAATAAGTATTGTAAGTTTCAATTGAATATCTCAAGCAATAATTGAGATATTTGACTTTACAAAAAACTTTAAACAAAATTTCTAAGTTAAAAAGGGGCATAATTCTGTCAATATTGTAGGCAGAGTTATCCAACTTGTCATTCTGATGTACCTTGTCACTATAAAAAAGTATTGTAAGTTTCAATTGAATATCTCAAGTAATGATTGAGATATTTGACTTTACAAAAAACTTTAACCAAAATTTCTAAGTTAAAAAGGGGCATAATTCTGTCAATATTGTAGGCAGAGTTATCCAACTTGTCATTCTGATGTACCTTGTCACTATAAATAAGTATTGTAAGTTTCAATTGAATATCTCAAGTAATGATTGAGATATTTGACTTTACAAAAAACTTAACCATCGCAGACGCCGACGCTGACGCCGACGCCGGGGCGACTACAATAGCTCTCATATTCTTCGAATAGTCGAGCTAAAAATGGACCAACACATTTCACCATGAAGATTTACAACATTTTCTTTACATGCATATACAAAAATGTGACTCCTTTCTTGGAAAAGATTTTAATCTAACAAAGGAAAAATATGTTTTTTATCGCTATGTAAAATGAGAAAAATAGATTTGTATTATAAAGTTTAAGAAGAAAGAGGTCATATAATGAGATAATTTTAAACAATTAAATGTAGTTGCAGAGGTTTTTCTACATGACATTGTCTGCAATCCTTAAAATTAAAAAAAAATCTAGATTTTGGAAATAACAAAGACCCTTCATCTTGGTGTAAGAAACCTTTAAACTAAACTTACCATAATTATCCTCTGCCACAAGACCATTATTTGTATTACTGTTTATTGATTGAAATGTTGGAACTTTGGCAGAATTACAGGCAGGTGTTGATGTTGCAACAGGTAAACCTAATAATGATACAGTATTACCATGTATACATATTTATTGCATATCAGACAGGATTATCTACCGTTTACACTGATGCTAGAAAAACCTGTTTTTCGTCCCCCCCCCCCATGTAACAAAAGTCACATGCTTTAAATGACATCATTGCTGCGTGCCTTTTATTAATGAATTGCGTTCTTAGGATGACGTCATTTTACCGTTATGAACTTAGTTGTAACTTCATACCCTTCTATGAGAAAAAAGTGCGTTATAGGAATATCAGTTTTCGTAATTTCTGTTCTGAAAATAACTAATATGTAATATGCAAGAAAAAGAATCAAACACTGGCTGTCGGTACAGACAGGAACATCTAGTTCTCGGGTATCTGTTAAGCGAAACTCTGCAGAGCATCGTTACCACCATAAACAGTTACCCTCGTCGAGCTAGATATTCCAGTCAGTACCGGCAGCCAGTGTAAGATTCTTATAATATATCACCAATGTTTATACAGCTTGTTCTATACAGAGTTTCTATTAACATGTCATGATGACTCAAAATCACACACGTATAGTTACTGCTGACATTTTTGAAGCAGGATAATTACTCCAATATCTAGACACAAATATTTAGCTATTAATAGTAAAGAGCATTGACAGACGGCACACTTGTGCAGCTTGCCTTTCTCTATACCTAACATTATAATGAATGATATATCTAACATTATAATGAATGACATAATCAATTTAACACACGCAGATTCCGATGACATAAAAAGAAGACTTAAATGTTCTTTCCTATACTTGGGTTTGTGAGTCAAGTATTCAACTGACTGGAACCATCTGAATTAATACATGTATATAGGTTTCATACAAATTCCATCAAATTTTATCCAGGGGTTTCAGAAGGTGTTGGACAACAGTCAAACTACTATTGATCAAAGATTGGCCATCTTTTGATGGTTTACTTAAGGCAAACAGGGAGAGGTTTAATGCTAGATATTAATCCATCTAAATACCTAATCTTAACTTTGTTTTACTTCAAATATGAATATTTTCTAAGCTCTTATATTACAACACCTACAAATGAGAGCTCTCAAGTTACATAATACACCAAGGAGTTGCTCATATCATCTTAAAGAATGTGAATATGAAATGTACCTAATTCTTCTGGGCTTGACTCTTGCCTCTCCTTTACTAAACCTTTCTGGAATTCCATCTGTTTCATTTTCTGTCTCATAATTCTTTCATGTTTAGGTAAAAGGTCTGATTCTCTGCAGGATTATATAAAATATGTTACACACAGAATGTTAGCTACAAGACAAGAAGGGGTTTTATTAAAAATACATATGTCTCCCCTAAGGCTCCCACATTTACAATTTTTTGTAAACGTTTACACGATTGTTAAGAACCGAAATGATGCCGTTTAAACGGTGGTACTTCTATGTACTATACTACACCATGTATTCAAGTCGCCAATTGCTGACTTACTTTCTATTTTTAATACATGTACAAATAAATAATGTTCAAGGCTCATCACAATTGAGTCGGCACATATTTTCTGCATTGTATCCCCATTTCGCTCATTTGAAAGATCAAAGGAAAATCAACTTTACAAAAAATGTATTATGTCACGAGCGATTATTGCATGGTAATGCTGTGTGAAGGGTTGTAAACACCCATTTTCCGTTTTTTACTTTGGAATAAATTAATTAGAATTGATAGAATTCATGATTACAGGCAATGATTAAGATATTTTGTAAGACAATATGGTCATTTCGATTAAACGGTAAAAAATATCGTAAACGTTTATGAATGAAAATCGAAACGAATCCGTTTAAACGTGTAACCGTGGGGGCCTTAGTCTCCCCCATATGTACTCTAAGAATTGAACAGTGGCATGTAAATCCTGTCAGCAGTTTGACCTGATAACCCTTAACCTCATATATACGCGAAACCACGCACTTTCAACACCCCCCCCCCCCTTTTAGGCCTCAAATAGTGAAAAAATGTCCAATTTGGGCCCCCAACACATGTGAGCACTTTTTCGGTGCCACCCCCCATCCAAAGGAATGAGAATATTTTGGACTTGTGAGAGGCTAAAAATGACCCCAGGTCAATCAAAAGGTAACGTGTAACCAACGCTGAAAAGCCTTTGACTTTATCTCAATCCATTGAGAAGTTGCAGCACTTTGAAATAAATTTTGATGGAAAAAATCAAGGCAAAATAGTGATTTTTGGCACTTTTGAGATGTCCCCTCGTTGCCATGGTAACAGGAAATTTAAAACTGAGCATGTCCTTACAAAGGCAATGGTCCAGTCAACAATTGTGCCAAGTTTGATTAGTATTGAAGCATTTTTCATAGTTTCATAGCAGTTTGAACTTGTAACACGAGGCTTTTCATTGAAAATGGCCATTTTTCACATGCTCATGAGGGAAAGGGTTAAAGCAGGACAAGATTTTTCTATTTTTAGTTATGGTGGCCATTTTGTTCCGCAAGCAAAACATGCACCAGGCTTGATAATGATTACCCCTGTAAAGTTTCGACAAGGTTAATCTATTTTTAGTTCTGGCAGGTACATGTTTTTTGTTAAGCGAAGAGAAACATGCTGGCAAATTTCTTGACAAAGATTGGTACTGATTAAAATCATTAATCCTGTGGTGTCTGCTTGAAATCTCGACGGCAGTTTGACCTGTGAAAATCTGACTTGGTTTTCTATTTTCAGATCTGGGGCCATTTTGTGCATGGAAGCAGAATGTTTGACCTGTGAAAGCTTGACAAGCTTAATGTGGATTGACGGACAGACAGCAAAGCAAAAACATATTATGACCATTTCAAATTCTTTCTTTTTTGTGTCTAATGTAACCTTATAAATTTTATACTTAAAATCAGGAATAAACCCTTACAACTCCAATTTGTCCATTTGGACACAACAAGTCATATCACAAAGTCCACAATTGATCTATATGGCTTCACAATGAATGAGAATGTGTACGTAGTAGGCTAACATTTGTCAGTATTATCTGTTTAATTAAATGGACATTAAACTGACTAAATATTGTTTAATTGTGGCATTATTTTCATTCTTTTAACTGGCTTTATTTTGAAATACATAAATACATAATATATGAGAATACAGGTTGCATACAAATAAGACTAACATATAAAGTAAGTAGATATTTCTAAGTCTTAAAAAGAAACAATTTCATTTTTCATTCAAAACACTGAAAAGTGTAAAAAAAACTGCCAGCGTGCCAAGTGGTTAACAAGTCGGACTAGTTCTCTGAAGATTGCTGACCCCGTGAGTTCAAACCCTGTCAGATGCAAGCTTTTGTTTCCTTCAGCAAGACACTTTATGGTCGTTGCTTAGTACTGGTTGGTTCCAGGAACGAATTCGAGTGTTTCAATAAGCTTATAGCTTCCAATACAATCAAACTAATAATAAATTTGTATAAGACTAACATATACCGTATAAGTAGTTTTTTTTCGCGGTGACTTTATTTCTGCGTTTTCTGCAGTCAGTTTCGGCACCGCAGAAATAAAAACCGCAGAATATTTCTCTTACCTGCTACGATATGTATCCTACATTGTGACCTGTTTCGTCTAAAGTAATAACGACAAACAGATTATAACGGTTAGCGGGTTTTCAAGTTGTATAAAATTACTGTCGGCTAAGTATGTAATGTGTGTTTGTAAGGATGTACTTATTGTTAATTGTGCTAATTTAAGAATAAAAATATTTCAAACCATTCCAACCCTTATACTGCTAAATAATCGTTGTTTACTTAAATTGTCATCTGATACGATACGGTAAACTTCTATCATTTCCTTTAAATTAAAGATCATACTTCCGGGGTATATTTTTCACACGTTACTTCACGCTGATCAAAGATGTATACCTTTCTATTGTTGCGCATTATATTTGTTAGAAAGCAAACAATATAATTGTTTGTAATTACTATACAGTTTTGCGGTGACGATGATAAACAAATGCGAATGAGTACATGCAAATATAATAGATAGGGTAATGTGACTTAGAATTTGATAATACGAGTCGCAGAATTTAAATCATGTTTTGTCCAAAGAATGTGCCGCAGAAATAAAGTCCGCAGAAATAAAAACATGCCAAAATTTGGAAAAACCGCAGAATTTTGAGCCCGCAGAAAAAACCACTTATACGGTAATACCAAAGAAAATTGTATAACCTACCTAGTATTTGCTAAATCTGTTGCAGAAGATATGTTATTTCCACTAACAGACACAGACTTCTTTAAATGACTAGTTCCAGTATTTTCATATTTAATTTCACAAGTTTGTTGGTTTCTATTCATATTCACTACATTTTCACAAGACAAACTTTTTGACTTGTGTTGTAAATGTCTTACTGATGTAGCTGTAATTTTATCACTGCCAGTATGGCCAATTGTCTTTTCTTCAGTGTCATTACATGACTTCAACTCCTGCACATTTGGTGAGAGATTTTGTAAAACATTGTTCTGAGTATTGTTTCTTATTCTATCAGCAGTTCTAAGTCCAGCACTCCTGGCTTTTTCAATTGTTGGATCCAACATTGTATGCTTCATTTCATCTAAATTAAACTGTTCCGGTGGCTACAAAAATTAAATATATTTAGGAAATAGATAGAGGATATTCATTTTCTTTCTATAAATACAGAATTTATTTAATAATCAAGTGGTATGAAAATAAAATTTCATAACTTGATAAGTAGCGGGAGTCTCAGTCTATTTTTAGTTTGGGAAAATCTAATTCAACCAGTGAATATCACCCAGTGAATATGATTTTATAAATTGTTCTGTTTGTACCAATGAGATTGCAGCTATATTTAGATCATATAACAAATTTATTTAAATAAAAGATGAAATTAATCAAATTGGTATATACTAATCATTGGTTACCACAGTATAAAGTTTTAAGTTTGGTGCAGCATATACAATACACCAAGATAATATCTTTTCTAATGTGTAAGACTAAAATTTCATGTACAATTAGAAGAAAACTATTTATGGCCCAGAAGACAACTTACTTATGGTAAGTGCATCAATTGTGGTTAACCACAATGAAAATAGTGTGTTATAATTAGGGATGGCAGCCAGTTACTTGCTAATCAAGTACTTGACAATTGGTTACAAAACTGATACTAAAGTACTCCGTAAAAAGTGCATCACTACATTTTTCCTTGAATAGTCAAATAAAATAATTTAGCATTTCCTAGTTATATCTCCACTATAAACGTCTTAACTTGTTAAATGTATCAAAATCCTTGTAGAAGTGCTAATACTATATTTCAAATAACAATTGTTAACAAATGCAGGCATTAAAATATTTGACAGGAGTACAACAACAACTGTCGCTAAATTCAATTTTGGCCACATATGAAATTCAATTACCAGTGTGTCACCTTAATTTGTTCCCATGAATTAGATATATAAACCACTTAATAGATTATTGCTTTTAATATCACCATATTTAAGTAAAAACTTAAACCAAAATCAATTTTCTTTTTTCAAGATGCATTCCTTACTAATGCAGTACCACTTAATCTGTGTATAGAAAATATTAAAATAGAAAACAATGGTGTATTTCAGAAAATGTCATTACTGTGATATTCAGTCTTTGTTCTCATTACAATATGCCAGAAATAAAAGATAGAAGTAGATAGATCTATAGATTATAGTTATGTACTTAAAAAGTCCGAAGAAATCTTCAGAGTTAATGGGTAATTGATTATAGGAATGACTGAATATTTAAATCAGAACCTTTGGCATCACTACCAACAATAAACAAGTTTCATTAACAATCCATACCAAGTTACCACCCTTTCATGTTACATGCACTTAAATTTCATTATCAAAGAGGGAGAAACTGCTTTAAACCTTTGCCAATACTAGTACATGTACTAAGTTATCTGATGTGAAACAAACCTTCTTGCCAGCTCTGTTAATACACTTTAAATAGTCTTTATCTCCCAAACAATTTCCCATTGCATTTCCAAAACTTCTGAAAAACAAATATTTTATGCCAATCATAAACAAAAGTAAAACAAAATCAAAATAAAACGAGATGTACTTAATACAAATGCAAATACACAAGTCCAAAATATGTTTATACACTAAAATAACAATGGCATGATGAATTTTCCAAAGTTTTGAAAATCTTACCTGAAAGTAAATGTTAATTAAAGGTCTAGGTAATAAATTTGTTTATCACACGTGCAGCTTTTATGACTGTAAAAAAGGTAGTGCACGGCCGTGCATATATTTTGACGTGATGTTCTTTTCGTTATATAAACATAGCGTTAAATGTTAGCGTTATAGGTGTGTCAGTGAAAAATGGTTCTTTTTCCCTTCAAACAGTCTTTATTTTTGGTTTTGTTTGTTTGTTTGTTTGTTTTGGGTTTTACGTCACATCGACACAGTATAGGTCATATCGCGACGTTCCAGCTTTACTGGTGGAGGAAGACCTCAGGTGCTTTATTTAATAGAATATTAAATTCATGTAAGTTTAATACTAAATTTATGAACTCATTCAATAAAATAATTTTTTGCTTGCCAGAGGCTTGCATAATATAATTTTATTCAGTTTGTTCAATAAATTCAGTGTAAAACTCATTCAATATCCTTTATACATGTTATCAAAATAAAGCTGTTATTATTGTATCAATTCTCTTGATAAACACTTCACAAGCCATTCATCATTCAATTAGTTAGTTTTGTTTAAAGCATTCAAACAACAGTTTTTTTATCATTTTGTTCTTTCTACTCTAACACATTTTATGGATTTATGTGTTATGGAGGGTATCAAATCTGATCAAACTTGAGTTACACAATGTTCAAACCTAAAGGAAAAGACCATCAAGTAGCAAATAAACCATAATCAAGTTCAGCTAAATTTAAACATAAATAACCTTTACCCTACCTTTATTGACTTCAAGAGGTCAATACAAAGTAGAAGTTTGTGCAAGGTACCTGCTTACCACAGACACTGCTATAGAGGTTCTATGTTACTGTTGACTTACTGAATTTTTCACCTTAATATCCCAAAAATTTATAATTGAAAGTTCCAACAAAAGCTGTTAGTAGGATGGTACACTCAACTATCCTCAGAGCTTGTTAGTAAAAGTTAAAACAAGAGCCTGGATAATATAAGAAGATTGTATCCACAAAAATACAAATAGAGCCTTAGATATTGATCAAAGAAGTATTTTAAGTCCTGTTCACAAAGGGCCTGATTTCATTTAAAATGCATGCAAGAGTTATGCATCTTGGAAAGTAATTTTGAATTGTTATTCAGATGGCATGTATCAAGTTTCAAGTACAATCAGCAGTTTTTTTCAAAAATTAATGTTGCAACCATGCCTTGGACACTGACCTGTTTTGCTTGCAAAACCGTAACCAGTGTTACGACCAAGCTAACATCCTGGTAAGTAGGACAGCCCTACTATTTTTTGAGAAGTCAAGCTAAAAATGGAAGCTGGACAAGTCAATTTAAAGAAATTCAGAAGGTTAAAGGATAGGAGAAAGCTAATTTAATGTTACAGAAAAAGGGCAAAAGAAAAATCAGTAACTTTCCTAGGGTGAAAACCTACTTCAGAGCTCTTTTCAAGCCATCAGTAACAGCTTCCTTTCTGGCCTTCTCTAGTGACAATGCTTTAGATTTCATTCCTTCACTGACACCATACCCAATATCTTCATGGTGAATACCATCCTGAAATAAATATATGAGCCGCATCACGACAAACCCAACATAGTGCGTTTGCGAACAGCATGGATCCAGACCAGCCTGCGCATCCGAGCAGTCTGATCAGGATCCACGCTGTTCGCTTACAAACCCTATAGCAAGTAGAGAAACTGAAAGCGAACAGCATGGATCCTGATCAGACTGCAAGGATGCGCAGGCTGGTCTGGATCCATGCTGGTCGCAAACCCATTATGTTGGTTTTGTCGTGACACAGCTCATATCTTATAATGATACTTCACTTCTCCATTCCTAATTTTTTTGTCTGGAAATGCAAAAAAAAATAATTTTAACACTTAACCTGCAATGTTTCTTAAATGAATGTGCGCAGCTTCCATTTTCATAACAGTCTATTGCTATTAAAGATATAAAAATAAAAATTTAAAGGTATTCAGCCAGATGTGCAGGCTGCCCTGGCTCTATACTGTTGTCTGAGGCTAATCACTGTCAGTTTCAGCAGATGAGGGGTTAAATCACATTCTATATATAAATCATTAATTTCACACAGTGAATATTTTAAAATCAAATTTATAATGTCTAAATCAATTTTATCACTTCACAAGATTTTCAAGATGAATGCAAGCATGAGTTTCCAGTAACAAAACAACTTTAGCTCAAGCATTTCATTACAAGAAAATAAATGAGAGAGTATAAAGTTTATCATTATATAATTATTATACATGCATTTTTTATAATGCCCTGTGTATTCAAATGTTTCTAATTTCTGTAGAACAGCTACAGAGGAATTCTAACATATTTAGTGTCAAGATTTATTTTGCTTCATAAATATTCACTTTATTACGTCCCTACCTGTCTAATTTTATGAAAGTGGTTCTATGAAGCACTATGAAAAATAGAAGGCGACTATGAACGAAATTTGATATAGTATCAATTACTATTCTTTTATGAAAATTAACACTGTTTTTTTTTTTAAGAAATATAGTGTTTTCATTGAAAGACAAATAAAGCTGGACACTAAATAATTGTTCTTCATGAAATCTTTAAAGTAAATTTACAATGTTACAAAACTTCATTTAACTGACAAATCCAGGGGCAACTCTAAAACCATTTTGTAGAAGAGAGTACATCTAGACAAACATGATCTTACCTTCAATACAACCTTGACAAAAGCACTGACCCCAACATAGTATTTGCCATTAAAATGGTCCACAAAATCTGTAACAATTACTTTAATGGTTGAAGAAATATACATTGGACATTAAAACACTGGATTATAACCTTAACTAAACCTTAAAATGGAAATTTTTAAATCTCACAGTTTTCCCCTAAAATTCAATTTAAATCAAGTTCTTACTTTTCCTTTTTGAAAAAAAATACTGTATTATCTTTTTCTCAAATTTAAGGGAAAGGCCCCTTTCCCTAGGTCTATGAAAAAGGCAGACAGATTAAAACTTTGGACACTAACTTTGAAAAAAAAAACACAGAAAAACAATACAATAATATAACATTATAAATAATTGTTTAATAAAACTAGAAATGTGTCCATAGGACACGGATGCCCCCTCACGCCACTGTTCTGTCAATCTTACATGTATGACTCTAGATCAAATATTTTTTGGACTACATGTGTCACAAGTTGAAAACTAAAAATCAACAAAGGGCCATAATTCTGTTAAATTTGGTCGGAGCAAAAATTCCTTCCTTGTACCATCTACACATTAAGGTTGTTAATCCCTGGAAGTTTAAGCAAAATCTGCCATCCGGTTTAAGAGGAGTTGCGTTCACAAAATTTCTACATAGTATATAATGAAAAAATCAACAAAGGGCCATAATTCTGTTAAATTTGGTCGCAGCAAAAATTCCTTCCTTCTACCATCTACACATTAAGGTTGTTAATCCCTGGAAGTTTAAGCAAAATCTGCCATCCGGTTTAAGAGGAGTTGCGTTCACAAAATTTCTACATAGTATATAATGAAAAAATCAACAAAGGGCAATAATTCTGTTAAATTTGGTTGCAGCAAAAATTCCTTCCGTAACTGCCATCTACACATTAAGGTTGTTAATCCCTGGAAGTTTAAGCAAAATCTGCCATCCGGTTTAAGAGGAGTTGCATTCACAAAATTTCTACATAGTATATAGTGAAAAAATCAACAAAGGGCCATAATTCTGTAAAATTTGGTCGAAGCGAAAATTCCTTCCTTTACTACCATCTACACCTTAAGGTCGTTCATCCCTAAAAGTTTAAGCAAAGTCTGCCATCCGGTTTAAGAGGAGTTGCGTTCACAAAATTTCTACATAGTATATAGTGAAAAAATCAACAAAGGGCCATAATTCTGTTAAATTTGGTCGCAGCAAAAATTCCTTCCTTTACTACCATCTACACATTAAGGTTGTTCATCCCTGTAAGTTTAAGCAAAATCTGCCATTTGGTTTAAGAGGAGTTGCGTTCACAAAATTTCTACATAGTATATAGTGAAAAAATCAACAAAGGGCCATAATTCTGTTAAATTTGGTCGCAGCAAAAATTCCTTCCTTTACTACCATCTACACATTAAGGTTGTTCATCCCTGTAAGTTTAAGCAAAATCTGCCATCCGGTTTAAGAGGAGTTGCGTTCACAAAATTTCTACATAGTATCTAGTGAAAAAATCAACAAAGGGCCATAATTCTGTTAAATTTGGTCGCAGCAAAAATTCCTTCCTTTACTACTATCTACACATTAAGGTTGTTCATCCCTGTAAGTTTAAGCAAAATCTGCCATCCGGTTTAAGAGGAGTTGCGTTCACAAGATTTTGGGACATACGGACTGACGGACGGACAGACGGACGGACAAGTGCAACGCTATATGCTCCCACATTGTGGGGGCATAAAAAACAGTATATAATCATACCAATAGTTTGATTGGTGACAGAGTGAGACCAGCCATTGAATCCAAACATCTCATTGGCTAAATTCACTAAACGCCATCCTTCTATATATGCAAGCTGAAATATGCCATACAAGTTGAGATAGATCATATAGGAGTGATTCCATTGATCTTTAATTGCAAAAAATGGCATAAATGAGAACAAGGATTGCAGTGTAATATTGTCAAAGAAATACATGTATATATACATTTATTATATTATGATACTTTATTGATGAAACAAAATGCGTATTTTCATTTTCTGTATTTTCACTGCAGTGAAGCATATTTTCTGTATTTTCACTGCAGTAAAACATATTTTCTGTATTTCCATTGGTGTCTGGCCAGACTTCGGTCTGCTAAATTCAGACAATATACGAAATATAAAATAAAGTCTTTCAAATTGTGATGTCAATAAGAGAAAAAAGTACAGCAATTTGTCAGTAAATTTGGTAATGACCCACTCATTAGTTCATGGAAAGAAGTTTACAGTTGCTAGACTGTTAAAGAGCCCCTCATTTGTTTCAACATAGTGACCTCATTTAATGGATATTAAAAAGAACATGGACAATGAAAAACAGAAAGTCAGTTTTCATATTGCATTGAGTATGTTTGTGTATGAAATAAATTGTTTAAATACTTTGCCCTTCACACCTTTTGGCCTCCAGCTCCGGCTCTCTGACTAATAAATTCTTGTCCTAATCTTTGTCTTAGTGCTGCTTGTATACTTTCATGTTCTTCTGCAGTAAACTCAATCTGAAAACAAAGAACCATATTATGTCTTGCATTGCAATGAGATGCATTATGGTAAAATTTAACATTCTTGTTTGAATAATACTTAACAGTGTTACACAAGAGTGAAACTGTTAGTTTTATCAACATTTCATATTAATAAACATAAAATTTACATATAGTTAGCAAATTAGACATGCCAAAAATATCAGCCTAGTTTCCCATTTTCTATCCTGACATGCCAGCTTATTTTATAGCCGATATAAGGTTATATTCCCAATAGTATATTATTTTCCCAATCCACAAAAAAATTGAAAGTCACAAAATAAAAATATTGAATAAAAATTCTAAAATGATTTTTTTGCATTAATTTAATCAAGATGCCATCCTAGACAGTGACAGTTTGTATTTATTTAATGCATTTTTTCCCATTTTTTATCAAAACATTGCTGAAATTCCCTATTCCACAAGTATTGGTCATGTTCCTAAAATCCCGGAAAAAAATCCTGCATGCCTTCTGCTATGTTGATATTCAACAAACAACTCATCTTTATGCATTTCTAGTAGATTCTATGCTGGAGTTTTAATCAAGTATTCAAAAGAATAATCATACAATACATGTTTCATGATTGCACTGACTGTTAAAAAAATTTTAGTTTTACAGATTTTGTTTCAGTCTGGCCTAAAAAAATTCAAGATGGTCCCCTATCTCAAGGCATGTGGGCACCCTTTTATACAAAACTTGATTGTCGATTTTCGAAAGTGTGTCTTAAAGCTTATTGCTTCCTACACAATCAACTAGAATAAATTCTATATAAAGCAAAACTAGACTGAACAGTGTGGATTCCCCATTTTTGTTAAAATGTTTAAAGTCTTTTATTGACAGTTGACATGGAAGTCAATCTACTACCAAGACAAAACATATAAAAAAAACCCAGTCAAATTCAAATCCAAAAATACAAATACAATAGTACTTTTGAAACGGAAAATGTAAAATAAAAGTGAATGATTATTTTAACCAAGTTCCCCGTTCATAGGCTTTGCCTAATTTCATAATTATTATCCAAATTATAATCTGGTTCCCTGTCCTAGTATGGTTCCCATGATGGGAATCCCATCTATGTTCTCTGACAGGTGGATTCAATTTAGATATAAACAAAACATGAAATGGCTGTTGTGTTGAGTGAATTGTGCGGCCGAAAATGTTCAGATATAAGTGTATTAAAAACAAAAAATGTGTCGCTGACGGATTTAAATTAAAATGTACTATAATTTCTGTCAAGCAGTGGTTTTTTTCCTGTATTTTACAGCCGAATAAAGGCTGTTTCCCCTAGCCAAAAATAGGTATATTTTTCCCTAAAAATGCTAATGTTTTCCCCTAAAATGCCATGTACACATTTTTCACAAGTACCACTTAACAGCAGCTAGAAGACAGAAAACTGTCCCTATAGATAGCCTCTGCTATGTACCATGCATGTTAAATTAAATTGAAATTTTAAATTTTATAAAATGTGTTGGTAAATTCCATTCTCAGTTTTTGGAATTTGATTTCCCCATTTCTTATTTATAACGCTATATATTCCCCTTCAGAAAGCCACATGTTGCACTAAAAATTGAAAAAAAAATCACTGTCAAGGAAGGCATTTTCGACTTTCATATAATTTTGAAAAGTGTTGTATGTTTAGACAATACAGTATGTCTTGGCTAGTCATACGTGACTCACGTACGGCTAAAACTTTTGTCTAACCGTACGGCTAGCCACTTCTTTCTGTCAAAGAGCTCGCTTTGAGGCTTTGCCTTACTGGTATCGAAGCAGTATCCTTCGGCTAGTAGTATCCGACAATACGGTTATTTATATATGCAAATGAAATTTAGAACTCGACAAAATGATCGAAAACATGGATATTACATTATGATGGGTACGAATTGAATTGAGTACGAATATTTACTGGAGAAAATATATGAATTAATTCATCAGGCTTATTGCCATGCGTCCTACAGCAAAGAGATTGCACTCGTAGATAATAAGATGTGTCTGAAATTGTCTTACCTGTCCAAATTTACCCTCGGTTGACATAGCTATGTAATTTGGAATTTGAAGTCTATCCGCCAGTGAGTGATTCTTACACTTGCATAGATTTTACAACACGAAATGTAGGCATAAACACACTAAAAACCTACATTTAACTTCACGGTCGAACACCGCTAAATATCTATCTATCAATCAATCAATCATAGGTATTTTTATAGCGCGACACTTTATACAGTTATATTCTGTGGCGCTTCACAAGATCCTATAATGTCAAAGTCATTTCCACAGTTTAAAACTATATACACATTTGACGAAACTTTTTATCTATAAAATTGTTCAAAGAGGTGTGCTTTCAGTCTTTTTCTGAATGCAATTTCCGATGCAATGCACTTTAATTCTTTTGGTAGGGCGTTCCACCATTTAGGTCCCATAACAGAAATAGATCTGTCAGCAAGTCTTAACATAACATTAAGGAAATATTTGATTTTGCATCTGTAAGTGTAAAGAAATATATATTCAAATTGAAACTTGGCACAACAAACTGTGTACAATTGTCATCAGCAGCTGATCTTAGACTGTATTTTCTTTTCACACAATTAAACAAAGTTATGAGATACGTTGGAGCTGTTCCATGTATTACTCGGAAAACAATAAGAATTACTTTAAACATAATCCGTGCCTTGACTGGTAACCAATGTAGAGATTTTCTGAGATCAGCACTAGGTTGGTCATACACATTCATTACTACCCGAGCAGCCTGGTTTTGGAGTCTCTGAAGTCGATCTATTTGATAAACTGGTATTTCTGCAAAAAGTCCATTACAAAAATCGATGTGGGAATTGACTAAACCATGAACTAGTTTTTCCGTTGATTTCTGAGACAGATGCTTACGAATGGATTTCAGATTCTTAAGTTGAGAGTAGGCTATTTGACACTTTTTTCGTATATGCCTGTCAAAACTACGGTTGGCATCAAAGCAAACACCCAAGTCCCTTACATGGTCAACACATTTGACAAAACAACCACCTACATTCACACCGGGTATATCAACCTTTGCTAACTGTTGTGTAGTACCATATAAAATGATCTCTGTTTTTGCATTGTTCATTTTCAATTTATACTTTGCCATCCAAGAAGAAATATCATCCAAACAAGCAGATAATTGTTCAAGAACATAAGTTTCATTTTCTTTGTTTCCAGCTTGAATTTGTAGAGCGACCTTATGATCATCAGCATAACCATATAACTGGGCCGGGTATTTCTTCACAACTCTATTTAATGCTGCGATATACAAGGTAAAGATTACTGGGCCAGCACAGGAGCCTTGAGGCACACCAAACATCAGGTTTTCTTGTCTGATGATTCATTGTTTATGATACTTTCATGGTTCTATCAGTCAAGTATGATTTGATCCACTGTAAAGGAACGTCATCTATGCAAAGTCATCATGAAGTATATGAAGCGCAATGGGGATGTCAATGGTGTCGAACGCAGAACTGAGGTCAATCATAACGACTATTGTAATTTGTCCATCATCAACAGCTTTCAGCAAATCATCATACACATTTTTATCAAAGCAGTTTCTACTCCATGGTTTTTACGATATGCACTTTGATACGATGGCAAAAGTTTATTTGTCTCAATATGTTTAGTGATTTGATTCAGGGCAGCTTTTTCCAGTATTTTGGACAAAAATAATAAATTTGACACTGGTCTATAGTTTTTCAGCTCCAGAGCGAGACCTTTTTCTTCAACAGGGGTCTTATCACTGCACTTTTCCAAGTCTGAGGAAAGATGCCAGAAGTAAGTGACCTATTCACAATTTCTGTGACTACAGGCAGAAAGTACTCAATGTTCTCTTTTAACTTGGTAGTTGGCATGAAATCAAGTTCACAAGTTGTAGACTTTGATTCTAAAATCAACTTCTTCACATCTGTACAAGAAAAGCATCTCAAACTGATCCAAGCGACTGACACAAGACTGTTTTCCAACACTATTATTTACTACTATCTATCTTCCATATATAGTCAAACCCCTGCTGGGGACCTAGACTTGACGCGCGTCAACTAACAAGAATGTTTGTAAAAGAGCTGAATTAAAAAATATAAAAGTAATGGAAATGAGTATATTGTTAAAGCTGCACGCCTCCAGATGAGTCAAAATGTTTCTAGAAAATGAAAATTGAGAAAAATGTACTAATATTTCAAGAAAGGTAAAAACAATCAAGATCACTGTTAAAGTTTACATGTTATTTGCGATTTAAGACTGATTTTGCAGTATTTTATCACCATATTTCTACTGCGTTACTAACGCAGTAAGGGCTTTTTTGCACATTTTGACCTCTTTTTGGTTATTTGCATGGATTGTAAGTGCCAATTGCAATATGTAAATAACTTTATTTGTTCACCTCACAATATTTTACTGTCAAATACATTATCAAAATTTTCATGAAATTTAACATGAATCTGGAGGCGTGCTGCTTTAAAAACATGTTACGTACCTGGGGGAGACGTATGTTCAATCCGGCTTACAGAATATTAATTCTCTTATAAAATAAATGAATAAAAATATTGGTAAGAGCCAATATTGGCAATCGAAATAATTTTTACTAACGAATTGTGTAAAATTACCTAAATTGTAAAATTACCTAAATTGTCCACAATACAGTACCATGTGTCCGGACATATATGTACATGACGTTGATTTATTTCAGATAAAAACTTGATGTTTTAATTTACATTTTTAACATATATACAATATTTCAGCAACAAATGCTGAAGTTTTGGAAATTCTATTGTTTACTCTGCAAAATGTTACAGCTAGTATAAGAGGTCCGGTATTTCAATCTTGACATCCAAATTTTCAACACCAATTAACGTTCACAACACCAAATAGCGATAAACTTGGGAAATAGATATCAATTCTGAGTGCATTGTTGTAGATTCTAACACGACCCGCAATTTTCCCTATTGAACATAGAAGAACAGAAAGTGTGTGTTATTATGCAACAGATGCACAGTTTGACGTTCTATATTTAGACATGTGACGTCATCATTATACACGTGACGTAACCACTAAAAATCCGACGCGCTGAAAATAAGTACGGAAACAAGTCAGGCGCAATTTCGCTTAACTATCAAGTACGGCAACATTTATTTGTTGATGTCGTGTTAGAATCGAAATAATATATCAAAATCAGTGATTTTATTGCTTGATAACATCACTGTTTGTCGTTCGGATGCGTATCATTATATCACTCGGGCTACGCCCTCGTGATATAATTCCTCGCATCCGAACTCCAAACAGTGATGTTATTAAAATCACTGTTTGGGATATATTATTTCTTAAATAATGCACGGGTTGAGTTCAAATGCGTAGTAATATAATCACGAAGGCCGATAGGCCTGAGTGATTAATTACAAAGCATTTGAACGAAAAACGTGCATTATTTAGGAAATAGATATCAATTCTGAGTGCATTGTTGTAGAATAATGCACGGTTTGAGTTCAAACGCGTAGTAATATAATCACGAAGGCCGATAGGCCTGAGTGATTAATTACAACGCATTTGAACGAAAAACGTGCATTATTATACAATAATGCACGAAGAATTAATATCTATTTCCATTCTAACACGTCAAGAAAAAGTATAATTATTATTATAAAGTTGGACTTTAGGTTTGGTGGATAAATTTGTTTTCGCCTCAGAGTTTCCAATAGAAACGTTCTTTAAAGGCTGTTCCAGTGGGTTGAAAAAAACTGTCGTTAAATCTACTGTTTGTAGAAACATTTTGAAATAAAATAATAAAGTCACAGCAATAACACGTATAATATCATTTTTTATTTTTCCAACGTTTCGGCAAATGTATGCCTTTTTCAAGGTAAATAAATAATAATAATATCAACGGACGTGACGTCGTAATTTTACAATTAACGTCACGCCCACTTTAGCGGAAAAACGAACAAATACGAACAATTCCAATTCATGATAAAAGAGATAAGTGCACCAAACAAAGCATCAAAATATAAAAAATATAAAAATATAAAAAATATAAAAACGACACAATAGATATCGGATTAATAAATACGAATATTTCCTATAGGGTTTAATTATAAAAAATGATAATAGGAAAAAACGAATATCTATGTGGCGTAATTCTAGCATTTGTAGCGTGGATTGATATTTTATGAATTATTTAATTGAGTATAACAACTTTGTGTTCATTCCTTCTGGAAAATGAGTTTTTAGCTTATGAATCCAAAATGTTTCTTTGCACAAACGATCTAAAGTATTGTAAACAACATCTATGGGCATAAATGAAAAGTCGGTAAAATTATGATCGTCCTTATTAAAATGATTTGCAACATTAGTGGAGAATGCAGGATCTACAAAATTGCATATATCAAATTTATGGCTATTCATTCGTTTAGACACAGGTTGTTTGGTTTGACCAACATACTGCATGCTACATTTTTTACATGTTATCAAATATATACAATTCTTGGTTTGACAGTTAGTATGTTGACGTAAGTCAAATATCTCTCCTGTATTTGAACTGTAAAATGACGTACCACTATTAATACGAACACAATGAGAACAGCGTTTTCTAAAACAACCTCCAGAATGTGATGTAAAGTCACTGTCAGTATCAAATCTAGATCTAACTAAAAAGTCTTGTAAGTTTCTTGGACGTTTATAGGCAATTATGGGTGTGTAGTTATTGTGAATATTTTTAACACCTTCGTTTTTTGACAGATTTAGTAGGTCCCAATATTTATGAATAGTATTTCCAATATTAGGTAAGGACGGATTATATGTCACAATAAATGGAAGAACGTTTTTCTTTTCTTTATCTTGTGGCCGTAAGGCATCCTCTTGTGACATCTGTGACACGTGAAGAAACGCTGAATCTATAACCGTCTCAGGGAAATTTCTACTTATGAAGAATTCTCGTAGTTTGCTCAGTGAAGTAGAGAACACGTCGTCGTCGGATATAATTCTCCTGTAACGCTTAGCCTGACTGTGGGGTATTCCGTCTTTACACCGTTTTGGATGACAGGATGTATAATCAAGATATTGGTGGTTGTTAGTTTCCTTTACATAAACATTAGTTTGAAGTTCGTACGATTTTCCTTTTGATACTTGAACATCAAGAAACGAAGCAGATTGTTGAGATATGGTGTGGGTGAATTTAATGCTTGGGTGAACATTGTTGATTTTGTCAATAAATGTGTTAAGTTCTTCAAGAGAATGATCCCAAAGCATAAAAATATCGTCTAGAAAACGAAGCCACAATGACGGTTTAAGCTGACTATCTTTCAAAAACTCCTCTTCGAATTTCCCCATAAAAAGTGCTGCGTATACGCGGGGGCGACTGGGCTTCCCATAGCGGTACCCATTTTCTGAAGAAAATAGTCATCCCCGAACTTGAAGTAGTTATTTTCAAGAATAAGTTTCAAAAGTTTAACAATTTCATCTGACGAAAGTCTGTTGTTATTATTTCCTTGTCTTAAATAATACAAACACGCATCAGTTCCATCCGTATGTGGTATATTAGTATAAAGTGAAGAGACATCTAGTGTTACCAAATATGTGTTTTTGCTTTGTAGTTTAATATTACGTAATTTGTTGATGAAATCTGTGGTGTCTTTTACATATGATGGCAATTTTTTTTTTTTAGAAACATTTTGAGAATAGCGAATTTTGAAAACGTTGATAAAACTTTGTTTGCTCATTTTATTTCACTCTATAATTTTTCAAGCGAAATACAAATTATTAAAAGTGAAATAAATGTTAAACCTAACTCGTCTGCGATATTAAAATAGCGTACTTGATTTGATTGTTTTGCACGTGCTGTTTGGCGCTACATTATGACGTCACGTAAACAACACTTTAAACGTCTGTACAGCGTTAACGACTGAATTAAAGATATTGGTGTTCGGATTCATTTTCTTAGTTAGACCATTTTCTATCACTCTAGATAGTTTTCACAACAAAATTCGACAAAAAAAATGTTTTTACTTATCAGATTTTTAAACAAAATGGCGCCCTCAATGTGAAAATATACAGGGAGATAATAAGAACGGCGAGTGCATTGTTGTAGAATAATGCACGCTTCCGGCCTTCTTTGTCTATATAGGAAAATTTCCGATAGTGTTAGAATATACAATAATGCACGAAGAATTAATATCTATTTCCATTCTAACACGTCAAGAAAAAATATAATTATTATTATAAAGTTGGACTTTATGTTTGGCGGTTAAATTTGTTTTCGCCTCAGAGTTGCCAATAGAAACGTTCTTTAAAGGCCGTTCCAGTGGGTTGAAAAAAACTGTCGTTAAATCTACCGTGTGTAGAAACATTTTGAGAATAACGAATTTTGAAAACGTTGATAAAACTTTGTTTGGTTATTTTATTTCAGTCTATAATTTTCCAAGCGAAATACAAATTATCAAAAGTGAAATAAATGTAAAACTTAACTCGTCTGCGACGTTAAAATAGCGTACTTGATTTTGATTGTTTTGCACGTGCTGTTTGGCGCTACATTGTGACGTCACGTAAACAACACTTTAAACGTCTGTACAGCGTTAACGACTGAATTAAAGATATTGGTGTTCGGATTTATTTTCTTAGTTAGACCATTTTCTTTCATTCTAGATATAGTTTTCACAACAAAATTCGACAAAAAAATGATTTTATTTACCAGATTTTTCAAACAAAATGGCGCCCTTAATGTGAAAATACACAGGGAGATAATAAGAACGGCGAGTGCATTGTTGCAGAATAATGCACGCTTCGGGCCTTCTTTGTTTATATAGAAAAATTTCCGATAGTGTTAAAATATTAATTAACGTTTATGAATATTGAAATGAATTTAATTAGAGATCGAGAAACGTGCATTTATTGTTGAAAAAACAACAACAAAAAACAACACCTCTGATAGATTGACAACCTTGATCAAAGAAAAAAAAATGCGCATTTTCGGAGCCGCCCGGTTTTGATGGTTGTCCGGTTTTGGTGGTCATTTTGCATAAACAACAATAAAATAAAATCAGTTGCCTAGAGTCTCAGCAAATTTTGCACATTGACAGGGAATAAAGTAATACAGTACATGAATTTTGATATCAAATAATGCATTGCTTGCTACAGTTATCAGCCTGCTCTTGAAAATGACCTAAAACAAGCTTTCACCCGCCCACCCCCTCCCACCACCAATCCAAAATTTTCTATAAATTTGCTTTAGTTACGATTCTGTTTAATCATGCTAAGTTTCAGAAAATTCTTTTTCTTTTAAATTTTCATTCTTTTCCATGCATTTTCTAAAAGTTAAACGGAAATTAAACTTAGAATTTTCAGCAAGGCGGAATTTTGTTCTTTACATATAGGTAATAAAATAAATTTGTTTCTGGAATAACTTCAACAGATTTTATTTTAATCTCTTCATGATAAATCAATAAACAACATAAGACTAAACTACGTCACAATTCTCGGAAGAAATTTCAGGCTTAATTTGACACATGCTCGAGAATGGTTTCGGATTTTTGTATGTCAATGTATTGCTATGGCTCACATTGTCGTCTGCTTTTTGGCGTAGGATATCATTATGTGCTAAATATAGGTCTATTGTTGGACTTATTTTATCGTTTTGGAATATTTTTTGTAGATGACGAAGAAACTCAGACAAACTCCGTTGAAACGAAATAGTATCTCGTGCCCACGGCATAGTATCTCGTTCCCACGACTTAACTATCTCGTGGCCACGACTTATTAACTCGTTGCTGCGACATAGTATCTCGTGCGCACGAGATAAATAAAATAACACACATGTCACCTTTGTGCCACCGTAGATATTTGCTAACATACATATGTATAGTCCTAATTCTGATCAGTTAAGTGTATTAACCAAATATTCCAAAAAGCTATATAATTTATATAAGCCACATACTAGTTATGTACATTATCATATAAATCGATATACATGGTGTATTTGGATTTGATAGAGAAGCAACAATATGGTAATATAACGATATAATGGCATTATAACGACTATATGGCTATTTAACAATATGGCAATATAACGATATGTTAATATATTACGATATGGCAATAAAACGGATATGGCAATATAACGATATGGTAATATATAACGATATGGCTATATTAACGATATGCTATATAACGATATGGTAATATACGGTAACTGCGATGCAGCGTCGGGCAATACATATCACGGTACAGAGCCCTTGTTCCGCAATATTTTCTTTAGTATTTTGTCTCTATCTGGTCAACAGATACATTTACAAATTTCGACTTTTTCAAGCCTTGTAAAAATGTAAAATTTATATGAATTGCCGCCGCATGTCATTTCAACTCAAACAGAAGATGCGGACGAAAAATTTTCTTTTTATCACGCCAATTCATTAGTTTTCAAAAGTAAAAGATCTGAGCCAATAACGAGATACTATGTCGTGGCCACGAGTAACTAAGTCGTGGCCACGAGATAATTAAGTCGTGGCCACGAGTCAGGTAAGTCGTAGGAACGAGATACTTTTTCGTGGCCACGAGATACTATGTCGTGGCCATGAGAATCTAAGTCGTGGGAACGAGATAACTAAGTCGTGGCCAAGAGATAATTAACCAATCAGATAACACTATACTATATAGTATATATTATGAATTTTTTAAACTTAAAAAAATCTGTGTAAAGTTTTACATGCAACATTAATCTTTGAAAATACTGAAGATATTCACGTTGAACTTGTCTTTAGGATCATATTAGAAAGTCACCTTCCAAGGCCCATCAGACATTTACTTTGACTATATATAGCCCTTTGTGGGGACAATTTTGTGATCAAATCGGTCAGTTTGTACGTACTACGGCCTGTTAACATTGTTTATACGATAACATGAGAAGGAATAAGTCCTGGTTTATTTTATTTGGTAGGGACATTGCCCATGGATAGTAGATAGCCTATAACGATGTTTGAGGTCAAGGGTCAAGGTAACCATGACACTACATGTAAAATCCTAGTTACTCGTTCCCACGACTTAATTATCTCGTGGCCACGACTTAGCTATTTCGTGGCCACGACTTAGTAACTCGTTGCCACGACATAGTATCTCGTGCGCACGAGATAAATAAAAACACACACATGTCACCTTTGTGCAACCGTATCATTCATATATGACTCTGAATTTTTATTTTAGTCGTGTTCTGTGAGTTATCACCTTGGCCGTCGCAACAGAATAGCCCGAATTCCAACACCAGCCAAATTACTCGTGTTTCGCGGGCAGTGCACTTTAGAAGAATGGCACAATATCACACACCATCGCTTTGATAATGTCGTGTTACCTAAAATATAATGTGACGGTGCACAGTTTTACTTGAAGTAATTCATCAAAAAAAACGTAAATGACTTTTGTGAACCAATTATATTGAACATACTTGCTATTGAAAGCATAGCAAGGAAAATACATGTCGAAGGGGCTTTCGTCTTGATTTCGCCCGTACCCCTTTAATCACCTGACTGTATCTTGGAAGACGAGATAGTCTCCTCAAACAAAATGAATGAACACTATTTAATTACTTTATGTATTTTTGTAGCTACCATAAACCCCCAACCCCCACTATACAGTCCAACTCCCACTACAAAGTAACATACCAAAGCCCAGTACCAGAATTTCTGTCACACTTTTCTTTCCAAATAATGTACATGTAGCATTGTCCAAAGTTTTGTTGTTGCCGTGTTAATTAAACGATAGTTAGCTAAAATTTTTAAAAATACAAGAACGCCATTATTTTCCTTTTTTCCATTTATTTATTTAATTTTACAAATTCCAAATAGAAAAGAAAGTGTATCCGAAATCCATTTCAGCATCCTTTGCCGCGCAATACGCATCCTGTAAAATAAAAATAATAAAAAAAAAAGATTTGTAAACAATACCAAGATTATCTGATACCTACATAATTGTATAATTCAATATTAAAGCAGGAACAATGTTGAAATATCTTCTGGCAAATACTTATGTACATTGTTCAGAATTATATGTATATTAAATGTTTATTTATATAATTATGCAGATATGTAGTTTTTTTTAAAGTTTTTTTTTCTATTTTTGGAGTCCTTTTTTGTATGAAAGTGAAACTACCAATTTGTTTATATTTTGCTACTTTTATGACAAATAATTTCACAATCAGTGCTATTTTCATCAGATAATAAATTAGCATCTGTTTTAACTTGCTCTAAGAAAAACAACATTATTTGATCGTTATAAAACTGATTTTTGCCATCACTAAAAACGCAATAATTTATTCCTTTTTGAGGCGTTATGTACCTTTAAACAGATGTTTTTTTACCTTTTATTCTCCAATATTAAAGCAAATAATTTATCAAATATTCCCAAATTAAGACCTACAAGACTATACACGTGGTATTCGGCTTTAAGAGTGTCAATTATATAATATTATCAAATGTGCCATGATTGACAACCAGTTTTGTTAAGCAACACCATACACACAACACTACACGATGCACATTACACTACAATTTAATCTTTGTACTGAAAAAAGTGAGAAAATAAATTATATTAATAAACACTTAAAAAGTGTAATGTTTACATACCTTGTCAATTGAACTGTGAAGTTCACTTGCAGCGTAGATTGACAATATACCAAATGAACTCTCGGCGCCGGAGTCCTCAGCGGTGTTAGCCTGGGTTTCTTCGTCAATTTCTGTTTCACCTGAATTAGCCTGGGTTTCTACGTCATTCTCCTGGATTTGAGCATTGTCGTTGGGTTGGGAAAGCTGCTTATCGTAGGTCAAAGTAAATGACCTTGGTACAAATTCCTCTGCCTCTGCTCTTAAGTTAGAAACAACTGGTAATGTGATGTGTTGATGCGTGCCATCGATAGCCATGGTAACTTCCTGCATGTTTCTAACATTCATTTTCTTCTCTAGACCTTTCTTTTCCCGATATTTCATCCATCTCTCCCATTGTTTCTGTGAATACTTCCTTTTTCGCTTTTTCTTTCCAGTTTCATTCTGTCCGTTGTCTGTCACCTCGGGAACTGTCGTGACGTGATTTTCGTCTGTAATGAGCTGTGTTTCATCCATATTTTAGCACATATCGCTTAAAAAATTCTTTGCTGTTTATCTATGTATCACACACTCGTTGCTAAGACGCAATTACTGCAAAGCGACGTCAATACAAACGTCACGTGACGTCTACAATAACGAATCAAAGTTACCGTAACGTCCGAAGCTATTTGAAGCCAGTCATAAAAAACGATAACGTCAATGATGATACTGATTATTTCATTATTATTTTCATTATTATTATTATTATTATTGTTGTTGTTGTTGTTGTTGTCTTTGTTATCGGAAAATATTATACAATATACAGAGCAATATATTTATTTCATAAAGATATGTTAATTCCAAAAAAACAAATTGCTCTGGTATTTGTAAACAACCATACCTGCATTTGCATTTATTTGTTTATTATTATTATTATAATTGTTGTTGGTGGTGTTGTTGGTGTTGTTGTTGTTGTTCTTCTTCTTCTCTTTTAAGGATTTATTCTCGTGAGCTTATATGACTACATGTATTATTTCCAGTGTTTAATCTTCTTTACAGCTTTAATTATGACGTCTTGATAGCTAATTACAGATCGGAGTAACATTTGCAACAAGCACTCATTACGCCTTAATTGGCTGCATTGTTTTAAACATCTTTATTTAAGCTCGATTGCGAAACAAGTTCTTGCAACTTATATTAATCACTATCGAGTCCGCTTCCTGGAGCCAAACAATACTGGTGTCATGATAAGAAACATGGTCGTGACCCGAGTAGGGCTCGAACCCATGATCTCTGGGTTAAGAGGCAGATAACCTAACCACTAGGCCACCGCTCCCCTTAATTAGCTGTTTTGGACATGAATTCAATAGAAATAAATTAAGTTTGGAAATTAACGTTTCTATGGCAGGTATGCCGCTTTCCATGAAGATACTTGGCAAAAAAGTATTCCTCAATCGTCTTTTTGTTTTGTTTTGTTTTCCAAACAATAATAGGCAGCACTAGATGACAGAAATTTTATCTCTTGTCTGTGTTAAATAACTTTGTAAGAACTGGTGAATTTTTGTCCAAGAATGCTTGGAAAACATGTTAAATAAACAAGTACTTATAGCATCGAAACAAAATAGAAAAAAAAACGCTTTATGACACCAACACCATGTTATACATTTTACTGTGATCGCCATAAGTGTACCAGTTACGTCCCATGTGCTATGTAGCCAGGAGATATACTGAACTTTGTCCATTGTTCTCAATATTATTTGAAAATTTGCTTGATCATATGCACTTTTGCCTGAAATTAGTTACACCATGTGCTTCCATGTGGAATTTTATCAAAATTCTCGCGGTATTAACTTTTATATTAGGTGGATAATGTTGACACGCGAATGTCAATTTGACGTAATTCCGTCTATTACACTAGAGAGTGAGAGAGGTACGTGAGCAGTTCATTCCACTAGAGTTGTATATTCACTGTTTAAAGATGTCTTTAAATATAATTAGTAATTTCTTGTTTAAAAATTACGGGAAATTATGCATAAAAGCAGCAGGAAGCGCTGTTAATTAAATAATAACTATGTGTTTGGTAACACCCGGGATTAAGTATAAACAATCCAATATTGTGTAGTTGTAATAAGTACAATGTGTATATTAGGCATTGATTATTGAGTGATGTAAGAGTTATTCCAACAAATGTAACAATGATTATGTTAAAGCGTATTACCTTTTTAATTTCAAAACACTATGTTTCTTTCTCAATAATTGAGCCGCGTCACGACAAAACCAACATAGTGCGTTTGCGACCAGCATGGATCCAGACCAGCCTGCGCATCCGCGCAGTCTGATCAGGATCCATGCTGTTCGCTTATAAAGTCTATAACAAGTAGACAAACTGATAGCGAACAGCATGGATCCTGATCAGACTGCGCGGATGCGCAGGCTGGTCTAGATCCATGCTAGTCGTTGGTTTTGTCATGACGCGGCTCAATACATGACAGCATGACAGCAATAATACAATAGATATAAATCGAGGCACCAATCAATCATATATCCACATGGAAAGAAATTATATACAATAATTATTTTTATCTAGTAAATTTTAATGATGTCATTATCAAGAACAATGAATGGAAAAAATCAATCTTACATAATTGTTTTCAGTTTATATGGCATAATACATTTTGAACATGCTAAAAATGTGTTATGTCAATTTAAATAAGAAGAAAAGAGAAGAAAGAAAAAAAGAAGATAAAAATACATGATAAAAATAAATGAAATACGGATGTTTCTTACCGAAATTGTTTTATTAATTTTTTTCAGTTACATAATATACACATCATTTCTTTGACAAAGTCACAAAATTTTCTATATTCCACATTTTTTTAAACTTTTGTTTTCCATTAATTCTTTATAAAGAAGGATATTCGGTCGGTTGTAATATTTTACCTTTAACAAGCGCATACGAGTATTTAACAAAAAAAAAGAACATTGGATGATATATTACCGATCTTGTATTTCAAGTATGTATGTTTTCGGCTAGATGAGTTTTGATATCGAAACAACTATACATTAAACTATACGAAAAATATTGGGCAACATTAATTAGAATCAGTAATCAATTTAATCAAGGTTAATACTTTGTTAAAAAGAGTACAATAGAAAATGTAATTCTAAATATAGTTGAGGTCTTTTGTTGACTTCCTTTTCAAACAAGATTGTCTCACATAGTGAAATAACATTTAATGCATTCTTAATAAATATTATTTAGATGATATTTAGCAATAATATCAAGAGCAAGACTGATACATGTAATCATTATTCTGTACTCTTCAGAATATTTTCAAGCATTCTGAGCTGAAATATAGACCTGACATTGTGATACATTTTTATGCTTTATTCAATCATTATCTATTTCATTAAATTCATTTATTTATCTGCTTATTTATTTCTTTACTTTAAATTCAACGTAGTATATATAATTAAACATCTAGATTTCAGTTCTTCAACGTAGTATATATAATTTAACATCCAGATTTCAGTAGTTCAGCGTATAGTACATGTAAAACATCCAGATTTCAGATCTTCAACGTATGTTAACGTACATATTTCAGTTCTTCAACGTAGTATATGTAAAACATCCAGAATTCAGTACTAAAGTCCTCAATGCAGTATATGCAGTTTATATGCAGTATATGCAGTATAAATAATTTTATATACAGATTTATTACTTTAACGTAGTATATGTAAATAACCTCTAGATTTCAGTTTTTCTACGTAGTATGATATATGATCAGGCGTTTGATGTAAATTTCAGTTTTATGACATAATCACAAGTATCAACTCTTACGATTTATCATTATAATCACAAGAATGTTTATCATACTCTTTATCTTCAAAACTACACGTTATCAAGTTTTTATGTTTCACATTTTAATTGATCATTACTAGTAGATGACCCCTATTGATTATGAGGTCACTAGGTCAGAGGTCAAGGTCACAATATCCTTGAATGTTAAAATGGTCAAAGTTGATGCTTATAGTTACATTTATATGATAATATATATTTTATTCCGCTGCCCACTATTTTGTATAAATTACTGATGATAGATTTCATTCAATTTCAGGTCATATATTTTTTCCATAACTGAACCATGTACCCATTTATGGCATATTTCTATAACAAAGTTACCAATAGTATGAGTCAAGAGCTAGGAAAGGGGTCATATATGTCATTTTGACAATTCTTGTTTTTTTTTATATTTATTTTATTTTATATTTTATTCAATTTTTTTAATTAAATTTGCTTATTTTTCAGAAATATGACACAGTCACTACAAAAACATGTCGCATGCAAACACGTCTTGAGCTATATTAAAAACTATTTATATTTATCAAAATCATTAACTTCATATATCAACCTCTTAACAGTATGAAACTTTTATATTGTTATGATGATACTGTCCGTCAAGTATAGCTAATGTTTTGATAGGTATGATTACGCCTTCAAGAACATAAGCTTCGCCGGTTATATTCCAATCGTCGTGTTTGAATTATGTGCCACATGTCTTTTAAAACTGACCAGGCTTGGCAATTTCTAATCATCAAGGTACTTCTACAAATATAAGGTTCTTCCAGATTGGGAAGCAGTGTATCTTAAATTTTTTAATGATGAATATTTTGCTAGATGCTAGAGCAGGAAGCAACGTTTCCAAAACGGGAAGTGGTTAGGTTTTAGTAAAATCTAAAACTTTATTTAAGTTCACTTTCAGATTATTTTAATTTTAGACATTTTAAAAGAAAATGACTCGGTAGGATTTTAGATGTATCTTTTCTGCACTAAAGTGTGATATTCATTTTGAAGTCGAATGAAAACTGTTATGCACCGGCCATTTTCCCTGAACTACGTAAAAAAGACAAAAAAAACAAACTTCCCGATCGGGAAGGATTTTGACGTTTGTTGCCTGATCGGAAAGTCTTGAAGGGGAATACCCTTGTTTCCCGATCAGGAAGTATGCCCAACTGATTATTTAATTATTCTTTTCATTTTTGTAGGTACCCAAATTCCCCAACTCCCACTACACAGTCCAACCCCCACTACAAAGTCCCATACCAAAGTCCAGTTACCAGAATTTCTGTCATGCATTTCTTGCCAAAAATGTACATGTAGCATGCTCTAAAGTTTTGTTGTTGCCGTGTTAATTAAACGATAGTTTGCTTAAATTTTTAAAAGTACAAGAACGCCATTATTTTCCTTTTTTCCATTTATCTATTTAATTTTACAAATTCCAAATAGAAAAGAAAGTGTATCCTAAATCCATTTCAGCATCCTTTACCGGACAATACGCATCCTGTAAAATAAAAATAAAATAATAATAAAAAAAGATTTGTAAACAATACCAAGATTTTTGGAGTCCTTTTTGTATGGAAGTGAAAATACTGATTTGTTTTTATTTTGCTACTTTTATGACAAATAATTTCACAATCAGTGCTATTTTCATCAGATAATAAATAAGCATCTGTTTTAACTTGCTCTAAAAAAACAACATTATTTGAACTTAATAAAACTGATTTTTGCCATTTCTAAAGATGCAATAATATATTCTTTTTTGAACACTAATGTCCCTATGTACATATGTTTTTTTTTCTTTTATTCTCCAATATCAAAACAAAGCATTTATCAAATATTCCTAAATTAAGAGCTACAAGACTATACACGTGGTATTCGGCTTTAAGAGTGTTAATTATATAATATTATCAAATGTGCCATGATTGACAACCAGTTTTGTTAAGCAACACCATACACACAACACTACACTATGCACATTACACTACAATTTAATCTTTGTACTGAAAAAAAGCGAGAAAATAAATTATATTAATAAACACTTAAAAAGTGTAATGTTTACATACCTTGTCAATTGAACTGTGAAGTTCACTTGCAGCGTAGATTGACAATATACCAAATGAACTCTCGGCGCCGAAGTCCCCAGCGGTGTTAGCCTGGGTTTCTTCGTCAGTTTCTGTTTCACCTGAGTTAGCCTGGGTTTCTTCGTCATTCTCCTGGATTTGAGCATTGTCGTTGGGTTGGGAAAGCTGCTTATCGTAGGTCAAAGTAAATGACCTTGGTACAAATTCCTCTGCCTCTGCTCTTAAGTTAGAAACAACTGGTAATGTGATGTGTTGATGCGTGCCATCGATAGCCATGGTAACTTCCTGCATGTTTCTAACATTCATTTTCTTCTCTAGACTTTTCTTTTCCCGATATTTCATCCATCTCTCCCATTGTTTCTGTGAATACTTCCTTTTTCGCTTTTTCTTTCCAGTTTCATTCTGTCCGTTGTCTGTCACCTCGGGAACTGTCGTGACGTGATTTTCGTCTGTAATGAGCTGTGTTTCATCCATATTTTAGCACATATCGCTTAAAAAATTCTTTGCTGTTTATCTATGTATCACAAACTCGTTGCTAAGACGCAATTACTGCAAAGCGACGTCAATACAAACGTCACGTGACGTCTACAATAACGAATCAAAGTTACCGTAACGTCCGAAGCTATTTGAAGCCAGTCATAAAAAAACGAGAACGTCAATGATGATACTGATTATTTCATTATTATTTTCATTATTATTATTATTATTGTTGTTGTCTTTGTTATCGGAAAATATTATACAATATACAGAGCAATATATGTATTTCATAAAGATATGTTAATTCCAAAAATACAAATTGCCCTGGTATTTGTAAACAACCAAACCTGCATTTGCATTTATTTGTTTATTATTAATATTATTATTGTTTTTGGTGTTGTTGTTGTTGTTGTTCTTCTTCTTCTTCTCTTTTAAGGATTTATTCTCGTGAGCTTATATGACTACAAACCCATGTATTATTTCCAGTGTTGTAACTTCTTTACAGCTTTAATTATGACGTCTTGATAGCTAATTACAGATCGGAGTAACATTTGCAACAAGCACTCAGTACACCTTAATTAGCTGCATTGTTTTAAACATCTTTATTTAAGCTCGATTGCGAAACAAGTTCTTGCAACTTATATTAATCACTATCGAGTCCGCTTCCTGGAGCCAACCAGTACTGGTGTCATAATAAGAAACATGGTCGTGACCCGAGTAGGGCTCGAACCCATGATCTCTGGGTTAAGAGGCAGATAACCTAACCACTAGGCCACCGCTCCCCTTAATTAGCTGTTTTGGACATGAATTCAATAGAAATAAATTAAGTTTGGAAATTAACGTTTATATGGCAAGTATGCCGCTTTCCATGAAGATACTTGGCAAAAAAGTATTCCTCAATCGTCTTTTTGTTTTGTTTTGTTTTCCAAACAATAATAGGCAGCACCAGATGACAGACATTTTATCTCTTGTTTGTGTTAAATAACTTTGTAAGAACTGGTGAATTTTTGTCCAAAATGCTTGGAAAACATGTTAAATAAACAAGTACTTATAGCATCGAAACAATTAGAAAAAAAAACGCTTTATGACACCAACAACATGTTATACATTTTACTGTGATCGCCATAAGTGTACCAGTTACGTCCCATGTGCTATGTAGCCAGGAGATATACTGAACTTTGTCCATTGTTCTCAATATTATTTGAAAATTTGCTTGATCATATGTACTTTTGCCTGAAATTAGTAACACCATGTGCTTCCATGTGGAATTTTATCAAAATTCTCGCGGTATTAACTTTTATATGTAGGTATGTCAATTTGACGTAATTCCGTCTATTACACTAAAGAGTGAGAGGGGTGAGCAGTTCATCCCACTAGAGTTGTATATTCACTGTTTAAAGATGTCGTTAAATATAATTAGTAATTTCTTGGAAATTATGCATAAACGCAACAGAAAGCGCTGTTAATTAAATAATAACTATGTGTTTGGTAACACCCGGGATTAAGTATAAACAATCCAATATTGTGTAGTTATAATAAGTACAATGTGTATATATGGCATTGATTATTGAGTGATGTAAGAGTTATTCCAACAAATGTAACAATGATTATGTTAAAGCGTATTACCTTTTTAATTTCAATACACTATCTTTCTTTCTCTCAAGACATGCACAATAATTGAGCCGCGTCACGACAAAACCAACATAGTGCGTTTGCGACCAGCATGGATCCAGACCAGCCTGCGCATCCGCGCAGCCTGATCAGGATCCATGCTGTTCGCTTATAAAGTCTATAACAAGTAGAGAAACTGATAGCGAACAGCATGGATCCTGATCAGACTGCGCGGATGCGCAGGCTGGTCTAGATCCATGCTAGTCGTTGGTTTTGTCATGACGCGGCTCAATACATGACAGCATGACAGCAATAATACAATAGATAGAAATCGAGGCACCAATCAATCATATATCCACATGGAAAGAAATTATATACAATAATTATTTTTATCTAGTAAATTTTAATAATGTCATTATCAAGAACAATGAATGGAAAAAATCAATCTTACATAATTGTTTTCAGTTTATATGGCATAATACATTTTGAACATGCTAAAAATGTGTTATTTCAATTTAAATAAGAAGAAAAGAGAAGAAAGAAAAAAAGAAGATAAAAATACATGATAAAAATAAATGAAATACGGATGTTTCTTACCGAAATTGTTTTATCATTATTTTCAGTTACATAATATACACATTATTTCTTTGACAAATTCACAAAATTTTCTATATTCCACATTTTTTTTAAACTCTTGTTTCCCATTAATTCTTTATAAAGAAGGATATTCGGTCGGTTGTAATATTTTACCTTTAACAAGCGCATACGAGTATTTAACAAAAAAAAAGAATATTGGATGAGATATAACCGATTTTGTATTTCAAGTATGTATGTTTTCGGCTAGATGAGTTTTGATATCGAAACAATTATACATTAAACTATACGAAAAATATTGGGCAACATTAATTAGAATCAGTAATCAATTTAATCAAGGTTAATACTTTGTTAAAAAGAGTACAATAGAAAATGTATTTCTAAATATAGTTGAGGTCTTTTGTTGACTTCCTTTTCAAACAAGATTGTCTCACATAGTGAAAAAACATTTAATGCTTTCTTAATAAATATTATTTAGATGATATTTAGCAATAATATCAAGAGCAAGACTGATAATCATTATTCTGTACTCTTCAGAATATTTTCAAACATTCTGAGCTGGAATAGAGACCTGACATTGTGATACATTTTTATGCTTTATTCAATCATTATTTATTTCATTAAATTCATTTATTTATCTGCTTATTTATTTCTTTACTTTTAATTCAACGTAGTATGTGTTAAACATCCAGATTTCAGTAACGTAGTATATGTTAAACATCCAGATTTCAGTTCTTTAACATAGTATATATAATTTAACATCCAGATTTCAGTAGTTCAACGTAGTACATGTAAAACATCCAGATTTTAGATCTTGAACGTAATATATGTATGATAACGTACATATTTCAGTTCTTCAACGTAGTATATGTAAAACATCCAGAACATATGCAGTTTTTATCAGTAAATGCAGTATGTATAATTTAATATACAGATTTAGTACTTTAACGTTGTATATATAAATAACCTCTAGATTTCAGTTTTTCTGCGTAGTATAATATATGATCAGGCGTTTTATGTAAATTTCAGTTTTATGACATAATCACAAGTATCAACTCTAACGATTTATCCTTATAATCACAAGTATGTTTATCACATAATCACAAGTTTCATTATTTAATGTTTTATCACAGTAAATCAACAAATTTCTTGTCTTCCAAACATCTATGATTTAGTTTATGATCGGAGATTGAACTTGAAGTTTTTATAATGCAGTAGCTGTAATCCGCACAGACCATACCTCTCGTGACCCAGGATTCGAATCAGCACTTCCTGAAGCGACAAATTAACGGAATTTCAAATATCTTTTTTCATAATGGGGAAAATATTTGAAATAAATGTAAGTAATAACGTAATATATACATTTGGAAAAGTAATGATTATAGCAAGTAAATGTGATAAACTGTTAAGTTATTTAATCACAGAACATTTCAAAACGAGGCTTTGAATGCTTTTGGAACACATTGACTTTAATGCACGTGCTAATTAAATATTCCGATAAGTAACGAACGAGTTTGACTATTTTCACTGCAGGTCATAACCAAAGGAACATTTTCTACTGTGTTGCATGCAGTTCCCTTTACTTAGAAAAATACAGAAAAATACTGAATACGGACTAATGTTTGCGGCTGTTAATTTTGTATATTCACTACATCCGCCTCCATTAAGTGACATTTCAGCTTACATATGAAACTGAATATGATACTAGTAATCGTATTTACCTCGATTTCTTCCTCACTATGGTAAGTGTCTAGTGCCTTACAAGCACGCTCGAATAAACCTGTATTGTTATCTAGACAATGCAGACAATATCTGAAACAAGCGAAAGTTATATCATCTCTTATATCACCTCTTATATGACGTTCAAACAAGAACAGCATTACATACAATATCTTAAACAAGCGAAAGTTATATCATCTATTATAATTATGACGTCCAAACAAGAAAAGAACAGAGCAGACTCATACATTAATACACATTTGTATGGTGGCTGATTTGTGTCGTGTCGTCTTTTCGTCCCGCTGGGTTCTCGGCGAAGACACGAAAATACAACAAAATGGTGACGTGAAAAGCGACAACATGAAAATGACTGGGTGATTTTGTCGTATTCTTTTCGTGTTGGGCCAGGCGGAGAGGAAGTACAACAAAGTGGTGACTTTGTGGTATTATCATGGTTTCGCATTACGCCCCAAAGTATCGAATGTGTCGTATATTCGTGCTTCGTGCGGCGCCCCATGGAGTAAAATACAACATGGCACAAATCAGCCACCATACATTAGCGATAGTCTGAAGTGTTATCATTAAATGTTTCAAATGATTTTTCGATGTATTAAGCGTTAATTAATGCATTTTTTACTCACATTTTAAGCATCTCAAGCTGTCTTTCCAGCATGGATCGTCCTATATGAAATGAAATTAGAGTAAAATAAAGAGATGTTTAATAGTTAGAATCCTTAATTAGGTAGGGATGTACATGTACAATATACTCAAGTTGTTACAGATATGAACATGGATAGACACCATCTAGACATTTTTGCTGAAGGTAAATAACGAATTTGCCATCCCCTTTAGGTAATATTACTAACATCTACAATACTGGCGAGCGTTTTACTAACACTGCGTACTAAGTTTTGCGTATCTTTTTACGTAAATGGGCGTTCAAACTAGAGTTAACGATAACGTAAGTACATAAGTGAATGCTCCTCATGATACAACTTGATATTAAATATCGGCACTCTTAATCAACAACATAATCGTCAACAACATTATTATAATCATCATAAAAATCGTTACTGCCACATTCATCATGACTACAATCATCATTATCTTCAACAACAAAACCACAATCCCCTCACTGCTGTGGGTTCGAATCCCGACAGGGACTTTGGATTCTTTCATGTGAGGAAGCTATCCAGCTTGTTCTACTTAGGTACCCGTTCGTGCCTGAAATAATGCACGGAAGGGCACCTGAGGTCTTCCTCCACCAGTAAAGCTGGAACGTCGCCAAATGACATGTACTGTGTCGGTGTGACGTAAAACCCAAAACAAACAAACATCATCATCATCATTATCATCATCGTCCTGTTCGTTTTTGTGTAACAATCATCACAATTATCAATGCAGTCATTCTCCAAGTTTAGATTTATCACCAAAAAGTAACAATATGATAAGAGTCTTGCTGTTGTTTTTTGCTTGTTTGTTTGTTTGTCTTTTTATTTTTTTTACTGTTGACATAATCACAAGTACATGTAACTGTCGACAAATAAGTTTGTAGAATAAAATTTAAATATTATTTTATCACCCCTGAATATTGTTGATTATCATACACATATCCTTATTTTAAGATCTAGAAAATAAGCTTATAAATTAAAGTTACCTTGGATTTCAATCTGATCATGACCCTACAATGAAAATATAAAACAACTGTTGGTGTCAAAGACTCAAAATATACAAAAAACAATGACCTTGAAAAGAGACAAATACTTTGCACGTAGTGACATGCTAGAGTTTGAACTAAATATTGTACATTTTGTACTGTAATTTAGTGTAAAAATAAATATGTACTGATTTCAACAATTCTACAAACAGCAACACTGAGATACAATATCTTTGTACAAACTTTTAACATGTTATATGACCCATTATTAACGGTTGTAAGCCAATATAACCCCGAGTCTCTAGGCGAAAGTTATAAAACGTTCATATTTTATACCCTGTCACATAACCTGTTCAAAGTCTTAATAACAAATTAATAGTACTGTGAAATTGCTATTTTTATAACAAATAATCACAATTTTACAGCAGATGTGTATATTTATAAGAAATAAAAGTTGTAAAATAACTGACTTAAACGTGCAGTATTACTTATTACTAAGTTCAGAGAGATACATATGGTCCAGTAATAACGCAATGGACTAGTAAGTCAGAGGTCGCAGGTTCGATCTCCCACTACACCACTAACAATACATTTTGTAATTACCGTGTCTCTCGGATAAGATCTTATAATCTAGGCTCCATATATCGGTAGTCTGTACCGGACATGTAAGAAAACTAGAGTATTTATAGCCTCTTGAACAGGACAATTGCTGTATCATGCACTACGCAAATGCATGATGTAAACAACAATTAACTCGTCAGGGGCGTCGCAATATATGGGTAATCGAAACCAGACATTAAATAAACCGAAAAAAAAAGAATGAAAAAGTATCAGTAGCGTTTGCTCCTCATTTTTTTCTACAGAAAAAGATCTCAAAACCTTCAATTTGTTCTTTAATGACAATTGCCCCTTTCCCTAAAATATTTATGAAAAATAAAGATTACTCCCTTAATTTAATAAAAAAAATGGCCTAACAATAACTGAACATCAATTTTCAAGCTCGAATCAGTGACATAAAAAACCCATAGAATATAAGCTCTTTATATTCTTTGAAATAACAGAAAATATTTACAAACCATGTCAGCAAGGGTTCTCTTCACAAACTGCATTACGGGATTACTTTCAAATTCATCATTGTCCTTCGCGAGACATGTCCCGTCATCACCTCTGTTTCCCAGCATGTTTGCGGCACCACCTCCTCGTGTTACCCGGCCATCATGCATATGTAGCTGAGTTAGAGTACCAAGTAAAGTTTTCATGCCATCATCTTGTTTGTCCTCGTCATCAACATCTGACAGACTGTGTTTTCTTTTAGGAGGCTGAAATAGATTGGCACGTGTTCTTAGTCTTGACCAGACTGTCACGTGTACTTAGTCTTTACCAGACTGTCAGTCTTTACCATACTGTCACGTGTACTTAGTCTTGACCTATGTTTGCGCCCAATGAGAATGCTTTAATATGAAAATTCCTTACTTGCTAATTCACATAATAACTCTTCAATTTCAGTGTTTTTAAAACATTTATTCATTTACAAATTGCATATATTTTAGCATGACACGCACTTCCAATATATAATTAATTACACACATTTGAGAGGAAAGAAAATGCTGTACATAACAGGTCGTTTCATACACCTCCTTCGGCTGTTTAAATAATTTTTAGCGTTGTCAGAGTTATGGTGGCATGGGGATAATAAGCACGTTTCAATTTCAGAGTTTCGTAAGATGTCATATCTACTGTATACAACGTTTTTTTCATAAAAGACTGAATCATCTGCTATCTGAAATGCCTAGTATATGTATGTGCTTTTTAAAATCCTTTAAAAAAGGGGGAAAAGAACAAAGCGAATACTATTTTACAGATCACAAAAGGGAATAGCTATCGTGAAGTTGATTGCGCTTATCAAATTAATTTATATGTACATGTACATATACGTTTCCTAATATGATACATGACTATTTTTCCCATGTGCTAGAATCTAATGTTTATACAAATGTATTTATGCAAGGCTTATCAGCACCTACATGGAGTAATCTGAAAGTAGGAACCTTAATGACATTTAAGATGGCACAAACCGGACACCGTACTGTGTAAATGCTATACTCGACCAACTAAACAACGGCTTGTTTTTCCAGGTTGATGCTATATATATTTGTATCTGATAATAAATTTAATAAAAGCTAGAATATTCCGGAAAAACTTTAAGTTAAAAAGTCTTACAATTTGCAAAACCTTCTTCGGCGATTTAAACATTTTATGACTCAGAATCTGTTTCGCAGACGGACGATCTCGGGGATCTTTCTTTATCATCGACGTGAGTAGATCTGTTACGTCACTGCTGTAATTAGTCGGCATCGTCGGCAACTGTAATATGATGTAGTATAATACAAGAAAATGTCAACTTTAAATCAAAACACACAAAGACAGAATCGTTAATTATTGTTAACTTCGACACGTGTCTGCAATTTTTATTACAATGTTCTATGTTGTACTAGCTAGGTAATCATAATTATAATAGAAGAATAAAAAATGCTGAAATTGCACATAATTATAAGAAAATATTTTTTATTTCATGCACTTTATATATTCTTATTCGTGAAGGTAATGTAAGCAAATGCCAACAAAATTAATACAAAATTTTGTACATGGGATCAACATTATATCGTTAGTATGTACATGTATATGTACATTGTAAGTACCTCTTAATTGAGAGAATCTTATTATAAGATAGGTAACTCGTAGTTATGAGGTAATATCCCGTAATTGCGAGAATCTTATTATGAGATAGCTATCTCGTAGTGACAAGGTAATACCCCTTAATTGCGAGAATCTTATTATAAGATAGCTAACTCGTAGTTACGAGGAAATATCCCGTAATTGCGAGAATCTTATCATGAGATAGCTATCTCGTAGTGACAAGTACGTAATACCCCTTAATTGCGAGAATCTTATTATAAGATAGGTAACTCGTAGTTATGAGGTAATATCCCGTAATTGCGAGAATCTTATTATGAGATAGCTATCTCGTAGTGACAAGGTAATACCCTTTAATTGCGAGAATCTTATTATAAGATAGGTAACTCGTAGTTATGAGGTAATATCCCGTAATTGCGAGAATCTTATTATGAGATAGCTATCTCGTAGTGACAAGGTAATACCCTTTAATTGCGAGAATCTTATTATAAGATAGCTAACTCGTAGTTATGAGGTAATATCCCGTAATTGCGAGAACCTTAGTCAACAAGTACAGGATGTTTTTTTTTTGTTGTTGTTGGTTGGTCGGTTTGTTGTTGTTGTTTTTTGTTCTTGTTTTTTGTGTTGTTGTTATTACAACGACTTATTACGAGATATATTTGTAATAGGATACAATTAAGATACCGTTTGGTGGACAATTTTGAATAATATCATCTGCGGTAAGATCGCTTCCTTGTCCATGTGGGCCATCTCATACATCATGATGCCGAGAGAGTAGATGTCAGTCTGAAAATAATTTATACTATACTCACATGTGCTATAAAGTGAAATAATACTAGATATTTCTAATATCATCCTCGGTAATCAAGGCTATTTACCGTATACCAGTAGTATATACGGAATATATACCGATGTTCTAATATAAGTTTGTATAAATAATACCAAAGCGCCATTAAACTCAAATGTAAAGCAACCAAAATCGTACAGCATTTGAATTCATATTTCTACTTTATAGCCGCCCGGTTAGCTCAATAGGTAGAGTGTCGGACAGAATCGGGCGGCCCGGGTTCGAATCCCCGACGATGCAGGTCACTTTCGTTGTGATTGATCGTGCTTTCTACGGTCATTCGCACTGTACCTCTGCTTTGGTATGTACAGAAATTTCAGTTCCTTGCGAAAGTGAAGGTAACTAGTACTGTAAAACTGCTTGACAGTCTGTCCAGGAACGATGCGGTGGCTGAACTGTGCTCTAGTCCTGAACTGCGCTCTGATCAATTCAATGTGGCCTACTGCAGTGATCCGGAGTGAAAGCTACCAACACTACCAATATTTCCACTTTGAGATAAGAATACCATGATATGATCTTCACAGTTCGATACGGTACCAGTACTTAGAATTATCATAAATTCTGATTATTTCTTCTGCCTGTGATAAATAATCATTCTGTGCTGACGTGCGTCGATGCAATAATTCTTTCTTTGAAAAAAAATCGAGTGATATCCCACAGGAACAGGTAAATTTACAAAATTACACTTAATTTTGTAAGACACAACTGCAAATTACATGACTGGTTTACATTGATTTGAGAGGTATGAACTGAAGATTCAATGAAATGTATCAGTACCGCATGTGCCCACCACTTTGTGCAATGCACGTTGTGATACTGCGGCGCATGCTGTTGACGTAACGCTGTATAAACGGCGCAGGTAAATTGGCCCACTCAGCTTGTAAGGGCGATGCAGGTCATTAATAGTGTGTACACTGTAAAAAATGGTAACGCCTGACACGTTCCACAGGTGTTTGTTAACAAAACGTATGTGTTCTCGTTGTGTGCAGTATAGAAACACATGCGTTTCTTTATGGAGCGGGTGTTTATAGCTAAAACAGTAGTGTGCAGTGTTTAAACGGTTGGTGTTTATATTGGCATGCCTGTGTGCAAACATGAAACGTTTGTGTTTACTTTTATGTCATAAGCTCATCTCGTGTTTTGATTATTAAAAACAAATAAAACAGAAACATAACAGTAATCTTTTTAAGACGGGCGCAAAAAAGCATTTTCATTAACCATAAATCTGATTTCCCCACCCACTTTGGTATTTCAAGAATATAGTCAAAACATATACGGAATAACATGCTACTGTCTTTTGATATCAATTTTATCAGGCGAGGCTGATATGGGCTAGAAAGGGCGATGCTTAGATAACAAAGAAAATCGTCTAGCCTGTTTGTTATGATTACGGGCTATAGTATGACGTGAACATTGATGATGTCATTTGCAATATGAATTATGACGTCACTTCATTTAGTTAGAGTAAGTGGATCTAAATTAGCTTTTGTATCATATTGGATTAGGATTATTGCTCTAAAATCAAAATGTTTAGGCAGTTACGGGCTTAATTAATTAAGAAATATAGACATGCTCTGTACCATTCATGCAAAAGAATATTATATCAGGGATATTTACGAGAATTCTAAACAGCAGATTATTGTGACATATAATGGAAATCAAACAACATTTAATTCAATGCCTTGGTCACCAAGACCAGCACAAAATTATGATTCCAAAATTATATTGATTCCCTATGGCCTAGATCTAATTGATAATTATTTTGTTCATACTTAGAAAGCTTAATCAAATAATCTTTCCTAATAATTATCTAAAATAACTTTTAAAATGCAACAAAAGCCACCATTTTGCTAACTAATTTATTAAAACACTACATAGTTTAATTCTGTAGAGCACTGTCAACTGAAGTCTTGCACCTTTCTGTTAGTCTGTTCATAATTTTGCTTTCAGGATGACTCTAAAGTGTCAGTGCTGAATGCTTTAGAATCAGAAACAGCTTACAGAAAAGGAAAGGACCAGAAGACTAAGCCTTTGATGCAAATAATTAAGGTAAGGGTGTTAGATATTCAAATCTATTAATGTCCTAAAACTTCTTTTTTATGTGACCAGCTGTGATTAAGTGATGGACATGTCTGTACATCTGTGTACATATTTTACATCAAAACATTGTAGGGAGTATACCTTAACATCTTATTACTATAATTATCAGCATGTCATATTTGGCATGCACACTTGTTTGATAAATAATTAATGCGAGTTTTATTTCAAAACAGATTTATGTAGGTAAACTATTCTAACAAAGAATAAATAATTTCCATGGTAGTTGTCACTTGATGATAACGCTAAAGATGCTTTTAACATTGAATGATATCTAAGGTTTACTGTATACAAATGCTAACAGTTTTTTTTAAAAACTGATGTATAAAAATTATCAATATTTGTTTCAGCTTGAAGATGATGGGAATCTTGAGAGACTTCTTTCTTTTGCACCAGAGTCGGCACCAAAGTTGGTTTCAATTGAGAAAGATGAACGTATTGTGAACATGGCTATTGTTTGTGATGGTACACATATTTACTAGAGACAGCCGATTCAAAAGAGGCCATAGCTGTGTTGATTGGTTTGTTTTACCTTGCAGACCTAGATTATCCAAAGGCATATTCACAGGTTGGTTAAAACAAATTTTCAACACATTTTAATTATTATAACTCACTTCTTTTTTAATGCTAAATTTCTATTGATCAATTATGTAATATTGTAATAATAAGTCACAAAATTTTGGTTGATGCACATGCTCATTGAAAAATGGAGTCACTGGCATCACATTATAAAATGATATTTTGCACTGTTCACACCACTGGTGAAGAGTGCTTCAAACTTCCTTCATAAAATTGCATTGACTTGTCCATGTGTATGTGATTCGTCTATCAGACTTTTATGCTTGTTTTTGTTGATGTCAGTTTCAGTACACCAAGATCTCTTTTGCGAGTTACTTTATTTAAATGAAAGAATCGAATTGATCTATCTAAAAAAAATAAATATCCACACTAACATTGTCCTTTCAGAAAAAGAATGCTACCGCGTGTTTTCCAGTTTTATGTGATTTTGTGTTCTTAATCACAATTTCAAAAACTTTTTCCGCAAAATTTGAATCATTACCATGTTTGATGAATAGGGCTGCAACTGCTTAACTTCTTATTTTCATATGCTACTATGAATGAAATATGTATGTATACACAGGTGCGTGGGTTACTTCAGCAAACTGAACTTCAGCAGCAGTTTGATGGGCATAAGAGCTATGGATTTGTTCAATATTTAAAGACAGTGAACACGGAGATGGAGAGGAAAGAAAAGAAGCCAGTGTGACTTAAGTGATCCAGCTATCATAAAAGGAAAAATTGAACTTTACTTTCATTTGGATAATTATCAGTTTACACTTGCTCAGAATATGTTTTACTATTCAGCACTGAGAAAAGTCAAGCACGCTGTCTTACATACAGCTCATGTTGGACTTGGGTTAATATTATAGCACTTTGGTTAATATTATAGCAATGTTGGAAATTTGTGTGCAATTTCAAGTACTTTCATAGTTTATTGTAGGAATGGCAACAAATACTGATTTTGGTATTCGAATATTTGTATAGAGCATTCAAATGTAATCCAATATTTGAATATTCGTATAAAAATTTTATGCATCCAAATTTGTATTATGTCCATTACCAATGCACTATGATCAATAAGTTTTCCTGTTGAATTGGGAATTTTTATTCTCTTTTTTTGAGAGTCGTTAATGATGCCTTAATATGTAACTATTCACAATCTTCATCATGGGTATTTTTTAAGAACTGATTTCTTAAGTTAGATGTGATATTTGCCAGCTGAAGGCATTATTGAGGGGTGAACATCTCATCATTTTTAATGACTAGCAAATCCATAATTGTTTTATTATGTTTTGTTACAAAGATAAATTGTTTCATTAACTGTAGTTTTTTTCGGGTTTGCAAGTAAAGTAAAAGTTACTAAGTTCATACTTTTTTATTATATTTATTTATTTTATGTTTATCGCAGACTGTACTTAATGCTTTTATATAAAGCGAATGATTTTAACCAATAGAAATCTGGCTATTTTTAGTACAAATTAATAATTTCATACTTCTTGCAACAGATGTTTGATGATGTCATGATTTTTAGCTTGATTATTTAAACAAGAGCACCGCTAGGTGGAGCATTATATACCCGAAAGTGTTTTTTTTTATATAAAGGATGAAGCATTTGTAAGACATTCCATAAATTAAATAAAGTATTAACTCCTTCCAATAGCAATCCTCCTATAAAGTTTGAATATTGTGGGCCAAATAGATTAAGTTATGCTCCAGAAACTGTTTTCACTTTTAAAGTAATAGTGACCTTGACCTTTGACCTTGTGACCCAAAAATCGCTAGGGGTATTCTACTCAATAAGGACAATCATCCTATGAAGTTTGAATATTGTGGGCCAAATAGACCTTAAGTTATGCTCCAGAAACTGTTTTCAGTTTTTAGTTATGCTCCAGAAACTGTTTTCAGTTTTAAAGTAATAGTGACCTTGACCTTTGACCGTGTGACCACAAAATCTATAGGGGTCTCCTACCCAATATGGACAATCATCCTATGAAGTTTGAATATTGTGGGCCAAATGGAACTTAAGTTATGCTCCGGAAACTGTTTTCAGTATTAAGGTAATAGTGACCTTGACCTTTGACCTTGTGACCCCAAAATCAATAGGGGTCTCCTACCCAATATGGACATTCATCCTATGAAGTTTGAACTGTTGGCCACATGGAACTGAAGTTATGCTCCGGAAACTGTTTTCAGTTTAAAGGTAAAAGTGACCTTGACCTTTGACCTTGTGACCCCAAAATCAATAGGGGTCTTCTACCCACTATGGACAATCATCCTATAAAGTTTGAACACTGTGGGCCAAATGGAACTTAAGTTATGCTCCGGAAACTGTTTTCAGTTTTAAGGTGATAGTGACCTTGACCTTTGACCTTGTGACCCCAAAATCAATAGGGGTCTTCTACCCAATATGGACAATCATCCTATGAAGTTTAAATGTTGTAGGCCAAATGAAACTTAAGTTATGCTCCGGAAACTGTTTTCAGTTTTAAGGTGATAGTGACCTTGACCTTTGACCTTGTGACCCCAAAATCAATAGGGGTCTTCTACCCAATATGGACAATCATACTATGAAGTTTGAACACTTTGGGCCAAATGGAACTAAAGTTATGCTCCAGAAACTGTTTTCAGTTTTAAGATAACAGTGACCTTGACTTTGTGACCCCAAAATCAATAGGGGTCTTCTACCCAATATGGACAATCATCCTATGAAGTTTGAACACTGTGGGCCAAATGAAACTTAAGTTATGCTCCGGAAACTGTTTTCAGTTTTAAGGTGATAGTGACCTTGACCTTTGACCTTGTGACCCCAAAATCAATAGGGGTCTTCTACCCAATATGGGCAATCATCCTATGAAGTTTGAATGTTATGGGCCGAATGGAACTTAAGTTATGCTCCGGAAACCAAATTGCTAACGGACGGACGGACGGACGGACGCCAGGGGGTATAACATAATATGCCCGAAATTCTTTCGGGCATATAAAAATGGTAAGGCAATAGCTTAGCAGCTGATCCTAGCATTAGTGTTGCATGACACAAAGTTTTTTTAGACAAAGAAAGACAACCACTTCTGATATTTATTTGGAACTTTACACATTTTTTGTATGTAAATATAAGTTCACATAAAAAGACCAATAACTCTGTTCTGCATTTTGACTAAATGATGTTTCTTTTAGAAAATTCTGCATATATATGTTTTTTTGTGTGTGTGAAAGTTGTATCTCCAGTCATAGAATTTTATCCGAAACTTTGTACATGTGTTAGATACGAAAATGTTATTTACCAATACCCATTCAAGGTAATGCATTTGATTGAAATATGCCTCATTTCAGAGTAAATGCATTGAGAATAGTGCAGGCATGTTGTCGCTCTAACAGCTTATTTCATGCTTGTGTTTAGCAAAGTTGCATTCTTGAATTATGTTAAATTAAAAATGAAATAAACTGTATAATGTTATAATAAATAAATTCCAAAAATACTTCATTAGCGTTGTTTGTAGTTACAATATGCTGTACATGTATTTCCTTAGTTGTTTTGATCTTACCTGAACATATACAGTAAACACGTAATGCATTTCAAATTGAAATATGTGACATGTTTATCAGGAACGCTTTGAAAACAGCACACGTGGGTTTGGAAACATGTTGCAAGTTCCAGTTTGAAACACCAAACGTGTTTACTGTACATGTTCAAGTGTTCCCAAACTGTAACATTATAAGTGTTCTGCTATGAAACATGTCACGTGTTTCAGTTTGAAACACCAGGAAGCGTGTAAAACGGGAACATCTGTGCGTTTATTCGTGAACATGTGACGTGTTCCATTCTATAGTGTTTCCAAAGTGTAACAGGAAAAGTGTTTCGAAATGTGTTTAAAACTTAAACGCCTGTTTTTACAGTGTATTGCATGATTTATTCGAACACGGCGCCCTAACTCGTTCCAAATATGTTCAATGCATGGGAAACGCTCAGTACAACCAAAGTGCCGGGAAACGGCGGTTGCTGACATGCTCATCCACATAGCTTGTCATAGAGCATTGGCATTTTTTCGACTTGATTCAACACAATTTTATTGAGTTGTGACGGTTGTGAAAAATTCTGTGAAGTCTGATGACTTTTTTTTACAGGAACGCATGGTTCACGTGTTTTTATTAGTCAGAAAGTCTTTAACAATTTTTATCTTCACCTAAATCGTTTCTATGAAATGATAATGAAAAAGTACAGATTTTAAGAAGAATAATCCCTTTATATTCATACAAGATAGACAGAAGACCTTGCCCCCGAGTGATCATGTTTCTTTTCAATTTCATTTTCCACAATATAGGTAGATGGTCACTAATGGATCATTTTTGTGACTTAGCAAAAGAAGATTTCAAAATCTTCTTGTAAACTTACACGGGTGACAATGTATGCTTCCGCCCCATTTTGGGGTTTATTTGGGCTTTATTTTCCTTTTCCCTACTTTCCCCTTTTTCTTTCAATGCTTACGCTCAGTTTAAAAAATAACTGATGTTAGAGAAGCAATATTTGTCTACAGATATGTGATTACTCATTTTAACATCTATATGATACATTATTGTAATATCTCCAGAGAATTAATTTCTGGAACAAAAAGAGGACAACAATTTATTAACCGTAACGTCAGTTCAAAATAGTAACAATTAATCTATTAAAAATCTGGTACAATGTATTATTTAGGTTTGACGCAAATAGGCTCATGCTAAATGAATTGAAATATTCAAGGCAAGATGTACTTATACATGATGCCAATTATGTCTTTGGTATCATTATATACGCCTACCTTGTCCGAGTAGGGTATGCCAGCAAACACTTCAGGGCTCATATACATCGGTGTTCCGCATTGTGTCATCGCCAAGTCGGTAGCGGTCTGTAGAATTCTGTTAAATAAATATGATAGAAAAAAAATCACATATATAACTGTCACAATAATGGCACCGTTACTCTTGTGGTTCCTTTATAAAATAGCTCTTTAATGTTTTAAATTTTACTTCAGACGTCTTTGGCTATTGGAGACATTATACATGAATATGATTTGGACTTACATATCATACTCCCATCCTATTACCTTACTTTGTTACAAAGTTCGGTGAGCATCACACTACTAGTACATTGTTAAACGTATTCACTTTAAGACGTATACAAGAGAAATGGATGACGAAGGAAAACGATTAATTAAATATTCTGAAAATCGCCAGTTGACACAATAAATGTCTTAACATTGAATAAAACACTGGCGCGCACGAGAAAGATTCCAACTATTGCAATCAATGTTTTGTCAATAGAAAGAAGGATATTTCACTGCAAATTATATATGCCGGAAATTACAAGAAAACATTCAGGGTTGCGTTTCATGGAAAGTCCTTAGTCTAAAATATGTCTTAAGAGTTAAGACCAAAACTGAGACAATTTTCGTTTCAAAGAAAATGTCCTAACTTGTGACTCTTATGTTAACACTCTTCCATTTCTGACAAGCGTTGCAGACGAACATTTACACATTGCTGATAAGAAGCGTGTGCCATTGTATTTTTTAACTTTCCTCAGTTGAATGAATTTAATAAAAGTCTAAAATCTTTACTATTTAATTGAAACGGTCTAAAGTAAGTCCAATAGTATGTCATTGGTCCTAGGGCCTAGGATACACTTCGGACTTTATATGGTCCACGCAGCCCAGATATCAGCTGAATGAAGACTGACACAGGTTATGATGACACCATGGATACACTGATATATAATTATTTGTTATTTATAAGTTTGATATTTTATTTTATCTATACCTTGCTATTCCAAAGTCGCCAAGTTTTGTGTTCCATTTACCATCAAAGAAAATGTTGGCCGTTTTCAAATCTCTATGTATGACGGGGTTGGGTAGTCCGTGAAGATACTGCAATTAAAACAGATTTATTTGAATAAATTCTTTCAGCATTTTAGTGTTCTCTTTTGGTACAAAAACAATGCTTGTTAAAGTGCATTAGATATTCATAGTCAAAACCGTACTGAGTACAGTAAAAACCTTAGGGACTTCAAACATCATGCATAGTCTCTACTGTCTTGTGGGACTTAAATCGTACAGTTCAAATTTAATGTTTCTATATATTTTTGCTTAAAGTTACATTAAATAAATATGTAAAAATATTTTGCCGTCGGCCTAAAAAACAAGCATTCTACAGTTTCATTAACCTTTTTAACAGTACTGTTGTAAATCTCATCAAATATTGTTCATAAATTAGGATTTTAAACGGGAAACCCCACGGTAACACTAAAGTTCGTATACGAATTTTAACATGCAATCTGGAACATACGATACGTTATAGTACATCCCAGATGCAATGCGCTACGTCACATTGTTATAGTTGCAATCCGGAACACAGTAAATATGAGATTTTCTTGTGCAAACACACTTTAACCGTTTTAGCTTCACGGTGCACTAAGCCTGGGGTTCAGATAAAAAGTAATCATCGCATAAACGGATTAAATTTGTATGAAAACATCCGTTACAATACGGAAATATACCGTTAAATGAGGACTGCTACTTATAGTTAATATTGATGTAAGGATGATCTTAAGGCGGAGTTTCTCTTGCAAACAGAAATTGTACTTCCGATTTCGCCACAATGAGGTTGCCCATTTTTATGCTTATAAAACTTATTTTGGTTGTCTTGACACCAAAATAAAACCTTGAGTCGATATGAAACCAAATTTATAAATAAAATGTCGCCATTTCTGTTTTTATGAAATTTATTAAATGTAGCTTTAAAGATACATTATGCTCAAATTTTATTTAAAAAAAAAGAAAAAAAAAAGAAGATAATTACTATACAGTCTCTTTTGAAATGTAAATATAACATCTTCTGAATACATACAGAGAAAATATGTTACGTTTTAAACTCAATAGACTACAGGTAATTACAGTATGATGTCATTAAAAGAAAGTGGCAGTGTTTATAAGAATAGACCTAATAAATTTGACAAGTAATGGGGAATGCAGCTTTCACACATTTACTAGTTTATACTTTTACTTAATAAAATTAGACATATTCAGGAAGAATTTACTAAATTTCAATATTTTTTTGCAATAAATTATTTTACCCAAAGATGAGCATAGTATAACTTTAAAGCTACATGCCTCCAGACAAGCCAAAATACTTCAATAAAAGGAAACTTGAGAAAAAAATTACTAAGATTTTAGAAAAGTAAATAGATACAATATTCAAGTAAAAATTTACATGTTATATGCGATTAATGACTGATTTTTTTAAGACTTTATAACCATATTTCTACTGCGTTACTAAGGCAGTAAGGGTTATTTTTGCATATGTTGACTACTTTTTGGTAATTTACGTGTGTTGCAAGTGCCATTGATAATGTGTAAGTTGCTTCCTTTTGGTTACTTCATAATATTATACATTTAAATGCATTTTCAAAATTTCATGAAATTTAGCATGAATCTGGAGGCATGCTGCTTTAAAGATTTACTGCTAACGCTTCAAACACGGTCATCTAACCTCAAGTGCGCTGGTGATCTGTCTGATCCATTCAATAAGCCGATTTTCTTCCATGGCGGTACCAGCGTGATCACGGAGATACTCTTGTAAATCACCATTCGGACAGTATTCTGTAATGATCATTAACTTTCCATCTTCAAAAGCAGCCTCTACATACTGTACTATATATTCATGTTTTAACGATGCCAACAGTTTCACTTCTTGAACCGTCTGCTCAATCTCTTTTGGATGTTTTCCAGCAAGTTGACACATTTTTAAAGCCAACTAAAATTATACAAATATAATTACATGAATATACCAATGGCAGAAAATTATAATACCTTTGAAATGTATCTATAACTATTTATTTGAAAATATTGTGGAATATTCTGAGCATTTGTGTACAAAAGGCCTGAACGGAACCAGAGTTTTGCGCTACAAAAAGCGAAAATAAGGAAAACACAGATAGGAAGACCGATTTTCGTCGCCTTTTTCCTACAGCTAAAAACAGGTGTAACGAGACCGGAAGTTCGCGTAAAGCAAAAATTAATGTATGCCATCCAAACCATTCAACAGACATTAACAACCACATGAATTTTAAAGTCAGAAATTGACGATTTATGGGTACCATTATTTGTGTTGAAAGCCATTGAGAGTATTTGAGAAAGGCGCCTTATATAGATTTTAACGCGCCTTTGACGTCGGACGTGCGCGTGCGATTCAGTTAGTTTTGCCATGGTGTTTATGGCATATTTTTGTTGTTTGTTGATATTTATCTATGAAAATTTGTGAAAATGTTTAAATTATATAGATGTATAACATATTAAAATATCAAATTGGTATCTGTTTTATTTAGCTTTTAAACAATCTTGTCACAGAATATTGGGACAACCCTCGTATAGCTAGTTAGCTTCTATTAAATTTAGAAGAACTTAATTAACTCGTTATTAAGGTGACGATTTGTTCTTATATGAGCAGCATTTCAGTAAAACTGGAGCTACTTGATATTGCGTATGCTGTCAGGGGTTTTCACACGGTTGTCTAACTCACTGCAACGATGGCAGGTTTGAAAAATATGATTTACAGCTAATATGGTCAGGCGTCCTGATGATCGCCAGCTGAACAGTACCACTTTACAAAGGCAAAAGGTGTAATCTTTTTTATAACCACTGAAAATTTATTTATTGAACATCTTTAGGAAAATATTGAGTGTGTTTAAAAATTATGTCTGACAGAATAAACATATACATTATTACAAAACAAAATGTACGTTTTGCTTTTATATGTTTTAAATTTACTTCTGTTCATTGGACTTGTACCCAATTACTAAAATAGAGAAAATAGGAATCCCGAAAGAAAGTCCAAGGCGGTAAAATTGAAAATGTTGCAGGCTCGGTTTGAATGAGCCTGTTCATGGACGGTACTGTCAAGTGGAAACTACCGTCCACGCCCCTAGCACCGGCTTAAACAGTATTCAACATTTAAACATGAAAATGGTGAAATTTTGAATTAAGAAACATCCGCAGATGTGTTCACGGCGGTCATCGTGGAACCTTCAATGTGACACTTTCGTGCCATTCCTTGAAAAGTCAAGAAATCCCAAACTTTACTGATCTTTGTAGCATAAAATAGCCCTACTATTGTTTGACGGAAAGGGCCAAACAAACGCCATAAGACTGATCGTTATGGGGATAATATGCATATTGTCAACAGTATAATTAAAGTGACTTTAGTTATTGAACTGTGCAACCAATGTTCTCCCAATCCCGGAAGTTTTCGGAAATAACAGGGGTAATGGGTCGTGTTATACCTGCACTGCACTGTTTTTTTTGTTGTTGTTTTCGTTTTTTTTTTCTTTTCTTTTTTTTTTTTTTTTTTAGCCTAACCCACCTAGCCTGGGAATTTTTCTTAACCCAAACAACGGAGGCTTTAACAGATCTTTGATGTTTTTTAAGGTCAAGGTTTTTGCAATTCTCAAAGGTTGGGGTGACACATCAAATTACTCGTGCATAACTAGGCATTTTACTTAGACCAATATACTGGCAATTGATAAAAGTAATTAATTTACTTTACAATTTCCAGAAAACTACCAAATTATTATATGTTTATCTAAAATGAGACTATTTATAGTAAAATATTTCCACTTTCGTTTTTGTCGACTGATCATTACCTGTTCCTTAGATGATGGCTTTTCCAGCAAGAACACTTTCCCAAATGCACCTTCACCGATTAAACCTTTGATCTCAAACTTTTCATCATCACCTTGAGCCATTTTTAAAGATATTAACAGGAAGAAAACAGCAATGGAAGTTAAAATGTTTACAGCGATAAACAACTTCCTGGCTAATTCTGTGAACGCTATACATCAGTGGACAAGTTTGAACAATGGTTATCTAACTTCCTGGTTGAACAATTGCTAAATTCTTTATATTGTTTATTGAATTGTTACAACTTTATAATATAATACATGTATGCAGAACAAGAACTTATCGACATGTCAAGCATATATTATGTTTGATTGGTATCAACTTAATGCGTGGTTGAGACTCCGTTAAACACGTACTCGAAGATCAAGTGCTCGATGACCACGTGCTCGCTGATACTTTGGTCGACTAAAAGATTTAAATGTCCTGCTCTGCTGATTTATTTCTTTTCATGACGACAGCAAATACTCGTAGATGGTTAATTTTACGACAACTTGCGATTTGTACATCCCCGTTTGATATTTATTTGAAACTTAAAATGAACATACAAAAATACATAAAATTAAAGAAAAATGTTTGTTAAGTTGCGATAAATGTGCAAATAATGCTAAACCTTCGTATATTAGCAACTAGGGATTTAGATTATTTTTTATTTGTCGCTCCGCTCCAGACATGAATAAATTTTGAAAAAAGCTGACTATTCAATGGGTACGGTACGGACAAGTTCTGAAACTGTTTTTAAAACATAACTTTGTTTTTCGAGTTATACCACTTATCTATATAAAGTAACCTAAAATATATAACGACTTCTCCCAAAAAGATTAAAGGTGGTTTCGTGTTGAAACACATTTAATACAGTTTATAGCAACCCGGAAGAATTATATTAAGAATATATCAGACGCACAAACAAAAATAAAGGATAGTATCAATGATATTTTTTGCAGCGAAAAATGAATAAATTTGTTTACAATACGTGCACTAATACAGTAAAATTATTTTGGATCTATTTATAGAATGTAAACGGATTTAAAAGTAGGTTAAGAAAATGTCGTCGGACGAGTTTGTCTTAGAGAAAACTTTGGGTGAAGGAGCTTTTGGTAAAGTGTACCTTGTTAAAGGCCAGGATGCGAAGCAGGTAATATGTTGTTATAAAATGGGATATAATCACGAACTTTAAATATACTTCATTGTGAAATGAAATTATTAAATACGTTAATATTATCAGATTATGCTCGGTTTTGAAATCGAAAGTAGGAAATTTGCGTATTTAATTAGAAACGTTAATGTATATGCTGTCAAAATTCAAGTTTTTTCTCTTCTTTTTTCTAATATTTCATTTCTTTGCTTGATTTGTAAATATAACTGCATACAAGTTGAACTTGTATAATTACTTTGTTTCAAAGCGAAAGTTGATATAAATTTGTAAGAGCCTTAATCAGTCAGTTAATTAGGCCTTAATCTGGGTTTTTTCGAGGAAGATTGAATTATGGCGTCCACATCCCCAAACTATTACCACCTGATTTTCAATTATTACCAATTGTTGTTTCTGTACTGTAGGCATGTTAATTTGGCTTAAAATGTTTAAGTTAACAGTTGGCCTTGAAGCAAATTGTATAAAGAGATATAAATTTATCAACGTGAATTATGATGATTACATGTATATATCATTTATCTCACAGGTATATGTACTTGAGATATGTAATGTAATCATTATAACGTGCTTGGTCTACATTTGTTTAACAAACAATAACGCTGAATCATACATTAACTGTTAGGTCATTGTAGTCCATTAATACTCTAGTTACCTCCCCTGATACTTCATATGTGGACTACTGCCCATAATTAATTTTGGGGATATCAAGATGAAAAATAAAGTTATTGAGCCTACATGGTTAGACTGCATGGATGTTTAGGTGGATCTAACACTATTCTGGTGGCAAAAGCTTGTCACTTTTATTCCCAGCAGGGTAAGGAGTCCAATTTATGCAATCACACCTTCAGTCTTGAATTTTCTGTTAATAACTTGCACACTATAAGGTGTTTCCCCCTTTCTTATTGCAAAGAAAGCCTTTTATTGCTGAACTGACTGAAATTTTTTTAGCCTGTCATATATGACTGCTAATGAAATATGATATAATGATGTATATAAAAAAGGAAGTAAATCTAAACATGTCACATATCTTAGAAACACATATCTGTCTCATAAATCCATTTTTCACAAGAGGGGATTATTTTTTTATCTGTTGGTTGATATACTTGCTGGATTATCAGTAATTTTTATAAAAGCACTTGCTTTCCTTGCATTAAGTTGGTATGAAAGGTGCATAATTCAATTGATGAAACTTGTTAAAATAGATGTTTGCAAGCCAGCAATAGCCTGTGTTAAATTTAAGTGGCAAATGTTGTTTGGATTGCAGTACATATGTCCAAGGAGAGTTTGTCATGGCCACAGTAATTTGACTGTTCATTAAAAAGAAAACATAGAAGGTGTAGGTCAGATCACTATGTCAATTAAATAGGAAACAACGAAGATCAAGGTCACATTACTGTAACCATCAAGTAGAAAACATGATGACTCACAGTAACCATCAAATATTTAATGTTGAAGGTCAATGTCATATTACTCATAATGACATTCAAACAGAAAATATGGATGGTCATTGCCACAGTACTATGACCATCTAACAGAAAGCTTAGAAGGCCAAGGTCACATTATTGTAACTATTACAATCAAACAGAGAGCATTGAAGGTCAATGTCACATTACTATGACAATCAAGTGGTCAAGGTCATGATTATACCGACTGATCAATTTCAAATTTTCCTCTTGTTATTTTGTAAAATGGATTATGGAATGTTCCAAAATTAGAAATTGTGTTAATCCATTTAAAAAAATCAGCAGAAAAAGGGTTAATACTTCATGTTGCATATGTCATTTATTTCAGTATGCTATGAAAATAATTGACTTGCGGACATCGCCAGAAGAGGAAAAGGAACTTGCAGTAAAAGAGGCCAACCTGTTGAAAGAACTCAATCATCCTAATGTACTCCAGTATACCGATTCATTTGAAAGTGATGGAGCACTGTGTATTGTCACAGAATTCTGTTCAAATGGAGATTTATCCGAATTTTTAGAGAAACGAAAGGGAAAGAAACTGGAAGAAGATCAACTGCGAGAATGGTTTAGACAAATCACATGTGCTTTACAGGTATGTTTTTCTGTTTTTAAGTTTATTTATATAAGTGAGAAAGTTTGTTTATAACAGTGTGTAATTAGTTAAGTATTTCTGTGGAGAACAAATATTTCTTTGGAGAAAAAGTGTGAATAAACTCTTATTGTAGAAAATGATGAAAACCAGTGTGACTGATTTCCTGTATCAAGAACAGTTTCCTGTATCAAGAACAGTAATGAATAAATGCCATACTGATAAACTACAATGGGTAAATGTCAAACTGATAAACTACAACTGGTAAATGTCATACTGATAAACTAAAACAGGTAAATGTCATACTTATAAACTAAAACAGGTAAATATCACACTGATAAACTACAACAGGTAAATGTCATACTGAATAAACTATAACAGGTAAATGACATACTGATAAACTAAACAGGTAAATGTCAAACTGATAAACTACAACTGGTAAATGTCATACTGATAAACTAAAACAGGTAAATGTCATACTTATAAACTAAAACAGGTAAATATTACACTGATAAACTACAACAGGTAAATGACATACTGATAAACTAAACATGTAAATGTCATACTGATAAACAAAATAGGTAAATGACATACTTATAAACTAAAACAGGTAAATATCACACTGATAAACTATAACAGGTAAATGACATACTGATAAACTAAACAGGTAAATGTCATACTGATAAACGAAATAGGTAAATGACATACTGATAAACTAAAACAGGTAAATGCCATGCAGATATACTAGAAAAGGTCAATGTCATATCGATAAACTAAACAGGTAAATGACATACCGATAAACTAAACAGGTAAATGACTCACTGATTTAAACAAACTTTCTCACTGATATAAACAAACTGAATTTGTTTGAGTTTAAAGTCACATCCACACTGTAAAGGCATGACCTCAGGTATCCCTTCAAGCATTATTTGAGGCATGAGGGGGTGCCCAATAAAACTTCTGACCTTCTGAAAGGTAGCTGGATAGCTTATTCCCATGAAAGAATCCAAAGTCCCTGACATACTGCATAGGTAAATGTCATACTGATATTCTATGCATAGTGTTGCTATACTGATATACTAAGTTGGTAAATTTCATACTGATAAAATAAACAGGTTAATTTCCAACTGATAAACTGAGCAGGTAAATGTTACTGATATACATGTACTCAAAATATAAATGTTATAAATAAACAGAACAAAAGGTGATTGTAAAGTAAGTAATAAAGTGTAAATTAAACATACTTCACTTTGGTGAAAAAAATAGTATAATACTTTGTAGAAAAGATATTTTTATGCCCCCATTTCGAAGAAAAGGGGGTATATTGCTTTGCACTTGTTGGTCCGTCGGTCCGTCGGTCCGTAGACCAAATGGTTTCCGAGTGATAACTAAAGAACCCTTAGGCCTATGAACTTCAAACTTGATATGGTGATTGGTCATGACCAGTAGATGACCCCTTTTGATTTTGGGGTCAAGGGGTCAAAGGTCAAGGTCACATTGACCTTGTAAGCAAAAACGGTTTCCGATCAATAACTAAAGAACCTTAAGGCCTAGGAACTTCAAACTTGGTATGGTGATTGGTCATGATCAGTAGATGACCCCTATTGATTTTGGGGTCAAGGGGTCAAAGGTCAAGGTCACATTGACCTTCTAAGGAAAAACGGTTTCCGATCAATAACTAAAGAACTTTAAGGGGCCTAGGAACTTCAAACTTGGTATGGTGATTGGTCATGATCAGTAGATGACCCCTATTGATTTTGGGTCAAGGGGTCAAAGGTCAAGGTCACATTGACCTTGTAAGCAAAAAACTTGGTTTCCGATCAATAACTAAAGAACTTTAAGGCCTAGGAACTTCAAACTTGGTCATGGTGATTGGTCATGATCAGTATGATGACCCCTATTGATTTTGGGGTCAAGGGTCAAAGGTCAAGGTCACATTGACCTTGTAAGCAAAAAAACGGTTTCCGATCAATAACTAAAGAACTTTTAGGCCTAGGAACTTCAAACTTGGTATGTGATTGGTTATGACCAGCAGATGACCCCTATTGATTTTGGGGTTAAGGGGTCAAAGGTCAAGGTCACATTGACCTCTTGGGTAAAAACGGTTTCCGATCAATAACAAAAGAACCCTTAGGCCTAGGGACTTCAAACTTGATATGGTGATTGGTCAATGATCAGTAGATGACCCCTATTGATTTTGGGTTCAAGGGGTCAAAGGTCAAGGTTCAGATTGACCTCTTAGGTTTAAAAACGGTTTCCGATCAATAACTAAAGAACCCTTAGGCCTAGGAACTTCAAACTTGGTATGGTGATTGGTCATGACCAGCAGATGACCCCTATTGATATTGGGGTCAAGGGGTCAAAGGTCAAGGTCACATTGACCTTGTAGGTAAAAACGGTTTCCGATCAATTAACTAAAAACGCTTAGGCCTAGGAACTTCAAACTTTGTATGATGATTGGTCGTGACCAGCAGATGTCCCCTATTGAGTTTTGGGTCAAGTGGTCAAAGGTCAAGGTCACATTGACCTTGTAAAGTAAAAACGGTTTCTGATCAATAACTTAAAGAACGCTTAGGCCCTAGGAACTTCAAACTTGGCATTGGTGATTTGTCATGACCAGCAGATTTACCCCTATTGATTATGGGATCAAGGGGTCAAAGGTCAAGGTCACATTTGACATTGTAAGTAAAAACGGTTTCTGATCAATAACTAAAAAACGCTTCGGCCTAGGAACTTCAAACTTTGGCATGGTGATTGGTCATGAGCAGCAGATGACCCCAATTGATTTTGGGGTCAAAGGTCAAGGTCACATTGACCTTGTATGTTTTAAAACGGTTTCCGATCAATAACTCAAGAACCCTTAGGCCTAGGAACTTCAAACTTGGTATGGTGATTGGTCATGACCAGCAGATGACCTATTGATTTTTGGGGTCAAGTGGTCAAAGGTCAAGGTCACATTGACCTCGTAGGTAAAAATGGTTTCTGATCAATTAACTAAAAATGCTTAGGCCTAGGAACTTAAAACTTTGTATGATGATTGGTCGTGACCAGCAGATGACCCCTATTGAGTTTTGGGTCAAGGGGTCAAAGGTTAAGGTCATGACCAGTAGATACTTGATAACCCTTATTAATTGTTTGATCATTGGGTCAGAAGTCATGCATAATAACCTTATCACATGACTAATTGGCTGCTGATAGGGGGCATACATGTTTTACAAACATATCTTGTTTAGTTTGGTTTATACAGAATTTAATTTAGTTCAATTGTGTAGGAAACTATTAGCTTATAAACACACTTTGGAATCTGTTCCTGGAATCAGCAGTACTGAGCAATGAGTGTAAAGTTTCTTGCTCAAGGAAATAACGAGGTTTGAATCCATGCAGCTAGCGATCATTTGATTACCAGTCCGAAGCGTTAACTACTCGGCCATGCCGCCAATAGTTGTTTTAGTTAAATATGACACAATTTAATGTTTTATTTCTGTTTCAGTATTTACATAGGAAGACTATAATTCATAGAGATGTGAAGACACCAAATGTTTTTCTGTCAATGTCTTGGGAGGTCAAGCTAGGAGACATGGGACTTGCAAAGTAAGTTCTAAATTGCTCTAGATTTAATCAGGGGGCTAAGTTGTTCGAACTGCAAATTCTATCTAAATACAATGTTCTGTGTAAAATCAAGATCATTTTATATAAATATGACTAGACTGACTTCTGTAAATAATGTCAGAGCATTCAGTGATTTAATTGTACTATAACCTGCTGGAGTCTGAAGTGTTCAACCTTTACCACTAGAATAAAACGGCAGGCTATAAGTGCGGTCACATACATGTAAACTTTTTTTCGATGATCAAGTGGGAGATTTTTCTTCAAAAAGAGGGAGATTATAGAATTTGCAATAAACAAAGAAGAAAGTTCCGACATGCAAAAGAGGGAGATTTCTTTAACTTGTGAAAATACCCCTTATTTTAAAATTGTTTTTTTTTAAAAATATGGCTGCAGAAAGTGGGAATTTCCAGCTAAAAGTTGGACTTTCATCTTGTTAAGCTTAGATTTGGTTTATAGAGTCTTTGCTTTGTTATTTAATTCTTCAAAATTAAAAACAAAAAAAAATATTATAATGAACCTACATGGTGTAAGATTTTAAATGAAATTTATGTTATTTCAGAGTACTAGAGAGACCAAATGCAAAGGCGGTAACATTCTGTGGCAGTCCATACTACATGAGTCCTGAAATATTTTCATGTAAACCCTATGATTCCAAGGTATATTACACTCATTTGTTAACTAAAATCTTTACCTGTAAGCCATTTGATTCTAAGGTATATTACTCTCATTTGTTAACTAAAATCTTTACCTGTCAGCCATTTGATTCTAAGGTATACTACATAAAGTAAAAGCCCTATGATTCCAAGGTATGTAATACTCATTTGTTAACTAAAATCTATAAATGTAAGCCCTATGATTCCAAAATAGAGAAAAACAGAATCCCTAAAGATGTTGGCAGGAAAGCCCAACATTGCAAAATTGAAAATGTTGCAGGCCCTGTATGATTTCTAAGTATATAACACGATTACAGGAGTCCATAGTAATATACAATAAATACAATAAAATGGTACATTAATAACTTATGATATATAATTGTTTTCAGAGTGATATATGGGCATTAGGTGTTATAGTATATGAGATGGCAACATTAGAGCGACCTTTTGATGCAATGTTGATGCACCAGCTAGTCTTCAAGATTGTCCATGGAGGGGTAACATTTTATTATGTGGCCCAAGTGGCATTATACATTTAAGAGTTAAAAGTACTTTGTATATACTGGTCTATGTAACATTATGGCAGTTTAGGTTTACAGTAATTTATACATTCAATTATGTGACAGATTTGACAAATTGCACAGTTAGGTTTTACAGTAACTTGTATGTATTGGTATACAGTAAACTCCGCTTATAACGAACTCATTGGGACATTCAAAATCTGTTCCTTATATCCGGAGTTCCTTGTAAGCATATAGCGAATTAGTTCCTTGTATCAGGAGTTTTTATAGCGAACAGATTTACATATAACGAACTGATTGTTTACCATCGTCCGCCATTTTGAAGAGCATTTGATTAAGAAAAAATAGTCATTTATTTCTTTTTAGACACAATACCCGAGAGCGTACTTTTTGGAATTTGAAAATCCTTTGCTATTTCAGTTTTAGTTTTACTCCCTTTCTCAATTTCTCATAAAATATATTTTGTTTCTAAACTCAGTGCTTTTCGTTTTCTTTCCATGATTAAGAATAAACAAGATTTTCGATTTTTCCTTCCTTTTATATTGAATATCTTCTATTATATTTTAAGGGTGACTTTTACTTATGAAAGATATAGATTTCTTTTCATTTCAATCAAGCGTACTTTGTAGTTTTCAATGGATTATGCTTGCAAGCATGCGTGATTGTGTTGAAAACTGATCATAAATGATCATAATTATTTTATTCATTTTCATAGATGTATTGAAGTACATACAACAATAAACGGTACTGTGATTCGGCCCAGTTTTTATCAGTGCCAATAGCTGATATTTTGGAGTTTGTTATGAAAGTGTTATTTTCTGTACTTTTAACTAAATTGGGACTAAGAAATGAGTTCCTTATAAGCGATAATTCCTTATAACCGTGTTCGCTATAACCGTATATTTTCATATAAAATAAAGAAGGGCAAAATTCGGGCCAAAATAAATTGTTCCTTATAACCGGAAGTTCGCTTTAACCATGTTCACTTTAAGTGAAGTTTACTGTATTTGACATATTTGACAATGTTCATTTAGATTTTACAGTAACTTGTATGTATTGGTATACAGTTGTATGTGACAGATTTGACATTGCAAATTTAGGTTTTATAGTTACTTGTATGTATTGGTATATTTGACAGATTTGTCTATGTACATTTAGGTTTTACAGTAACTTGTATGTATTGGTATATTTAACAGATTTGTCTATGTACATTTAGGTTTTACAGTAACTTGTATGTATTGGTATATGTGACAGATTTGTCTATGTGCATTTAGGTTTTACAGAAACTTGTATGTATTGGTATATGTGACAGATTTGTCTATGTGCATTTAGGTTTTACAGTAACTTGTATGTATTGGTATATGTGACAGATTTGTCTATGTGCATTTAGGTTTTACAGAAACTTGTATGTATTGGTATATGTGACAGATTTGTCTATGTGCATTTAGGTTTTACAGTAACTTGTATGTATTGGTATATTTGACAGATTTGTCTATGTGCATTTAGGTTTTACAGTAACTTGTATGTATTGGTATATGTGACAGATTTGTCTATGTGCATTTAGGTTTTACAGAAACTTGTATGTATTGGTATATGTGACAGATTTGTCTATGTGCATTTAGGTTTTATAGTTACTTGTATGTATTGGTATATGTGACAGATTTGTCTATGTGCATTTAGGTTTTACAGTAACTTGTATGTATTGGTATATGTGACAGATTTGACTATGTGCATTTAGGTTTTACAGTAACTTGTATGTATTGGTATATGTGACAGATTTGACTATGTGCATTTAGGTTTTACAGTAACTTGTATGTATTGGTATATGTGACAGATTTGTCTATGTGCATTTAGGTTTTACAGTAACTTGTATGTATTGGTATATGTGACAGATTTGACATTGCAAATTTAGGGTTTACAGTAATTTGTATATGCTGGTATGATTTCGCGGCCTTAGTTCAGTTATTGGGTGAACTCCTATTGAATTTAATAGAAGTTATTCTAGCACTGCAGTAAGGTGACAATATGAGCATGACAGTAGTGGGTTGGAATTCACATATATTATGGTGGTATATGTAATTCATATTACAGACGGACATTTCCACTGGCAAACTCAATCTTTTGATAAACTCTGTTGTAAATAGTTTTAGACATGAATAGTACATGTTCTAATGTATTTGTTTAATGTGGAATGCTTATTTAGAAAAACGATTTGATATTAATTATGTACATGTATAATTTTATAATAAACCACTTTATTTCAGTTGCCAAACATGCCTACAGGCTATAAAGGGGAGCTAACTGATTTGTTGAAACAAATAATGCAGAAAGAACCGGAGAAAAGGCCGTCAGCAGATGATATTCTACAACATGACTATTTCAAGGGTGTTAGGCCAGCTTTACCACCTCGGGTATTTTAACCTTACATTTTCAGCTGACCTGGATGCTATTTTGGTCATGATATGCATTACTAGTAGAAATAAAACTTATACTTATATGTCAATACAAGAAAAAAGTTATTTTATTAATGTTAATAGCATTAATTGCAAATGTTTGTTTTTTATGATTTCAAAAAAGTGTTGCTTAACATGATAAAACTTTTTAGCTTGTCTGTTTTGAAGAAAATGTCACCCTTTATGACCGCTGTGACGTCTTCATGCAAAAACTTCATTGTACCCCATTATTTAAACATTTTTAAAGTTATCAATGTGAAACTCGGAGTACTTGCTTATCATGACAAGTTGTAGTTGTTATACAAGGGGCAAAACTCTGAAAGCAATATTTTTGGAGTTTTTTCCCTTTTTAACTTAAATTTTTTAACAGATAAGCATTAACATCGCATGTGGTGATCTTGTTATATTTTGCCTTTGTTTAAGCACTGTATTTGTTCACTTTAAAAGCTATTTTATAATATATGCATGATTTATATTTTAGCCTAAAGTAGATAGGAGTGGAGCAGGAGAGGTGTATGGTAGATCAGCCTATGGTATAGTGAGACCTGCTCCTGGTAGAGCAGGGAACCATGGAGCTGGGGGACCATTTGATACCAAGAAACTTCTAGAAACCATGTCAAAGAAACGAGAAGAAAAGCGTCAAGCAGAACAGGCAATGGGTGCAGCTGGAGGTCTACAATCAATCATTGCCAAGAAAGACGAGGGTAAAAAAGTTGGAAAGTTAGTTGATAAATTCAAGAAAGACGTAACTATAAAACCGTCTCCTGCGAAAACCGCTGTGTCTGTATCTGATGTAAACTTTTCTGTTCGTTCAAGTGCAGACTTTGAGAGTACGCTGAAGGATGTTCAGAGTCAAGTTGCAACAGATGCATTTAATGTAATGCAGTTAATAGTACGCACGATGACCGGATTGTTTCCAGTAAGTATATGTAATAAAGTGATTGTTTTTTAACTCTGATTCTAGCTTTCAAATATTTTTTTTTAACTTGTCTTTTTCAAAGTAAAATTTGATCTATTATGATTGCTGCAAAATCGGCAGCATTTCTGTTGTGCAAAAACTTAAAATAAAAACTTTAATTTAGTGTATTTTAAAACACTTTCAACATGAAACCTGGAATTATTACTCCAGGGGCATAATTCTGAAAGGAATATTTTCATTTTAAGAGTTATGCCTTTTTTACCTTGATGTTTTTGTTGGGTTAATTTCTTACTGACACTTAGCTTCATGTATGGAGAAAGACCATCCACTAGTTTAAGCTTTAGCAGGTACCTGTGTTGAACTTATCATTAATTAGCTTCCTCACACCGAAAAATCCAAATTCATTCCTAGGAGGGATTCGAACCCACAGTGGCAAGAGTAAATGGTAGTTAGTGAAAGCTCAATCATATCTCTATATGGTAGATTACTTAAGCTTGTTTGTTTGTTTTTGCCACAAAAAGAACTCCAGGGTGTATTGCATTTTTTCATGTTACACAATAGAGTCACATATGTGTAAACCAGTTGATCAAGGGTATCTTTGTTTCTAGAAACAGACATCCATTATTTCCAGAGATAAGGAGGGATTACTTTTACTTGTTACATTAATTTAATTCCATTTATAAACTTAAATTTGTAAAGATACACTGGCAAATCAGTTTTGTTTTATTAAGAAGGCATTTGAGCCGCGCCATGACAAAACCAACATAATGCGTTTGGGATCAGCATAGATCCAGACCAGCCTGTGCATCTGCGCAGTCTATTCAGGATCTATGCTGTTCGCTTAACAATTAGAGAAACTGATACCAAACAGCATGGATCCTGATCAGACTGCATGGATGCGCAGGCTGGTCTGGATCCATGCTGGTCACAAACGCATTACGTTGGTTTTGTCGTGACGTGGCTCATTTGTTCTTATGGTTGAGGCATATCAGTAAGTGTATATTTACTCTAAATGTCTAAACTGTGTCAGCAAATCATCTTCATCTATCTATTGATTGAGGGTAACTGTTTATGGCAATAACAAGACTGTGCAGAGTATAGTTATCCGAGAGCTAGATATTTGGGTCTATTATGTTAGCCAGTGTTTGATTCTTTTTCTTGCAAAGAGCATACATGTATTAATCATATTTTGGAAAATGGAAAAAATTATGAAACCAAATATTTTTATTTAGCTTTTTTTTTCGGATAGTCGTGTGTAAATTTACAATCATAACGACAAAATGACTGTGAACGTCATTTTAAGACTGCAATTCATTCATAAAAGGCTCCCGGAAATAAAGTCATTTAAAGTACGAGACTTGTCTTATATGCGTGGTGTAAAATAATGGTTGATAATCCTGTCTGGTATGCAAGAAAGTCTCTGCTGCATCTGCGCTTGCATCTGCCTAACAATGCCACAACTAAACAAAAGATGTTTACTATTGTTATCTATTTCACAGACATATATTCTCAAAAATGCAGCTGTTTTATTGATCGTTAAAATTGATTAGTTTGCTGAAAGTTATTACATGCTATTATAGATTTTTGTAAATTGATTTTGTTGTTCTATTTCAGAAAGATGATGAAAGTGCAAAAGAAGCATTAGCCAGTAAGTATACTACATGTACTATTTTTGTATATGCTTCAGTTGGCAGGAAATAGAATAACAACATTGGCATCAAGTGGAAATGTTTACCTGACAACTGATAAACTAAAACTATTTTTTATTACCATACAACATTTTAGGTTCTTTGGAACTTTGCCAAAAAAAGAATACTATTTTTTTTAGAAATTACTACATTGTACTTTAACAATGTCAAAAACCTACACCAGAAAAATAAGACATACAATATCATTCTACCTACATGACCTAATTGCATCCTGTTGAAGTTGTATTAGTAAGACCAAAACCAGTAGATCCAATAAAAAATTGTATGTATAACCACAGTGTTGACACGATGTTCCTTCTCCTGTCTAATGTCCATTACATATCAGATTATTAACATTTATGCGCGAAATAGTTCCTCAAAAAAGATGAAATACAAAGGTATTTGATATAATTTTGTAGAGCATGCAAGTCTTTAAAGCTTACAAAATTGCAGTAACATGACAAAGTTGCAATATCATGACTAAGTTATTAACCCTTAACCTGCTGAAATTCCTAAATAAACTTTCCCAATTTCCATTCTTTGTATTGTCAAATATCAATTTAAGGGAAATCAGGATGAAAAATTATAGTTATTCAGTCAACAGTATAGAGCCTGTTCTGGTAGATTTTGCCTATTTTGTTACTGTTACAGTATTTTTCTTCATTTTTTTATAGCCATCAATTCTCCTTTTTGAACTACAAAATAAATACAATAAAATCATGTGTATTTGTAGGGAGTCATGATCCCCAAGCTGTGATGTTGAGGCAGGTGGAACATCTACAATAGTAAGTTATTCTCTAACCTATAATAAGACATATCCACTACATAGCCAACACAATGCTATGAACCCTTAGAATTAACACTTAGCCAACTCAGTGTTATAACACTAACAATCAACACATAGCCAACTCAATGATATAACACTAACAATCCACATATAGCCAACACAATGCTATGAACCCTCACAATCAACACATAGCCAACTCAATGTTATAACACTAACAATCCACATATAGCTAACACAATGCTATGAACCCCCACAATCAACACATAGCCAACTCAATGTTATAACACTAACAATCCACATATAGCCAACACAATGCTATGAACCCTCACAATCAACACATTGCCAACTCAGTGATATAACACTAACAATACACACATAGTCAACACAATGCTATGAACTTTCACAATCAACACATTGCCAGCTCAGTGATATAACACTAACAATACACACATAGTCAACACAATGCTATGAACCCTCACAATCAACACATTGCCAACTCAGTGATATAACACTAACAATCCACATATAGCCAACACAATGCTATGAACCCTCACAATCAACACATAGCCATCTCAGTGATATAACACTAACAATACACACATAGTCAACACAATGCTAAGGACACTCACAATCAACACACTGCCATCTCAGTGATATAACACTAACAATCCACATATAGCCAATACAATGCTAAGAACACTCACAACACATAGCCAACTCAGTGTTATAACACTAACAATCCACATATAGCTAACACAATGCTATGAACCCTCACAATCAACACATAGCCAACTCAATGTTATAACACTAACAATCCACACATAGCCAACACAATGCTATGAACCCTCACAATCAACACATAGCCAACTCAGTGTTATAACACTAACAATCCACATATAGCCAACACAATGCTAAGAACACTCACAATCAACACATAGCCAACTCAATGTTATAACACTAACAATCCACACATAGTCAACACAATGCTATGAACCCTCACAATCAACACAAAGCCAGCTCAGTGTTATAACACTAACAATCCACACATAGCCAACACAATGCTATGAACGCCCACAATCAACACAAAGCCAGCTCAGTGTTATAACACTAACAATCCACATATAGCTAACACAATGCTATGAACCCTCACAATCAATACATAGCCAACTCATTGTTATAACACTATCAATCCACATATAGCCAACACAATGCTAAGAACACTCACATCACAAAGCCAACTCATTGTTATAACACATACAATCCACATATAGCTAACACAATGCTATGAACCCTCACAATCAACACATAGCCAGCTCTGTGTTACAACACTAACAATCCACACATAATCAACACAGTGCTCAATGTTGTATAACACTAACATTCAATACATAGTCAACTCAATATTATAAAACATTGACATCATCAAATAAGTAAAAAATGAAACTTTAGGAAGCATTATTATGTATCTGTGATTCAGGACTTTCTCCAAAAATGAAACATTAGTCACTTTTTTGTGATTTTATGATATAGTCACATCAAAAAGTACACTTACTACATAAATAATAAAGTATAAATTCTCTAGAGAGAAATAAATATACTGTTTTTTGCTGAGAGATGGAATAAATAGTGAAGTCTTACTTGAGAATTGATACTGTTTCTTTTTTAAAGAGTTTGTATCCCTACAGAGGTAACCACTCTACAGGGGTTACCACTCTGCAGAGGGTTACCACTCTACAGGGGTTACCACTCTGCAGAGGAGTACCACTCTACAGGGGTTACCACTTTGCAGAGGAGTACCACTCTACAGGGGTTACCACTTTGCAGAGGGTTACCACTCTTCAGGGGTTACCACTCTGCAGGTTTACCACTCTACAGGGAGTTACCACTCTACAGGGGTAACCTCTCTACAGGGGTAACCACTCTACAGGGGTAACCACTCTACATGGGTTACCATTCTACAGGGTTTACCACTTTACAGGGGTTACCATTCTACAGGGGTTTCCACTTTACAGGGGTTACCACTCTACAGGGGTTACCATTCTTCAGGGGTTACAACACTGCACAGAGGGTAACCACTCTGCAGGGGTTACCACTCTACAGGGGTTACCACTCTACAGGGGTAACCTCTCTACAGGGGTAACCACTCTACAGGGGTTACCATTCTTCAGGGGTTACAACACTGCACAGAGGGTAACCACTCTGCAGGGGTTACCTCTCTACAGGGGTTACCACTCTACAGGGGTTACCACTTTTCAGAGGGTTACCACTCTATAGGTGTTACAACTCTACAGGGGTTACCTCTTTACAGGGGTTACCAGTTTATGGGGGTTACCACTTTACAGGGGTTACCACTCTACAGGGGTTGCACTGTATAAGTATGCTTACAGTTCCTATTATTTATGTCTAAACAATAGTTACATGCATGAAGATTGATTACTAATGCAAATGTCCTCATAATTTGTATATATTTTGTTCTTAAAGCTACTGCATCAAAGTTCTGAACAATGATGTTGCTTTGTTCCAACGGGCTTACGATCTAATGAGTACTGAGAAAGATGAAAATAAATTAGAGGTGAGTTTTTTAAGAAATAAGTTCACATTTATACAGTAGAGGTGAGTTTTATAAGAAATAAGTTCACAGTTATACATTCTAACATGCTTCATTATCATTCTATTCCTCTATCAAACAGATAGGACAATGAAGTGCATTATTGCACGATATATGCACAGCATTAAACTGAAATGCTTAAACAGTACTGGTCTCATATGAAGAAACATGGTTGTGACCCAATTAGGGCTCAAACCCATAAACCCTGGATTGAGAGGCATACACCTTAACCACTGCTACTCTTAAAGTTGAGCTTTATAACACATATATATATATATAATAGAGAATGGGGTATTTTAAGTTTTTATGACTTAACATGTAGGAAGAATTTTTTTCATAAAATCTAAAGATGATAAAATTATGTTGTTTCCATAACCTGTATAATGATGCTATTTCCATTACCTTATGACTGATTCTCAAAAGAGTTGTTACAAAGAGTGTCTCTGTTATTTAACACACATAAGAAATGTGAACAGAATAAGATGTTCCAGAACAACATATTATGCTGCTATTTTACACAGGTTTTTGACTGGTCAGCTATGATTTCCTGCAAGTTTCATTAGCTAATATACCAGAGTTTTTTTCATACAGGCATTTTGGAATTGTTCTTTTTCAAAATTTCAAACAAAAACTGATATACCACAGATATAGCTTTGTACACTTTTAAATATATGTATAAAAGACTTTTCGCTACTGATAAAACACAATTTGTTCTAGAATTCAGAAATACCCAAAAGATATAAATAATAATAATGATCAATAACAATATAAATATTTATATTTCCAGGAACAACTGATCAATGTACTAGGTCATGAGAAGTTCGGCTTATGTGGAGTTCAGTTAATGTTCCTGAAAAACTTTGAATACAACTTATCAAAGTTGACTGGATAGTAGTGTTTATAATAAATGTACAACAATCTGTGGTGATAATCTTTCCAAAATCAGTTTGGAAATATCAAAAAAAGGATTTTCATGATATGATTTGACCATGAATTTTAAAATGAATGTTCAATGATGGCTTCTGTCTTTACTTTTAATAATCAGTTTTTTATTGTTCTTATTAAGATATTTATATACATGTGTATATTAAAATGCATTCCCAGTTTAAAGGAAACAGCAAATTATGTCCGGCATTAATTGTGATGCTAATGTCCAGGATTAGTTGCGATGACAGGCTTTTGTTCTAATGTGCCGCATCAAGTCTGATGGCATGCTTTGGTTCTAATGTCCCACATCAATTCTGATGGCATGCTTTGGTTCTAATGTCCGACAACAATTTTGATGGCAGACTTTGGTTCTAATATCCGACAACAATTTTGATGGTAGGCTTTGCTTCTAATATCCCGCATCAATTTTGATGATTAGCTTAATATAATATTTACTGCCTGGCTTTAATTTTGACAGTAGGTTTTATAGTTCTCTACCTGGAATAAATTGATAACATTCTGATGCTAATGTCTTGCATCAATATTTATGACAGGCTATGGTTAATGTCTGACATCAATTTTGATGCCAGGCTTTTAGTTTCAAGTTCTACTGCCTTCATTTATTCTGAAAGCAGATTTTATTTCTTATGTCAGCCATTAACTTTGTTCATAAATTTTAATGCCAGATTCTATGTCTGGCATTAATTCTAATGGCAGATTTTAGTTCTTATGTCTGGCATTAATTCTAATGGCAGATTTTAGTTCTTATGTCTGGCATTAATTCTAATGCCATATATTAGTTCTTATGTCTGGCATTAACTCTAATGGCAGATTTTAGTTCTTATGTCTGGCATTAATTCTAATGCTAGATTTTAGTTCTTATGTCTGGCATTAATTCTAATGGCAAGTTTTATTTCTATGTCTGGCATAAATTCTAATGCCAGATTTTAGTTCTTATGTCTGGCATTAATTCTAATGCCAGATTTTAGTTCTTATGTCTGGCATTAATTCTAATGCCAGATTTTAGTTCTTATGTCTGGCATTAATTCTAATAGCAAGTTTTATTTCTATGTCTGGAATAGATTCTAATGGCAGGCTTTTGTTTTAATGTCCCCTATAAAATCCTATGCCTGAGATTATATATGTTAAGTTTAAAATGGATTGTTTGTTGCTTTGTTATGCAAGATTTTTTTCATGATAATTATTTACAGTACTTGCCAAAAGTGCTGGCATTGATGCCTCTTTTATTTGTATTTATATGTAATGATTTCAACTATAATTTCAGGTTTTACATAAAAGTTAAAAGCTGTTTTTTATATGATATATATAATTATTTGTTACCACTAACTTTTATGATTGCTATTGTGTGTATGGGTAATGAAATTCTTTACTTTTGTACCAGATTATTATTTTATATTACACATGGAGTGGTAGATTCAGAAGGCATTGAATGGACCTTTCTGGTTTTTCGTAGCGGAACATTTAGCCACACCTTTTCCATTCATTGCCAGGTCAACTGCTCACAAACAGTATCACAAACATAAGCACGTGTTCTTTTGTGCAAACCAGGTCAACCAGTGACTATGTATTATCTCAGTGTAGCGATTGGATAACAAGTTAGACAATTTACATAAAACTGTGAACACTGGAAAGGCCCATTTATACAGTGTATAATCAGTGTCATAACAATGTAGGTACATGAAATAAATTGTGTTGTTGACAGGTACATTATAAAAGCTAAATACATACATACTAAATCAAAAGGATTTTTTTAAAATGTTATTTAATTAAAAAGATAACTTTTGTAGATCAACTGTATAAAATCCATAATGTTTTAATAAGTGCTAAATTTATTTCAAAATATTATTTCTAATGTGGTATTTCTAATGTTTACAAGTGATTTGTATGCTATTTCATTAAGGAAAATTTATAAAAAAAATCCAATTGTTTCTGAAGTAATATAAGTATTTATTAAAGATCCTGTATGTTATAATTGAGGTTGTATACCATACTTAAGTGAAATTATATATATGTATATAATTATGCTTATAAAACAATTTTCAAACATCGAAGAATATGTAAAATATGTACTGCAAATATTTGAGCACATTTTATGTAATCATTAAAATATATGCATTCATTTCTTATTGAAATATTTGACTTAGACTTTATAGAAAATAAATTTCTTATTACCTCATGAAATGTAAAATTCCGTAATAATCTTTATAAATGATGCTTTTTGAAACTTACAATATTGATAAATCTTAATTTGAGCATCATATTTATGATATAAAACCATAAAAAAAATTGTGTTACAGGATCTTTAAATAGAGTTCACCAAGGGGGAAATAGACTCAAGAATGAACATGAACTGGTTATAGTTTGCAAATTTGATTCCTTCACTGAAAAATACTTGTCAGATTCTGTAAGCAAGTCAATTAAGACAAAAACATTCTTTGTTGTTTTTAGCTCATCTGTCACAAAGTGACAGGGTGAGCTTTTGTGATCGCTTTTCGTCCGGCGTCCGTCCGTCCGTCCGGCGTCCGTCCGTAAACTTTTGCTTTAAATGACATCTCCTCATAAACCACTGAGCCAATTTCATCCAAACTTCACAGGAATGTTCCTTTGGTGGTCACCTTTAAAAATTGTTCAAAGAATTTAATTCCATGCAGAACTCTGGTTGCCATGGCAACCAAAAGAAAAATCTTTAAATATCTTCTTTTAAACAACCCTAAGAGCTAGAGCTTAGATATTTGGCATGAAACATCTTCTAGTGAGTGTCTACCAAGTTTGTTCAAATAAAAGCCCTGGGGTCAAAAATGGCCCCGCCCCAGGGGGTCATTGATTTTCCCTATATGCATATAGTAAAAACTTAAAAAATCTTCTTTTAAAGAACCCAAAGAGCTAGAGCTAAGATATTTGGCATGAAACATCTTCTAGTGAGTGTCTACCAAGTTTGTTCAAATAAAAGCCCTGGGGTCAAAATTGGCCCCCGCCCGGGGGTCATTGATTTTCCCTATATGCATATAGTAAAAACTTAAAAATCTTCTTTTAAAGAACCGTAAGAGCTAGAGCTTAGATATTAAGCATGAAACATCTTCTAGTGAATGTCTACCAAGTTTGTTCAAATAAAAGCCCTGGGGTCCAAATTGGCCCCGCCCCAGGGGGTCATTGATTTTCCCTATATGCATATAGTAAAAACTTAAAAAATCTTCTTTTAAAGAACCCAAAGAGCTAGAGCTAAGATATAAAGCATGAAACATCTTCTAGTGAGTGTCTACCAAGTTTGTTCAAATTAAAGCCCTGTGGTCAAAATTGGCCCCACCCCGGGGGGTCATTGATTTTCCCTATATGCATATACTAAAATCTTAAAAAATCTTCTTTTAAAGAACCATAAGAGCTAGAGCTTAGATATTTGGCATGAAACATCTTCTAGTGAATGTCTACCAAGTTTGTTCAAATAAAAGCCCTGGGGTCAAAATTGACCCCGCCCCAGGGGGTCATAGATTTTCCCTATATCCATATAGTAAAAACTTAAAAAAATCTTCTTTTAAAGAACCCAAAGAGCTAGAGCTAAGATATTTAGCATGAAACATCTTCTAATGAGTGTCTACCAAGTTTGTTCAAATAAAAGCCCTGGGGTCAAAATTGGCCCCGCCCCAGGGGGTCATTGATTTTCCCTATATGCATATAGTAAAAACTTAAAAAAATCTTCTTTTAAAGAACTCAAAGAGCTAGAGCTAAGATATTTAGCATGAAACATGTTCTAATGGGTGTCTACCAAGTATGTTCAAATAAAAGCCCTGGGGTCAAAACTGGCCCCGCCCGGGGGGGGGGGGGTCATTGATTTTCCTTATATGTGTATAGCAAAAACTTAAAAATCTTCTTTGAAAAAACCCAAATAGCTAGAGTTTAGATATTAAGCATGAAACATCTTTAAGTAAATATCTACAAAGTTTGTTCAAATAAAAGCCCGGGGGTCAAAACTGGCCCTGCCCCAAGGGTGTCATTGTTTTTAACTATATGTGTATGGTAAAAACTTTAAAAATCTTCTTTTAAAAAACCCAATGAGCTAGATCTTAGATGTTTAGCATGAAACATCTTCTTATGGGTTTCAAATAAACAAATAAAAGCCCTTGGGTAAAAATTGGCCCAGGGGTGGGGGGGGGGGGGCTATATACAGGTGAGCGACTTCAGGGCCATCATGGCCCTCTTGTTTTTTTTCTTTTTAAATTTTGTTATAGATTTTAGATTTTTATGTTACTTTTTGTTGTTGTTTTTCATGAAGCTATTACATAGGATAGAGTGAAAACTGTTGAATTATATACATGTATGTATATTTCAATATGATATACAATAATAAACATATGAAATGATTCATTGCATAAAGTTGTTTTCTTTATTTCCATTCTACAAAATTGATGTGTCCAGAAGTCAAGGTCCTAATGCAAGAATTGATTTCGATATATACTAGTAACAACAATAGCACTGCTAGGCAGAGCATTATATGCCCGAAAAGTGTTAGTCTTGAATGAATAAACAAAAAAAATTGTGACTTCTGTAAAACAGCTATCTTTAATTGTACCCATTTATGAAGGAAAAACAATGTTTGCATAAATTAAAGAAATTGGTACATAAACACATTATTTTAAAGTATAACCTCCTTCAAAAAGCAATCCTCCTTTATAGCTAAAGAACCTTAATATATATATATATCCAATGCACCACCATCAAGTTGTTATCTGTAAGTAAAAATGCTACGACGGATAACGGAAATATGCCAGGGATATAACATTAGCAAATTTTTTGGGCATATAATTAATGTACTCGATATAAGTGATCATCCTATGAAGTTTGACAGTTGTAAAACTGTTAACAATATTAAGGTAATTTGATATTGACCTTTGACCTTGTGACCCCAATATATATCTGGATCTTTTATTCAATCATCCTATGAAGTTTGAACACTGTAAGCCAAATGGAACTTAAGTTATGCTCCAGAAACCACTATTTTCAGTGTAAAGATCATTGTGACCCTGACCTTTGACCTTATGACCCTAAAATCAATAGGGGTCATGTATTGGGACATGGCTGTTCATCCTATAAAATTTTACAGCTGTAGGTTGATTAATACTTCAGTTATTGAGCGGTAACTGTCTTCAGATTTAAGGTAATAGTGACCTTGACCTTGTGACCAAAAATCAATAGGGCTCTTCTACTCAATATGGACAATCATACTATGAAATTTGAATATTGTGGGCCAAATGGAACTTAAGTTATGCTCCGGAAACCAAATTGCTAACTGACAGATAGACGGACGCCAGGGGGTATAACATATTATTAATATGTCCGAAATTTTTTCGGGCATATAATAAAGCAGTTTTACATTGCAATATAAGTAACTTTGTGTATTTTTGGGCTAAATAACACATATACCCATGCACATACAAGCATCATCCAGAACATATGTGCTTATCTTTCAGTTTTTGATGATTTTATGATTATCATATTATATCAAAGGGAACTACAGTTATATTCATTTTAAATTGTTATCCGAGGGTTACATTTATAGCATGTAATAAAGCTATGAAATTCTGAGCAATGGATAACTGTCCACTTGATAATTTAACAACAATTATTCTAGCAAGCAAGTCCTGATGGATATTCATAAATATATTTCTAATAAAAGTAAAATGTCAATGATTTGATTATAAGAAAAAAAAAAACTATCACTAAATGTGATTAATACCCCCACAAGACTGCTTTGGAAATGAGGATGTTACTAGTAACAGAATACCTTGTAAAACAATTGAAATACATTTATGGTTGTGGGCAATCAAAGATAGTTGTGGTTCTTGTTTATTGCATTTCCTTTCAATGTGGTTGGCCATTGATGAAGTTTTATTGAATTACTCTGCAATAAGTCCAGAAAGACAAGGAAAAGGAACAAAGGGCAATAACTCTATAAATACTGAAGATGGAGTTATGGTTATTGTACACTGCACTTCCTCTCATTGCACTTGACCATTGTATGAAGTTGTATTGAATTCCAACTACAAGTTTTCAAGTTATGCACAGGACAAAAAAGTAACAAAGGGCAATAACTGTAATTAGTCCAAATAGAGTTATGGTTCTTGTGCACTGCACTTCATCTCACTGCCCTTGACCATTGTATAAAGTTTCATTGAATTCCAACCATTAATTTTCAAGTTATGCACTGGACAATAAAAAGTAACAAAGGGCAAAAACTTTTAAATGAGTCCAGAAAGAGTTATGATTTCTGTACACTGTGCTTCCTCTCAATATACTTGACCATTGTATGAAATAGTATTGAATTCCAACTAGTAGTTTTCAAGTTATGCTCTGGACAAGAAAAAAGCAATGGAAAAGTAACAAAGGGCAATAACTCTATAATTACTCTGGACAGAGTTATAGTTCTTGTGCACTGCACTTCCTCTTATTGTGCTTGATCATTGTATGAAGTTTTTTTGAATTCCAACCAGTACGTTTTAAGTTATGCTCTGGACAAGGAAAAGTATCAAAGGGCAATAACTCTGTAATTTGTCAAAATGGTGTTATGGTTCTTGTGCACTGCACTTCCTCTTAATGTGCTTGACAACTGTATGAAGTTGTATTGAATTCCAACCAGTAGTTTTCAAGTAATGGTCCGGACAAGGAAAAGTAACAAAGGGCAATAACTCTGTAATTAGTCAAGATGGAGTTATGGTTCTTGTGCACTGCACTTCCTCTAACTGTGCTTGACCATTGTATGAAATTATATTGAATTCCAACCATTTGTCTTCAAGTTATGCTCCGGACAAAAAAAAGCAATGGAAAAGTAACAAAGGGCAATAACTCTGTAATTAGTCAAGATGAAGTTATGGTTCTTGTGCACTGCACTTCCCCTTATTGTGCTTGACAATTGTATGAAGTTGTTTTGAATTCCAACCAGTAGTTTTCAAGTTATGCTCTGGACAAGGAAAAGTAACAAAGGGCAGTAACTCTGTAATTAGTCAAGATGGAGTTATGGTTCTTGTGCACTGCACTTCCTCTCAATGTGCTTGACCATTGTATAAAATTATATTGAATTCCAACCATTAGTCTTCAAGTTATGGTCCGGACAAAAAAAAAGCAATGGAAAAGTAACAAAGGGCAAAACCTTTGTAATTATTTTAGATAGTTATGGTTCTTGTGCACTGCACTTCCCCTTATTGTGCTTGACAATTGTATGAAGTTGTTTTGAATTCCAACCAGTAGTTTTCAAGTTATGCTCCGGACAAGGAAAAGTAACAAAGGGCAATAACTGTAATTAGTCAAGATGGAGTTATGGTTCTTGTGCACTGCACTTCCCCTCAATGTGCTTGACCATTGTATGAAGTTATATTGACTTCCAACCATTAGTTTTCAAGTTATGCTCCGGACAAGGAAAATGCAACGGACCGCTGGACCGACCGACTGACCGACCACCGGGTGACTCCTATATACCCCCCTTAACTTCGTTTTTGGGGGTATAAAAAGAAAAACAACAAAACTCGAGTTTATTTTTATTTTTTAACATGTGAGCAAAGTTATCAATTTAAACATACATGTACTTGGTCCATTTCTATAAAAATATCTATATAAAATTATTTTTTCAATGATTAACAAATGGAGATACATTAAATAATGACATTCATCATCAATACTGCTACATATATTCATTTAAATTTGAGAGCTGGTAAATCGTGTAATCATACCCCACTTAATAAGACAATGAAATATGAACCTTTCTTTAATATTTAGTCTACTGGCAAGAAACAGATTTTACCCATGCTACCAGTCCAGAACAAGATCAGGTTGCACATCTGTGATTGAAAGATGGACAGGTCCATTTTAGATATTTTTAAGTGTGGTAAGGATTAATCAGAAATTAAAATATCTGCAAATTTAAGGTTGTACCAAAAGAAACAAAGGAGTGCTTTGTACAAAATATTTGATTTTTCTCATCATAATGATAAATACATATTTCCATAACAGAAACATAGTACATAAATATCTTATCTTTTTGATTAAACACCATTTCATAAACAACATTTCATCAAATGTCAAAACATGGAATTAAATGAATGAGATTTCTACACAATGGCATCCAACTAATTTTTTTGTTTATGCATACTATGTCAAGACTTGGCCAATCAAGCATATAGAACTTTCTGTGTAAAATAATTCTACAGGTACATATTGGCTATGCCTTGTCAAAAGATGACATATATTTATTTTTTTGGTGAGGGGTTGGGGAGAAGGGGGGATTATACAGAATAGGTCATATGGCAACATTCCTGCATTACTACTATAGGAAGCCCTTAGGTGCCCATCCGTGTGTTATTTCAGGCATGAAAGTGCACTCGAGTAGAACCACCAATGTTTCCACAAGGTGGATAGCTTCCTCACGTGAATAAATCCAAAGTCTCCATCTGGATACAAACCCATAGCAGTGATGGGCAAGTGGTTTGAAGTCAGCAACCTTAACCACTCACCCTCGGAAGCACCATATAATATTTACATATATATATATATTTAAAAGTTAGTATAACATGTCACAGAAAACAGTAATTCTAAATAATATTTTTTTCAAGGAATTCTGGAAATGGACATTTCTGTAAAGTTTGGTCAAAACCGATCCGGCGGTTTTGTAGGAAATGTGTTACATAAATAATGGTTCACAACTAGTAATTCAATGATTTAAAAAGTTATCTGGTTCTCAACTATTAATTCAATGGTCCTAAAAGTTATCTGGTTCACAACTAGTAATTCAATGATCCTAAAGTTATCTGGTTCACAACTAGAAATTCAAGATCCTAAAGTTATCTGGTTCACAACTAGAAATTCAATGATCCTATAAGTTATCTGGTTCACAACTAGAAATTCAATGATCCTATAAGTTATCTGGTTCACAACTGGTAATTCTATGATGCTATAAAGTTATCTGGTTCACAACTAGTAATTCTTTTGTCCTTAAAGTTATCTGGTTCATCAACTAGTAATTCTTTTGTCCTAAAAGTTATCTGGTTCACAACTAGTAATTCAATGGTCCTAAACGTTATCTGGTTCACAACTGGTAATTCAATGGTTTAGATTTATTGCTCACTATATCATCATTCAAACAAGAGGGCCATGATAGCCCTGAGGTCGCTCACCTGTATATAGGCCCCCCCCCCCCAACCCCCAATGTTGCAAGGGCTTTTATTTGCACAAACTTGGTAGACACCCATAAGAAGATGTTTCATGCTAAACATCTAAGCTCTAGCTCATTGGTCTTTTTAAAAGAAGATTTTTTTAAAGTTTTTACTATACACATATAGTTAAAAACAATGACACCCCTGGGGCCGGGCCAGTTTTGACCCCAGGGCTTTTATTTGAACAAACTTTGTAGACACTTACTAGAAGATGTTTCATGCTTAATATCTAAACTCTAGCTATTTGAGTTTTTTCAAAGAAGATTTTAAGTTTTTGCTATACACATATAAAGAAAATCAATGACCCCCGGGGCGGGGCCAATTTTGACCCCAGGTCTTTTATTTAAACAAACTTTGTAGACACTCACTAAAAGATGTTTCATGCTTAATATCTTAACTCTAGCTATTTGGGTTTTTTCAAAGAAGATTTTTTAAGTTTTTGCTATACACATATAAGGAAAATCAATGACCCCCTGGGCGGTGCCAATTTTGACCCCAGGGCTTTTATTTGAACAAACTTGGTAGACACCTATTAGAACATGTTTGATGCTAAATATCTTAGCCATAGCTCTTTGAGTTCTTTAAAAGAAGATTTTTTAAGTTTTTACTATATGCATATAGGGAAAATCAATGACCCCCCGTGGCGGGGCCAATTTTGACCCCAGGGCTTTTATTTGAACAAACTTGATAGACACCCATTAGAACATGTTTCATGCTAAATATCTTAGCTCTAGCTCTTTGGGTTCTTTAAAAGAAGATTTTTTAACTTTTTACTATATGCATATAGGGAAAATCAATGACCCCCCCGGGGCGGGGCCAATTTTGACCCCAGGGCTTTTATTTGAACAAACTTGGTAGACACTCACTAGAAGATGTTTCATGCCAAATATCTAAGCTCTAGCTCTTATGGTTTTTTAAAAGAAGATATTTAAAGTTTTTTCTTTCGGTTGCCATGGCAACCAGAGTTCTGCATGGAATTAAATTCTTTGAACAATTTTTAAAGGTGACCACCAAAGGAACATTCCTGTGAAGTTTGGATGAAATTGGCTTAGTGGTTTATGAGGAGATGTCATTTAAAGAAAAAGTTTACGGACGACGGACTGATGGACGGACGCCGGACGAAAAGCGATCACAAAAGCTCACCCTGTCACTTTGACAGGTGAGCTAAAAACAACTTTAATTATGATTTAATTTGTTTATATGTCTTGTCTCTGGTAGGCTTAAATGATTGAAGTTTGGCATATTTCTTCAGCAGTTTAAGCCAATAACATGATACATCCTCCATTCTTAAATGGTCCCAGATAAACTGTCTACCTCTGAAAGCATAAATGTATGTTTCCTCTTAACATGAAACCTTACACTTTAGCTGTACAAATTTTTAACAGTCAAGAATCATTGAAATGTCTGTCAATAAAAGAATACAATACATGCTGTAAAAGAAGATTTTTGTGACAAAATGAGAGATCATCTTATCTGACAAATATTTGTAGTCAAGACCCAGCCATTATTGGTGGCATGGCCGAGTGGTTAATGCATTGAACTAGTAATCTGATGATCGCTAGTCGCATGGGTTCAAACCCTGTCAGGGCCAAGTCCTTGTATCCTTCAGCAAGAAACTTTTCATTCATTTCTCAGTACTGGCTGGTTGCAGGAACGAATTCGAAAGTGTGTCTGTAAGCTTATAACTTCCTACACAACCAAACTAAAATATATTCTGTATAAACCTAGACCGATCCTGTCTGACGAAAGTATGCAGTCCAAATTGATAAGGCTAGAAATCGTGATATAATTGTAACAGCTATTTTAACATTGTCTCCATTTAAATAAATATTTGATACCATCTCCCTTTTATAATGTTAACACTTACCTTTTAGCAATTTCATGTACAACAGCATCATTTTCTTGTGCAAACTGTAGTAACTCTCTGAAAATAACAATAATTTTTAATACATTCATGCACAAAATAAAAATCCTACATCAAATATTTGTATTGATTATAAGTGTATAGCATGATTTCTGAATGAGCAGTGAGAAAAAAATTAACCATTAGATTCAATATCTGCCATCAATTATCACAGACAAATTTCACCTCGTCGACAACCCCTTATTACAAATGCAGTGCCCTTCCTATTTAGCTAAACTGGCAGACAATTTTGGTGAAAACCCCTACACATGTTCATGATAAGTTGTGACGAAATTCCGAAAATAAAGACAAAGACATGATCGTGACCCAAGTAGGGCCCAAAGCCCTGTGTATCAACTTTAGAGTATTGTTGCACACTAGGCATGAAGGTAAGTATAATGTAAGTTGACATATACAAATTCTTCATTTTCCTCCTATTTATATCTTTTAGTTACATTTATAATACCATAATACAATGTATACAGTATATACATCACATATTTCATCCTCTTCAAATAAAGAAATTGTGCTTTTAATTTTCAACTTGTTGAATATATATTATATAAATGATTGTTTACAATATGACATTCATTTAGTGACTCCAGTTACTGCAAGATCATTTTTTTCAACTAATTTTCATGGAAAAGTTAATCCACAAATTCAAGATCTAACAAAATTTCATTTTGTCGGCAGTAAAATTATTTTGCCACCTTATTCACATTTTACCTTTTCATGAAATAAACAGTCCATGAATTTAAGTAACCACAAAAATGTTCTATGGGACAAAACCACGAAATTTCAGGTCAATGAAATTAAGTGAATTCACAGTAAAAAAGTTTACATCCATTAATACTCGGCCATATAACCTCTCCAAAATTCCTCGTAACTTGTCATCTTAGTGCAATAATGGGTTAACTCCTTCTATTCATTGTTATTCAATAGGAGTTAGTCTGTTGCTGCACAAAGGTGACAAACTTATAACTATAAAAGAATAGTATGTTTGAATACGTAAACTGTATTAAAATATTATCGTTCTTACTTGACGTCAGTAAGATCTTGTTTTACTGGTATATAATGAACCCAGGCTTTCATAGCTGGATAGAAAAATTCCAGCCACTCATCTCCTACATGAAATACCACCGAGTCACATAGGAACAAATGTTTAAACCGGAAACTTGCTGCTACTCCACGAAAATTGAACAAATACCTGAAATATAAAAATAACATGAAATCAAAATTCATGGATACATTTCACTAAATGAACTTGAATATGATAAAAGTTATGTACCGACTCATTTAATTATTAAACTCTTTAACTAATTCAGTTTGATCAATCATTCTCACTTGTATGGTAAAACTAAAAGATTCACTTCTAATGCATATTGCCCTAGCACATTTTTTTTATTAAAGTAACAAAGAGAGAACTTTTCACATATTTCTGTTTCAACTTAAAAATAGTTTTGTTACCACTTGAATCAAGAGTTTCACTTCCCTATGCAAACTGCTTACAAAAAATAACTTATTCAATTAATTAATTCAATCTTTTATCTTTTAGTTTGGCATTCCTTTTCCAGAGTCTTCTATCTGCCTAATCCACACCCTGTTTGAACCCAAAAAAAAGATTAGCCTTAGGAACCAGTATAAAGCCAGGCCAGCCGGTTTACCTATGAAGTTTAACAAGACTCTATAATGTTTGTAACTCAAGTTTTGTCTTTTGATACTGAAATTCCTTAAAATTTGAATGGCCTGTTTAAAGCACAAGAGCTGTCGGTAGGACAGCAACGCTCGACTATTCTTAGTGCTTGATAGTAAAAAAAATGCTTGATACAGTTACCTCCTCCTGTTTACAGGTTGGGGTCATGATGGTGAACAAGTGTGCAAAGTTTCAAAGCCATATGCCAATGGACTTTGAAAATATTTGAACTATTACAAAAACTTAAACGTAAATTCTAAGTCGAAAAAGGGGCTTAATTCTGTCAAAATGCTTGATAGAGTTACCTCCTACTGTTTACAGATTGGGGTCATGATGTTGAACAAGTGTGCAAAGTTTCAAAGCCATATGTCAATGGACTTTGAAAATATTTGAACTATTACAAAAACTTTAACGTAAATTCTAAGTCGAAAAAGGGGCATAATTCTGTCAAAATGCTTGATAGAGTTACCTCCTCCTGTCTACAGGTTGGGGTCATGATGGTGAACAAGTGTGCAAAGTTTTAAAGCCATATGTCAATGGACTTTGAAAATATTTGAACTATTACAAAAAACTTTAACGTAAATTCTAAGTCGAAAAAGGGGCATAATTCTGTCAAAATGCTTGATAGAGTTACCTCCTCCTGTCTACAGGTCGGGGTCATGATGGTGAACAAGTGTGCAAAGTTTCAAAGCCATATGTCAATGGACTTTGAAAATATTTGAACTATTACAAAAACTTTAACGTAAATTCTAAGTCGAAAAAGGGGCATAATTCTGTCAAAATGCTTGATAGAGTTACCTCCTCCTGTCTACAGGTTGGGGTCATGATGGTGAACAAGTGTGCAAAGTTTCAAAGCCATATGTCAATGGACTTTGAAAATATTTGAACTATTACAAAAACTTTAACGTAAATTCTAAGTCGAAAAAGGGGCATAATTCTGTCAAAATGCTTGATAGAGTTACCTCCTCCTGTCTACAGGTTGGGGTCATGATGGTGAACAAGTGTGCAAAGTTTCAAAGCCATATGTCAATGGACTTTGAAAATATTTGAACTATTACAAAAACTTTAACATAAGTGGTTACGCCGACGCCGACGCTCGGGTGACTGCAATAGCTCTACTTATTCTTATCGAATAGTCGAGCTAAAAATGTAAATTAAAAGCTGGGCAAAAGTCACTTTATAAATTCAGCAGATTAAGGGCTAGATAAATTAAACTAACTTGTGATCACAGTGGTCCTCAAGTCTTATTTCTTTTGCTGGATCTGCTCCCAATGTGTCCTGTAACATAACAAGAAGTGTTTTCAAATTGTTCTGCCCAATATCTAAAAATGTTAGATTTTAAACAATAATTCACTGATAATTAATTCATAATGTCAAAGAAGAATAGAGAAGACATCAATATTTGTTTATAAACTGCATTATCTGTAATTATCAACAAATGAACATATTATTTTATCTTTAAAATTTGTGCAAACTTGTGAAAACCAATTCAACCTGTTACCAAATATGAGGATATTTTGATGAAAGTTACATACAGCTTTAGATTTCCAAGCTTGATTTTTAGTGTACTGGGCATCAACAAGATCTGGCTCATTTCTCGACAGTTTAATCAAAGGGTCTCTTTCGTCACTAGTTCTTGAACCACGGAAATATCCTTTATTAAGCTTCTCCTCCCATGGCCATTTCTTTGCTGCCCTGAACAATATAATGTAAAGGTAAACTAAGATCAAAATTTACAATCACAAATCTTAACAAAAACTTGAATGCAAAAATATTTCAAAAGTAGGCTACCACAATATTTGTGAAGATTCTTTGTTTTCAACCATCATATAGGTAATGAAAATCTTAATATTTAAAAAACATTAAGGCACTGAAATGCTATGGTTACTATCTCTAAAAATCTTTTTATTTTGGTATCTTATTACTGTTAAATGTCTTTTGCTTGTTGGCAAAGGTATTTTTATAGTTGGTATTTTGTAAGGAAGTCAAAATACTACTTTTTTACATTTTGCAACCTTTACAACACATTACTGGCTGCACATTTAACGCTACTTTCTGCAGTTTTTTAAGATCTAAGCAGCTCCTCCAAAGTCATTATCAAAATATTATTATACACATATCTGACTTTCTAAAGAATTAAACAATTATTGATTTCTGAGGCATTATGTGCCTTTAATACAGCTGACTTTCAAAGAATTGCATATACATGTAGAATGACTATTATAGTATGATTTTTGATCGCTACTGTACAAAAACATTTATTAGGGGAAACCACGACTACAAATGTAAATCTCTGACTTGTACACAAATGGACCTAACATACAAGATTGATATTGAGAATTTGGTCCTCTATAAAGATATATTTACTACATATTTCGCTAATCTGCTATTGATATATAGACAGGACTGCTCTTAAGAAATTGACCCTCTATAAGATTCTTGAAGCAGTTTGTAGTACAACTGGTTTCTTGGTATATTTTACACATTTGGGTTATGCTGAATATCCGATAAAGGTGGATACCAAACTGAAAAACTTGATCTTGACCATTGAAATGGCCATTTAAAGTGACCACTAAAATGGCTGCTAACATTGTTTATTATAATTGGATACAAGAAAAGCATTGATGCAAAGCATCAAAGGGCGTCCAAGCAAGAAATGCAGAAAGTGAAGATGAACTAGTAGACATATGATGACAAGATATTCTTATAAACTTTTCAATGGTTTAGTTGTTTTTACCAGAATGAACGGACGAAAGACATTGTTCATTATGAACTTTGATTGGCATGCTAGAGATTAGAATATTACTTGTTATTTCTTTATTATCGTGATTATTAATAGCAACGGATATACATGTATACAATCATTTATAATCCATATGTGTAAAGCATGATCAACACCACACTTGTGGAATTGTCTCTTATTATGTTATCGCTATTAGCGAAGACCCCCTCTTAAGAGGGAGAGACTGTGATACTATTCGCAGGTCACTAGTAAATCCCAGTCAAAATAGACCGGGAGAGACCGGGAATTACCGATAGCAGTACATCCCTCTATAAATAGATTTTCGGAACATTTAGGTCATCAACTCATCATTCTATTTTAACATACCATTATAACCCACTGTGTACTGCAAAATGATAAATAAAACAAAAACGAAGAGACGGAAAAGGTTATTTCATGCATTGCGAAATTCTCCAGTTCGCATATCGAGACATTTTTTTTTAATCAAGCACCCTCATACCGATCGGAAGATAATACATGTATATCAAAAAATACTTCTAACAATAGAAAAAGCCTAAAATTAGTCACAAAGCATGTTAGTTTAAGACAAATTAAAGAGACCATAACAGAAAGAAAATTAAACAAGAGGGCCATGATGGCCCTGGGGTCGCTCACCTGAACATAGGCCCCCAGGGCCGGGCCAGTTTAAACCAAAGGGCATTTATTTCAACAAACTTGGAAGACACCCATTAGAAGATATTTCATGATGTTAAGTTTTTACTATACACAAATAATGAATAACAATGACTTTTGCCCCCCCCCCCCTCTCCCTGGCAGGGCCAATTTTGACCCAAGGGCTTTTATTTGAACAAACTTGGTAAACATCCATTAGAACATGTTTCATGCTAAATATCTTAGCTCTAGCTCTTTTGGTTCTTTAATAGAAGATTTTTAACTTTTTACTCTATGTATATAGGGAAAATCAATAACCCCTGGGACAGGGCCAATTTTGACCCCAGGGCTTTTATTTGAACAAATTTGGTAGACACCCATTAGAACATGTTTCATGCTAAATATCTTAGGTCTAGCTCTTTGGGTTCTTTAAAAGAATTTTTTTAAAGTTTTTACTATATGCATATAGGGAAAATCAATGACCCCCTGGGGCGGGGCCAATTTTGACCCCAGGGCTTTTATTTGAACAAACTTGGTAGACACTGATAAGAAGATGTTTCATGCTTAATATCTTAGCTCTAGCTCTTTGGGTTCTTTAAGAGAAGATTTTTTTAAGTTTTTACTATATGCATATAGGGAAAATCAATAACCCATGGGACAGGGCCAATTTTGACCCAAGGGCTTTTATATGAACAAACTTGGTAGACATCCATTAGAACATGTTTTACACTAAATATCTAAGCTCTAGCTCTTTGGGTTTTTTAGAAGAAGATTTTTTTAAGTTTTTACTATATGCATATAGGGAAAATCAATGACCCCCTGGGGCGGGGCCAATTTTGACCCCAGGGCTTTTATTTGAACAATCTTGGTAGACACTTATTAGAAGATGTTTTATGCTTAATATCTTAGGTCTAGCTCTTTGGGTTCTTTAAAAGAAGATTTTTTAAAGTTTTTACTATATGCATATAGGAAAAATCAATGACCCCCTGGGGCGGGGCCAATTTTGACCCCAGGGCTTTTATTTGAACAATCTTGGTAGACACTTATTAGAAGATGTTTCATGCTTAATATCTTAGGTCTAGCTCTTTTGGTTCTTTAAAAGACGATTTTTTAAAGTTTTTACTATATGCATATAGGGAAAATCAATTACCCCCTGGGGCGGGGCCAATTTTGGACCCCAGGGCTTTTATTTGAACAAACTTGGTAGACATCCATTAGAACATGTTTAATGCCAAATATCTAAGCTCTAGCTCTTTGGGTTTTTTAGAAGATGATTTTTTTAAGTTTTTACTATATGCATATAAGGAAAATCAATGACCCCCTGGGGCGGGGCCAATTTTGACCCCAGGGCTTTTATTTGAACAATCTTGGTAGACACTCATTAGAAGATGTTTCATGCTTAATATCTTAGGTCTAGCTCTTTGGGTTCTTTAAAAGAAGATTTTTTAAAGTTTTTACTATATGCATATAGGGAAAATCAATGACCCCCTGGGGCGGGGCCAATTTTGACCCTAGGGCTTTTATTTGAACAATCTTGGTAGACACTTATTAGAAGATGTTTCATGCTTAATATCTTAGGTCTCGCTCTTTTGGTTCTTTAAAAGAAGATTTTTTTAAGTTTTTACTATATGCATATAGGGAAAATCAATGACCCCCTGGGGCGGGGCCAATTTTGACCCCAGGGCTTTTATTTGAACAAACTTGGTAGACATCCATTAGAACATGTTTAATGCCAAATATCTAAGCTCTAGCTCTTTGGGTTTTTTAGAAGATGATTTTTTTAAGTTTTTACTATATGCATATAGGGAAAATCAATGACCCCCTGGGGCGGGGCCAATTTTGACCCCAGGGCTTTTATTTGAACAATCTTGGTAGACACTCATTAGAAGATGTTTCATGCTTAATATCTTAGGTCTAGCTCTTTGGGTTCTTTAATAGAAGATTATTTAAAGTTTTTACTATATGCATATAGGGAAAATCAATGACCCCCTGGGGCGGGGCCAATTTTGACCCCAGGGCTTTTATTTGAACAATCTTGGTAGACACTCACTAGAAGATGTTTCATACCAAATATCTAAGCTCTAGCTCTTTGGGTTTTCTAGAAGAAGATGTTTAAAGTTTTTTCTTTTGGTTGCCATGGCAACCAGAGTTCTGCATGGAATGGAATTCTTTGAACAACTTTGTTAAGGCTTCACACAAGGAACATCCCTGTGAAGTTTCATTATGATCTGCCTTATGGTTTCAGAGGAGATGTCGTTTGAAAAGTGTGAACGGACAACGGACGACGTACGACGGACACCGGACGACGGACGAAGAGTGATCCTAATAGCTCACCCTGAGCATATGCTCAGGTGAGCTAAAAATCTGGCTGAAAAATCCAATGAAATGTTATTTTCAGTTTACATTGAATTCATTTTAGGAGGAAGCTAGAAGCTTATAGAAACACTCTCCAATCTATTCCTAGAACCAAACAGTACTGAGCGTAATATGACAGATTCTTGCTCAAGGACACCATAGCTTGCCTCTGATGAGGTTTGAACCCACATAGCCAGCAATCCTTGGATTACTAGTCTGACATGCTAACCACTCAGCTACTTCCAAATTGTACGAACATTTGTATTTGTAAATAATGATGTACTATGTTAGGATCAAAAGTACTGTTATTAAATTGAGCTAGTAATTCTTTATGCCGCTACATTTCAGTATTAAACATACATTCCATAATTCTATGCAAATATTTCAGAATTTTGTTAAAATGCTCTGATTATTGCCAGAAAATACCATTAAAACAGTCAGTTTCATGGCACGATCTTACCTTGGAATGATTTCTCTCTGCTCATCCCATCTACCAAGGCCAGTAGGATATATAGGCCACACTGCTGGACCACCCTCCCAGAACGTCCAGGCTGGATACATTATATCCCAACTTGCACTTGTCTTAAATATATAAACATGTATAGGAGTTATATACACTGTGTCACTGTCAGATTTTGTATAAATAATTTAAAGCCTGTTTATAACTTTATTATGTAATGTGTCAGCATTCTATATCATATCAAGGGATTATACTGTCTACATTGAATATTCATATTTAATCATCCTCATTTAGGGAAAAGCTTATTATCAAACAAATGTGTAAATTGTTTGCTTTAAATATATTATTGCTGATACTGTCTAATAATCTGAAAAATATCAAACAATAAGAAGAATTTCCTTCTTACTAAAAAAGTTTTAAAAAAAATCACTTTTCTATAAATTTAATTTATTTTCTAGGTTTGAGAAAATGTTTACATCTACAAAATATGTTTAAAACAACAATGGATCCCAAGGATACAAGAACTTAGACAGAATAACAATAACTTGGGAGAAAATAAACGTTCATACAGTGCTTATGTATAAATACCTTAGTATTTTCAGCGTATTATGCCTTCATCAGGGGTGTATAACATGTATAATGTGCACACAATAGAGCTCAAAATATCTATACATGTGTACTGTATGGTATCAAAAATTGAACTGAATTTATTTTTTATATATAGAAGGGGTATTTTTTGTTTAGTTGAAACATTTTTTTTTGTTTTAAACTTTGGTTTCCTGTGAACCAACATATAAGAAACTTATAAAACTACCACTTTATCCATGGAGAAAGCTTTAATAAAAAAAAATATGGGTCCTTTACAAACTTACCACTTTACTAAATGAGAAGATTGGTAAAGGTTTTTGATATTTAGAGGATTGTGGCCAGTCACGTGTGTTCAAGATAAACTCCATATCTGGTAGCTTTTTAATAATCTCCAATATGAAGTGCTCTACTCCACTACATCTGAAACATTCAAAACAGCAGTAAAGTAAATATTTTGTCATCGTTGGAACCCACATTACACTTTAAGTATATACTACATTTAATGTATACGGTAAATAGCCTGGGTTACCAAGGATGATGTTTTGAAATATCATATTTACATTTGAAAATTTGCTAAGTTAACAACTTTAACCTTTTGACTAGGCTTCTGGGGCCCGTCTTATCAAAAAACCACCACAGTTTCAGATCAGTGGTCAAGAATAGGTATGTTTCTCTATTTTAAATAGATTTCGATATGTAGATTACAATAAACGCAATAAAAAGTGTTATAACATCATAAACAGGTGCACATTAAAATGTAAATTCTAAGTCAAAAAAGGGGCATAATTCTGTCAAAATGCTTGATACAATACAGGTTAGGGTTATGATGGTGAACAAGTGTGCAAAGTTTCAAAGCCATATGTCAATGGACTTTGAAATTATTTGAGGTATTACAAAAACTTTAACGAAAATTCTAAGTCGAAAAAGGGGCATAATTCAGTCAAAATGCTTGATACAATTACCTCCTTCTGTCTACAGCTTAGGGTCATGTTGGTGAACAAGTGTGCAAAGTTTCAAAGCCATAATTATGTCAATGGACTATGAAAATATTTGAGGTATTACAAAAACTTTAACGTAAATTTTAAGTCGAAAAAGGGGCATAATTCTGTCAAAATGCTTGATACAGTTACCTCCTCCTGTCTACAGCTTAGGGTCATGATGGTGAACAAGTGTGCAAAGTTTCAAAGCCATATGTCAATGGACTTTGAAAATATTAATTTCTGAGGTATTACAAAAACTTTAACATAAGTGGTTACGCCGACACCGACGCTCGGGTCTCTACTTATTCTTATCGAATAGTCGAGCTAAAAAGGTCAACTCGAGCTAAAGCCAATGCCAAAAGGAAGGCCTTTTTTTAACTTCATTTTTCTTTTCTTCACTTTACTGTCTTTTTTTTTTTGGTTGTATCATTTAAGGTATAAATAGGAACCAGAGTAGAACTACTGATGTTCAGTTAAGCTAGCTGTATAGCTTTTCTCACAACAAAGATCACAAGTGTATTTCTGTATGCTCATAGCTTTCTTCACAATCAAACTTAAATAAATTCTGTACAAACTAAACAACTGATATTAACTACGAAATAAACTGAAATTTTAATCCGTTTGAAGACATTTATAAAATATTAACAATATCCCTCTGACATAGTTATAAAGATTAACTAAGGAAAAGTATATACTATATAATAACAAACATTTTGAGCTGGTTCTGACAAGACATTAAATTTTGTTTTGCAAAGGAATAATCATACATGGACTAAAATTGCTCAATGAATTTACTCAACAATTATTATATTAATGTTTACGGAACCCTTATGCTGAACATGATCATCAAAACTGAATTTGTGTAACAAATAATTTTAAAATACCTGGCAGGAAACATGCAGGAATCTTCTCTGTAAAGTTTATGATTGATTATTTGATAGTGGGCTCCACGAGGCTTTGCAGCCTCCAATTCCTCCTTAGAAATTCCATCCTTCCATACCTCCAAGTCATTGTCTATAATACTACAAATATAGTCATAAAATCACTTTGTATAAAGATTAAAGTATAGGTTTATGTGTTAATGAGCCTGAAATGTTTTGAAAGGTTCGAAAATGGAGTCACAAACCTAAGCTTCTAAATGAACAAATACATGATGTATTTATAATAGCTATGTCAGCATATTTAGACATTTTAATTTGTTAACTAGAAACCATCATAACTTAGCTTATGAATCACTTGATTTTTAAACATCATAAATTGTTTCGTTATTGGAACTTTAGAAAACAAACTCAAAAGTTAGATGAATAAGCAATATTTAATGTTAATAAAGTCAATTCTAAGAAAAGCATTTAAAGTTCCAGAGTTTAGAAATACACATGTACATGTATGTGGTTCCAGCAATATCGAGTCAGTTCATACAGGACATCAAATGTATTTGTGAATAGAAGTCATGTTTAAGTTTATAACAAAGTTGATGTGGACAAAATTGTTTCAGAGATCTCCAGCAACCAGAGACTGTTGACTAAACATGTATGTATAGAAAACAATCTTTAGTCTGCTGGAACCTCAAGTTATAAGCCTTTGCAACCAGTATTGAGCCAAGCCAGCCTGCACATTATTGCAGTCTGACAAGGCTCTACACAGTAAGCTGACAAATGTTAGATTTTCCTCTTGATATCCCAAATTTAGTAATGGACAGTTCCAAAAATGAAAGTCGGACAAATCCATTTTTTAAATTTTGTGGGTTACAGGTTAAAGCATATTTCAAATTTAAATTACCTTGAATGACATGAGCAATCATCCTGCACACAGTCTTTGTAGTTTGCAACAGCTGTCTCTATTTTGTCCAAATATTTCTTCCATTTTACATTGGGATCTATGTAAATAAATGAATAAATGAAGATAAAACCTTGCAAAAGGAGTCAAAATTAATCAAAGTTCATAGAAATATGTTACATTACTCCTGTATCAATGTTCACTATTCTATATTATCAATATGTAACACAACAGTTGTCTTTTAGGGCAGAGCACTTATCTCTTCTATAGCATGTGACAGTGTCATAAGAGAACTTTAAAAAAAAAAATTGTATTTGAAAAAAAAAAAAAATTAAAACAAGAAAAAATACAAAACAGTCAGACAGAAAGGGGCTTGATAAGTTTGTACAAAGGTGTAAGGAAACCCCATGACCTACCTGGGTGGGGCAAATTTTAACCCCAGGGCTATAATTTGAACAACTTGGTTGCCAACCACACAAAGCTCTTGCAGTTTTTGAGAAGAAGATTTTTTAAGTTCTTTTTATTTTGGTTGCCATGGGGCAACCAAAGGTCAGCATGGAATGTAATCTTCTTTCAATTAAGTACAGACACATTCCGTACAGACACATTCCAGCATATACTCATACTGGCTCATTGCAGTGTAAGAATTAAGTGTCTATTTACAAACGTGATTGCATGTAAAAGAATTTAAATGGCCATTTAGAGTCTATCTGAGGGTCAAAGAATGCACGTCCATCTTGAAGCTGTTGATTGTTGTAAAGTAGACTACTGAACGGGAAAGGTTATTCCAGAGGCAGATGGTATCAGGGATGAAGAAGTGCTGGTAGCACAGAGTTCTAGGACACAGCACCAGGTAGTGAAATCCATGGCCTCCTGTAGAGCTGATGGCAGTGAGGTTGGATTTAGGAACTATGCAGTACATCATGGTTACCAACGCTTGGGAAGAATCGGCCACTGTAATTGCTGCAGCATTAGCCCAACAAATTGTGCGCTTTTGAGCTTTTTATTATATAGATGATGGTCATCCTTTGCGACATCTATGAAATAGTAAAGACCGCCATCTATGGAATATCAGATTATAAAATCGGTTGGTCTTGCAGTCGAAATATTGAGACTACTGCAGCGTCCAATCTCAGGTATCATTCTTGTCGCTCCATGCTGCATCACCTCTAATTTCCGAACATCAGAAAATGGGTATCAGATGATGAAGGAGTAATCCATCAGAGGCTTCCAGAATTATTTATAGTAAAGCTCTTTGAACTTCCATAATACTAGAGTGAGTGGACCAACGCTCGGCGTAAAAATACTATATTTGATATGGCAAATTCAAATCAACATCAACTAACCTCAATGTTATATGTCCATTTTCAAGACCGATGATATTGTTTTAAATAGCCATTGTGTAAAATTCGCTAATCACATTATGATGTGCATGGTTGGAGCTATAGATAGTCCGGATAAACAAGAGTGGTTTGCGTAAAATTGTACCATTGCTCGGCGTACAATACTACATTATGCAGGATTGTTTTTCGAATAAAATCTCTTTTTTGTCTTATGAAGAAAACATATTGAATAAATTGTAACAACAAACTAGGTTCATACATTTACAAGTACCCAACTTTTAGTTTAAATTTTACAGCCCCAGAACTCTAGTGTTAAGATTTTAATAATTTATATGTTGCGGATTACATACGGTTGTTTGTCTGCTATTAGCATGGCAATCTCCTGGTTTAGACCCCTATGTATTTTTTCAGGAGTAAAACTCGTATATAATACACTAAAAAAAACGGAATGAACCTTATATATACTCCTGGTTTAGACCCCGGGGTCTAATCCAGGATATAGCCATTAGCATTTAGTGTCACGCGACTTTACCAGCAGTGAACCACACCAGGATAAAATGGTGAAAGATGTAAATAAAAGCACCAGTGACCTAAATCGGATATAACTCGAGACATTTTCAGAAATTCTAAAAAAAATATATTTTTTACGCCGAGCATTGGTATGCACCGAGCATTGGTCCAACCACTCTACATGTATATACACATAGACATATAGTATCATCATGAAAGAGTCTTCAATTTATTGTGAAGTGTAATGAATCTCGAGATTTATATTTTAAATGAAAAAACTTACAACAGTAAATGATTTATATCAAATAAAATTTAAATGGTTTACGTGATCATGTCACATTTATAATATATTTTTTCAACCAATAAAATAAAACCACATCACCTATTCTGCTCACAAATCAGTCAAAGTTAGTTTAGTTTTTTACCTTTTGTATACTTTGATTTTTCGTCAGATTGAATATTTTCTTCTACACAATCTTGTCCTGATTCGTTTGAGCATGTCAGTTCCGAATAAGAACACAAAAACAGCGATGATAATACTACAAATTCTAGTTTCATTTTCATGGTCAGATACAAGAGAGTATTCAAGGGGAGGTAACAAGAACAGCACTGCAATTAATAGCAATAATTATTAGCTAATAATTGACCGCAATAATAGCAGAACAAGAGATATCGAATTTATATTCATTAATCTAAAGTAAGTTATTTAAAATGAGATTTATTCATTAGTCCCCAGGTTATTCAGTACAATTTATAAGCTTAGTTTACGAACTGGTCCCTACTATTTATAGCAACAGCCAATCAAATTATCGATATACTAATTAACAATCATACAGGGTTAAACTAATTAACTGTATTAAGGTACAAGTCAGGTGACAAGGGATCACAACATAACTGGTCTACACCTCATACTCCAATAGTCATGGACCATGGTAATGATATAAATTATATCATTTGAATTGTTATTATTTTATATTATTCAATCTTATTTGCTTTTCGTACCATGGACAATTCGGTCCAGATTTGGGACATTCGGACCACATTTAAAGAAACACATAACTTTTGTATGTGACACTTCGAAACAGATTAAGATAATTATTCTTACATAATTGTTTGGCTAAGAAATATAATAATTCACGATTAGACACTTCAAAAGATCACACAGATTTTTCTATTAAAGTGAATGGAAATTATTCTGAATTAAAAATGTATGAAAAGCTGCATTAATCAGAATTAATTAACACATATGTACTTAAACACAAATTACCAATAGTACACAATTTGTTCTATCCATTTTACCAGCTTTCCTGGATAACTTATAAGTATTAACTTTTGTGTAGTATGTTCAGGTGAGCTATTTAGTATTATTTTTTACTCTATAAGGTACATTGTACATGTATCTTCTTTATAACAAAATAACACTTATGACTTTAAAAAAATAGTTCTGTTTTTCTATGACAAGGAATTATTCTCTCTTTTGAACTTAAAATATTGTACTTTGATAAATTAATTGCAAAGTTTAATTCATATTAACCATTATATATATAATACATGAATATAGGTTAATTTCATTATTCGTTAGGTCTATAATAAACACCATGAAGTTAATTCATTATTGCAATGATTACATAATTTCACTCATTCTTTAAAACATTCTCTATTAAAATGGATTTTGATACTTAACTTAATGCCATATATTTTCACAGTATTCATGTATACTGGTGTAAATAAATTTAACAATTATCGAAACCTTGCTGAAGCTGAAATTTCTTACATAAACTTTTTTTGTTATGCTTTGTTACTAAATAACTTGTTTTAACATGATTTATGTGGCCTGATTTTACAGAAGCTGACACTGACTATAATACGGCTTTAGAGAAATTGATGAAAGAATGTCTGCCTCCAATACTGGTGGAAATTGTTGATAAAAGACCTTTAGATCCAATACAATACATGGCAGATAGTCTTTACAATTATAAGGTAATCAGTTAATGTTATTTCTTGTTTTGGAATTATCAATTAAGTCTTGCTAACTACGATGCTATATAATAAGCAGCTCTCTCCACTCATGCATTTTTATGTTTATAAAGTATGTACATAGTACAACTTGTGTAGAGCAAGTCACCCTTAGGGAGAAACCGGTTTTGGTTGCTGCTGAGAGGTGGTTGCTTTACAGAGGTTAATTTTATTATGAAGTTTGAAAATTAATAGAACTGTTGTTATAAAGAGGTGATTGTTCTACAGAGGGCAGCTCTGCAGTGATTGTACTAATTCACTATCATAATTGACATTATTTTTAAAATTTCATAAAATTGTATATTTTCAGAGGTGATATCAGTAAATGATACATCCAATTATATTAATATCATTATCTTTGTAGAAGAAAACAGAGAGAAGTTTGGAAAATAACAGTCAAGTTAATACATTAAGTCATAACCAGTTGAAATCAAATCATCAAAGCGTTGAACAAAATGAAAAGCCAGTGTCCAACGATTTCATACCTTCAAAGAAAATCACGCTAGATGATTATGAAGATTTAGAAACTGTTAATATCAGAATCAAATTGCATCAGGATTGTTTAGATATCTTCACAGACATTGGTGACATTTTTGATGAAGATGATATCTCTTGACAAGAAGAATTAAGTGAGTTTAAAGGTGTCATTTCGTGCTTGTTAAAAGAAATAAAAAACAGCATTTAAATAAGCCGACTTTCTGTGACATTTGAGCTGTCATTGTGCAACATATGAAGCTGTCATTCTGAGACATTTGAAGCTGATATTCGTGACATCTGAAGCTGATATTGTGTTACATTTGAAGATGATATTGTGTGACACCTGAAGCTGATGTTATGTGACATAAAAACTTGATATTGTGTGACATCTGATGATCTGAAGCTGACATTGTATGACATCTTAAGCTGATATTGTGTTACATTTAAACCTGACATTGTGTGACATTGTCTGAGATCTTAAGCTGAAATTGTGCAACAATTGAAGCTGAAATTGTGACATCTGAAACTGACATTGTGTGACTTGAAAAGCTGATGTTGTGTGACATTTGAAGCTGACTTTGTGTGACATGAGAAGCTGATGGTGTGTAACATTAATCTGAACTTAAAGTTGTGTGACATTCTTGCTGATCTTGTGTGACATTTGAAGCTGCCTTTGTGTGACATTTGAAGCTGCCTTTGTGTGACATTTGAAGCTGGCTTTGTGTGACATTTGATTGATTTGAAGCTGACATTATGTGACATTTGAAACTGATATTGTGTAACATTTGAAGTTGACATTATGTGACATCTGAAGCTGACATGTGGTATTTGAAGCATGCAGTAATATAGGCATTTAAAACAGACATTTTAAAGCTCGCAGTCACATTGGAAGCGGACATTTCTTGAAGGAAATAAGAATGAAGTGGCATTTAAAGCTTGCACTCACAGTGACATTTGAAGCTGATATTTGAGTCATTATTTGGGCCATTTTTGAGCTCACATAGTCCCTCTGTTACAAAAAAAGACATTGAAAAAGGGCATTTGAAACAGAAAGGAACAAAAAATGAAAGAAACTAGAACTGTGTCCAAAGGACACAGATGCCCCCACTGTGCAGATGTGCTCGTAAACAAGAGCATGCATATCTGTATGTAAGATTTTTATGTGGAACTTTTTATTAAAATCTGCCATCCGGTTTAAGAGGAGTTGCGTTTTCAAAATTTCTATATGGTATATAGTGAAAAAATTAACAAAGGGCCATAATTCTGTTAAATTTGGTTGCAGCAAAAATTCCATCCTTTACTTCCATCTACACATTAAGGTTGTTCATCCCTGGAAGTTTAAGCAAAATCTGCCATCCGGTTTAAGAGGAGTTGCGTTCACTAAATTTCTACATAGTATATAGTGAAAAAATCAAGAAAGGGCCATAATTCTGTTAAATTTGGTCGCAGCAAAAATTCCTTCCTTTACTACCATCTACACATTAAGGTTGTTAATTCTTCCCTGGAAGTTTATGCAAAATCTGCCATCCGGTTTAAGAGGAGTTGCTTTCACAAAATTTCTACACAGTATGTAGTGAAAAAATCAACAAAGGGCCATAATTCTCTTAAATTTGGTCGCAGTAAAAATTCCTTCCTTTACTACCATCTACACATTAAGGTTGTTCATCCCTGGAAGTTTAAGCAAAATCTGCCAATCGGTTTAAGAGGAGTTGCGTTAACAAAATTTCTATATAGTATATAGTGAAAAAATCAACAAAGGGCCATAATTCTGTTAAATTTGGTCGCAGCAAAAATTCCCCCTTTTACTACCATCTACACATTAAGGTTGTTCATCCCTGGAAGTTTAAGCAAAATCTGCCATCCGGTTTAAGAGGAGTTGCGTTCACAAAATTTCTACATAGTATATAGTGAAAAAATCAAGAAAGGGCCATAATTCTGTTAAATTTGGTCGCAGCAAAAATTCCTTCCTTTACTACCATCTACACATTAAGGTTGTTCATTCCTGGAAGTTTAGGCAAAATCTGCCATCCAAGAGGAGTTGCGTTCACAAGATTTCGGGACGTACGGACGGACGGACGGACACTCCGACGGACAAGTGCAACGCTATATGCTCCCACTCTGTGGGGGCATAAAAAAACAATTTTCAAATATACCAATTAATGAATTATTGTAACAAAGAAGAAAATAACAAGAAAAATTCAAGTAAATTTCAAGTTGAAATGAAAAAACCATAGAAACCTATGTCTTAAAAATAAATCTAATCACATATGAAGTATGTCTTAATAATAAATGTCTGTTTTAAATTTGAAGTAAATTCATGGGGAAATAAGAAAGTTAAAGAATGAGTAAGAAAAATTCAAAGTTTAGAGTTATGGACCTTGAACAATGACAACCTATTATGATTTCAAAGATGTGTAAGTTACTAGTACTTGTATCTTTAGTGGTTGATGAGATATGATGTTGTACAAGATGTGTCACATTAAACTTTAATGGAAGTGTCATGCTCTCATTCTAGTTAGCATTTAGGTAGTTTAACTTTTCTTCATCTTCTCAAGCTAAAAACTTATCACATAGAACATGGAAATATTTGTATGTAGACATATAACTGACATATGTGTAGAAAAAGGAAATGTTTCTATGTGGACAAATATGATATAAATGACAAAACCAACAAGAACTTGGCAAAATATACAAATTTAATTTTTGGTACAGCAATATAATATGTTTTAAGTTAAAATATAAATTTAAGGCATATAATTCATTTTTGTATTTTCAAGATCAGTAAATACATAGCTAACATCCACGGTCTAACACAAAATTTCCTAACAGTCCTAACAACGCAAAGTAGTTCTCACTCAAAACTGCTTAAAAACCAGCAATTTAAAAGAAAAATAATTTTTAATGTAGGCATTTAACGAATTACAGTGCATTAAAAGTTTAGATTAGTCAATAGAAATATGAGGTTACAATCACAAATTTCGCGGATGAATATCTTTTTTACCCAATGAAAAATGTTCGGCTATTTCCGTAAAGCTTCGGATTATCATGAATATCATTTTAATCAATGAAAATGCTATTTTTAGCTATGCCGATTACCAAATACTCCAGAGCGTAGTACACGTCGAGTAGTGGAATATATACATGTCGGACTGTTTTGGCGAGAAGATTTTCGATAAATTATTTTCATCAGTGTTAAACAACACGTTTATCGTGAACAAAATACCTCGAAATTAATAAGGATTACAAACACGAAATGATGGAAATTCTCAATTTAGAATTACATAATGTATTTGTTTTTATTCAAGGTTCATATGTATAACTTCGCCGTGGTGCAGAGGTAAGCGGTCTCGTTGAGGGTGTGAGAGACCTATGGTTCAAATCTAGTCGAGGCAATTCTATTTTTTTTCATGCAAAATTCCATATGTAAATCTCACTGTTATAGAAGAAAATCAAAACGCTGTCGCTGCGTAAGATGAATTATAGTATATAAAAATAAACTTATACAGGAAAGTACATACAGATAGTCAGTATGATTTAGATTGCAAAGATCAGAAAATACCATAGAGCTGCAGCCCTTTGATTACTAAAGGCATGTGGAGATGTATATTGCTTTATAAATAAGAGTAATATCTGTGGACAGTTGACCTTTAACCTGCTGGAAATTAAAGTAATTGGCGTTGGCAACAAGTATAGAGCCAGGCCAGTCTGTATTTCTGTGCAGTCTGACCAGACTCTATATTTCTGGGTGTCAAAAAGTTAGCAAATTGAAATTCCAAACATTTTTAGATGAGAAAATATTAGCGATCCTGGAAGGGTAGAATTTAATGATAGGTTGGTTATTATTTTATACGCTAGAGGAAATTTTAGCAATTTTCGTCATTTTGCAAAAAATCACCAATATTTCGGCATTGCTTACATAATCACTTATACAGTAGACTATTCCTAATGAGAAAATACATCACACAAATCAGCAGGTTAAAGATTAAAGTAATTTTCATAATTCCCTTTGATTAGACAAGAAATGAATCAAAACAAAAATTTGAAGTTTGAAATGACCCTGCTTTTTTAACAAGAATTTGTAACAGAGTTACCAACGTCCCCCGCCTCGGGGAAGTTTTATATGAAGCATAAAATTGTGCTATTTCAAAAGATTGAGGTATGGACCTAAGGACTTTCAGTCCAAAATTATGATCAATGCTAGATCTGCAAATGCAACAATAAATTTATTAAAGAAATAAAATGAAACACTGAATTTAAAAATCTATCATGTTAAGCTTTGACCTCTTAGTGTGATCTTGACCTTGGAGGTAGGAGTGCAGGTGTTGTGCATGAAATATCGTCTTATTATTGTAACTATTTGTACCAAGTATTTTCAAGATCCCTTGAACTATAATGAAGAAGTTATAGATGGGACAAAAAATATACCCTCTAATAGACTATGTTAATCTTTGACCTCTTAGTGTGACCTTGGAGGTAGGGACCCATGTTTTGCTCCTGACATATCATTTTATTATTGTGATTATTTGTGCAAAGTATTTTTAAAATCCCTTGATCTATGAAAAATTTATGGACTGGAAACAAAATATACCCTATAACAGACCATGTAAATCTTTGACCTCTACGTGTGACCTTGACCTTGGAGGTAGGGACACTGGTGTTACGCATGACATATCATCTTATCATTGTGACTATTTGTGCCAAGTATTTTCAAAATCCCTTGATCTATGAAGAAGTTATGGACAGGACAGAAAATATACCATATAACAGACTCACTTTTGACCTCTAAGAGTGACCTTGACCTTGATGGTAAGGGTGCAGGTGTTGTACTTGACATATCATCTTATTATTGTGACTATTTGTGCAAAGTTATTTCAAAATCCCTTGAACTATGAAGAAGTTCTACATTGGACAAAAGACTATGTTAATTTCTGACCTCAAAATGTGACCTTGATCTTGGAGGTAGGGATGCAGGTGTTGGGCATGACACATCGTCTTATTATAGTGCCTATTTGTGCCAAGTATTTTCAAAATCCTTTGATATATAAAAAAGTTATGGACCAGACACAAAATATACCCTATAACAGACTATGTTAATCCTTGACCTCAAAGTGTGACCTTGACCTTGGAGGTTGGTGACCGATTGTTGCGCATGACACATCATCTCATTGTTGTGAACAATTGTGGTAAGTATTTACAAAATCCCTTCAATGATAAGAAAGTTATAGACCGGACATGAGATATACCCTCAAATAGACAATGTTGACCTTGAATGAGCAAGTGCGACGTTGACCCTGGAGGTAGGGGTCTGGTTGTGCGCATGACACATCTTATTATAACAAACTTTTCTGCCAAGTTATTTCAAATTCCTTTGATAAATGACAAAGTTATGGACTGGACACGAAATATACCCTGTAACAGACTATGTTAATCTTTGACCTCCAAGTGAGACCTTGATCTTGGAGGTAGGTGACCGGTTGTTAAGCGGAACACATCTTCTCATTATTGTGAGCAATTGTGGCAAGTATTGACAAAATCTCTTTAAAGATAAAAAAGTTATGGACCGGACACGACATATACCCTCAAATAGACAATGTTGACCTTGAATGAGCAAGTGTGACCTTGACCCTGGAGGTACGGGTCTGGTTGTTGCGCATAACACATCGTCTTATTATAACAAACATTTGTGCCAAGTTATTGCAGATTCCTTCAATAAATGACAAAGTTATGGACCGGACACGAAAGTATGACGGACAGAGCCTATTTCTATATCCGGCTTTTTTCTTCGAAAAGGTGGGGGACAAAAAAGTTATGGACCGGACACGACATACACCCTCAAATAGACAATGTTGACCTTGAATGAGCAAGTGCTACCTTGACCTTTCAAGGTAGGGGCCTGATGGTTGCGCATGACACATCGTCTTATTATAACAAACATTTGTGCCAAGTCATTTCAAATTCCTTTGATAAATGACAAAGTTATGGACCAGACATGAACTATGTTAATATTTGACCTTATAGTGTGACCTTGACCTTGGAGGTAGGTGACCGGTTTCTGCGCATGACACATCATCTCATTATTGTGAACAATTGTGGCAAGTATTTACAAAATCCTTTAAAAGATAAGAAAGTTATGGACTGGACAAGACGTATACCCTCAAATAGACAATGTTGGCCTTGAATGAGCAAGTGCGACCTTGACCTTGGAGGTAGGGGTCTGATTGTTGCGCATGACACATCTTCTTATTATAACAAACATTTGTGCCAAGTTATTTCAAATTCCTTTGATAAATGACAAAGTTATAGACCGGATATGAAAGTGTGACGGATGGACGGACATACTCACAAAATGGTTCTAATGTGACTTTTCCTTTGATCTTTTTGGCCATTTTTAGTCACACTAGTCTTAAACAAGAGGGCCATGATGGCCCTAGATCGCTTACCTGACTTATCAAACTCATCCAAACAATTACCTAGACAAGCATTCTTACCAAGTCTCATGACAGGTGAGTCAAAAATGTGACCACTACAGTGTTAACAAGGATTATCCATATTTGAGCAGTGCGACCTAGTTTTTTACCCAGGTGACACATATTCAAACTTGACCTAGAAATCATCACAACAAACTTTCAGACCAATTTGAAGGATACTTGGATCAAAACAGTAGCAACTAGAGTGTTAACAAGATTTTTCTATTTTTAGCTCCGGTGACCTAGTTTCACATGTGATTTCGAACTCATCCAAGCAATTACCTAGACAAGCATCCTGACCAAGTTTGATGATAATTGAGTCGAAAATGTGACCACTAGAATGTTAACAAGGTTTTTCCATATTTGGGCGGTGTGACCTAGTTTTTCATCCAAGATGACCCATGTTCGATCTTGACTTAGAAATCATCAAAACAAACTTTCAGACCAATTAACAGAATATTTGGATCACAACAGTAGCCACTAGGGTGTTAACAAGATTTTTCTATTTTTAGCTCCCGTGACCTTGTTTTTCATCCGAGATGTCCCATGTTCAATTTATTCCCAGCAATGACCTAGACAAGTTTCCTGACCAAGTTCGATGACAATTGAGTCAAAATTGTGACCACTAGAGTGTTAACAAGGTTTTTCTATTTTTAGCTCCTGTGACCTAGTTTTTCATCCGAGATGACCCATGTTCAAACTCATCCGAGCTATCACCTAGACAAGCATCTTGATTAAGTTTGATGATGATTGATGCAAAAATGTGACCGCTAGAGTGTTAACAAGGTTTTTCTATTTTTAGTTCCGGTGACCTACTTTTTAGATCCCATGTTCAAACTCATCCGAGTTATGACCATCTTGACAAGTGACTGATCAAAAATGTGACCCTCATTTTTTTTTTAGCTCTTGTGACCTAGTTTTCATCCGAGATCCATGTTCGAACTCATCCGAGCTATCAAAACAAGCATCTTGACCAAGTTTGATGATGATTGATGCAAAAATGTGACCGCTAGAGTGTTAACAAGGTTTTTCTATTTTTAGCTCCAGTGACCTACTTTTTCATCCGAGATGACCCATGTTCGAACTCATTCAAGCTATCAACTAGATAAGCATCCTGACCAAGTTTGATGATGATTGATGCAAAAATGTGACCGCTAGAGTGTTAACAAGGTTTTTCTATTTATAGCTCCAGTGACCTAGTTTTTCATCCGAGATGACCCATATTCGAACTCCTCCGAGCTATTATCTAAACAAGCATCCTGACAAAGTTTGATGATGATTGGGTCAAAAATGTGACCACTAGAGTGTTCACAAGGTTTTTCTATTTTTAGCTCCTGTGACCTAGTTTTTCATCAGAGATGACCCATGTTCGAACTCATCCAAGCAATTGACTAGACAAACATTCTGACCAAGTTTGATGATGATTGGTTCAAAAATGTGACCACTAGAGCGTTCACAAGGTTTTTCTATTTATAGCTCCTGTGACCTACTTTTTCATCCGAGATGACCCATATTCGAACTCATCCGAGCTATCACCTAGACAAACATCCTGACCAAGTTTGATGATGATTGGGTCAAAAATGTGACCTCTAGAGTGTTCACAAGGTTTTCTATTTTTAGCTCTTGTGACCTAGTTTTTCATCCGAGATGAGCCATGTTCGAACTCATCCAAGATGAGCCATGTTCGAACTCATCCGAGCTTTCAACTAGATAAGCATCCTGACCAAGTTTGATGATGATTGAGGCAAAAATGCGACCGCTAGAGTGTTCACAAGCAATTGTGGACGTACGACGTACGGTGGACATTCACCGATCCTAAAAGCTCACCCTGAGCAAGCTCAGGTGAGCTAAAAAAAGACACACAAATAAAAACTGAATGAATAGGATCAAAGAGAATTTACTGTTACCCATTGTTCTCCAAGTCACACTAGTACAAATAAAATGTACCTCTGGGTTCGGACAGATGGACAGAGCCTATTTCTTTATCCCCCTTTTTTCTTCGAAAAGGCGTGGGGACAATAACAAAAAAAAATATTCACTTCACTGTTTAATCAATTAGAAACATGAAGGAAAGAAAAATCAGAATAACCAAAATCCCAAATATTATCTTCTATAGCTTTTGATGGACTGCTGGTTAACATCAAACAAGAACCGGTTGAACCGGATGATGCTCCCCAAATAGGTTTTGGACACAGGAAGGTATACTTCTTGTAGTGTCAGAATTATGTCACAAAAAAAGTTCAAAGTGTTAAAATGAACACCAAAATTAAGCAAAAAAGAGTTATGGTTCTTTTGCCTAATGAGATCTAACTACCTACAAAGTTTCATGTTGATATCTCTTGTAGTTTTAGAGTTATGTCCCGGACAAAGATCAAAGTGTAAAAATGAGCAAAGAGCAATAACTCCAAAATTAGGTAAGACAGAGTAATGGTTCTTTTGCACTGCACTTCTACTCAATGACATCTATCTACCTACAAAGTTTCATGTTGATACCTCTTATTGTTTCAAAATTATGCCCCGGACAAGAATAGCAGACCAATGGACGAATGGGCCATCACAAAAGCTCACCTTCAGGACATTGTCCTCAGGTGAGCTAAAAATCGGACATTATATCACCCCAAACTAGCGGTTTGAAATTTGCAAAATTTGTATTGTTTTAGCATTAGAGATATCCATTTTACTCAAAGATAAGCGAAACAACCTGAGTTTTTCACTCCGTATACCTCAGTTATTTACGTAGTTCATATAGACTGTCAACATTGATGACAACATTTACCCTACCCATAAACATGCTTTTTACACTTGACCAGCTTATTCATCACTGTCACTCAATATACAGCAAAAATTGTTCTAACTCTTCAGAATTATCTCTTTCTTAAACATTGTTTTTTCATCTTGGTTGCCTTATATGCCTGCTTTACATCTTTGATGTCTTCTGTATTTGTTTTGTCTAATGATTTGAAATCATACTGTCTCAAACTTCTTAAACGAGTAAGCCTTGTTTTTTCCTCCTCTAACTTAGCATTTTTTGAACTTTTCAGATTTTCTTCTTTAATAAACATTGTCTTTTTTACCACTTTAGCCTTTCCTACATATGACATTGCTGTCACTCCTCTGTCCTTAATACAACTTCCTTTAGTATTCTGTGATTTATTTGTGCTTTGAGTTGTCTTAACAGAATATGATTTTTTTGTCAACAAGTTTCTTGATTTAGACTGAATACCTTTCACATGCAGATTTCCTTTCACAGACTGCTTTCCTTTCAGTTCTACAGACTTGTTTCCATTTATCTTCTCAGTCTGATTTCCTTTTACAGACTTGTTTCCTTTCAGTTTCACTGATTGATTTCCTTTTACCGAATGATTTCCTTTCACAGACTGATAACCTCTCACATACTTAACTCCTTTTACAGAATGATTCCCTGTGACAGACAGAGGACACTTAAAAGGATGAATTACTTTTACTTTTTTAGATTTTGGTCCATCAATTAAGAGAGATGTTTGTTTCATATCTGTAGAGTTACTGGGCTCTCCTTGAACCATATCATTCCCACTTAACACATACTCTCCTCTTCTATTTTCAATATTCCTAGAGTTTTGACCTGAAGGTAAGTATGTAGCACCAGTCAGAAAAGAAAACCTAGGATAAGAGAACGAGCTTGTAGTTGGTACATCTGTACTCAAAGTAAAACACAAATTGTCCTGGCTGATACACATTTGATCTGAATAGTGGGAAGCTGGTTCAAATTGAGTATTCTCAGAATAATAAAGGCTTTCATCTGCATCGTTCTCCAACAGTATTTCATAGTTTTGAGGTGTAACAACAAAATTATCACCCTCACACCACTGACTAGACTGTGTTTCCCTGCAAAAAAAGATCATAACTGTTAACCCTTCAAGACGACACTAAATAAATAGGCTGTATGAACAAACATGAATAAAAACTACATTTTGTGCTACACAATCATGAATGCCTCACAATGTTGAACACTTGTGCTCACTAATCTGCCAAGTCTCTTCTTCACATAAACATGGGACCTCTGACCTCTGTGGCTACACCATAAAGGTTTATGGCTTTAAATCACTTACACCCAATCACTATGAGTTTAAATAATGCCAGAGACTTTGGATTATTTCATGTGAGGAGGCTAACCTTAAAATCAAACACCGACTGTGAAAGTTTATCATTCCTTTATTGTTTAGTAAAAGTCTGAAGTCAAAGTTTATAATATACATTACCAATGTCAGATAATTAAAATGTCTTATCAAAATACCAAGTTTTGAAAAATGAAATCTTTATCTTTTTAACTAGAAAATGAAACACAAAACTATATACCTATTGAAAATATTTGACATAATCATTATTGGTTTTGCCTGGTCGGTAGGTTTCTCTGTGGCCACTATTTTATGATCTGCTTCTGGTGTCAGTTGTAATGATCGGCTATTTGATCTTTTTGATCTATAAATGTCCTGTTGTTCTTCATTTTCAGAAGGCTCTTGACCTAGAAACTCATTATCAGCAACATCAGACACAACAATATCATCTTGACAATCTTGAATTTGTTCTGAGTCTCTTATTATGTCCACTGAGCATTCGGACAATTTCAAACTGCCTCTTACGTTTGTAATTTTTAACCCAGAAGCTCCATTAGATTCTCTTCTGTCAATACATTTATTATAAGCATTATTCTTGTTTTCAGTATGTTCGTGTTCTTCATCATACATCAAACCTTCTGCTTTGTTTGAATCAGCAGACTCATTACCTTCAACTGAGTAAAATGGTAGATCATTTAATTCTATGATGTCATGCTTATCTACTGATTCTTTGTTTTTGCCAGTATCCTCATCAAAATCATCATCAATCTGAATTGTAACAACATCATTTTCAATTATGATAACATCATCATCATCATCAGTGTCAACACTTACAATTTCACCTTTTTTCTCATTAGCTTCTTTGGCTACATTTAACTGTTGAACACCTGGCCTAAAATTATCTTGAATATCTTGTTTATGGAAACTGCTTTCAGGCTTTTTGTCTTTTAATCCTCCAATTTTATCTTCAGAGTTCTCATCAAAATTTCTACCAGCATCTTCGTTGTAAAGTATTTTATTTTTGTCATCCTGTTGACCAGTGTTTACTATTTCATCAACTATTTTATTCTTAGTCTCTGTTGAATTATTTTCATAAACACTATCACTATTTAATGTTTGTATTTGCTTATCTAGAACTATTAAGTCCTTCAAGTGTGGTCCTGACAAATTTCCATCTAGAGAGTGGAATGTAAGCCATATGCTTGCAATAAGTACCTGCAACATAAAATATGAGCATTATTTCAGGCACAAACGGGCACCCGAGGAGAACCATCGACATTCCGTAAGGTAGCTGGATAGCTTCCTCACATAAAAGAATCCTAAGTCCCTGTTGGGATTTGAACCCACAGCAGTGAGAGGCAAGTAGTTTGAAGTAAACCACTCGGCCATGATCGCCCCTGAGAATCTTAGTAAATTTTATGAGATGTTTATGTAATAAGGACTTAGCTTAAAGCCTTGTTCAAGGCATAATGACAAATGTGATTCATAACTATTAATTATCACACAGAGCTGTATTATAAGTCTCTGGATATCTTAAGACTTAAAATTTCATCACTATAACAAGATGAATAGATATGATCTTCCCTAAAACAATAGACTCCATATAAATAAATATCTGAAAACAAATCAATAATAATTGTAAATACAAAGTTGTGTGAACCATCTGTATAGTGATGCAATTTGTTTGGTAATATAACAATTCGCCCCATTGACAATATGCCCCATAACGACTTGCCCCACATCACCCACTATTTGCCCCTCTTTTGTGACAATTCGCTCACCTTACATTAAATTTATTTTAATTCATTTGGATTGAATTTTTTTTGCATTTAATAGCTTTTGGTATATTTTTTATTGATGGCATTTGAATTAGAGATAGAATAAGAAAAATATCAGTTAACAAAACTAAGAATTACTAGTCTCATTTGTATATATATATTTTTTAACTTTCAGAGATGTAATAAATAAATTAGATTTATATTATGAATTAGAGATTTACACATAAATATTCATTACTTAAAGCAGATTTGTTATACATATAAATATGTTGTATTTTCTAGAACTAGAAAAAGATGCAGTATTTGGATGCATTACCACCAGCTGGTAGTACTTACCTTTTTTATTAAATGCAAAGAATATAAATCTAACTTTAACTTTTTTGAAGGAATATGATTAAGAACATAGTACTGTGATGATTATTGAAGTGTGGCGAATTGTCACTGGACTGGGGCCCTACAGGCCCATATTGCTAGCCAGAAGTTCTAGCCATATGTGAGTCACATTCGACTCTATAGCCTTCCTGTATATGCACTGTTGAAATAGCTGTACAGCATTTTTAAAATAAAGCACCTAAAACTAGAACTATCGCTGAATACAATTCATACCCCCACCAATGTCCTTGACAGAAGACGACTTTGAAAGGTGGTTAAGGGAATAACTTAAGTGGCCCAAATACATAAAAAGAAATTATCTCTGGTGAAAAAAAGACTAATTGTACAGGTAATAGTATAAATATATATTATCAAATCATGTTCGAAACAGTTACAAATAACCTTTCATTTTCCAAATGTACTACACATTTTATAAGTCAATTTTTGACATTCAAGTGTGGCCTTGACCTTAAGCTGGCACAAGGGTAAGATGGGTTTTGCACATTGCCCAGATGGGGTGAACATTTGAGTAAAGTTTGAAGAAAATTCTTCCATTAGTATAGAATTTATAGAGCAGACACAACATATTGTCTAGTATTGATTGTATGTAAATTTAAATACTTAAAAAGGGGCATAACTTTGTCAAAATGCAATACAGAATTATGAAACTTGACCTGCATATCGTATTTGTGACACCTCATATATCTATTAAGTTTCAAGCAAATACCTGTGCTAGTTTCAGAAATATTCATGTACATGTTAAAATTTAAGAACATTTTCTAAGTCAATTTTTGACCTTCAAGTGTGACCTTGACCTTCAGCCAGCACAAAGGTGATATGGATTCTGCACATAACCTTGTTGAGGTGAACATTTGAGTAATGTTTGAAGAAAATTCTTCCATTAGTATAGGATTTATAGAGCGGACACGACATATTGTCTAATATTTGATTGACTGTAAAATTGAAGACTTAAAAAGGGGCATAACTTTGTAAAAATGCAATACAGAGTTATGAAACTTGACCAGCATATCTTAATTGTGACATTTCATATATATTTTAAGTTTCAAGCAAATACCTTTTCTAGATTCAGAAATATTCAAATAAATGTTAAAATTTAAGAATATTTTCTTAGGCAATTTTTGATACTTCAAGTGTGACCTTGACCTTAAGCCGGCAAAAGGGTGACATGAGTTCTGCACATTACCTTGTTGAGGTGAACAATTGAGCCAAGATTGAAGAAAATCTTTCAATAAGTGTAGGACTTAAAGACGGACACGAAATACTATCTAATATTTGATTGTGTTTGATATTTGACCTTCAATTGTGACCTTGACCTTGAGCTGACACATGGGCAACATGGGTTCAGCACATCCCCTTGTTGAGGTGAACATTGAGCCAATTTGAAGAAAATCTTTCAATTAGTGTAGGACTTACAGAGCGGACACGACATACTGTCTAATATTTGATTGTGTTTGATATTTGACCTTCAATTGTGACCTTGACCTTGAGCTGACACATGGGCAACATGGGTCCTGCACATCCCCTTGTTGAGGTGAACATTTGAGCCAAGTTTAAAGAAAATCCTTCAATTGGTATAGGAGTTATAGAGCGGACACGAAAATGGAGACGGACCGACTGACCAACGTGACAAAGTGAATCCATTATCGCCCCTCCCCTCCCCACATTTTGTGGTGGGGGTATAACAATAATGAATATGCAAACTTGTGTTTCCTTTATTGAATATCATGAAAACTTTATCAAATACCTTTTTCACCGGTTCATGTAGATATATAAATTTTTTTAGCGTTTGATGATTGGAATTTTTTCTTCTGAAAATCATGGGCTTTACATAATAATTAAAGTCTCAGTGTGAAAATACAAAGAGAAATAAATTGGAACATCATTAAATCATTTCTATGGACAATTATAGATGTAATACATTTGTAAAAAATATTTACAAATGTATTACATCTATAATTGTCCATAATCAGTCAGTCACTTGCTCGTCTTATTGCATTTTCACAAAGAATGAACATATATATTTTTTTCTAATTAATTTTACGGATGATGTGCGACCATTTACATTTTGACAAGATATTCGTTAGATCTATCAGAAATAAAATTCACCTTTAATTAAAAAGTTTTTGTGAGCTGATGAAAATTCTGTGTTATTTATAATTATTAAAAGGACTTTGTCATAAATAACTACCACTTGAAATTGAACCACTGACTTTAATGTCAATTAAACCCGTACATGATTGACTCATTAGCATTCTTATATGCAATCATGAAAAACAGGTGCGCTCCATCTTTTAATGGTAAGTTAACAACCAGCTTAAAATGTTCAGTGGCCGCTAAAAGTGTTAGATATGAAATATTTATAAGTTTATACAAATTTATTTTAGTTTGATTGTGTTGGAAGCTATATATAAGCTTATTGAATCAATCTCGAATCCGTTCCTGGAACCAATCAGTACTAAGCAATAAATGTACAGTTTCTTGCTCAAGGAAACAACGGCTTGCCCCTGACAGGGTTTGAACCCACGCGGTCAGAAATCCTTAGTACTTTTGGCTAGCAGTAAAGGTTGTGGTGTTAGTAGTTTTCACCCAGGATTACATCAGTAAGCCACATTGACTTTATCAGAGCTCAGTTCAAGCACAGCATTGTTCCTGAGCAGGCTGTCAAGCAGTTTACCAGTACTTATTGCCTTCACTTTTGCAAGGAACTGAACATGCCAACAGAGGTACAGTGAGAATGACCATAAGAGGATTTCTTGATCAATCACAAGTTCAGTTGTGACAATGAGTGTCCGAGAATCGAACCTGGGTAATCCGATTCACAGTCTTATGCTCTACCTATTGAGGTAACAGGACGGCTCGTACGGGGCGTTACGCCTACCACATCTTTTTATATAATGACTTAACAGATAAAATTATAAATTTCTGTTCTTAAAGTTAGATACAGAGAACATTTTATTTCTCAAATATACCAAAACATTTAATCTTATCATTTCTGAATTTCGTATAACCTATTAAATGATTGTTTTTAATGGGACGAATCCTTATAGGGCGAATCGTCAGAGTGGCGAATCGGTATCAATTCATTAAATTGATTACCACTACCATCGATAATGCTTACATCGAATACGCAATTATCCCGATTGTTGACTTTCTCTCTAACAAAATGAAGGACGTCTTTGGCTAAACACACGTCTCTTTTATCGAAACCCATGCTTTTGCTTGTTCAATTTTTGGATTACAGCAAACCTGTCTTACTGCCGTTTGAAGTCGCAATTATACCGTACGTAAAATAATAGGTTGTAAAGTACTAAATACGACCATGGAGTTAATTGTTTATATATCTGTGATACGACGGAGATTTTTTTTTTCATTCCATAAATCAAGTCACATTTAGATAATGAATAATAGTATATTCAAGATATGTTACAAATGTATTAGAGATTGATATTGAATAGTTCATCTTTGAGTCATACATGTAGTTTAAAAATATATCCCTAGACCTGTAGTAAAACATTTTGTTACCCTTATATTCATCTCCCCTGATACATGTATAAAACAAAACTAAAGGCCCAAAAAGAGTCAAATAGAATGACAGAGTAACAGGCTTTGAAAAGTGATATACAAATATGATCGTGAATACACATATCAAGTGGGATATACGAAAATCGTATGTCCCAGAGCAAATGTAAGATTGATATATGTTGCATAAAAAACTTTTTTAATCACAAAGGACCATAGATAAGTCAAAGTCCATGTAAGAGTTATGGACCTTAGCTAGTGTCAAGTTTCAGTGGTTTTGTAATTTGTAAAACTTTAACCAAATTCGTAATCGATCAATTCATTTGTTTGATTACCATTGATAATGCTTACATCTTATAAATAACAAAGCCATGAACTACTTAAGGTATGTATGATAATAATTGGTTTTAATCCCAGCAGGGACTTTTGGTTTTTTCTAATGAGGAAGTATCCACCAGCTTACGAAGGTTTAAGATTCCACTTAGGTGCACATTCATGCCTGAAATAATGAACAGAGGGGGACCCAAGGTCTTCCTCCACCAGTAAAATCTGAAAAATATAAACAGTATGACATATACTGTAAACCCAACCAAAAACAAAATAAGCCTTATGTAAATTATGGACATTTCATTTCTGTCCAAGGATATGAAGTTTTATAAATATCTTTTACCGTTTCCTATACATAGTGGACAAATGGATGCCCATGCATGCTAGAACAACAATCTAATAAGCATTTCTGCATATATTCTTCAATTTTGCTACAGGCCATGGTGATTATTAAATTCCAGTTGTTTTTTTTAAAATGCAGAATGATACATGTATCTATCACTAGAAGTCATACAAAATAGTTGTTTTGAACTTCCTTTATAATTCATTTGAGGATATTTTTAGGTAAATAAGGACAACTCAAATGGCAGACATAACATCATTTACATTGTCTTTCTAGCTGTTAGTAGAAAGATAACACAAACAAACAACTCCAATTTAATCAACCTTCTTTTTCAGATAATTGGGTTTTAACATTTAGAGGCTGTAAGATGTATGTCCCATTATAAAAGAAAACCCCATATACTAACTCAGGTGTGTAAGATTTTTGCCCAAGACATACAAATGTGTCCCATGTTGTTCTGTTGGAGAAAAATAAAGGAAACTTTATAGCATTACTCTATTTATTACTGTTTGTAAGTGATGCAAAGTGTATATTAACAACTAGAATTAAAATAATAACTAATAGAGATATAATTAACACAACTATAAAGTACCAGACTAAACATGTATAAATATCAAATGCTTAACAAAACAAAGTATTAAAACATACAAATCTGAACTTATTTGACAATCTGTTTTTGGATTTTTTTATGCTATCTCAAAAAAACAACAACATTTGTGAATAAAGCAAACATTCTGAATAAAAACAAGTAAACAGGTTTTACTGAATTGATAGCAATTTCAAGGAAAGACATAAGTTTCGTCTAACCTTAGTTTCTGGTCTTATGGCCTGGACTTTTCTCTTTTGATCTAAATACAAGATCGACTGATCTTTTAGGGAGAAACTATGCATGACACAACTTTTATTGAGAGAAATAGGCCAACATATATAAGCAGAACAATTTACCTTCTTTAAAAAAGGCAATAACAAAAAGTTCAGATTCCGTTTACAAAATTCAGAACTAAACATATATCTATTGCAAACTATAATAAATGTGAATCACAATGACTTTAAATCAATACTGAATCTGGGACATAATATACCGGGACAAGCAGCTTCCAATTAGATATGCAATGTTATGCTGGCGTCCAAACAGCTGATCAATTGATAAGCGTAGTGTTTAAACTTTAAATCATACTGTTATCAAAAATAATATTGTTTAATTCTAATAAAATCATGTTAAGATTATTTAAATACAAAGGACAGTTAAAATCTTAGCCATATGGCTTATATTTTTCTTATTTTCACTGTTTACTTCTGACAAAAACAACTTTTTCACAACAATAATCAAGACAAGCAGTGCATGCGTTGAAATGATAATGCGGCCAAAATCTTGAGTTGCTTGTCCAGGTATATCACCTCCCTGTCTGAATACCAAATAATAAACTCATTCAAAAAAAAATCTTACTTGTTAAACATTGACACACCTTTACCCTTATTCTGCTGAATTATAAAATGGACAAGTTCACTTGCCTAGCTAATGATGAAAATTTGAAGCCAGTGAGCCAACAGTATAGAGCCTTGTCAACTGCATGGCCGTACAGGTTGACCTTTAGCTTGACTGGTGGCCAAACTTAATAAATTTAAGAAGAATAAGGGTTAAATTTGATAAATACACCATTTCCATATAATACTACATGTAACAATTTCCATATAATACTACATGTAACCATTTCCATATAATATACTACATGTAACCATTTCCATATAATATACTACATGTAACCATTTCCATATAATACTACATGTAACCATTTCCATATAATACTACATGTAACCATTTCCATATAATATACTGCATGTAACCATTTCCATATAATATACTGCATGTAACCATTTCCATATAATACTACATGTAACCATTTCCATATAATATACTACATGTAACCATTTCCATATAATATACTACATGTAACCATTTCCATATAATACTGCATGTAACAAAATAAGTACATGTAAACTATATATCTCAAAATTTTTGTGTTTTAACATAAACAACATGGAATTTTGCACAACTAGATAATACAAATAGTCTATGTCTCAGTTAGATAACAAAATCTTTAATCCTAATCTTGCACACAATGTAACACAATCTAACATTGAGGCCCACATGGACAATTGGTTAAGCAAATGTGTAGCCTCAGTAAATAAAGACTTTACTTACTTACTTACTTTCTCTATAACCCTTAGTATTTGTATATTAAAACATTGTCAGCTGAGTTTTTAGATTTTGTAAACTTTTCAATTTTTCGAAATTAAATAAAAATTGAAAAAGGGTGTCTCCCTGGCATCTGATGAGATTATTTGACATTTGGTCTGGTATCAAACTATATGCAAATGTTAATGAGGTCACTCCCAGCCAGCTAAAGGTTAACAATGTAAAAATTGACAAAAAGCGAGTTGTACCAAATACACGATAGAATCTATTATTATGCTTCCCACTTCTACCCTTTATGAAATAGCTGTACCATTTAAATGTACTCTGATAAACTTTAATACTGTTTAGTAAAATAAACATAACATCTATAAAATCTGGTAAAATAAGAGTTTAACACTTTCCTTTAAGGAAATCTTTGCAAAATATAGATATAATAAACTATTTACAATTAAAACATTAATCTTTTAATCTTGTATCTTATTATATCTTGTTATATATATATCTTGTTTTATTTAATCTTTGACACAAACATTCCTTTTTAAGCAAATATAATATAAAGCAATATAATAATGTATAAAATATACAAAACAAAATATAACTAGCAAGCACAGGTGATTTGATAAAAACAAATATGTGATAAAATGATATTTAATATGTCTTTTACACCTTTGTATGATAACAATACTACATGATACAAGTAAAATACTTGTTAATGTACATTCCAAAATATTCTTTTTTTTAATTTTATGTGAAATACACAATATTACACACAAGTCAATATCAAATATTACTTATTGTCCATATAAATGTACAGAACTGTCAAATGAGTCAACAAAAAAAAAAAAAAAAAATGAAAAAAAAAAATAGGAAAAATGCATATACCATATGTCTTCTTAGTGCAATGGCTGGTTAACTCCTATTAAAATAAGAAGGACTCAACCTGTTACTGCACTAATGTGACATATTGTATAATAAATTTATTGAAGCATTGCATACAAAAACTTCGAAAGCGATTTGTCTCTAAGCATAATCTTCAACCTCTGAGAAAAAAAGGAGCTAAGCCTTGTGAAACTAGATCCTAATGCCAAGATAAGAGCTTGTGCTTCAGAACCCAAATTATGTGCCTGTGGCCTATGGGAAGGCATAACAAGTTTCAACAGCAAGACGTTGAAGAAGTGCATATTTTTTTAGGGGAAGACTTGTCTTAAATGGTAAATCATGAGACAATGTTAAATATTACAACAAGACATTATATAATATTGTTATGGGTTTTTCTTTTTAAACACATTGAGTATCTATCTAAATACTTGAGTACTCCAGAGTTAAACTTGATACTAAAGTATATGTAAAACAAATCATCTGTGAGGACAATGAAGCACAACCTTATCAAAAATAATATATATCTTAATCCAGGATATGATAATTCATGTTAAAAAGAAATCTTTGTTTATCTCATTTTGAGTAAACGAAATGTTCACATCCGACACTATGTTACAAAATATATAAATAATCTTAAACAATCATACTAGCTACTATTTCATATTAGAAATCTCTGGTGTAATACAACATAGAATGTAAAATTTGTCTTATCAACATCATATATTAGATCAGTTCTTCACATTCCTCACTATACAGTCCTAACATCTGAAGTCAAACTGTTCCAAACTATAATTTGACTAAAAAGTGATAATTAAGTACTTCAAAGTTATAACAAAATAAAAACATAATAAACTATCATTAATTCAGCAGTTTTTATATCATTTATGATTCAACTACAGAACTATTCTCATACAACCTGGCTTCCTCTATACAAACAAGAACTATATAGTTATATACATATGTATTTCTAAATACTAAATGAGTGCACAGACAGATTGGTTATAATATATGATAACACAGGTTAATAGTTTTATCACAGATCATAAAATGTCATAAAATTATACAATGTATATCATCAATCAGTTGAGATTTCTGAAAATTCAATGTCTCTGAAAGACAAATGTCACGTTTCTTGCTGGTATGCTAGCCTTTAACTAGCATGCCTTAGTCTGGTCGTCAAAGTTTAGTATAGTGTGAAAGTGAAGGATAATTTGATTTTCTGTTAAACCATACACATTAAAAACAGTAAAGTCAGTTGTTTTTTTGTTACAAACATTTAACAGGAGAAAAAAGTCACTTTTCTCCTCTTAAAATTACTCTATTTTCAGACTTAATTAGCTGCATGTTGTAACAAACTAGATCTTGATATACTATTTCTGCTTTCTAGGGCAAAGAATTACACCCAAGTCCAAAAAAATGTATATACTATTCTTTGAGGGACACTGAACATAAAATCAACTTAGAAGTTTCCATACTAAATGCTTTTGGTTGTTTAAAGGATTGGAGATGGATGGGCCAATGGACAGACAGATTTTAAGTGATGACAATAGCTAATCTTGAGTAATAGTGCTCTGATTAGAGCTCTAAAAATGTAATATTTTTTAAGTGTACAAAAATGATCAAATGAAAAGTTAATAACTTTGTGTATTAACAAATAAACATACATGTACTAAACTAATATGTCTAACAGAACACATGTCCGCTATGGAACTGTTTCTTAAGATCAAAGTGCTGCTGGCACTGAGGTATTCACTGTTCATGTGACTTTACCTGAACAAATGTAGTTTATTCATTTATTATAATTATGTGTTGTAAAAGCTTTTGTGCCTTGAGGTATCTTTATACAATGTTTATTTGATTATCATAAATATCTCTAAAATCAGTACAAACCTATGTAACTATGTATTTGATTCTTTGTAAGTTTTTAAAGTAACATGCCATCAAATGAGTAAATAAATCTTCAAAGTGTTAAACTTCAGGAAAATGTATGTATTATTCAAGAAATGTATAAAATTTCATTATCAAGGGGAAACTTCGAATATATTATGCAAAATATGATAGAATGTACTATATCATCAACAAAAGATACTTCTATATATTTTGTCAAATTATAGGTAATATATTTTGATAAAATTAAAACAAATCTGGAGATGTTTTACAAGTGTAACTGATTGTTGGTAACTTATTGGCATTTAGTGTAATGGTTTCTGTTAGATTTTTAACTCTGCTGAATTATAACTTGTATTTGCCCTTTATAATAGTCTGTCCAGGAAATATATATGCTTACAATTCTAATATTTACATGACATGTTCCAAATACACAGTTTTATACTTTTAACATTAAAATGTACAATACAGTAATTCATGACAAAGACTGCAGTGGCTAGTTGTTGTAATACATTGTACAGTACAATAAAAAAAAATGCATCAGAACACATAAACTATGTAATAATTTGTTGAAAAGTACACAGACAACATTGTGCTTTATTAGATAACCATGTCCAATCATTATTAACCATGCCAGTAAAATTTAAATACAAAGCTCACATTTTTAACAAATAGAAAATCAGATATATCGTATTATATCAAATTTATATATTGCAGCAACATCTTTCCAATAATTCTTTTTTATGCATCAATATCAAATTATCTTTGAGTGGCAGCATGGCCAAGTGGTCAAAGCATTAAACTAGTAAGCTAAGGATTACTGGCTGCATGGGTTCAAACCCCATTCATGGTCAAGCTGCTGTTTCCTTGAGCAAGAAACTTTACATTCATTGCTCAGTTATAGTTGGTTCCAGGAACAGATTGAGAGTGTTTCAATAAGCTTGTAGCTTCCAACAAGATCAAACTAAAATAAATCAGTATAAACAAAACTGAATTATCTTTCCTCTATTACATGAAATACGACAGTACACCGAGTTAATTTGACAGAAGGGCAAATACGTGTGAATAAGTCAAGCGTATAGACTAATATAACAACACAAGTTTAAGAATTTCAACCATGATCAAACAGTCATGCGTTTAATAGCTGCATTTGATAAAAAAAGTCTTAACTTTGTAGGCTTAAAGTAATTGAAAAGGTTGTGTAAAAAATGTTGGTATATTCATCAAAGTATTGCACATGAAACACAGAAATGCATTTCTAGTGAAGCTAACTTCTATGATTGTTCTTTCCTATGATATGTTTAGTTTTCTGTTGACTAAATCCTAATCTATATCCAGTCTTAGACAACATAATTATAAGGTTGAAGTTTATCTGATTTGTATGTGGAGAATTTGTTTCATAATCAAAAGTCATTATATTTGTCTAGTTAAAAACGTAAATCTGAATATTTGGAGATAAAGCTCAAACAAGTTTATATGTAAAACTATGACAATTAAGATTCAAAACAATTGTGTCCAAACTGTTATATAAACGCTGCAACTAGAAGTTTTCTAGCCTGACTTACTTAATCCTTAAAAAAACTTAATATCTTAAATGGACTTGTCCATCTTTCAATCTGGACATTTTTAAGAAAAATTTAAAATAAGTACTGACTGAACAGTGCAATGATCTGTGAGTACAGTTTCACTTTTGCACAGTTTGCATGGGTAAGATCAGTTGCAGCCATCAGGTTAATAGTTAAAATTGCAAATATATATACTAAACAATGCCTTCATATTAGTAACAATAATCATGTACAGATTTATTATATCAGATCTATTAAAACAAACAATAAGTATTAGTCTATTCATTTTTCTCATTTCCAACAACAATGTTGGAAAAAATGTAACAATAATATTTGGGGGCTTTGCTAAAATTTTGACTACAAGTAATTATCAAGTAACAACTATCACTCAGCCATAGGCTGTGAAGAAACTGGCATGTCTGCATGCGGCAGTTGAGCCGTTTGCTGCTGGATGACGGCCGGTTCCGGTGCTGGCCAGGCCTGCTGCACCGGAGGTTGAAAATCTAGCGTGGTTGTCTGTGGTTTAGGTGCTGTAGGGGGATGAGGTACAAATTCGGACGTTACAGTTGCTGATGGTATAACAGGTCTCATTGTCTCCTCATTCTTAACTTTTGGCTTAAATGAAGTCCATGTGAGACAAGAAGCTACTGATTCTCTCCCCGTGCTTACAGCAGACATCGCTCTCTCTTTACGATTTAAAAGACTTAATTTTAGACCTTCATTGTTCATAGCATCAATTTCTCCCTTATTTGGAGCACTTTTACCATGAGCATATCTGTACGATGTTGTTGGTACTCCCTCAAATGATGTTTTAGGACGTTTCGTTAAAAGCTGTGTTTTAGCATCTGAACTCATAAAATCTACTTTGTAAGTAGTAACTAATGGTCGGGACTTTTCAATAAATTCCCTTTCTGGCATCCAGGTTATAAAATCATTTTTAAACTGGTAAGTGCTGTTTGGAACTCTCCTTCTACCCAAACCCTGAAACAAGGAACAAGACTTAAACTAACTGTAACATCATAAATGCTCCTAAAAAAGCAAATGCACATGAATAATTTCCATTTTACGGTGCGGCATTACCCAGGAGATATGAAACAACACTTAAATTTGAAATCATGCATTTACACTTACAAATGAAATGTCTCCACACCCCAATTTCTTACATGTTTTGTATTTCTTGCAATAGATATTGAGCAATAACCATTTTTTTCTATAATTTGTCATGACCTTGATTATTAGGGTATCAAAGAAACCAACAAGGTCATATCCTTGCTGTAACAAATTCATCAATTTATAATAGAAATTTCTTGATCTCATTATAAATTCCAGCATATCAAAGTCTTATCTTTTCAAGCTGTTGAGCAGAGCTTATGAAAATTACTGCGATTAGTACCTTTGACCCCAAAAAAACAATAACCATAGGCAAATACCCTATGAAAATCTGAATTTCTTCAAACACTGAAATAATAATATTATAAAGTTATTTTAAGTCAGGTTATATGAAGATTGATTTAAGTTAGATTGATCTGATGTAAAAAATACCTCTCTTACTTTATTTGGATAGCCTTATAATGTAAGTGTGGTTGTTCAACATCAAACCAAAATAATAAATAGTGTTGTGGCAGAGTGGTTAACACTTCATACTATTAATCTAAGGATTGCTGGCCGCCAGTGGATTCAAACCCTGTCATGGGCAAGCCATCGTTTCCTTGAGCAAGAAACTTTACATTCATTGGTTGGTTCCAGGTATGGATTTGAGAGTGTTTTAATAATCGTATAGCTTCCAACACAATCAAACTAAAATAAATTTGTGTGAACTAGATCAAAATACATCAAATGTCTGAGATGAGCAGTGATTCTGACCAAAAATGCAGGCCATCTGTTGGTTTACAAATGAGTAAAGGCAGGGCAATAATTTCATGAGCTAATAGAGCATCATATTAAATCACAATGACATTTGTTGGCTTATGTTCTGTAGACACAATCAGAATGAAAAATAAACACACTTATGCAAATGCCTCCTACATGTAACTGCTTGTAAATTTTGCCTAATATTATGCAGAGTTCTGAAACCCTATTTGTTGTTTTGTTATGTTGATGCAGGACCAGAATGACATGGTACAAACCAACAAAGAAATGCAGTAAGTAAAGCTTAATGTAAAACATGGCATCATCTATCTTACCTGTTGGAAAATAAGTGCATCATTGAGAAATGCTTGTCTGTTGTCATGGTGAGAAAATACATGCTTTCTTGGTGGCTCCTGAAACAGTATAAACATGGAAAACTTAAATTTCTTCTTGTACTAAACCTATCCTCTTTCTGGAGCACATGACCCTAAGGGACATGTTAACAAGGAAGTAAATCACCATTTTGCTATTTGTTAAAATAGCTTTCAAATTATTTGTTAGTAATTAGTGTAAATGTTTTAGATCAGTGAACTTGTCTTTTGACAGATTAACCTCAAGTACAATAATGCCATCTAGCATGCTAAAACAGACATGAATGATATGAAGTTTGAAGGCTGCCAGGTTCAAAGTACTAAAGCTATTCACTGGAAAATATATCAGTATTCAATTTGCAATCAAGCTGACCAATGGCATAGTGATTCTAATAGAAATTGTAATGTTGTCAATATAGCCACACATATATCCTGATATTGATGAGTATAGGTCAAATGCTTGTGAAGTTATAGAGATGAAATGGTTTTTAATGTTTGTGGAACATAGAAAAAGAAGAAGAAACTAGAACTGTGTCCAAAGGACACGGATGCCCCCACTGACAACATATAATTATATGGTATATAGTGATAAAATCACCAAAGGGCCATAATTCTGTTAAATTTGGTCGCAGCAAAAATTTCTTTCTTTACTACCATCTACACATTAAGGTTGTTCATCCCTGGAAGTTTAAGCGAAAATTGCCAATCCGGTGGTATAAGAGAGTGAGTGTGCGGTTCACAAGATCGACTACGGAGACGAGCAACAAGTGCGAAACGGCCTAAGTGGCTCGCACTTGTGGTGGCTAAAGAATGATGCACATGGAGGACACATGTCTATCGATGAACATAAGAGTCATGGCAAAACTTTGAAAGTGGTTAAAAGTTCTGACTTTGAAAACCCGTCAGTGGATGGTGCACATAGTAATGTTGACTAACAGAGTAGAATGGAACAGTATCTAATTATATTCGATTACAAGAGGCGTTCGGATTAGGACAGGCAGCGCTCGACTATTCTAAAGTGCGTTGATAGTTAAAGAGCCGTGATTAGGATGTTAAGATTTTTAAGTTCACAAAAGGGCTGGAAGTTTTTGTTTTATGAGAATTCATGTGTAGTAGGCCGTTAGAGAGAGTCTAATGGTATTACAGTGATTGGGCTTGACTTATTCGGAAGTAATGTCACAAGGTGTTTTATTAAGTATAATAATACTAATTACCTATGAATACATAAATTTGACAGGAAAGGTACAAAGGCTTGTTATTAAGATGTTTTATTATTATGAATGCATAAAATTGTCCCAAAAAAGGCACAAACCCTTCAGTAGTTAACAGCTTACTTGTAAGCAAAACTTTACCATGAATTTCTAAGTTGAAAAAGGGGAGAAAAATCAGCCTAAATGCAAGATAGAATTATGGATCTTTGTCAGTGACCTACAATTATGACCCTAAATGCATATGTGAAGTTTTAAATAAATATCTTTAATAGTTATTGAGATATGTAAAACTTGCATGTAAACATTAACCAAGAGACTAAGTAGAAAAGGGGATATGAATCAGCTTTAATGCAAGATAGAGCTATGGTACTTGGTCAGTGACATACAATTATGACCCTAAAATTACGACCCTAAGTGCATGTGTAAAGTTTCAAGTAAATATCTTTGAAGACCTTTAACCTTTAACCAAAATTTCTAAGTTTCAAAGGGGCAAATAATTCTGCAAATATTGCAGGCAGAGTTATGCAATTTTGCAAACTGATGTACATTGTTACTATAAAAAAGTATTTAAATTTCAATTGAATATCTCAAGCAATAATTGAGATATTTGACTTTACAAAAAAACTTTAACCAAAATTTCTAAGTTCCAAAGGGGCATAATTCTGTCAATATTGTAGGCAGAGTTATCCAACTTGTCAATCTGATGTACCTTGGTACTATAAATAAGTATTGTAAGTTTCAATTGAATATCTCAAGCAATAATTGAGATATTTGACTTTACAAAAAACTTTAACCAAAATTTCTAAGTTAACTAGAAATGTGTCCATAGGACACTGATGCCCCCACACGCCACTGTTCTGTCAATCCTATGACTCTAGGTCAAATATTTTTTGGACTACATGTGCCACAAGTTGAAAACTAAAATTCAACAAAGGGCCATAATTCTGTTAAATTTGGTCGCAGCAAAAATTCCTTCCTTTACTACCATCTACACATTAAGGTTGTTAATCCCTGGAAGTTTAAGCAAAATCTGCCATCCGGTTTAAGAGGAGTTGCGTTCACAAAATTTCTACATAGTATATAATGAAAAAATCAACAAAGGGCCATAATTCTGTTAAATTTGGTTAGAGCAAAAATTCCTTCCCTTACTGCCATCTACACATTAAGGTTGTTCATCCCTGGAAGTTTAGACAAAATCTGCCATCTGGTTTAAGAGGAGTTGCATTCACAAAATTTCTAAATAGTATATAGTGAAAAAATCAACAAAGGGCCATAATTCTGTTAAAATTGGTCGCAGAAAAAATTCCTTCCTTTACTACCATCTACACATTAAGGTTGTTCATCCCTGTAAGTTTAAGCAAAATCTGCCATCCGGATTAAGAGGAGTTGCGTTCACAAAATTTCGGGACGTACGGACGGACGGACTGACTGACTGACGGATTGACGGACGGACGGACAAGTGCAACGCTATATGCTCCCACATTGTGGGGGCATAAAAAGGGGCATAATTCTGTCAATATTGTAGGCAGAGTTATCCAACTTGTCAATCTGATGAACCTTGTTACTATAAATAAGTATTGTAAGTTTCAATTGAATATCTCAAGCAATAATTGAGATATTTGACTTTACAAAAAACTTTAACCAAAATTTCTAAGTTAAAAAGGGGCATAATTCTGTCAATATTGTAGGCAGAGTTATCCAACTTGTCAATCTGATGTACCTTGTTATTATAAATAAGTATTGTAAGTTTCAATTGAATATCTCAAGCAATAATTGAGATATTTGACTTTACAAAGAACTTTAACCAAAATTTCTAAGTTAAAAAGGGGCATAATTCTGTCAATATTGTAGGCAGAGTTATCCAACTTGTCAATCTGATGTACCTTGTTACTATAAATAAGTATTGTAAGTTTCAATTGAATACTTTACAAAAAACTTTAACCAAAATTTCTAAGTTAATAAGGGGCATAATTCTGTCAATATTGTAGGCAGAGTTATCCAACTTGTCAATCTGATGTACCTTGTTACTATAAATAAGTATTGTAAGTTTCAATTGAATATCTCAAGTAATAATTGAGAAATTTGACTTTAAAAAAAACTTTAACCAACGCAGACGCGGACACCGACGCCGGGGCGACTACAATAGCTCTCATATTCTTCGAATAGTCAAGCTAATAAATGAAATAAATGAATGAGTTTATATAACTTCTACAAATGATCATGCAGGTCAGGTTACCAAATTCAAAGCATAAATCCTTAAACAGAAATATCTTAAAGACAAAACTGATAATGAACAAACTGTCACTACTTCTTCATGTGACTTTTAATAAAGACTTTTACTGTTTTAGCCTTTCTGTACAGTTATTATATAGAGAATGAATTTGAATTATATAGCCAGTCAGAAGGCAGCAAGGAAACGCACGAGCAGAAAATTAGATGGAGATCCGAGAGCAAGTGTCATATATGTATGATATACTTGCGATCAAATTCAGGATTAGTATTTGGCAGAATATATCCAATTTTTTGTTATTTCAGCGTTATGGCATTTTCATAAGAATAAAAGATCATAATTATATTGGTTGTAGTACCCGTTTCTGAGAAACAAGGCTAGATTCTCATTTTATAGTGACCTGGTGATAACAGGTTCAACATGCGGGGAGTAAAAGGCAATGACAAAACCGCGATTGAGGCGGACAGATAGAACGTGTCTGTAGGTGCAGGGGCTAGCTAAGCTGCTGTATTCACATATAAAGTCTGCGCGTGATTTGCTTCTGAAATGACCATAGTAACCAGTTGGAAACTGAAATAAGAAATGAAAGCCTACGTGTACATGTTCATTTACATTAATATAACATACAATATAACATAATTAGATATAACATTATTTTGTCATTGAAAATATCTGCAAAACTAATGACAGTGTGTTGTTCATAATGGAATAAACATGATGATGTAATGTTATTTAAACACATAAATGTATCATTTCATAACATACCTGCAATAACATTTATGAAATTTTTCTTCATAATACAACATATAGAAACAGACATGTCATTTACCTTTCTAACACAATATTATTTTTTCTACATTTGGAAAATGATTGTTATTTCCAACACACACAATTTTAAGGGACAATCAGGTCATTTTAGCAGAATTAAGTAAAATGCTTTCTCTTAAAGGAACTCCACTGAGGTTCATAAGCGTAAAACCATAAAATTTTAATTTCTCACATAGATCAACTGGTGCACCTAAAACGGAAATATATACAAAAGATAACTAAGAAATATACCTAGAAATACACTGAAAATCGTATTTTTGTGTTATTCTCAGTCCGATTTGAGTGAAAAGCGTTTAAACGCTTTTCAATTTCAGGTCATTTTTGACAATTAAAACAATTATTCTGGAAAAACGGAGCGAGCTAATGATCTGAAAATTTGCACATAAATTGTTGGTATAAACCTTCATCAGATAGAGTAATAATCTCAAAAAAGTATTTCCAGTCCCGTCATGTCAAAAAACCTCAGTGGAGTCCCTTTAAGACTCTAAAGGATTTGTTAGAAGCACAGTCCCAGTACTTTCTGTCTAATTGATTGCTAGTCGATTCTTCATACCTGCATATGACACACAAGAAACATTGTAATTAGGTATGTTAAGGTATAGCTAAACCAATGCTTGGCGCACCATAGGCCATCTGAAATGGACTGCTTGTATCTAAGATTAAAATATTTATAAAATTTAAGGTTTTAACCAAATTCACAAACTCAAAAATTTATCAACATTTCTTTAAAACTTTTTTAATTAATAACCTAAATAAGGCTTTATCTGTGCCTGTTAAAACAGGATTATTACTTATCATCAAGTGTTCCGAGTGAAATCAGAAGCCAAACTTCTCAGTGTGATTACCACCCTCGGCAGAATTGCACTGATAAGGGGAGATCACTGCGTAGGAGATTGAATGGAAGCGGGTACATATAATACTGAATGTTAATGACACCTTTTAAACGGAAAAACGTTCATAGGCTTTGCCTAATTTCATATTATAAATATGAAGTTATGAACTTTCAGATGAAAGGATAATAAACTGAAAGTAAAATGTTGTTTTTTTTGTAGTATCTTTTAATTTATAGTAAGATATTCTTTCAATCATTATGTTTGCACCACAACCACAACCAGAGGTCACAAGTCTAAAATATTTAAGCCAATGGCAAGAAATAACACAAGGAAAAAGACTTTCAGCCATAGAGTTGTGGATGCTTGGAATGCGTTAAGTCCTGAGGCTACATCATTGAATTCATTTAAGACAAGATAAATAAACTGTGAAATTGCCAGAATAAGTTTCATGTAAATTGTTACCAAACCCAGTGAAGTTAAAATGATAGGTAAATAATAAATTAACAGATACACATATAGTAGTTTTTAAAAGATATTTTATGTGTAAATAAAATGAAATCTAAGTAAAAATGTAAAGAAACTGATATAGTGCATATAACTAATTGAGGATATAGAGCTAAACATTCTCAATAACATTGAAAATATATGAGTCACAAAAGAAGTGGATGTAATTTACAAGAAGGGAAAACACTTCCAAAATGGCCTAAGAAGCTCAGCTTAGCATCCTTGACGATGTTCCGGCCTGAAATACTGCATGAACTACATGAAGCATGGGTCTATGCCGAGCATTGGACTGGCCACTCTATATTGGCTTTGCAAAATGTTCAATTCAATTGTTTCCTTTTTTTAATGAACAACTGAAATAAACAGAAATGTTGTTTACTCTTAGACAGGGACAAATTTAAGGACAATGTATACCAGGTAGATTGTATGTACATAATGGCTTTTAAGTTATACGGGGAAGTCAAAGACCGGGCCCGCGAAGCGGGTCCGGGCTTTGGCTTGCCCGGCTATAGACTACACGTGTATATTTAAAAGAAAATCAAATAAAAAACAATTAAAAAAATATATAGAATTCTATACCTATCAATGAAATTTTCAGTGTCAGTTCTAGTCGTGCGCCGCCATTTACAATGCAACTCAATGATAATAGGCGGGGTATTCCGATAACGGAACAAATCTCAACTTTTCGGATAAATGATAATTGTCGAGTGTTCCGAGTGAAAACGGAAGCGGTGCATGTAATACCGAATGACAACTTTAAAACGGAAAGATTAAAAGGATTTTTTTAAACGACTTCCCCGTTTATAGGCTTTGCCTATTTTCATATTATATATGTACATGCAAATATATCATTTACATGTACATGTATATGCATAAATCTGTATGTTTGGTTTGGCCTAAATTAGGATACTGTAGTTGTCTGACTCGGGTAATAAAATGTATGAACCAATTATATATATAATTTATTGCTGCTACTGAATAATGGAAAGTGGATTTAAGGAAAGTTCTCATAATTAATTAGCTCACATGATAAAGTAGACCACCAATGGCCCCACCACTTTGGGCGTTGAAAAAACAAATATTATTGACGTTAATTCCATGCATCATGGGATACCTAGTTAAACATAACACACATCAGTGAAAAATATATCTGAAATTCTAACCCAACTGCCTTGAATTTTAGTTGACATCCTGCTTCAAAAAGTCATAGTATCCATGTAAATGAAATTTGGTCTGTGTACACAACATTTGTTTACCGTAGTTATTGAGTGTATCCAATCAGAATGATGACTGGACTGTCTGTATTTTATTATTCGCAAACGACAACTCTTTATCTACAGACCGTAACACATTCTAAATACTTTACTTGATGTATTTGAATGAAGGAAAGCCGATTATTCTTAACTAAATTTTGTGCTCTTTATGGTTTCATTGTAATACTGTGTTCATGTTATATAAACATGATTTACAAATGAAATATGCTTGAAATTGTTTATCACGTACCGTATAATAATTCAATCTATTATTATAACTGGGACCATATATAACTCATTGCGGTCAAATTTGCGAACCTGTTTCTATCATCAAACGAGTCGTCTGCAAAGCAATGCCGGTTCTGCTTTAAAGGTATATAAGCTACTGGTGCCTCATATTTCCAAGGTACCCATATTTCCAAGGTATATGGCTTAAACAGTTTAAAGTGCCTCCTAGACTTAATGAACCTGCCAGTAGTTTTACTTTTACTATTTCATTGTATTTTTATCGAAATGTAACATATAGATCTAGAACTAAAAAAAATTATTTTATTCAGATTAAGAGCAAAGTTATTTAATATTTCACCATTTTTCTTTTAGATTTCATACCTTTTAAAAAAATCTTCTTTCTTAAAGAACCATTGAGGTATTTGATAAATGCCAAAGAGAAAATCGCCCCTTACAGATGAGCCTAGGTATAGGTGTACAAATAAATAAAGTTTACTAGAGCGGGTGTGGGTATTACCGAACGTGCGTGTATTTCCGAACACAATTTTTTTTCCACCATAACCTTCTTAATGTTCTTCTTATAAGGCAGTGACATCAGAAACATGATGTCACTTCCTTTCCCGACATATCTGTAATATTGCCAACATGATACTTGACAAAGCAAAGATTTCCAAGACTAATTTACTACTACGCTTGACAAATATCGTCGATGTATGTAAAATCGCGGTGTATATAAATTCGCGGATTTTGTTTACACTTGGATAATCTCGTAAAATCTCGTCGCACCTGCCCCACAATGACGTAATATTTCTCGCAAAATGTGTCTACATATGTTTCGTGTATCAAACCATCACAAATCACACAAAAATGGGCAGTTTATTGTTTATTTTCTAATAAGTATAAAAAAACATGATTTTACTTATGCCCACTTATCTACCTTATAAGTAATCCATTTATATAAATTAGAAAAGTTTGTCAAACAATTCCCAGTTCCGGAAATTTCTTCAAGATGTGAAGGTCAGTCGGCCATGCTTTTTTTCCCAAACCGAGGCTATGAATATATTTACTGACCGATTTTGGATACCCATATCAGCTAACGCAAAAAGAGTCATTTCCTTCATTTAAAAATTAATTAGGTCTAACTTTAAGCCTATTTGACCAAAATATAATTGACAGAATAACTTTTATGTCATCATCAAACTTTAAGATGTAATCACTTGTTTAGATTACAATGTGCAAGCACTTGACCTACTTAAATGTTTTGCCAGAAATGAGGGTCATATGGGGAGGTGAAAATCGAATTTATCGGCTGTTTTAGTTTTTTTACTACTTCTTACATGTTTACAAAATAAAACTGCAAATAAGAAATAGATATAAAAAATTAACATTATTCTGAAAAATTGATATTTTCTCAGTTTAAAGTGACTGGAATTTTTGTCATGTGCACTGATTTGACCTACAATGACGTATTTGTAGTCGTCCGCGAATTAACATACAGTTCCAATATGGCGGCGGTCATGACAGACGCTTATTATTTAAAGTTACCACTGACAAATACGAGTGTAAGTTGGTGAAACTTGAACTGACTTGAAATTGAAAAAGGCCAATTGTAAGCAAACATTATGTGTATAATTTATTATATATCTTTTTTCCACATTATTTCTCACAAATGTGCCTAATACCGCGAATATACATCAATCGAGGATATGTACTCCGTTACAAATATTCTAATTTTAGATACTTGACGTCATAAGGTTATCTGGTCACGTGATTTTGATAAGTCACATGTTTCTTGTTATTTGTGAAACTAATACATGTACTGTGATATGGGAAATAACTCAATGTCACTTAGATATTTATTTACTGAGTTATTTGCATGTTCGGAATTACAAGCAGTTAAATTTTGTCATGTGTGTATTACCGAACGCAATGCTCACACTGATTAAAACAACACAGTTATCATTATTATAGCGTTATAAATTTATCTAAATACAAAATAAATAATTTCATACATCTAAATAAATAAAATAAATTAATTAATTAAGCAATTATCAATCAATTGATTAAAATAAATAAATAAATTAATTAATTAATTAATTAATTAATTAATGCTTTCATTCAACCAATCAAAAAGATATATAGAAAGATAAATAAATGAATAAGTAAATATAAAAATAGAATAACAAATGAATAGATAAACAAATAAATAGCTCTAGAGAAAGAAAAAAATGATCAGACAGACATAGACAATTTCTTTTTATGAATGAGCAGGGAGAAAAACGCAAAACGAGAGCGTAATTGAGCAGAATTAAAATGCTTGACCATGTAGCTGAATTAGATCGTTTAAACTCTGTTAGTTGAAACCAAGCATCAAAAAAAGGATGGGATTCCATAGTCCACCCCTCACAATACTGTCCCGGTCATAAGTTGGCCAGTTCTAACTAAAGTCTGAGGATAGACGTATTGTAGAATTGGTCATGCACGTCATGTCTCAATTATCGGCTATGGAGGCACAAGACAAGAGCTTGCACACACTTGAACTTGAAAATACTTTATGGTGAAAGTCCCTGAACAGCTTTCGTGAAAACAAACCTAGCAGATCTTGGCTGGAGGGTTACTTTCGCCGCAACCCTGAACTGATGCTTGGAAAAGAGAAAGGGGGAGAGAGAGAGAGAGAGAGATCGATTGTTTCCCAGAAAAGATTAAAAGATTGTTTTCTGAGTTCAAACACTACCTTAGGGAGGAGTTAAAAGATACAGATTTACGTAGATTTCACATTACCTGAGTATCTGACAAGTACCTCTTTTGAGTACAAATATTGTTAAGATCACATGGTCAGCTGTTATTGAATGAAAATTAATTTGTCTTTAAATTATTTAATATTTACACATTTGAACACGTAATATAACATGTTATCTATGTCTCTGGTAATACATTGTTCAATAGTGAATACTTGCGAAACATTAATGCTTACATCAATAGTGAAATGATTTGTTTTTAATTTATCTATATTTCAGGTGAAGATTAACGTTTTTTTTTTAAAAAGTTGGCAGTGTTCGGAAATACACGCATGTGTGTTCGGTATTACACGCATATGGTCGGTAATAGAAGCAGTCAGGTCTAATATATGAAATGTCATAACTCTTTAGATAATGTGCGTAGATAAGTGTTTCTTGCATGTAAATGTAAAGGAAAACTCATATTCGTCAAATGTCAATTGAAAATCGTGATTACTGCGTGTATTACCGAATACTACTTATTTCACCTTAAGTGTTCGGTAATACCCACACCCGCTCTATTGGTTTTGCTTTTGAAACTGTTAAAATGTAATTGCCTTGGAAATATGAGAACACAAATTTACTCACTAGGCTGCAGATGGGTGTTAATTACAATGTTGTATACATAATTGCTTACATGCAAACATTAAATGGAATAAACTATGATGCAATTGACATGTCTATCCTACAATATTCACTTTGTTTTCCAGAATTTTATCCGCTTAACTTTTGTTGTCTGTGTTAAACAGTTAAGTACCACGGAAATATGAGGCACCAGTATACTGTATCGATATTTTTTTCGTTGGAATTCAAATAGCTTTGTTATGACATGTCAGTTGTAACAAAAACCCTTTTTTTTTTAACTGTTATTTTAGCCTGGAACCCCGTTGTATCGATCTATTTACCCATAAATCACAACTGCTTTTAAAAAAATTCAAATCTCCTTGAATATTTATTTTGTATCATTTATTTTGATTCTTTTGCCATAATATTTACATGGCAAACACCACTGATATATAGTTTTTAGCTTTGGAACATACGAATATTCACAGACATGTCAAACAGGTTGATGAATTAGGTCACGCCATTATATCGATGCATTGTGAGAATTGCTCAGTTAGCCAAAGTTTGGGAAGCCTTATTTATCTTTATTTTAGATATTTCAGTCAATTAGAAACATTGATGTCTGTTTTAAAATGTCAGAATAAATTTAGGAACTTTTAACAGACAGCAAATATACTTTTAATAAGAACACATTATTTATAAGTCTATTTATTATCTACAACGTCTTACGGTACTGGAAATATGTTTTTGATCATTTTACTGCACAAAAACAAATGCGAAAGATTTTCGTGACACTGTTGTAAATGTTAACAATCAGTAGGACGTGACGTATTTTGCAAAAAATCTAAAGATTTGTAAATAGATTGATACAATGAATAGCACGATACAATGGGGTTCCACTATAACAATAATTTCTCAAAGACATTCCTATAACCAGGGTGGGGGGAAAATCCCGGGATCCGGGACGCCCGGGATCGTATCATTAGATATAGAGGAAAAACTAATGAACTATATTTGTGTTGATTATTCTTGTAATGAAAGGCGATTAAACGTTAAGTTTTTATTTTTATTGTATGTTATGAACGTTAAATAAAATTAACTTAGGATATAAAAATATTTAGTGCTATTCATTAACAAACTTAAAATGCAGAAATCACAATACTTATAATTATATGCCTAATTAATTGGAAAAATTAAAGACTATATTCTTGAATTGTTCAAATCCCGGGATCCCTTTATGTTTTAATACGATCCCAGCTTTTCTGAAAACTTAGAATATTCTTGAACTGGCCAATTTCCGGGATCCCTATATGCTTTAATACGATCCCGGCTTATCTGAAAAATATCTTCTTAGACTGGATAAGTTCCGGAATCCTTTTTTTTTAATACTATCCCAAAAATCGTGAAAAAATACGTTATTTTTAAAGATTTTTCATAACTACTACAAATCAAACTTATTAAAAACATTCAAATTATGATGATAATAATAATAATAATAATTCTAGAGTAGGTGGTCAATTCCTGGGATTACTTTATGTTTAATACGATCCCGGGTCCCGGCTTTTCTATAGGTGATCCTGGGATTTTCCCCCCACCTATAACCAGTGATTTGTTTTTAAGTTTTCCAAACGAAAACTTTATAAAACACTGATAAGACCACATCTTGAATTTGGAGTAAGATATTGAAGCAGTCGAAAGAGTTCAAAAAAGAGCAACAAAAATGGTTCAATGTATCAGAAATTTATCATATGTAGAAAGATTAAAAATTCTGGAAATTCCTACTTTGGCTTACAGAAGATTTAGA